ATAATATCAACAAATGCTAATGCAATTAATGATTATTAAAAGGAGAAATAGTTTCAAAAGTTAAATGCAGTAGCAGATGAACGAAAAAGAGTTACAGTAATAAGAAATGGATAAAAATGTGATATCCATATGAGTGAAGTAATGGTTGGAGATATTGTAATGATATTTGAAGGAATGGAAATACCAGCTGATGGTCTAGTATTTGAAGCTTCTGATCTAACAGCTGATGAGTCAGCAATGACAGGAGAAACTGATCCCATAAAAAAGAATACATTATCATATTGTTTAGCTAAAAGAAATCAAACTGATTCAGCTACAGCTGGACATCATGAAGTTCCATCTCCTATTATGATGAGTGGTACAAGAGTTTTAACAGGAGAAGGTAAAATGATTATTTTAGTGGTTGGAGATTTATCATGTGCAGGTAAAATTAGTGCTTTACTTCGTTAAGATGAACCAGAAGGTAATTTTAATATATTATTATATTAGCTACTCCTTTGTAAGTCAAATTAGCTGCAATTGCTGAAGATATAGGTAGATTTGGATTGTACAGTGCAATCTTAATAGTTATTGTTATGTGTATAAGATTTGCAGTTGAAAAGGCATAAATTGAATGGGAAAACAAATATATTGTAGAGATTGTCAATTTCTTTATTATTGGAATTACAGTTATTGTAGTAGCCATTCCTGAAGGATTACCTTTGGCAGTAACTCTCTCTTTAGCATATTCAACTAAATAGATGTTGAGAGATTAAAATTTAGTTAGGAAAATGGCAGCATGTGAAACTATGGGAGGAGCATCTATGATATGTTCTGATAAAACTGGTACTTTAACTCAAAATAAGATGACTCTTGTTAATATTTGGAATGAGAATATAATTGAATTGGAAGCTTATTAAACTTGCAATTTGATTGATTATCTGCCTTAATAATTAGCAGATATTTTTATATAATCAGCTATTGTAAATTCAAGTGCAATGCTTAGACCAGAACCTAAAGGATCTAAGACTGAAATCTCATTTCTTGAATTTATGGATAGATGTCAAAAGCCTTATGAAGAATATAGAGAAAAATATCCTATTATAGTTAAGTATCCATTTAGTAGTTAAAGAAAGAGAATGTCAATGATTTTAGATGTTGGAGGATAGTAAAGATTAGTATGCAAAGGAGCTTCAGAAATGGTATTAGCAGCATGTACCTAATTTCATTCAAAATCAAATGGAGTCATAAAAATCAATTCTAAGGTTGTTGAAGATGCAATTGAAAGTATGGCAAAAAAAGCATTAAGAACAATATGTTTAGCATATAAGAATATTCCTAATAATGCTGATATGACTAGTAAAGATGATAAAGGTGTTTATAATATAGAATAAAATGATTTGGTTTTATTAGCAGTCTTAGGCATTAAAGATATTATTAGATAAGAAGTACCTAGAGCTATTTAATTATGTAAGAAAGCTGGAATCAAAGTCAGAATGGTGACTGGTGATAATATAACTACAGCAAAGGCTATTGCAATTGAATGTGGAATCATTACTAATCCTGAAGATAGTATANTCCATCTCCTATTATGATGAGTGGTACAAGAGTTTTAACAGGAGAAGGTAAAATGATTATTTTAGTGGTTGGAGATTTATCATGTGCAGGTAAAATTAGTGCTTTACTTCGTTAAGATGAACCAGAAGGTAATTTTAATATATTATTATATTAGCTACTCCTTTATAAGTCAAATTAGCTGCAATTGCTGAAGATATAGGTAGATTTGGATTGTACAGTGCAATCTTAATAGTTATTGTTATGTGTATAAGGTTTGCAGTTGAAAAGGCATAAATTGAATGGGAAAACAAATATATTGTAGAGATTGTCAATTTCTTTATTATTGGAATTACAGTTATTGTAGTAGCCATTCCTGAAGGATTACCATTGGCAGTAACTCTCTCTTTAGCATATTCAACTAAATAGATGTTGAGAGATTAAAATTTAGTTAGGAAAATGGCAGCATGTGAAACTATGGGAGGAGCATCTATGATATGTTCTGATAAAACTGGTACTTTAACTCAAAATAAGATGACTCTTGTTAATATTTGGAATGAGAATATAATTGAATTGGAAGCTTATTAAACTTGCAATTTGATTGATTATCTGCCTTAATAATTAGCAGATATTTTTATATAATCAGCTATTGTAAATTCAAGTGCAATGCTTAGACCAGAACCTAAAGGATCTAAGACTGAAATCTCATTTCTTGAATTTATGGATAGATGTCAAAAGCCTTATGAAGAATATAGAGAAAAATATCCTATTATAGTTAAGTATCCATTTAGTAGTTAAAGAAAGAGAATGTCAATGATTTTAGATGTTGGAGGATAGTAAAGATTAGTATGCAAAGGAGCTTCAGAAATGGTATTAGCAGCATGTACCTAATTTCATTCAAAATCAAATGGAGTCATAAAAATCAATTCTAAGGTTGTTGAAGATGCAATTGAAAGTATGGCAAAAAAAGCATTAAGAACAATATGTTTGGCATATAAGAATATTCCTAATAATGCTGATATGACTAGTAAAGATGATAAAGGTGTTTATAATATAGAATAAAATGACTTGGTTTTATTAGCAGTCTTAGGCATTAAAGATATTATTAGATAAGAAGTACCTAGAGCTATTTAATTATGTAAGAAAGCTGGAATCAAAGTCAGAATGGTGACTGGTGATAATATAACTACAGCAAAGGCTATTGCAATTGAATGTGGAATCATTACTAATCCTGAAGATAGTATTGTAATGGAAGGACCAGAATTTATTAGAAGAATTGGAGGAGTTGTTTGTAAGAATTGTCATCCAGAAAATTGTAATTGTGTTAGGGATAGTCAGACAGCTTAAAGAGAAGGCAAAAAATTAAGAATTGACACTATTGCTAATCCTGAAGAATTTGATAAAATATATCCAAATCTAGATGTTTTAGCTCGTAGTAGACCAGAGGATAAATATGCCTTAGTAACTGGTTTAATTGAAAGAAATCATGTTGTTGCTGTGACAGGAGATGGAACTAATGATGCTCCTGCTCTAAAAAAAGCAGATGTAGGATTTGCTATGGGAGTTTCAGGAACTGAAGTAGCTAGAGAGGCTGCAGCTATAATTTTATTAGATGACAATTTCAATTCAATAGTTAAGGCTGTTATGTGGGGGAGAAATGTGTATGATAACATAAAGAAGTTTCTTAGATTTTAATTAACTGCTAATTTAGTAAGTGTATCATTGACATTAATTGGGGCTGCGGTATTAAGATAAGAAATACTAAAACCAATTCAATTGTTATGGGTTAATTTAATTATGGATACTTTAGGTTCTTTGGCTTTGGCAACAGAACCTCCATCTGAGAAACTTTTAAATCGTAAACCTCATGATAGAAATGAATACATTATTTCAAAAAAAATGTTTAAGTTTATAGTAGGAACTGCTCTAATTTAAGTAGGAGTTGTACTTGTCATCGTTTTTTTAGGTGATAAATTTCTACCTGAATATAAAGATGCATATGATACAAGTGTATTTAGTGGTCCAAAAATAAGATTTAAATATAGTAATCATAATTGTGTTACAGATTTTGAATCATTAAAATCATTAGGATTAATTAAACTAAATTATACATCATCTACTGATAATCCAGATGATTCTGATAAATGTTTAAAAACATAATGTGTCTGTTAAAATGAAGAATGTTATGAAATTTAATGTCCTCCTTGTCTTTATAATGAAGATTCATGTTCAATTGTTGCTAGTGGAAGATTAATGACAGTTTAAGGAGATTAAGATTATTACATTATGTATAATATTGAACATGAAGGAAGTAGACATGTAATTATTATTATTTAATATTTTTAGTTTACTTATGTATTTAATGTGTTTATCATGTTATAATTGTTTAATTTCTTAAATAGTAGAAGGATTACTGATGAAATTAATTTTCTTGACAATATTACAAATCATTCTGCTTTCCTTATAATAGTTCCTTTCATATTCTGCATTTAAGTATTAATGGTTACTTTTGGATCTGGTGCTATAGGACTTTATAGTTGTTATGGATTATAAATAAAATAATGGTTGATTGGAATTGGTTTTGGTAGTATCTCATTATTAGGATGTCTAATCCTTAAATTAATTCCAGAAGATAATTTTTGTAAATAGCTTGGACCCCAAAAGATTGTACCTATCTAACAAGAAGCCAAAATCTCTTAATAAAAAGTTGAATAAAGTGAAAATGCTCTTGCAAAACATTATAACTCAATATCAAGACATCCAGAACAATGAATATAAATTATTTTAATTAATGAATCTACTCAAAAAAGCAACTACTGTTATATGTTCTGTTCAAGAACATTAAGAAGTTGATTAAAAGATTATCCATCTATGTATTGACTCTAAATGTTAGATTTCTAAAAAAGCATTATGTGGTCTATGTCTAGGAGAAGAACATTATGGTCATAAATCAATTAATCTCTCTACATTAGACACTCTAATAAAAAACGAATGGACTCGTGAAATAAAACAATATAATCAAAAGAATAAAGATTTAACAGATTCTATTTAGATGAGCATAAATGCAATTCTGAACAAAGTTAAACTACTTTAAGATTAGATATCATAATTTGTTAATTAGGATATGTAGGAGAGTAAAGTAGGGATTTTAAAACGTAAATATATTGATTAGCCAAATCTAACTGAAAAAGATTATGAATAATTAGCAAAAGATGTTTGTGATATTATACATTATAATAATGGTGTTCCAGATTTTAAACCAATTGATTATGAACCAAATGATAAATTCTAGAGTCTTGCATAAAAGTTAATTTTAGATGCAGCACTCTTTTGCAAAGATATTTCACTTGTTACAAAATCTAGTATAGTTCATTAAAGTTTTGCAGAACAAATACAAGATTTGTTATATTAGATTAATAGTATAACTAATTTAATTGAGAAACCATTAAGTTATTTGATGTAAAGTCGTCGACTCTTTCCTAATGATAAAAGTGAAACATAATCAATGCAAAGAATAGATTTTGATTAATAGAGTGTATTTGGTACAATAAATTAATCACCCTTTTGCATTTAGAAATAAGTCAAGTTCAAGACTTTAGAAATGAAAGGTTTTACTAAGATCTATGAAGAGTTATTCAATAAACCATTTACTTAAACACATATTGAATTAATTAAATAAAGATGTACTCCTTAATCTTAAATCTGTATTGGTGGAGTAAGTGTTAATGATCCTGATTAATTTATATTATGTGCAACTGATTATGCATCAGAATTTTATACAGAAACCTAAGATTTAAAGTTGGCAAGAAGGAGTCGTAATGGAGAATTATATTGGTATTATGTTAGAAATCGTTGTATTGGCTTTAGTCCGATGAGTAAGGTAGATTTAAAATATCCAGATGTTGATAATGAGGAAGGTGATTTAAGGTTCTCTTTGTGGCTCTTTCATGGATAAGGTGGTTATAGAATTGGAAGATTAGAAAGTTTAGAGTAAAGTGTTGAATATAAATGTGTGATTTATTTAAAGAAATGATATTATATTAAAATATAAATGAAAAAATAATGTAACTTATAAGTTCATCAAAGCTACATTCCGGAATTTGGTGAAATAAGTTATTCTTTATTAAGATTGACATAAATAGCAGTTAATATTTTAATTTTTGAATTTATTTTACAAAAATGCTAAGTATGATCTATTTTAGAATATTAAAGCACAAAATTTCTATGATTTAAGAGGAGGTGATAAGTTGAGTAACAATAATAGATAATTGGAAAGGTATGAAAAATTGGAAAAGATTGGAGAAGGTATAGTATTATTCAAATGTGTTTAGGAACTTATGGTGTAGTTTACAAGGCTCGTGATTCAGTCACTAAAGAATTAGTGGCTCTTAAGAAAATTAAACTAGAAAATGAAGATGAGGGTGTTCCCTCTACTGCTATGAGAGAGATCTCAATTTTGAAAGAACTTTAACCACATCCAAATATTGTTGGTTTGAAAGAGGTCATTTATTAACCAAATGAGAAAAAGCTCTACTTAGTTTTTGAATATGTTGAAATGGATTTTAAAAAATTCCTTGATTAAAATAAACACAATCTTACAATTAGTTAAATCAAAGTAAATATATTTACACTATTAATAATAGCATTTCACATTCTAAATTTTGAATGGTCTTAATTATTGTCATTCCAGAAGAATTATTCATAGAGATCTTAAACCATAAAATATTTTAATTGACAAATCAACAGGAATTATTAAATTGGCAGATTTTGGTTTAGCAAGGGCATTTGGTGTACCTATTAAAACTCTAACACATGAAGTTGAAACTTTATGGTATAGAGCTCCTGAGATTTTATTATCTTAAAAATAATATTCTTTGGGTGTTGATATTTGGTCAGTTGGATGTATACTTACAGAAATGGTTGAAAAACATGGGTTATTTTGTGGTGATAGTGAAATTGATTAAATCTTTAAGATATTCTAATATCATGGAACACCAACTGTTCAAGATTGGCCAAACATTGCAGATCTACCAGATTTTAAACCTACTTTTCCTCGTTTTAGACCAACTCCACCTGAATAATTTTTTAAGAACTTTGAAAAGGTAATCTTTATCATCTATAATGAATAGATTGGTTTAGATTTAGTTACAAAAATGATTGCTTTAGATCCAGCAAAGCGAATCTATGTTAAGGAAGCCATGAAACATCCATTCTTTGATGATTTAAACAAGGAAGACATAGTCAAGTATTTTCCTCCAGGATAATAAAATTTGGCTATGCAGTACGGAAAATGAATTAATTAAATAATATAAATATGGCAGATACGATTATAAATTTTACAGAATTGTAAAGTGAATACAAAGATATGGCCTAAATGATCATCCAAAACTTTGAAGCTACATGTTTTGATTAGAGAATGGATGCCTTTCTTCAAGGAATGCTCAATAAAGATTGGGTATAGGCTATGACTAATAGTCATACTCTAAAGGGATCTGCAGGGTAAAAGTTAAATTACTACCCAGTTACATCAAGGCTGGCCCATTTATAGATACTATAAAGATTTTTTAGTAGTTTGTCAAAGATCATTGCATACTTATTTAATATCCTGATAACCAGCCTGCTACTGTAGATAGGCCACAATATCGTTTGAAAGATGAATTTGATGATGAAAAAAAATTGTAGGCGTATGAATATTTCCATCCTATAATTGAATAAGCACGATTGCTCAAATTAGAAATGTCTAAATACTCTGGTTCAAATGTTTCTGATAATATCTTTCTAGCTGAAGGTATAAAATATATGCAGTATTTCAAGGAGAGAAGATTAAGAAAATGCATGAAGAACTAAAATAACAGATTGAAGTTCAAAGAAGACCTTCAATAAGGCAGAGTCAAAAAACAATTCAAACTTAATAGCAAATCAATTCTATAGTTCCAGATGCAGGTTCTAAATAAGGGCCAATGACTTAATCAGTCTTAGATGTTGTTGTTGTGGATCAACCATAAGGTGGAAACAGTTCATGTTGTGATAAATGTGCAATTTTCTGATTTTTGATTTTAATTGGTTTGTTCTTTTGTAATTTTAAATATCCAATTTCTGAGCTCATATCAAAAAAACTTCTTTATTTTACGTTAAAATGTTTAAGGGAAATCAGGAAAAAACATAATCCTAAAGAAACACTTAAGATAATTCATTCCATTTAGAATTATGCTTTATAATTAATTAATAAATATAGGCTTTATATCAAATATTTTTTACAAATAATTATCAACAATTTAATTTTAAGTGGCTCCAATTTTTTGATATAAAGGATTATATTATAGTGTTTGGATGATAAAAATAATAAAAATATCCTATTATTTATAAATTTACTTTTTTATATTTGTGATAAAATCAATACTATATTCAAGCATATTTATGAAATTATTATTGAGTTTATAATTTTGTATCCATCTAAATGGAGCGGGAAATAAGAAATGATGAAAAATTAGACTCTGAAAGACCGAAATTATATCAATATAGATGGATCATTCTGCCTTTTTACATAACAGCCGTTTTTGTAAACAATATCCCTGGAGAAATTTATGTTTCCATTTCCAATGAGCTTATAGAGATTTATGACACTTCAGAAACTTTGGTAACTATGGCATCAACAAGTTATATGATTATGCATCCAATTTTATCAATACCTTGTTCTTAATGTAAGTATCCTTTATCTATAGATCAGTCATTGTAAATTATGGATGGGCAACATCCTCTAAAATTGGGGTAATTTTAACAATTCTTGGAAGTTTAGTAAAATTGTTCGTTAATTACACAGAGTATCATCATAATATTATATCATTATAGTTTTTATATGATTGTGATTGGTTAAATTTTAATTGGAGCTGGGAAACCATTCATACTTAATTGTTAAGCCACAATGGCATAAAATTGGTTTTATCCAGAATCTAGACCTATAATTATAACAATTATGAATGTATTAAATCTTATATCTAGTGTTTTTACATTTATGATACCAGGTAAGTTTATATTTGCTGGATATTAGTATAATGGATCAATAGAGTCAATAGAAAAAGGAATGGATCTTGTAAGTAAACTAAATAGAATATTACTATACCTTTCTATTGTATTGTTGCTATGTCTTTTTACTTTAAAGAATAATCCTCCAACACCTCCTTCAGAGTTAGTTAAATAAGAAGAAAAATCAAAGAATATAAAGAAAACCCTCATTAAAATATTTTCAAATAAGCAATTTCTATTTTGTTTTTAGGCTTATGCTCTTTTTATGGGATTGACAAAATCCTTAATGATTGTCTTATCATATCTTTTTAAAGCTTGTGGTTAGGGCAAGGAATAAGTATCTATTGCAGGTTCAATTGTGAATATTAGTGCTGTTGCATCATTAGCAGTGATAGCAGGTATATTAAAGAAATATACAAATAAAAGAAAACTAATAGCAATATTATTGATGATAATGTCAATTTCATCTTTGGTGTTATTTTATTTTTGTCTTATTAGTGAGAATAAAATTGCAATATATATATCTATAGGTATAGTAGGATTATTTATTATGCCAAATGTTCCATTATTAATGGATATGAGTTGTGATTCGATATTTCCTATAAATGCAAGTTTTGCAGTTGGAATAATGTATATAGGATCAAGAATATTTTTAGTATTATTTTCATAATTTTTGGCAATTGTAGTAGGTGGTTCTGATAGCAACAAAGGTAGAGTCACTCTTACATTTTCTATCGAAGTGATTGTTTTGTTGTGTTCAGTTACTATATTTAGCTTTACAAATATAAAACGTAAAACAGCAGTAATTGAAGAAGATTTATTAGATGATTAATCTAATTAAAAGAATTCTTTTTGTGAGAATGCTACTTAGACTCTAATAATGGAATCAACATAATAAACTCCTCAAGTCAATGTTTAAAAAAGATCTATATTAGAATTAAATAAGAAATCTTGATTAATAAGGAAATATATTTTAAAATAAAATTATCATGGTTTTTAGAGATAAGCAATGACAATTGATATGTCATCTACTACTTCATCTTCTTAATGCCATCTTTAAGTAGAGAGTTTTACAATATGATCGCATATCTCATCTATTCTTTTAGCTGTCATATTAGGTTGCCAATATTAGATAACAATTTTTGATATTTCTTCATTAGAAAAGAATTCCCATACACCATCACTTGCTACAACTAAGAATGAACAATTTGTATTCAATCTATAATGAATTATTTCAGGTTCACAACTAACTCCAACAGTTGATGCAACATAATCTCCAAATGATCTACTCATGGCCAATCCTGGAATTTAATCATGTAATAACCAAACTCTTGGTGGACCAATCTATTCTCCATTTTCACTAATAAAAGGTTCAACTCTTCCTTTAGATGATATTATTCTCTTGTATTCATTAGGTAGATCTGGTTTATGATCATTACTTAATTCAATTGTTTTCCATTTTTAATTATTCTATTACTATATTAAAATCTAAAAAAATAATTAAAATCTAAGTTTACTGATCTTGAATCTCCTATATTAGCACACCATAAATGAGGTCCTGAAACTAAAACCAATGAACATGTTGTTCCACTAAATGTTATATCAATTCCACTATTAGATAAATCTTTTTGCATTTTCAAAAAACTTTAAGTCATTGCTTTATTTATGTCAGTGTAATGATTTTCACCTATATCTTTCTCTTACATTCCTATATTTGATTTAATTTATTAATCTATTATATTTGGTAACAATTTTTTAACTAATTATGACACATAATGTCCATATACACCATGACCATCACAAACTGAAAATATGTGTCTATTTTTAATTCCACCTAAATTATTAGTAACTATTATGCTGTCTTAATTAGTTTTAGTTTATTTTTATCCATTTTATCCAGCTTAGGATCTTATTATTATATAAAAATACTTAGAATAAAATAAATTGACATAATCTTGCATTTCATTATCTACAATAAAAGTATTTACTAATGCTGCTTAACTGGTTGATCGACCATATAACATCACCATTTAATTAGAAACTTTTGGTTTTATGTCTTAATCTATTGTTTAAGATGCTAATTTGGCCCTTGATACTGAGGGTCTAGAATTAGGTGTGGAATCTGAGATCAATTTTATTATTGATCCTCTTATTAGTTACTAGATTGCTTAACTAATGATTTACAGAAGGGGTTCCATCTGTTTTTGTATCTTTTCTTTTTGAACTTTATATCTCTGATACAGTTTCATCTTTAATTTGTAGATTGTTATTTAATTAGGTGTCTGATCTTCTAAGATTTGGTAATTTCATTGGAGATAATGACTATCTAAAAATTCTAAATACTTCAACATTTGTTGCTCCACTTATTACTCTCTTCTTTGGGGATGAACTTGTCGACTATAATGGTCTTTATTATTGGGTCTATGAAAATCGTATTATTAGCTACAAATTAGAATTTGTCTTCCTGCTTTTGATTTACAGTCAATCGTTTCACATTAAATTTACCCTTTATTGGTGATTGCCCGTTTCTTTAATTAATTTTGAATTTTTACAATATGGGAGACATATTTAAAAGCAATGGTTTTTCAATTAGTTTTGGAGTCTGTTTTTTCTTTAACTATGGTGAACTTGAAGTGCTTTGAGTATTTTATTATTCATTGAATTTCAATGGAAATACTCTGACTGGATTCATTATATAAATTATATATAATTAGTTATGTAATTTTCACTATTTCTTTTGGTACCAAGTTGGATATAATTTTGGTACAATTTCAGGTTGAATAGAGAGTTCCTCTATAAATAATTACCACTTATTAAATACCTTTAGTAAAATCAAAAAAGTCTGGCAAAGTCTAATTTGGAATACCGAACCCTGTTTATCTTATATCATTAAAGAATGGATGCAATAAGGCTTCTAATGGTCTCAATCTTTCTTTGGGTGGATACACCATAAGTTTAGAAATTAAATCAATAAACTATTGTTCTGGTTTGAATTTGGCAAATACCTAAAGTATTTTAAATAAACATCAATTACCTTTTACCAAGGATGACATTTAATGAGTGGAAACTTAAAATCTTTATGTTAAGGATTCATCATTTTAACTTGTTCTTATGTTGGAGTTCCCAAAATTTTAATAATCTCAACTAACTGATCTGTTGCACTTTCTCCTGGAAAGAGAGGCTCTCCAATAAGCATCTCTGCAATTACACAACCAATGGACCATACATCTATTGCTGTACTGTATTCAGTAGCACCATAAATTAATTCAGGGGCTCTGTAATAACGAGAGCAAATATATGCAACATTAGGTTCACCTTTTTGAAGTTTCTTTGCAGATCCAAAATCACATATCTTAAGTACATGAGTTGCTGGATCAACTAATATATTTTATGGTTTTATATCTCTATGACAAATACCAATTCCTAATTTTTAAACTAGTGATGTTACCTTCCATATATGCTAAAGCTCTGAACATCTGATATCCATAAACTTTTAATAAGACATTGGGAAATTGCTATTTGGCTTTTCTGTAATATCTAACTACTTTGCTTAATGTATCAGGTATATAATCCATAACCAAATTCAAATAAACATCATCACCCTAATAATCAAATGCATATATACTTTATCTCCTTAAGTGAAAAAGGCTTCCTTTAACTTAATTACACATGGATGATTGAGTTCTTAAATGATCAAATGCTCTCTATTTTTATATCTCTTATCCTGAAATACTTTTTTGATGGCTACTTTTTCTCCTGTTACTGAATTTGTGGCCTAAAGTGATGATAAAAATGTTATACTAAATAAACCATTCCAAAAGTGCCATTTCCAACAATTTAGTTTAGAGTATATTTTTGGGCTTAATCAGATCTCTAAAATAAATATAGGATGACTAACCTATTGTTGTTGATTTTCATCATTTGCCAATGTTGCAACACGTGTACTTGGTTTTGTCGGCTGTTATTGAGGTTTCTTTAACATAATTATTTATATTATCACAAATTCAAATACTAAGAAACTAAAAAATTACAATCTTGAATGTCTTGTGTATTTGTTTTAGAACATAATAATTATTATTATTTTATAAATTATACTTCTCATGTCTAATAATGCAGTTAGTGATATGGAAATTTAGAAGCAAGCCCAGCAACAATAAAATAATATACTTGCCATCTTGAAGTCTGGTAACGCAACAGTTGTCAATGAAAAATTATAGAGATGTCGAGATTTCAAAGAGGGCAAAGATATTACAGTCCCTTTTTGTTATAAAGGTATAATAACTTGTAAATTATCCCTAGAAAACTCTCCCAAAGAAGAATTAGTTTTGGAGCATGTACAATAATTTTAAAAACAGTTTCAATTACATTATGATGAAAGAAGGAATCTATTTCTCTATCCAAAAAATGAATGCGATCTCTATAAATTTATATGTACAACCTTACGTCCATAAAAAATTGGTTATTTAGAACTCTATAATTATGAATAATGTGCAAGATATATGAGTTTTTTTATTGCTTATGAATAATTGGATCCTCCTGATTAATTTCCTAAAGTTATTCCAAGTCCAACTAATGTTGCTAGATGGTAAAAAGGAGATTGTTTTGATTTATCAATATTACTTTGTAGTGTTTTAATAGGAGTTGGTTATGATGCTTATTGTGTATATGGAACAGCTCCTAGATCAATAACTAGTAAAAATGAATCAGATCTTGATTATATATTTATCAATAATGGAATTAAAGTTGATGATGAAGATAAAGATAAAGACAATGATGAACTTAAAGATAATGAATTTGCAATTCTTCCAAAAGAAGAAATTGTGTCTAAATATGATACAAAAATATAAAAATAAAAAGAAGAATTTGAAAAAGAATAAAAAAGAATTGCACTTACTATTGATGATGATGAACCTGATTAAATGGGATAAGATTAATATGCTGGTAAAAGAATTCATTGTTGGATACTCTTAAAAGCAGGTAAAAGAGGAGTTGAAAGAAATCTCTTTATTGAACCTTCAACAGGAAGAATCTATTAAATTAATGAAAGTCCATTTTTAACTGTTGATGCAGTGTTCAATAATAAAAATTTTTGGATTAATATGAAACTTGAATCTAAAGTTGCTGATTTAAATTTTGATGAAATGGATACATCTATGAATTGGGAATACGTCATGTTAGATACTATGGTTGAATAGAGTTAGCAAGATGATGAGGATTACAATTATGGTGAAGATCATAATCAATAATAGAAGTAAGTAGATCCATAATAATAATAATTATAAGATATTGCATAAATCTTAGATATGCCACCTCCTTGGCCTCCAAAAATTTTCATAGATAAAGAGTCTTTTCTCAAAGGGACTCCTTTAGGAGAGTCTACAGCCTTTTATAAGAAATGTAAAATAGACTCTTATGCTCCATATTCATAAGAAAAAGATGGATTAGTTTAAAGATTTTCTATTTATCAAGATTATAAAAGATTGAAAATACATGAAATTAGATATTTTTACAAACATAGATCTGATAAATTAGTATTGAAAAGAAGATTTCCATATGAATTTAAAACTATTGAAGAGTATGAACCAGGAAATAAACCTTAAAGAAAGACTATTACTACAATAGACAGATAATTGAGAATCATCTTATATTATCCAACAAGGAATCATGATGGCTTGATAAAAAGAATTGAAAAAATTGGAGAAAAAACAATAGAAGAATATGAAAATAGGGATGATAGAGTTATATATAGATCTGTTAGATTTGATGCAAAAGATAAGAAATTTGAATAAAGAGATTTAATACATAATGATAGATATATGGGATAAGTCAAAATTACTAAAATGACTTAAAAATATGAATTAAGTGAATTATATCCTGCAAGTGAATAACCATAAAAAGTTGTTATTGATTTAGTAAAAAATGTAATAAGGTAATGATAATATTTTTGATTTTAGAGTCTATTATCATATGAATAAAGGAGAAATCAATCCATAAGTTAAAGAGTTAAAAAGGGAAAATATGCATGGATTAGGAAAATTAAATGAAACTGGAGTAGAAAAAAAAAATGAAGATGCTTTGGTTTCTTAAGAGAATTAAAGAATAGCAAATTTAGGTATATATAGTGTCATTTTTAGAAAAGGAATGCTTAACTCATATTAAAAATCAAGAAGATGAAGTAAAGAAAGATGAAGAATAGTTGAGATCTTAAGATCTAAGACTTGAGAAAACCCTTCATGATAAAGCAAGAGAAAGATATAAAGAAACATTAAAGAAATCTGAAGAAGAAAAATAAAGGGAATAAGCTGACAAAGATTATTTATATCCATATTTGGAAAAGAGAAGGTTATTAGGAAAGGAAGTACTTTCTTATAATGAGGCTTTGGATATATAAAAAGATGTTATGACTAAATTGAAGGAGCGGTTTTATTTTACCTTTTATTTTTTAGTTTACTATCTAGAGCAGCCATAATCTAAAAGAAATTAGAAGAAGAAAGAGCTAAATTAGATCAAGCTGAATAAATGTAATAGAAAAAGGCAGATCCAGATGATAATGAATATATCAATATACAATTTAGAATTGATATTTTGGAGTAAAGAGCTATTAGATTTGAATCATAAGCACTTCTTAAATATGAAGAAATGGATAGAAAACTTAAGGAAGATAAAAGACTTGCTGAATTAAAGAAGAAATGAAGAATTATATTGTCATTTTTATTAAGGGAAAATTAAATATAAGTACTATTTTTAATTAATTAATGGGAACACCTTATTCAACAATTTTCAAATAAATTATTATCAAAGTCAATACTTTATTTCTTATCATTTTTCTTAATTTGTTTTTAATTTTATACAACTTTAACTTTTAATTATTATTGATCATCAGAATTTTCATCAGAATCATATCCTGTTTTAATAACTTTATTGACTTTCTTTGTTTATTAATTTTATTTTTATTAAACTATTTATTACTATTATTTTTGTTATTATTATTATTATTATTATTATTACTTATTTTATTTAGTTTATTTCTATTTATCTATATCATTTTATTTTTGTTATACAACATTCTATACTTATTTATCTTATTTAAGTTTATCTAAAATTTATTATTGTGTATTAATAATTTGATCATCATTAGATTAAGCAATTTTAGGATGTTTTTTGGTTCCAAAATTATTTTCTTCTTCTAATTCTTATCTTTATTATTGTAGTACTTTTATTTATTAATTTTCTTATAGTTTTTATTATGTTGAAGATTAAATAGGATTTTGTTACTTTTCTTTTTTTATTGCTTCTTTTTAATTCTAAATAACTTCAGAGTTTGATGGATTTTCTTTTTACTCTTTGCTTTTTTCTCTGTTTTAATTAATGGCTTCTTTTGTCTCTTTTTTACTTTATGCCTCATTTAATTGTTAATTTTCTTTTACAATAGTTAATTCATGTTATTGTATTTCTTCTTAGATTTAATTCTTTTAATCTTTATTAGTTTAATCTTTATTAATTAAATTTTCCTTATTTTTAATTTCTTTATTTTCTTTTGTATTATCAATTTATAATTATTCTTGTACATTCTATGTTTATTACTTAGATTTCTCTTCTTCTTATTTATTTTTGTTTTATTATTTTTATTATTTTTTTGTCAATTATTCTTTATCTTTTTGTTATTATTATACCTATTTTTGATTTTAATTATTTTATGGTAATTTATTTCCTTGTTTATCATCTTGTTATTATGGTAAAGTTCTAGGTGGGGAAATGTCTGGTAAATTTTCTATTAATTTATTTTATTCCTTTTAGTGTTTATTCTTTCTTTTTGAACCTTCATTTTATTCAATTTTAACTTGTGATTTTTTTTTTGGTTCTATAATTTCACAAGTGATAAAGGTTTGATCATCAAGTACATGTCCAATTTACATTTGTTTAGGAATTACAACCAAATAGCCATTTTATTTTATATTTTTGACTTAGAATTATTATATTTCCTCATTATCAGGATCTTCTCTCTAAGTGTATACAAATGAATTTGCAATCTAAACTTCTAAATTCTAATTGATAATTTACTAAACTACCTGTTATGTACGATCTACTGTTGCAATGAATTGTTTATTTCCTGTATTAACAAAAAGACGAATAAATTATCTTTATGGAGCTTCAGGTGGTTTATTTAAAAATAATTCCATTAATTAAAATTAATAATTGTATTTTTATAATAATATATCTACAAACTCATCTTATGTTGAACTTTGCAAATAGAATTAGTTTTAAAAGGGTCATTAATAATGTTGGTGTTAATTTAAAGGCTTTTCATTTTAAATAAGATAGTCAGCTATAAAGATTAATTCTATATTTTTGTATTTGGCATTAAAAAGAATCTAAAAATATTAATATTATTATGTGTCCGTTTCTGTATCTAATTCATTTGATATTTGAATAATTTTTTATGATACTAAGGATTATAATGTCTTTTTCGTAATCAATTAATTTTTCATCAAAATCAATCACTAGAGTTTTTTAGATAATAAGATGAAAAGTGAGGTTTCTTGTAGGAATAAAAACCTTTGTGTTTATTGATTTTGGAAATAAAATTAAAATAATCAAAAAAATTTACAATAGTCTTTTTACAATCGAAATCCAATTTTAATCGCATTTAATATCAAGTTGTAATTGGAATTATTCCTCTCTTAAAAAATTAAAAATAATAAAATAATAGTATTTTTCTTCTTTAAAGATTAGTCGATAATTATTATCTATTGCTTTATTTTGATTCGATTTATTATTCTTATTTAAACTTTCATTTTATTTGTTTTTTATTTAATCTAATTAATGTACATCATAGAGTATTTTGTTTATAAGTCATCTTCAATTAAGCAGTCAAAGTTAAGCAGTTAAAGTTTAAATTTTAATTGTCAATCTATTTTATGATGTAAGGCTGGTATATAATTTTCAACTAAATTTTCTGTGGTCTATTACTATTTTTGATTTTAGATGGTTAAATAAAATTTTTGTATTTATAATGTTTACAGTGTATATTTTTGTTGGGCTAAAGTTGTTGTACTCTAATCATTTCTTGAGTATTTAATTTTCTTATCAATTCAATTTGGAATATAATAAAAAAAGATTGCTGTGTTTTGTTAATGATCATATTTTCAACAAATGGGCTACAATAGACTTTTTAAGAACACGCCTCTTATTTTAGCTATTATAGTTAGATCAAACTTAAGTTAGTGGTAAAACTTGGAATAATTAAGATAATATTAATGTATTTTTAAGACATTTTTGATGTACTAAATATAGTGCAGATCTGAAGTTGATTGAGATTAAAATTTAGAACAAGGTAACAATAACCAATAGTAACAACTTAAATCTTAACCCAAAAGTATATGTATTTAATTTCATAATTTTTTTATTTTATTATGTCTAATCGATTTAACTCTCTCATTAGTTTTATTGATAAACTTGGCTTTTTCAAGGACTCCTTGGCCACTCTTTCTTTTTTATTCCATTTATGTCTCAAGCTTCTCCTTTGTTGTATATTGCTTCCAATCTAATTTAGATTTAGTCACAGAATTGATAGTCTTTGCTTTGTTGGTCAATTTCTTTATAACTTCTCTATAATATCGGAAACTATCCCTTAACTCTTTCATTGTCATAGCTAATTATAGATTATTGAATACAATTTCCTATTGTTTATTTGATTTACTTATTTTATACAGGTTCTATGTTTTCTTCCTATATTTCCCCTTTATCATTAATTAAAAATGATTTTCCGGCAAACTTGACTCGTTTGACTTAAACACGATTCTGTTCTTTCAATATAATTATTCATTACCATCAAGTACTTCCCTTACAATTTATTAGGCAGTCTTGGTACAAATCTTAGGTTAGTACAAATCAATTTTTTTCATCTCTTAATAGATTTCATCGATGTTTAATATTTTAGGATGATTTAAGTTTTTACTAACTTCAGAATCTTCCTATTCATCTGGCACATATTCCACATCATCTTCACTTTCAACATCGATCCCGTAAAGTTTAATATTTTTGGACATATAAAAATTATACTCTTGTGATAATTATTGAAAAGAATTTTATATTTATATTAAGAATAACTTGGTAGTGCTAATCAAAAAAAATAGATTTTCTATTAAAATTCATTGTTTGTTATATGATTGAGAAGAAAATAAAAACTAAATATATATATATTAATTAATATGATAACATTATTATTGATTTTTGGAGTTTAAGGTCAATATTTACCTACAAGTACTGGATGTTTGGGAACAGATTATTTATACAAATTTGAAGATTTATCATTCTGTTTTACTTGTTAAAAAGGATGTAAAAGCTGTTGTGATCCATAATTATGCAATGAATGTGAAGACAGATACAGATTTAATTCAACTACATCTACTTGTATTAGATGTCCAGTATTTAAATATTTCATATTTAGGTAAACTGTGAAGTATGTGAACCAGATGGTTTATTTTCTAAATGTTCAAAATGTGAAACAGGATATATAAAATAAGATGATGGTAGCTGTAAGAAATGTGGAGATGATTGTGTCTCTTGTTCATTGGCAGATTATTGTTCATAATGTGCAGATGCTTTCTATGTAGAAAAAGGAAGTAATAAAGAATAATTATGAATTTCTATAGTTTGTAAAGATTGTCCATATGGATGTAAAAGTTGTACTTAAGTTGAAGAATAATTATTTGTGTGTGATACTTGCATTGATAGATATTATTTAGTAGGAGAATAATGTACAAAATGTCCAACTGGATGTCTAAAATGTGATGACGATTTCACTTGCACTAGTTGTGAAGATGCTTATGTATTGAAAGAAACTAAACTTTGTGAATTTTGTACTCCAAATTGTAAAAAATGTTCAGAAAATACATGTACTGAATGTTAAATAGGTTATGTTTTAACAGCAGATAATTAATGTCTAGGTTGTCCAGATATTAATTGTGAAAGTTGTTAATAGGATGATAGAACTAAATGTACTAAATGTGCATCTAAATTTTATTTACTTAATTCAACTTGTATTGCTTGTGATGTCAATTGTAAATAATGTGATACTCCAGGACATTGTGTTGAATGTAAACCAGGATATTTTATTAAAAATGGAGTTTGTACTGCTAATTCTATTAAATATTGTTAAGTACAAAATGAAACTGCATGTCTTACTTGTGAAAGTGGATATTATATTAAAAATGGTGCATGTAATCCATGTGGTGATAATTGTTTGTAATGTTCAGGACCTTCATCATGCAATTAATGTGCAACTGCTTATTTCTTTAATGGTTTTTAATGTTAAGGATGTGGTACTGGTTGTGAAAGATGTGTTGATTCAAATATTTGTCTTAAATGTACTTATGGGTATATAATATTATATAAGATAGTTTTTATATTTCTAAAGGAGTTTGTGAAAGATGTATAGATGGAGTTTGTTAATGTTCAATTAAAGAAAATATGATATAGAATTAGAGCAATTAAATCATAGTTTTGATGTTATTATTATTATTGATATTATCATGAATTTATTTATAATTCAAATCATAAAATTGTTCTATTTAAAACTTAATCATTTTTTCAAAGGTTTTACATCTTATATTTGATTTATGAATTAAATAATTATAATTAAATTATCTATTTAAAATATTTATTAGAGATGCTTCTTCAATTTTGAAAAAAGAATCAATTTGTCATTTATCTCATTCAAATATCATATAATTATCTTTGATATAATTCTATGTTGTAAAATTGAATATGATTTATCTACAACTATAGGTTATGCGGTAATTTATTTATCAAATAAATTTTATTATAATTAAAATCTTAATAATTACAGATGGCTGATGCAGCTTAAATCTATGGTCAAAAAAAGTATTTATATAGACAGGATGGATTATTTATTCGATTCAATGATAATGATAAAGAATTGATTATAAGATCTTTAAATGGATCAATTGATGTATAATTGAGGTAAAAGTTTTAAGATTTCAACCCATAATAATCAGATTGTTTAGAATTTAATGCAATTTATGGAATTGTAACATTGAAATAGTTGAATTATTTAGTTGTTGTTGTAAAAGCTGCTTTCATTAGTTCAATAATGAATTTACCAATATTTTAAGCTGAGAAGTTCTAATTTATTCCTATCGAAGATAAAAAGTAATATGAAATTAATAAAATCAAGAATAAGTTCTAGAGATGCCTAATACATTGCAGGTCTTCAGGAGATATTTAACACGAAAACCTTTTATTATTCTGAATAATATGATCTAACAAACTCGTTGTAGAGATATGTAGAAAATAAAGGAATTCGTAAGCCATTATCTTAGTATTGGATGAATAGTGAAAATTGCAAACCTTTTCGTTTATGTAATCCAGAATAATGGATACCAATTTTTATTTCAGGTCTTATTGCTATTAGATATTTCAAATTAAATGATATAGATTGTTAAATATGTTTAATTAGTAGAAGAGATAAAAGAAGAATGGGTAGAAGATTCATTAGTAGAGGAGCTGATTTAGATGGGAATTGTAGTAATTTTGCAGAGACAGAATAAATATTTAGATATTAATCAAACTATTTTTCATTTTTATAATCTAGAGGTTCCATGCCTTTTAAATGGATATAGAAGCCAGATTTAAAATGGGCACCAAAAGCTAAGATTTTAGGAGATATTACTACTAATACTGAAATAGCATAAAAACATTTTTCTGATTAATTTTAATTAGGTATTCAAAGATATATTCTTGTTAATTTAATTGATAAAAAAGGAACATAAAATGTATTAGGGAATTATTATAATGATGTGATTAATAGATTAAAAAATGACAATTTAAAATATATATGGTTTGATTTTCATCATGAATGTAGAGGAATGAAATATTAGAATTTATCAAAATTAATAAATATGATGGCTTCAGATTTAAAACTTGAAGATTAATGTAGTTTTGATCTTAAATCAGGAACTTCATAATTAAATATAATCAATGTGATGACTACTTAGAAATCCATTATAAGAACAAATTGTGTTGATTGTTTGGATAGAACTAATGTAGTTCAATCTGTAATTGCTAGACATTAACTTTGGAATACTTTATAAAAATTAGGAATACGAAGAAACACTGTAAATTATTCAATAATATTTAATAGAACTAAGCAATGGAACCATTTCCTGATAAATTAGAATAGATATTTAGAGACATTTGGACATTGAATGCAGATACTATTTCATTATTATATACTGGAACAGGAGCTTTGAAAACAGATTCAACAAAAAAAGGAAAAAGAACAGTTTTAGGTGCAATAGAAGATGGTAGAAGATCTATAATTAGATATTTCATTGGAAATTTTCATGATGGAGGATATTAAAATAATATAGATCTTTTAACAAATAAGATAGATTTGAAGAGACATGAATATAATAACAAATTTTTTACAGGATGGCATTGTTTGTTATTGATTGTAATTATATATATATATATAAAACATAGTTTGCCTCTGTTCATTTAGGATTATGGAAACTTAGTGGATTTGCATTATAACATCCAAAGGTGAATTAAATATTAGGAATTTAAAAAAAACAAGAAAATAATGATTAACTTAAGATAACAATTGCTCATTTTGCTTTAGTAGCTACAGGAATGTTTATTATCAGAACACTTATATTAAGTAAATATAAACTGTTTGTCAGAGAAGCCAAGATAAACCATTGATTGATTAGGCATGAAAATTTATAAAATTGATTAAATTTAAGTCATTATTTATTACTATAATGAGATTATCTCTTTAATTAATCTCTATATAATTAAAGTTCTTATTCCTTGTGATTTAATAATTAATTTAATCTATTGCATTCATTTTAAAATATAGAAACTTTGCTTTCTAAATCCTTTAAATTTTAATTTGTAAATTATGATTAACTTTATCTTCTTAAAATTTCTATTTCTTTATTTCTATCATCAATGATTTTTCTAAGACTAAAAAAGATGAATTTTAATAATTACTTAGTAATTTCTTAGTTTTAATATTCAGTCTCTTAAACTATTTTTTCCAATCTATTTAATTTTTATTAAACAGTATCTAAATCATCTTATTTTAATTTCAAATTAAGCTCTGCTTTCTTTAAGTCTGATTATAAATTGACTACAAAATTAATCTTCAATATTACAAATATTTTAATCTTTTGTTCTTGATTTTGCTAAAAATTCTTAGGCTTCAAACCTCTAAGATTCAAGAGATTAACATCTTATTTACCATTAATCTAATTATTCTCTAAGTCTATTCATTTCGATTTATACAATATTTTCATTATCTTATACAGCTCTCTTCATTCTTTCAATTTCCATTTCAACATTAGATCTTGTTTTCAATTAATCTTCTAAACTTGAATATCTATGTCTCCATTAATCAATTTCTGAATTCAAATCTAAAATTGTCTTATTGAGTCTATCCACTTCTTACATTAATTAATTAACTCTTCCTGTATCTTCAAAATAACTAATCTTTTCAGATGCAATATTTTATGATTTTAATTTAAAATTTTCTTATTGCAAATCGTATATTTATTTTTCTAAGAATGTACATTTATCTATGATCAATATTGAATTATACTTCTCCATGGCTCTTCAATATCAGTACGAGGTACAACCTTAACTGGTTTATCCAAATGTTGAATTTCTTAGTATATAGGCTAAGGTTATATTATATTTTATATAATTTCAGCTCCTTGACTTGGTTACTAAAATTGCTATTATTTATTTAATGCTTAAATTTCAGGTGATATTTAGAACTATTATACTTAATTTGATGTATACTTCTTATGCATAAGCTCTTGCAGATGCAGACCCAAATTAAATTGGTAATCCTGGCCCTGATTCTATACTCAAAGGTTTCTATGTATTAATATCTATATTCATTGATTAGGGATATCTTATTTGATCATATGTAGATCTACTATTAATACCATAAGCTGGATTTCTATAGGAAGCCATAGTTACGAAAAAATAAAATTTATTATAATGTAATAAATTTTTCAAACATATTTTTAAACAGTTTCTTATTTGTTATACTATTTCTTTAATTTTGCAAGTTTTATAGACTTTAAATATTATATATAAATTATGGACACTATTAAATAAAAATGGAAAAACTATACACTATAAAAAAGACTGAAAGATCTTTGGGAAGATTATAAGAAGGTTTCAAATTTATCAGAGGATCCATAAACTCTTAAAAAGTAATCTGTATTTTTACTAAAAAGATTCTAACAATTTCTTGAATAAGCAAATATAACAATTAAGAATTTTTTAAAAAGCAATGATTAGCAATTAGAAGTCATTCTAGGTGATGCTAATTAAGTCTTGGTTGTAATATTGGATTATTTGAATAAATTTCCGGAAATCTAAAAAAGGTTATAATTATATTAAACTTATCTTTAGAAATGCAGACTAAGGGCAATTGGTTTAAGATATAATGGAATAATGTATTCAATTGGCAGAATAAATTTTAAGAGAACCAAAGTATCGTAAAAGTGTTGAAAATTCTCATAATGTCTTGTCTGATTTTCTAAATTTAATTGAAAAAGCATAGAAGACTGAATCAAAAGTTCTTATCATAAAGTTGATTGTATTTGCTTTTTTCTAACAAAGGTTTTATTTTCAGAGAATCTCAATTAAAGGATTGAATTTTTTGAATAATAAGGATTCCACAAATTGCTTTCAATATTGATGAATAAGGATCCACAACTTAATCGAGTAATATCGAAAGCACTCTTGCATTTTTTACTTATAGAAGATATAAATTAAGTAGTTATATGCAATGTAGAAGATGGATAAGAATAAACAATAAAATAAAAGTTTAGTAAAATAGCTGTGTCATTGAGGTCTTTTGCATTTCAAGGTATTAAATCATTATTAATATTATTTCAGAATTGTCAAAAGTGTTCCTTCCAACATAAAATAATAAATAATTAAGTATCAAGTAGTTTTGTGTTGAAAAGAAAGAAATTCTAACTTTATCATAAGCTATTGAATAATAGATAAGTTTACAATCAATTTTTGAAATTGATTTAAGTTTTTACATGAATTCCTAATCAATAACTAGATCTACATCAGATTAGGATCAGAATAAAAATGAAATTTATGAAAAAATTATAAGCATAAGTAATACTCCTCCAGATAAACTGGCCTTATCTTAAACATAATCTGAAAGATCTTAATCTGAAGATATACTTAAAGAATTTCAAGTACTTTAAGGAGGATTCAAAGCCATTTTAGAAACACTTGAAAAAGCTACATCTGAAGTTTAAGTTGACTTGCTATAAACTATATAAGAAATCCTTCAAAATAATGCTAGAAATAAAATAGAGTTCAAAAGAGTTAATGGTTATCAATTATTAAGCGATTTTATTACTAATAAAGATTAATAGGATGAATAATTTTAATAATAATTCTACAATTTTTTAAAATAAATATCAACTACAGAAACTGAGATTGATGATTTAGATGCATTCACTTTAATGCTTGAATTATTGCCTATATAATAGGATAAACTATTAAATATTATTGTAGAAGTATTAAATTAAAATTGGAAAAATGTTATTATTGCTAAAAGATTAAAGTTATACTATTATTTAGCTATTATTTAAATGAGATAATATTTATCATCAGATTAAATTACTGAGAAATTCTGTAATATTGATAATGAATACATATTTACAAATTTTAAAAATATTTTAGTTAAAGTTAAATTTTAATAATCAGATGAAATATGTTAATAATTATATTAACTATATGAATAACTAAATTAGTTAGAAGGTTTTTATAGTCTTGAATTTGAAGCAATTTAAAGTTAATTAGCTATATTATTTCTTGATGAAATTGATATTTTTAAATAAATTGTTGGTTTTACATTCAAAATGATAGAATTGAAATTGAGTAAGAAATGTAGATACATGAATTCATTTGATCATTAAAGTGAATTAGCATTTAAAAATTTTAGTATCATATTTGAATAAATTTATCATACATTCTTAAAAGCTAAAAAAAATAATATGTAAGATGCAAAGGATTAATCTAATTATGTATTTTTTATATAAATAGTTGAAATTATTAATTAATTTTTAGTATGTGATCACAATATATAAAAACAAGAAGTAGATATATTTAAAAATATGGTTAGTTAAAATAGATGTGAATAATTTATGAATTTAATCAAACCAAATCTTAAATTAATTTAAAGTAAATAAATACTAGAATTATTTGATTTTGAATATAACGAAAAAAGTAATTTAGCAATTGCTCATTTATAATTTCGATTAAATTAAGTTTTGTTTAATTCACTTGCAGGAATTATGAGACATAATGATTTTAAAATAGAACCTTAAATGGTTATATATTTAGTCTATTCTCAATATGAAATGTGGAATGCTTTAGAATAATAACCTTAAAATCCAATCACCCCATTATTAGAATTTTTAATGGATATTTCGAAACTAAGTTCGTAATACTTATAATGTATTTCCCACTTTTTTTTCAAAATCAAATTATGTGATGAAAATACTATTGTAATTGAAAATCTTATATCATTTTTAAAGTAATTTGACTTCAAAAACTAAGATTTAATTGTTAATATGCTTATTTCAATATGTAAAAATTTGCCATATTATTATGATATGGTAAACTTATATCCTGTATTAATATAATATATAGAAACTTATTTAAACAAAGTAGATTTAGAATTATGGTTTGATTTTTTATTTTCAGGTGAAACTATTAAAAAATTAAATGAACAAAATTATGGAGCTACAATGAGTGATATCTTGAGTTTGCTTTCAATTCATAGTATGTTTTAAGAAAAAGTATTTGATAAAATGATCAATGGAGAATATTTAACAAACTCATTTGCTACTCTTTAATATGAAACAACAAAGGAATAAAGTATTAAATTATCAAATATATTATATTTATTGAATGCAAAAAGCAATAAAATTAAGGTAATTAATATAATAATAATCTTAGAATCCTATTTATAGTAATAAATAAAAATTCTTTTAATTGATATAAAAACTTATAAATGGAGAAGAGTTTTCAAATTAATTATGTAACACAGTATTCAAACTTGTATTTTGGAATTTTGATAGTTATCATCTACTTTACACAGAGAATAGCAGTAATGTTTCATCAGTTATGGGAAGAAGTGAATTTGCTGAAATAATATAAAAAACTTAGAAATAATATTTAGAAAATAAATAACCTATTTAACATATAACAAATTTAGAATCATTGGAGCTTTTCTTTTTAATGTTAGGTAAAAATAAATCTTAAAGTTATATAATTGAAATATTAAAGATCTTTGAATCCCTTTTAGATAATTAAAATTTAGCTACTTTATTAGATTCAAATATAATATAAAGTTTATGTATGTTATTATAAAACTCAGATAAAAGAATTGTATAGCAAATATATACAATAATAAGAACAATTATTTAATATGATCTAAGTAAATCGACTAAATTGAGAATAATTGATATTTTAAAAAGACATGATGATGCATCTCATATTTTGATAGACTATTTAAAAGATTTATTATAGAATCCAGTAATTAAAAATGATCATGTGATCTTCTTAAGAAATTTTGATATTTTAGTAAAGAATTTTGAAGAATTAGTTGGTTTTAATGAAGAAATAGATATTTTATTATTTCAAATAATAAATTTGATGGCATCTAAAAATTCTCCAGAAATACGATCAGTATTAAAATAATTGAATCTTTTTGAGTTTAGAGATAATTTGGCATTGCAAATAATAAAATATAAAATGGAACCTTAATAGTTGATGGATATTTTATCAGGAATACCATTTGCATAATTATGTAACAGTAGAAATTTTAAAGAATCTAATTGTATGGCTTATTTATTGTAAAGATTGATTTAACATAAAGATCATTTTGGTTTACCACTTTTAATAATTAAGATTTTAAAATATGATATATCATCAATAGAAGATAATAGAAAATATGTAAGTAAGCTTTTGTAGAATGATTAATTGATTAATTTCTTTTATCCATCTATGTTAAGGAAATCAAGTAAAAGTTTAAAATGCTTTGATTAAGAGGATCAAAAAAATTAAAGATCTAATTCACCAGAAACTGATGCAGCATTTTCTCAAAATATGACTGTAGATCAATTTCTCACTTTATTTTTTAGTGATAAATTATAGGATGAACGATAATAAATTAAATTAACATTAGAAAGAGCTCTTATTCCTGTTGAAAGTGAATACAAGAGATAAATAATGAAATATAATATGAAAAAACAAAATAGATTAGCTAAATTATCAGAATAGGAATAAAGTGATAATTTAAGAGTAAGAAATAGTACATATTTAGATTTAAACTTCAAATAATGATTGGGAATTTAAGATACAATCTCGTTTAAAAAAGAGTAATGAAAGATCAAAAATGAGAAGTTAAAAATAATAGGAACAATTTGAATAAGTATTGGCTGATGGAGAGAACTAATGGTTTAAATTGTGCTTAGGATAATGAAATTTATATATATTATATTAAAGTATGTTTGTATAAGACATGCAATTTATACGATCAAGTGAATAAAACTTTGTCATAAACACTTAATCCTTTCAAACAGTTGTATTTTAGTATGATAGATTAATTCAAATGCAATTACCAGAGAAATAGCTTTATGATAGTTTAAAAAATAGGGCTCTGAAATTAGGGCAGACAATAATGATAAGTGGTAATCCTTTTAAGGTTTTTTTATTGGATCCACTACATGGTCATGTAGGTGATACAACATCAATACTTTGTTATCCAGGAGATTTGAGCAATAATAGAACTTTATAACAAGTTTAATTTCTGAATCTCTCTCAGGAAAAGAAAGAACATATTACTAGACTTCCTATTAACTAACATATAAGTCAAGATTAATAAATAATTATTGATGGACTTCTTATGTAAGTTATTCGATGTTAACCTGAAGATGGAATATTTCGATAGTAAACTGTAATTTATTATGTTAATAAAATAGGAATGTAGAATTGTTAACACTGGAAAACCTATGTTATAAGAAATATAGATTATAATTCAAAACTAATAAGAATCAAATAAATAAGAATTACTGAAAAATTACATTTAGCCTTATTTTATGATTCCTAGGTATGTTAGAGAAGGATCTAGATTAAAGATTAAGGAAGTAGATTTTATTATTAAATCATGTAAACCAAAGAAAGGATTTATTGATAGTAGAACTATAATCCAATTATTTGATAGTGAATAATTTACATTTAAATCAATGAATGATGAAGATGAAGAAACTGGAGGTTTATAAGTTTAAATAAATACTCTTAAAATTCTATAAGATAAAACAGCATCTAGAAATTAATTTGTTTAAAAAAGAAAAAAATTATATAGTATGATGGAAAACTATTGTTAATATGATGAAAAAGAAAATTAGATTGTTTTATCTTCAAGAGACTTAAGTAGTAGAAGTTAATCAATTAATGATTTTCCAATCTTTCCAAATACATTTCTTTCATAATTACATAAAGAAATTGATGAAGTTTCTCATGATCTAGAAAGTGATCTTATGGATAGTGATGAAACCTATTAAGGTATAGGACTTCATGAATAAAATCAAAAATTATCATAGATGACTTTACCTGTTTTCTTTAAAAATATACTTATCTCCAATAAACATGGAGCTAATAGATAATCAAGATTATAATAACCTGAATAGCCATATTCAGATGATTCATCTTTAGATAGATCTATAGATTCTGATAATAATGCTTAATAATAATAAAGTGAAACTTCTCTTCTCATTCATGAAGATTAACCTCATTTGATAGCTCTTCCTCGATATTTTGATGAAATCGTATTAGTATTAATTAATATTTATCATTAAGTTTAATTCACAAAGATGGTTACCAATTATTCATGATGGAGTTTCATAAAACATTATAAATAAATTTCCAGAAAGGAAAATTGATCTTTAATGGATTTAAAATAAAGGAAAAAATGAGAATGCTGATTTTTGTAAATGTATGATTTGTTTAATGGATTACACTGACGAAGAAATTGTGAGAACATTACCTTGTCGTAAATATCTAAATTAATTCATTTTTAGTTCACTATTTTCATTGTGAATGTATAGATTTCTGGTTAGCTAAAAGTCGTAAATGCCCAATTTGTAAAACTGGATGTGATTAACATCTAAACTATTGATTTATTTAAATTATTAACGAAATGATTAAAACTGCATATAAAAAGCAGCCACTCATTCCTAAATTGTCTAATTTAACATCTGCTATTGAAATTTAGCATCCATTATCTTGTCGATAATAAAAATAGACATATGTCTCATTTATTTAACCATCAATCAAAACTACAAGACATAAAGAAAATAGTTATAAATATACTAAAACTCCAACAAAATCAGATCATACTAACTTAAATGTTAGTAAACATAGTAGATCACCTAATAGTTCTTAAATCTAATCTAGTTAAGCAATCTTAAATGTTATAAATCAAAATATCAGATTAAGATAATAACAATAATCATATTAATATTAAAACTATAAATCAAACAATGTTACTCCATAAAAGTAAATTTAACAAGAAGAATAGAATAAAATTGATAAAATATAAACTTAAGAGTTGTACTAATAAATAATTAAATAAAAATAACAAAGTATTCGAAATATTTAACAAACTATTTGTTGCATAAATCATACAGAGAAAAAAGCAAAATATTTTAAAACAAATGAAAAACTAGAAAGATAATATTTCTGTTCTATCTGTGCTATTTAAGAAGCATATGAAGGATTCATTTATGAAATGAAAACTAATTAATTAATACCTAAAAAATAAAATTTAAGAAATTGGACTTTGAAATATGATGAACCAATAACTACAGAATAAAACAGAAAATTATAATAATTAAATGAGTTCTTAGAATTAGCAAAATAGTTATATGATTCTGCAAAAACAAAAAAGGAAATATCATTAAAGTACAGCATCTAAGAAATTCTTGAAGAAATTGAAAGTATTAGTTAAGATATAATGAACAATGCTTAAAATATCATCCAAAATGTAGAATCAAAGTCTTTCTAGATGATATTGTAAAATTATGTAAATAGGTTGCAACAATTTGATATAATCATTAACAAACAAAACTGTGTAAACAAATTACCTTTAAAAAAGTAAGTTTTAATTAGTTTTCAAAATAAAGATAGTTTTGTTAATCCTGATTAAATGGAATCAACAGATTCACTAATGTTAAGAGAATCAGAAACATAACACTTTTTTGATGATTGTAATGATGTTACTTTATATTCACCTAATTTCTGAAATTATATAATATGTGTAATTCATTTTTATTGCTAAATATATAAAAATCTATCTAATTTAGGTGTTCCATAATAGCTAGCCTAAAATGTACTCAAAATAAAGCCATAGATGATTGATTTTTTGAAAATAGTTGATGGTCTTAGTTAAATAACTTTACTCCAAAAATATAACCAAATAAAGGATGTAGATATAAATAAACACTTATAATTGTTTTGGAGCATTTGATTTCTTTATGTCTTATCATTTGTTGTCATTAGAAATCTATTTCATAAGTTATGAATTAAACCTGTAATAAAAATAATAATCATGCATAAAATCCATTATTTATTTAATAAATTAAACAAAAATTCGAAGATTGCCAAATTAAATAAAGAAGAATATTTAATACTTTGAGATCTATATATTTTGTCTAGAGAAAATATAATTATATTTAAATAAATAATAATATGGCAGAAAGAGGACATGCTTTAAAATAAGACATAAGTAAATTGGCTTGGGAGGAAACAGATTTTCCAATTGTCTGCAATATTTGTTTAGGTGAGAACCCATATATTAGAATGGTAATTAAAAAATCATATAAACATATAAAAGCTTAAAGATAGATTTGGAAGAGAGTGCAGAATTTGTGCAAGACCATTTACTACTTTTAAATGGAAACCTGGACATAATTCAAGATAAAAATAGACTGAAATATGTTAAACATGTGGAAAAATAAAAAACATTTGTTAGGCTTGTTTTAAAGATTTAGAATTAAATATGGGATTATGCACAAGAGATAAATTTTTAGGTGATGAAAAGATTGAAATTCCTGAACACACAGCAAATAGAGATTACTGGGCTGAATAAGCTAATAGATAAATTGAGAGATTAATTTTACCATATGATAAACCTTTACCAATGTTAGATTAAATTTTGAAAGAACCAAGATTAGCAGAAGTGAATTAATAATTGAATGATGGAAAACTAGAACCTGCTAATCAAGTTATTAGTGAACCTTTATAAAATCCTTTAGATGTTGATTTACTTTACAAAGAAAAATTTGAACCAAAAGGACTTATAGCACCTGATGATCCTAAAATTTGTAGTCTCTATATTTCACATATGAGTGCAGAAATAAAAGAATCAGATCTTAAGTAATTTTTGATTAATAAATTAATAGACATTTATTTACAAAGTATGGAAAAGTAAATTCAATAAAAATAATGGAACATGGTTAAAGTTGCTTTATTCAATTTGCTAAAAGAAAAGATGCTGAAAATGCAGTTAATAGTCTTTATAATAATATTATTATTAAAGATGTTATATGTAAAATATAATGGGCAAGAGCTCCTTATAAAAAAATGCCTATTAAAAGTATGAGATATATCTCTTACTTGTTAGATCTTATTCAATAGTTGTTACCTGATGTAAATAAAAACGCCAGTGCACCATAAATGCCACCTAAAAATATTGAAAATAAACAATAATCTGAAGATAAGTATTGATACTCCTCTTCAATTAGTATTTTGATTGGTTTATTGGATTCCTAAATGAGTTATCCTAATTAAAATCCATATTAGAAAGGAGGAGTAAATATTAAAGATTTATGATTATTATATATGAACATGTAATTTGAGTAACAAAGAGTAGCTTCTGTTGTAAAAAGGAATTTACAAAAGTTTAAAATACTAGTAGGCAATAAAGAAAAGAAATTTAATGATCTCTTAACTCCATTCACAAAACTTGATACCTTTATAAATGCTAAATCTATACTTAAATAAATAGTAAAGCCATCTAATAAAATATTGGATCCCTTAACAACTTATGAAATTCAAAGGTAATAATAACACAGGAGTACATTTGTTAATGGAGATTGTAACTCAGATAATTTTTATGAAGATGTTGATTAATTGATCAATCACTTAGAAAAAGAATAATTAGAAATGATAACAGTTGGAACCAAAAAAATAAGTAAAAGTGAAATCCTTGAATTCAAATCAAAACATCCTAATTATGAATTAGTCAGTAAACAATTTGCTGAGAAATCTAAGAAAATGATTGCAAATTTAAATAGGTAATCCACCAAAATATTTAATAAGAAATATTCATTGATCCATATTTCCCCTAGATAATCAATTAGTCATCACAATATTGCTTTAGTTTCTGAAAGAGATTCATCACAATCCAAATATTCTCATTCTAAACAACTTTAAGGGTTAGAATTAAGACCTTAAAAATCTCAATTTAAAATAAAAACTGAACCAAAATCTCAAAGAAACTATAACTAATAAATTTAATAACTAATTAATAATATAGAAGGAGTACATAAATAGATGATAGGTGAAACAGGCTAATTATAAAAAAAAACTAGTAGGTTTATTTTAAACTAATCTAAAAGTAATTCTAAAATTCCTTAATTTGATTATCTTGCCTCAGATACAAATTTTGCATTTACAAAAATAAAAAGAAGAAAAGTTTGATTAATAATTAAATAATATATTTAAAATAATTAAGTTAACTCTTAAAAGTTGTATTAATATTGTTTAATCATTATTCCCATTATTACAATGACAATTAATAAAAATAAATTAATTTAAGTTTTAGAATTCAGATATTTGAACTAAAACTATAACAAATAATATAGAAAAATTAAAAAGAATAATATTTAAATATTACTTTTCTCTTATTTCTCTATAAAACTTTAAAGATATTTCTTTAATATAACCATAATATTTTAGATATATAAAAGGATTTGTTAAAAATATAAATTAAATTATTAGGCAATATCATAATATTATCATTCTCATTCAATTTCAAACTACTTTTATAAGATACCATAATTAGCTTTATTTTATTCATATTAAATATCTCCATCTTATACCTTTTCTTTTTTAAAGTTCTTCTTTTAGCTATCAAATCTAAAAACTCTTAATTAGACTCTAAAATTTATAATTAATTATATTTTTACCCTAATTTCTTTCCCATAAATTCTTTTCCATTCATAAATGTCTAAAATTTTTAGGCATCCTCTACTTTTTTAAATAAGACAAATGCATATCCTTTATTAAAATCCTAATTTTAATCTTTTGGAATTTGTATTTTTTCTATTTCTCCAAAATCTATTAATAAATCTAGAAGATCTTCATTCTTCATTTATCTAGGTAACCCTGTTATATAAGCTTATTTGTCGCTTCTTTTAATATCTAATTTATTTTTTTCTTATTTCAAACTAAATGGTTTAACAACGATTTATTATAAAACATCCTTAGTATCAATATAATTTTCATGATGTTCTTTTATAAATTTTTAAGCAATTGGTTCTGATTCCATTTCAATAATCGCTTTACCAGTAGGATTGTCAAATGAGTCTTTGATGAGCTAAACTATTATTTTTTTGTATATCTACTTCTTTTTATTAATTTATCTTGAGGATCAAAATATTCTTTTACTTATTTTTCAGTCCAATCTTTAGGGAGAAAATAGGCAAATGCTACATTTTTTTATGCATTGTCTATTGATTTTGTAAGTTGATTAGCAAAAACTTTTAATTTGGAAAAGTTTTAAAAGCATTTACACAATTAAAACATTAAAAAATTATTAATATGTATTTTTGAAAACAGTAGCATATTAAAATTTTTAATAAGGAATCAGTGAATAAATGTTAATAATAAATTAGGTAATAAATCCCTTCAATTAAGATATTTAAATAATAAAAACTATGTTGGTCTTTATATTAATAAGTTTTGTTGTAACTCTAACAAAAGCTTAGACCGGGACTATTAATCCGACTTAATAAATTTAATACTTAGAGTATCAACTGTCAGATTGGAAGAATTCATTGTATTTTACAATTGAATCAAAATATGTTCCAGCTTCAGTCTTGTACTCTAACAAATCATCAAGTACTAGCAATATATAGTAAATTTTCTGCATTTAGAATAATAAAATATTAGACATTAGTACATCATATGTATTTTTGACATATTTGAAAATTGACAACACCTTAAAAACATTGACTCATTTTTTTGAATTTTAAACATAGATACAAAAATATACAGAAAAAATAACCATTCAGAACCTAAATTATGAAGGTTTTTGGTATAGTTTAGAGATAAGAAATGATGTCAAATTGCAGTAATTAAATCTCACTTTTTATTAAAACCTAAATAAAAATATATTGTTCCAAAAAATTTTAAAAAATGAGTATTTTCCAATCTAAGATTACTTTTCATATTATCTTGGAGACTCTAAAATAGTATTAATTATTAATTTATAAAATTTAGTCAAGATATCTTGGATATAATTAATTACAAGGACCAATCAAATATCAATTACTTTCATCAACATCAAGGTTCTCACCTTAAAGTTAGCCTTCATGTAGTTCAACTTCTGGATTGGCTATAAGAAGTATATTTAATTATTCCTCAACTAATTATTATGATTATACTATCAGAGATCTAACATCAAAATCTTATGGTTTAACAACTTGGTTAAAAATTGAATAGAATAATAATATAGCTACTAACTATGTTAACGTATTACATATATAATCGAATATACTTTATAATTATTTAAAATAAATAGGTGGAAGATTAGCTTAAGTATCATATTCAATCACTTCTACTAAATAAATAGTTGAAATAATTTACACTACATTTACATTTCCAGTCATTCCTACTCTTGTAAATAATGCAGATCCATTAGAAAAGACTGTAACTTATGAAGTACCAATATAGTATTCATTATATAATTGGCATTACTTTTCATATTCTTTTAGGAGTAATTCAATTTATATAAATATAAATTTTGTACAACAAAATTATTAATTTATAAAAACTTTAACAAGCATTAACTAATTTTCTGATTTAAATTTAGTAATACATTTGGGTGGAACCTAATTTAATTAAAGTAATAATAATGGATAATTTAATTTACCTTTTTTTTACACTTGTTTAACATCATATACTCCTAAATGTTATTTTACATGTTCAACTTGTTTTGGACCAAATAAAAATTAGTGTCTTACTTGTTCTACTACTTCTAATAGATAACTAACAAATGATAATTTTTGTGTTTGCAAATCTGGTTTTTTGGATACTAATTCTTCTTCATGTTTTAGCTATAAGATATCAACTACTTCTGAAGAATTGATACCACTTTCTAAAAAGCAAGGTTATGATTAAGAAGAACCAAATGTAGTATGTTCTTATGGATATTTTCAATATGATAGTTAATGTTTTGAATGGTAATTAATTAAATTATTATAAATTAGTCCTAAACTTAATCGAATGTATTTTTGTCCTGAATGTATATAATTTCCAAATACATGGGTTTTAACTCCAATATGCACAAAAAAATATTCATAATATAATTAGAATGAGAATAATACATTCACTTAAGATATTTTAGCCAGTGCTTCTTTTTTACTTTAAGAAATAGATCCAATTAATGTCTACTTATTTAGTGATAATTAACTTAAATTTTGCACTTATTGTAATTCTTTATGTTTAACTCTTCCATATAGTGCATCATGTCGTTAGAGCATTTATTATCACTTAAATTAACCTGTTATGGTAATTTGCAATTATGGTGCTGAATTAATAAATGGAGAATGTAAAACCTGTGATGTTAAATGTGATAAATGCAATCTAATTGATAATGAATTTATATGTGTTAATAGCACTTAAATGAAAACTATAAGTTAACTTTGTAATTCAAATTCTGCAACTATATGTTCAGGCTGTCAAAATAATAGTCTTTATTTTTATAACTATGAATAAAATGATTGTTATCCATGTTTAATACCTAATTGCAAATATTGTTTCGAATATTTAAAATCTGATCCTAATTATAATTCAGTATTCAAATATTAAAATATCACTTATTCACAAGAAGATTTAGCAATTGGATGTGCTCTCTGTTATAATGGACTTATCTTTAATTTTTTTACTGGGTAATGTGAAAAAAATTAAAATCTATTAGGAACTTCATGTTCATCTTATTATATAACAAATTAAAATGTTCCTGTATGTATTACAGATAATGATTTTTCTATTGGAATCTCAATTAATGATTGTTAAAATTACTTATAGAATTGTAAAAGTTGTATCAAAATAACAAATAATTAATATTATTGTGTAGTTTGTTAAACAGGATATTATATATAAAGAACCTATGGAACTTGTTTATCTTGTATAGATTTTAATCCTACTTTTAGTGATTGTTATTCTATTTAATTATATGATGAGAATTTTAAATATGAGATGACACCATTACTATATAGTCTTAGTAAATAATACCCTGGCTCTTAAAAATCTGAAACTATGTATGTTTATGTAAATTAATGCATTCCAGGCTATAATAAATTAACTAATCAAATTTGTAATATAGTTGATCCTATATATTGCAGTGCTTATTCTTCAGGATGCAGAACTTGTGAATCAACTCCTGAAGGAACAAAAAGATTAACTATCATAAATTTAAAATGTTCTGATTGTCCTTATTATTGTGAATATTGTAAACCAAGAAGTGAATTAGAATTATAGTAATTGAATCCATATCTAAATATATCTGCTATTTAACCTTATTTAACTTATAGATGTATTTAAAAATCAAGTACTTAAAATGATATATTCTTTGATAATGAAAAATAATTATCAAGATAATGTACTCAAGATATGCCAAAATGCTAATTAAAAATAAAATATGTAATCTATTTTCTTTAATTAATATTAGAATTTCACAAATTATAATAATTTTTTGAGTTTAGTTAGATCTGGAGTCAATGGGAATTAATTTTTATTTTATAATCTTAAAAGCCCAACCTAAATTGATATTTATATTAATACTAGTACATCTTATTCAGATTAGAACTCCTTTCTAACCTATAATTAGATATAAAACATATTTATTTAACAAATAGCAAGTCTTAAATATACTAAATTTTCATATTACTCTTAAAATATTTCACTTGCATTTATCTTTGCAAAATTCAAATTTATACATTTCTAAGATATCTTATTTAATTAAACAAGCATTTTATTTAGTTAAACTTAATAATCAGTTCTTGCCTTTGAATCATCATTGCATTTAAAATTAACTTTTGAAAATGTAATTATTTCAGATACTCTATTTTATCCTATTTCAATTAATATTGAATATGATGATAAAAATACACAAAGATCTTATTAAATAGCTATTTAAAATCCTGATAAAGTTAATTTTACTAATGTTATTATTTAAAATATTACATTAATAAATGTCATATTTTTCAATTTAACATCAATTGTTGATAAAATACAAAGCTTAGACTTTTTATATTTAAAAAATGTAACTTTTTTAAATTGTTCATTTACATCAACTAATTTAATAAGCTTAATTGATAAAAATAACTATAATTCAATTTAATTTTTAAGTCTTAGATTTATTAATTGTATATTTCAAAACAGTTCATTTTTAAATAGTAAAGGCTTATCATTAAATGGAATTATTGTTTTTGAAGATTTCATTGTCTAAAATTGTACAATGAAAAATTCTATTTTTGTTTTAGCTCCATAAAGTCAAACTATTTATATATTGAATTTTTTAATCAAAAATTGTTCATTTTATGATACTGATTTTATAAGATTGTCTTCATCATCAACTATTAAAAACCTATAACTCTAAAAAAGTCTAATGAAGAATTTTATATTAGTTCATAAAATTAAAACTACTTAATCAGTTATTTCTGGTTCTTAAGAAGATTATAAATTTGAAAAAATCTCTATTTTTGATTCTAAATATCACTATACAATTTTTCTTGAAATCCCTTAATATGGCTTAGAAGAAATAAGTGTATCCTTAAATGATATAGAATTATATTAATTGGAATCATTAGATCCTATAGGTGAAAGAGATTACTATTTATTTACAATATAGGCATTATTTTTTTAAGCTAATGGAATATCATTAATTAAATCTCCTGGATGCCAAGAATTTTCAATTCTAAATGCATATTCTGTAATAATAAAAAATGTAAATGTAACATCGTCTCTTAAACAAAAGCCTTTAAATTTTGGTTCATTAAAAGAAGAATCACTTAGTTAAATTTTATATGTTTAAGCATAAATAGTTGAATTGAGTGATATTTTTATCTTCAATTAATTAAGTGTGGATATTAAAATTATTGAAATAAATTTAATTTAAGTTTTATATAAGCAGTAAGGGTATCTAAAATTAGAAAATTTATTATTTTAAAACTTGTAATTGATTAAAACTATTTTCTCAGAAATTACTACTGCTTTGTTTATTTCAGGCACTATTCAAAATAATATAACATTTTCAAATTCTTAATTTAAAGGAATAACTTTAAATGAATTAGTACAAGATACTAAGATTTCTTCAGCTGCATTAGCTGTTATATAATCAGAATAAAGTTATGTAAGATTTTTTGATAATATCATATATGATGTTATTGTGTTAAATTCAAGTAGTTCAATTATTTTGATATAAATTTTGTAATTAGAAATAGTTAATTTAACAAGCATTAATGTAAATAATATTTAAAATTACCTTGAAAATTATAGAAAACAATAATTCATAATAATGGACTAATTGGATTCTCTATTAATTAATTCTTTAGGTGGTTTAATGAATTTATAAATTTAATATCTAACTATTTTGAATTCTTGTTTTATTAATTCAACAGGATTGTTGGGAGGTGTATTAAGTATTACAACTAAATAAAATGGATTAATAAATATATCTCATTGCAATTTCACTAATCAATCTACAAGTGTAAATAATGCTTAAGATGGAAAAGGAGGCACCATATTTATTAATTCAGAAAATTCATATCTAAATCTTCATATCAGTAATACAAACTTTATTAATTCAAAAAGTGGATTTATTGGTGGTGTAATTTATTTTAAACTTTCTTTTTATTAAGTGTTAATATCACTTAATAATATATATTTAAAAGATGTATTTGCTATATACTCTTCAGCATTTTCATTTTCAATGAGTGAACTCAATGCTGGATCTGTTTCATATATTACTTTGAAAAATATAAGAGTTGATAATTAGTTTGAGGCATTTCTATCCTACTTATCATAATTTAATTTGAATATCAATAATTATTAAATAGATTAAGGTTCAGCTGTATTTTCTTTAAAAGATTGGTAAAAATAATATTATATTATATTATAGCCAAGTACTATTAGACAATTTTCAATATGATGGATTCTCACTTCAACCAATTTTTTATTTAAAATTTGTTAAGAAAATGTTAATTAATAATTTTATTATTCAAAATACAACTCATCTATCTTCCTAATTAATTTATATAGAAAACTTATAAAGTATAAAATAAGTTATAAATTTAGGTATAAAATCCACTTTCATTATCCAAAAGCTTCAAATTAGTCAGAGTTCTGAATATTAAAGTTTACAAAAATCTTATCCAAATTTTGACTAACAAATTATTGATTTACACAGTTATTAATAATCTTTGATTTAAGGTAATAAATTAAAAACACTTATCTAAATGAATTTTTACTAAAACATATCATCTATTCACATTAAATTACTTTATTTGATTAATAATAATTGCACTTTTTGTAATAATGGAATATTTAACTTGAATAATTATTAAAGCAATATAAATTTAAGATTAGTAGGACTAGTATTTCTATCAAATATATGTGGTTTAGATTCTTGCTTTTTGGTGAAATCATAAAATTAATAAAAATATCATTAACTTACAGGATCTAAATTTATTAATAATAAAGCTTATATAGGAGGAGCTATTAGATCAGAAAATTATGGTTTTCTAATTAAATAATGTTAATTCATTTGGAATGAAGCTAATAGCAAAGGAGGAGCAATTTATTATTAAAATAACAATTAAAAACTTAAAATATTTGAAACATATTTTTGTTCTAATTAGGCTTAAATAGGTGGAGCTTTATTTGATTTGAATCTTTATGATTAAAATTCACATTCATTTCATTTTATAGGAAATAAGGCATCTTAATATGGTAATAATATAGCCACTTAAGCTAGTATGTTATAATTACTGATTAATGATATTCCTCAGAATAGATATACAAATTATCATGATAATAAAACAATAGAAGAAGTTTTATACTTTAATAAATCAATATTAACAAAATATTTATACTTTCCAAGTGGAAGTAATTTAAATAGCTTTCAAAAATTTAATAAAAATAGCACTTCTTTTTAAAAATATCCAATAGATATAACAATCAAAACATACAATTTTCAGAATGAATAAATGATTGAATAAAAAAATACTAAATGTAACTTTAACACTTAACTGATTAAATAAATAGGAAATGATGAATAGATTATTAATAACTCAGTTATAACATAACTTTTATATGATGACTCTTAATCTTTATATAATTTAAATGAACTTATATTTACATTTGATCCTTATCTGGATAGTAATTATTATCTTAGAACTGATGTATAATGTGATAGTGTTAAAATAAACAATTATTTTTTAAGATTTTACAGTAAATCCTTTAAATGTCAAATAGGGGAATATTATTAAGATGACAAATGTCTTAAATGTGATAGCAATCAAGGATATTATTCTGTTGAATACAAAGCTACTTCATGTCAAAGAATAAATATTTAAATGATCAAAAGCACAACAGGAGCATTAATTGAATTATAAACTGGATATTGGAGACCAACATTAAGATCTAATAAAATTGAATAATGTAAAACATACCCTAAGAGATGTCTAGGTGGATGGTATGTCTCTGATCAATCTTGTGATGTAGGAGCTCTTGGAGCATTATGTGAATAATGTGATATTTATAATATAAGAGGTTAAGGTTCTTATTTGAATAATAAAGCTTAAAAATGTTAAATATGTGGTTAATTTAGTTATCAATTTGTTTTTATGATTATTGATACTATATGGATTGTATTATTAATTGGATTGACTATAAAAAGTAATAACTTTTCTAATAGATAATTATTCAAATTGAAATGTCTTTATAGACATTTTGGAACTATTCACAAATAAATGATTGATTAAACTAGTACATTAATTAAATTGGCTAATAATAACTTTTAGATTCTATCATTAATTAATACTTTTTAAATTTCTATATTTTCCAATCTAACAAATGTTGTTTTATTTTTGGGTGATTCAACTTATATGGTTACATATTAACTGGATTGTTCAATACCATATATTACTCATATTAATTATGAATATGCTCATTATATTTTAATGTTATTATTGCCTCTCCTACATTTTGCAATAGGATGTTTTATATTTTTTTTATTTTTACTGAAAAAACAAGTAAGTTTTTCCAAATCATACATTTACTCTGCCATTATATATTTATATTGTTTGAATTAGCAAAATATTATTAAATGGTATTATTATTATATTAATTAATTTTAGGGGTGTCTCATTGATAACAAAAAGATCACTTTCAGGAATTGATTGGATTTAAGCAAATGTAGAAAATAGATATGATACATAAGTTCATTAAGATTGGTCTATTAGATTCATATATCCTATTTTAATAGTTTATGGTATCCTTATTCCTTTGTTTTTATATTTACAATTAAGAAAAGTAAAAGATTGTCTTGATGATAAGAATCCAAGATTAAAATATTCATTTTTATATAATGAATATACAGCAGAATCATATTATTGGGAAATTATTAAAATGCTGTAAAAGTTATCTATTATCCTTATTGTTAATTATTACGAATAATTTATATTAGTAAAAGGAATCATTATATTTTTAATCATCTTGATTTATTACAAGCTTTGTTAATAATTTTAGCCATATAAATTATAATCTATAAGTACTATTGATGTTAAAACATCATTTTTATTATCTGTGACAATGATATTTGGTCTCTTACTTTATGTTGTTTAATAAGAAAACATAATGTATCTTAATTATTTGATTTAAATGATCATAATTTTCCTTATTTTGGCATTAGCAGAAGCTTTATTACATAGAATTTTCATTGCATATATTGGAAAACTAAATTTACAATTAGATTTTATTAGAAAAATAATAATTAGAAGATTCCCATCTATTTATAAAGAATTTAAATGTCTAAGACCATATCTATTATTAAGAAAAGATCAAGAAGAAAGAATTTAAACAAGATTTAGAAAAATTAAACAATATTTAAAATCTCAATCAAGATTTATCAATAATAAACAAGTTTTATTGAGTATCAAAGAGTCCAGTTTCATTGCCTCAAATCCTTTATCATAAAATACAACAAGACCATTCATAAATACAGATAGGAACTAAAATACAAAAATTTTAGACTGAATGATTTATGATAATCATAAATAACAATCTAATTATTCTATAGCATTTACAATAAAGTTTAATTTTACTAAATTAAATATTAATTAAATAAATTAATAAATGAATTGGTCAACCATTATCTCAATTAGCTTTTGTTCTAATAGAACATCTCTTTACAATTTTTGATCTATGAATTGACATTTACCAATCAGAAGTAATTTAATCCAACTTAAAATAATGTTAGAAATTTGTTTATAGTTTCTCAACACTAAGGAATCGTCTTTCACATTAAAATGAAAAATAAATGACTTATTCTTTAATTGATGTACTTTTATTTTATTCTGTAAATATTTTTATTTCAAAATGACAAATGAATTCTTCTCCCTAATAATTTTTGATATTTGTGGCAAAACGAGTCTCACCATTAATCTAAAATATTTTATTTAGATCCCAACATTTAGGTAACAGATTATGATTAAATATATAATCATCAATTATTTCTTGATTAATTCCCATCATTCTAAGAAAATCATAATTCCATTTTTTCTAAATTTTTATTAGTTTGTTATTATGAAATGACAAAGTGATACATTCATAAGGTAGATTCAATAATTCTTCATATCTTTTCCTTTCATTTTATTACTAAGCATGTACTGGTAAACTATTGTATAATTGTAATAATTCATATTAATAAAAACTATTGTTTTTTTAAAGGCCATTTTCTTCCTCTTAAATGTTTGTTGGAGATAGTTTACACTCAATAAACTCTGGGGTAATTTTCCTTTCCAAGATTTTATTATTTATAGTAAATTCATCAATATGTAATCTTCCCAAAGGAATCAGATTGTTTTGAATTGAACCACTTGATCGATCTAAATATTTTGTATGAGTAATTTCATAAGTCTATTATTTCAGTTTTCTATTATTTTGATAAGCTAAAATAATAGATTGTTCTGATTTTTTCTTTATTTAGAGAGTTAACTTTTTTTATTTTGTTATTGTTTTGTGATGTATTTTGTCAAGATTAGCCTCTTATTTACTTTTGCACTTAGGAGTGGAATGTTCGGAATATATAGATGACATAAAGTTGAAATAATATAATGAATGATTTTAAAGTTAAAACTGGCAATTATGAATGCCAGTTTAAGTGTGTTAATTAAAATATATTACTAAGAATTATCAAGCGAAGATATGTAATTATTAAATAATTTATATTGATTAATACTCATTTAATTATATTGATTTTAATAAATATGACAATTCAATAAGAAATGACAGTCAAGTTTTATTCTTTTCCTAAAATTACTTCTAATTTTATTCTTTTTAAATATGACCACTATTTTAGAGAAATTTAGTTAAAATTACCATATATACTACCTTCAAATCAGTCCATTTATGAATTTATAATTTAAAATTATTTCTCAAAATAGAGTCTTCATCCAGACTTATTTTTGGAGAAGTAATCTTCAAATTAAAGACAATAGAACATGTTAATAACTTACATAAAGGTTTGATTTTTTAATTATAAAAATTTTAAATATTTAAATTATTCACACAATAAAAATTAATTTATAATGTTAATATGAAAAGCAAAATAATAATATCATATAAATAGAAAATTCAATATTCTTCAATTGTTTAAATAACAAATAAATAGAAACCAAGTTTAAAGAAGTAATTTCAAAATATATATCTGCTTATATGATTAACTTAAAGAATCAACAAATATCATATGAAATTTTTTTGATTCTAATTTGTATTTTAATAAATGATATTTATACATGGTAAATTCCTTTGAATTGTTAAAATATTAATTAATTTTTTCTAAATACAATCATAAATTAATTATGTATAAAATAGAAAAATCAACTCTAATTTTAAATGAGTATATTTTGCTATATTTTTTACCAATATTTAATTAAACTATATATTGAATAGTAACAATCATTAAGATCATTTTTATAAGCAAAATTTGGTTATAAAATCAAAATACTAAGTTTAAATTAGATACTTATGTGTTTCTTGGTAATATTAATTTTTATAAGTAGCACATAGTTCTTTAATCAAAAATTTTCAATAATTTCAAAAATTTTTTTTTTATATAATTTATTAGGATTTCATTTCTTTGTAGAGTAGTATAATCTAAAAAGTATAAATGTTAAGTATTCTTCCATTAAATTTCATTTATAAATGATAATAATATCATCTCTATAGTTTTCATTCTAGCTATTTTAATAAATAGTGATTGCAAAATCAATTATTTTAATATTATTTATCAGATCAAATTTATGTGAGAAACTTAATAACTCTAATATGATGTTGCTCAATAATATTAATCTAGATTAATTATTTTTATTAAATTATTAAAATAAATAAAAAATGGTTTTGGCAAAAATAGCATTAGGAACAGCAGGAGCAGTTACTCTTGGATATATTTTGGTTCCACCATTTAATAGAAAGTTAGAAAGAAATGTTCTAAGACCTATTAGAAATTATAGAAGACATTTATAATAAGAAGATTCATTCAAGACAGAAGTATGTCTCTGTTAAAATTTGTTAGGAAGAATTCTATCAATTCTTAGGAAGTGTTGCTTTAGGTACCTTGAAAATGTTTACAATCGAAAGCGATTGAAGAATTATTAAATATTAAATAATATCAATAATATTTAAGAAATGATCAAGCTTCGTTATTTTTTAACATCCCCTACAAAAATAAAGCATTCAAAAATATGGTAAAAAAATAACAGATACATTAAATATTATTAAATAATAAAGGAAAATAAAAAAAAGAAATAAAATAAAAATGAATCATTGTTGATGAGGATTATCAAACATGGATAAATAATTAAATACAATAGATGCTTAAGATCTATAATAATAAATATACAGTAACAAATAAGAAATTTATCATCTCCTATTTGAACTTAAGGTCATATCTTAATAATAAAATTGTAATTATAGATTTTAAAAAAATCAATTTGTATTTAGTTATCATCACTCAACACTAATTATAATTTATGGATATCATGAAATAAATTACAGATATTATTGTAAGATAAATATTTATTTGATAGTTTAATATAATTATTATAAGAGAAACAAATTGCTGAACAGGAAAAAGAAGAAACTTGATCCCTTCTAATTATAATCATGATTTTTTGTAATACCAAAAATACAATTATGGTTGAAATAATTAAAATGTGCATTTTAATTTCAGATTCAATTTTCAATAGTACAAAAATAATTATAACAGAATCTAATAAAATGAATAATATTGAAGAAGAATGGTAAAAATCTCCTAATCGATCAATCTCAACAGAATTAAGAACATTAATATATCCTATTAAACCAATTTAATAATCTGAAGAGTTTCTTAAAATATTAATAGTTTTGGATAAATTGATATTCCCATTTGTCTACGATAATTTTTTTAAATATCATAGCTTACTTTATTAATTTAATTCAGTATTTAAGATTAATTTATAATAGGAATAATTATAGAAATTAAATATCTTAATGAATCATTGTTTATAATTAAAATCTTTAACAAAAGAGTAGGTCCACAAAAAAATGATATAAATTTTCTTGGATTTATATTTAATAGTAATACTTTTTGTATTTAATCCACATTTATATGTATTATGCTTAAAAATAAATAAGATCAATATATATATCCTATTATATTATTTTATTGTAAAAATCCTTTAATTTATTAAAACTTCTCAATTTAAGTAATTTTATTTAATAGAACTAGTATAAAAATTATAATTAAATTTGTGTATCAAAATTTGTGAAGTGTATTTACGGAGCGCATTTTTTATTTTAAATAATAAATTCATGACAGATACTCCACTTAGTTTTTAAAGAATAAATGTAGACATGATATAAAAATTCAAAGGTTAAAATGTGACACTTGTTGGAAAATTGTTATAGAAAAAAGGTGATTACGTTCAATTTTAAGTAGATGGAAGTAAAATATATTAATTATATAGCAATCATAAAAGTAACAGAGATTGAACAAGAGACAGAAAGTTCTGAAGATATCCTTTTAGAAATAAGAGGCAAATTAAATGATGATGGTTATTTAGAAGCAAAAGAATATACAGAATTAGAACAAACATTTGATTTCGAATTATATAAGAAAGTGATAAATATGGTTTAAGGACAATTTAGAGATTTGTTTTATGAGTGATTTAATTAATAATCAATTGGTATATAATAAGCAAACTTTTAATTTGTTTTCTTTTATTTTAGTACCTTTGAAATTATTAGGCTTTCTCTCTAAAAAACAGTAAAATTTATAAAAATAACAAAATCTTTACTTAAATGAATAATAAGTACATTAAGTTATCATGAATATTTATTTCTTGATTTTTTTCTGGGCTATAAACCAATTTATTTAGATTTTAATACGAATATCAAAGTATTTCTAATAAATCTTGATGAAATTAGGGAGATTTTGAGTATATGGATTAAATTTTAAACACTAAATTGATTAGTTTGATTTTAATGATATTGGTAAGAAATTTTTTGATTAGCTTTATGAAATAAATATATAATTTTTAGAAAATTTGAATGAATTTTCTTCAAAAACTAATATTTTTGCTGTTTTTACATTGCATACAAGCATCATTAAATACACCATGCATTTTGAGACAGAATAAAATTAAATCAATTTTGAGAGGAAAATATTAAAACTTATTATCTATTCAAAGTAATGCTTTACTCTCTACAGCAAGATTAAACTATTTTGCAGGTGGTTTCCATAATAGTATCCCTACTAGAGATGCAATTTATATGGTAAATTGGTCAGTTGGTTTTACATTTTGTGCATTAAATTAATCTATAGAATTTAGAACAATTTAANTTACGGAGCGCATTTTTTATTTTAAATAATAAATTCATGACAGATACTCCACTTAGTTTTTAAAGAATAAATGTAGACATGATATAAAAATTCAAAGGTTAAAATGTGACACTTGTTGGAAAATTGTTATAGAAAAAAGGTGATTACGTTCAATTTTAAGTAGATGGAAGTAAAATATATTAATTATATAGCAATCATAAAAGTAACAGAGATTGAACAAGAGACAGAAAGTTCTGAAGATATCCTTTTAGAAATAAGAGGCAAATTAAATGATGATGGTTATTTAGAAGCAAAAGAATATACAGAATTAGAACAAACATTTGATTTCGAATTATATAAGAAAGTGATAAATATGGTTTAAGGACAATTTAGAGATTTGTTTTATGAGTGATTTAATTAATAATCAATTGGTATATAATAAGCAAACTTTTAATTTGTTTTCTTTTATTTTAGTACCTTTGAAATTATTAGGCTTTCTCTCTAAAAAACAGTAAAATTTATAAAAATAACAAAATCTTTACTTAAATGAATAATAAGTACATTAAGTTATCATGAATATTTATTTCTTGATTTTTTTCTGGGCTATAAACCAATTTATTTAGATTTTAATACGAATATCAAAGTATTTCTAATAAATCTTGATGAAATTAGGGAGATTTTGAGTATATGGATTAAATTTTAAACACTAAATTGATTAGTTTGATTTTAATGATATTGGTAAGAAATTTTTTGATTAGCTTTATGAAATAAATATATAATTTTTAGAAAATTTGAATGAATTTTCTTCAAAAACTAATATTTTTGCTGTTTTTACATTGCATACAAGCATCATTAAATACACCATGCATTTTGAGACAGAATAAAATTAAATCAATTTTGAGAGGAAAATATTAAAACTTATTATCTATTCAAAGTAATGCTTTACTCTCTACAGCAAGATTAAACTATTTTGCAGGTGGTTTCCATAATAGTATCCCTACTAGAGATGCAATTTATATGGTAAATTGGTCAGTTGGTTTTACATTTTGTGCATTAAATTAATCTATAGAATTTAGAACAATTTAATCTTATTAAATAAACACAGTTTTTTTAAGATTGTGGGATGGTTCTAATAGAACATATAATTTTTAAGTTTTTATAAGTTATAATGGAGTTGAAAAACTAATTTATGATAGCATAACAGCTTCAGGAAATATAAATTTAAAGTTCTAAGATTAATATGTTGATAAAATTCGATTTTATAATAGAGGAGGAAATACTGAAAATGTTTACTTAATTTTAATTAAGGTGGAAGCTATTTATAAATTTTGAAAGGGGCTATATTTATTTGATCATTTTTATTTAATTAAATTATCTTATTTTAAATTTCTAAAAGATCAAGAGTTATTTATAATGGTATTTAATTATGAAGAATGAAAAAATATAAAACCCTGTTGAAATTTATAACTAATCACTTGAATTTTATTAATTAATATAATTGTAAAATATAAAATAATCATTAGTATATGTAAGGGTTAATTTACTTTAAAGCTTATTAGATTTTACTAGTACTTTGTGCGATTGTTATTATAATAGGAATAAGGAAAGAATATTAAAATATAATAGAAAGAGAATAGTAAGAAATATAAGAGTTAGAGCTTCCATAGTAAAATGTTGAAAATAAGCAAAACAATCAAGTACAATAATTACATGATTTACCTAAAAATTGATTTTGAAATGTTAATATATTTTATATAATTATAATGCAATTTTGGTCAAGTATTACAAGAATTGCAAGCAAGTTAAAGGAAAAATATTTGAGTCTAATCAAACCGCCTGATCCTTTATAAGACTTAAAAGAATAATTATAAGATATTAATTAAATGGAGGATTAATATTAAGATATAAATAAAAAATTGGATGAACTTTAATTGGAAAGTTAAGAAACAACAGAATTATAAAAAGAAGACAATGAAATAATAAAAGGGAATAAGGATTATTAAATTGCAATTAAATAAGGTAATTAATAGGTCTTATTATAGTCTATTCGACTTTGACAAAAAAATAAAGGGAATTTTATTATTTGCTAACTGAAGATGAGTACAAAAGAGTATTAGCAGCACTTAAAACATAATAATATTCTAGGTTGAGACCACTTGTTTGGTTAAATGATGAAGTAATCAGAATAAATATATTTGTTAGATTATAAATAATTTTACAAAACTATTAGACTTCAATAATGGGACTGTCATCTTAAATTCATTTTAATTTGATTTATTGATAAAAGCTGATGATGTTAAATTCAAAAGAATAACATAAAGAGCTAAAATAGATTAAAATACCAAATAAATATTAGCTCCTTTTAATTAAAATAATGTGCATTGGTACACTTTTTAAATTAATTTTGAATAATCTGTTATCACAATATATGATAGTATGAAAAGAAGTAATTATCCTTAATTGTTCCATGAACTTATTGAACTCGCATAGAGAATTTAGAACAAAGAATATGAACTAAAAGTAGGTAATTGCCCATAACAAAGCAATACACATGATTGTGGAGTTTTTACTTTAAAAAATATATGGATATTATCTAAATATCCTAATGCTAAGTTATAAATTTACTATGATTAATCAACCATCTTTTATGATAGAATACAAATATGCCATTCGTTATTGCAATAAAAGATTTGATTATTGCTATTATGCTTTATATAAAATAAAGAATATTTTAAAAGATTAATAATATATCTAATTAACTTAAAAATTAATATTATTAATCATAATTAACTGTGTAACATCATTTTAATCCTTTCCTCATAAGTAAAAGTTTATTGTTATTACATTATGTTTTTAACAAATTAAAACTCTAATTAAAGATACTATTAGATTAATGAGGTATTTGTCAATAAAAGTTACGATATATCTTCTGATTTATCTGGTATCCAATAATAATGATCTTAATTCCAATCAATTATAGCAATTGCTTCTAAAACCTAAGAATATTATAAATTATTACAGGATCCTATCTAAGTAAAAAATTGCTTCCGATATCTGTAGGTTTCTTATCCTCTACAGATGTTATAAATTTCTTAAAAATTTTTTATTAATCAGAGTTCAAGGCTTTTTTGTTAGCTCTCTTCTTCAAGTCTTTTATTATGATAAAAATTTATTAATGAACTAAATCTTATTAATTGATAAATGGCCAATAAGCCATAATCCATTAAATATGATCCCAAAATTAGCAATAATTTTATTGTTAATGAAATTTAAATGTTAAAATAGACAAATGAATCATTAAAGCTTTTAAAATTTCTTAATTGAGATGGGCAATAATATTATTTTAACAATTATCATAAATAAATCTAATAGCATTAAGAGCTAATAATTTCTTTTCTTAAAGAATACATTCTAAAGAATAGGTTAATACTTTTGTGCATTACTAATATTAAACATAATCAGTCAATCTAATTTACATGATCTGCATATCTTTTTTATTAACAGTTAATTAAGTTGGAGCCTTTTATGGTTAATTTTGTAGTAATACACTTAATTTCTAAGCAAATGCATTCATATTCTTAATATCTTAGATAGATTAACCAGTAACATCTCTAATACTACAATCCAATATTTACCATTTTACATAATCATCAATTTTTTTTTAAGAATAAAATAAGAAAGTAGCAAAATTATTTAGATGAGGTACTTAAATAGTGTTTTTTTTCTAAACTAATTAAATCACAATATTCAATCTTGTCAGATATTATTAAAATACTTCTTCTGCCTATTATTATTATTTCAAGAATAATAATTCTTAATCAACTTTTTGATTAAATTAGACAGCATATTATTAAAGATCTTTTCTAATTAAAGACTCATATGGTTTTCTATCATCCATATCTAAAAGATTTCCCTATCCACCTGTAAAACTATAATCACTTTTAAGATTTTTATCTTGATAAACCAAATATACAATTGTTTCTGGAGAATAATGAATTTCTATTTCAAATTTCTTTCTTACTTCTGCAAATCCATCTTCAAAAAAAAAACATTATTCATTATTTTTAATATAAACGCATTCATAATCACCATCATAAATTATAACAGCATGTAAATTATATTCTATCTTATTAAAACTACCCATAATTTATTTAATTTGTTAATCCATTTTATGAAGCTCCTCTTTCAATTTTTCTAATTCTTAATTAGAATCCATAATCAATGATATAAATCCCTCAATTGCTGGATCTCCATCAATCAATTCTTCTCTTTATTCTTATATAATATTAATAGTCATTTACAAGATTTAAGGAATACTTTATGATGTTTATTAATAATTTTCAATATTTTTAATTTTTTAAACTATTTCCTCTCTTTTCATTGTTAATTCTTTAATATCTGATTAATGTTATTTAATTGTTCCTTTATTAGAATGCATAAATTAATCTAAATATATTGTTGGCATTAATAATAAATTTGATTTTCTTGTTATTTCAAATTGTAAAATTTTTGGTAACTCTTTTATTGAACAATCTTCTAATTCAAATTTCTTTTATAATCCTTCCATAAAAGATTCATCATCTAAATCAATCTTAATCAAATTAAATGTTTTTTCATCATTTCCTTTAATAAATTTACCAATAAATAATTCTCTTATTGGATGCTCTTCCACAAATTAATTAAGCATAGTTCTATATTTTGAAATTGATTCATCTACTTTCTCAAAAAATCTAACTAAAAACTCTTCAACACTTTTAAATCTAGTATTATAATCATCTTTCATAAATTAATAAACATCTAATGCTGATGTGTCTTTTTTCTTGCAATATATCAATTAAATAAATAACTTTTACAAAAGCAAAGTCACACCTTCTTCATTAATAATAGAATCCTATATTTAAATTATTTTAATACATCATACTGTAAAATTTGCTCTGCAAAAGATGGAATATGAAAATATGTTAACATGAAGCAATCAAAAAGCTGAAATTAAGGAGATCTTTTTAAAGCTATTGGCACTCCGCTTTTTCTCATCTTAAGATCTATTTTAGATTGCATTTTTGTTGGAGTGTCAAATTTGGTTGGACTTGAATTCATAAAATTATAGATTAATTAAAATTTTTAATTTAAACGACAGTCATATATATTAAAAATATTTTTTAAATTTGAAACATTTATAATCCCTCCTTCCACTCATTCTTTATATTATTAGGCTTCCTGATATATTGATCTATACTTTTAAAATTGGTATTTTAGTTTGACAAATAGAATCCTATATATAGTAGGATCATAAATCATAATTTTGAATATTCTATCTTAGATGAGATGATTAATTAAAATACTGAAAATTAATGTTTTATAAATTTACCATATGTTTTTAAACTAAGCTAATTCAAAATAATAATTAATTAATAGAAAATCTTATTTAATTGAACTCCTATTAATAGTTGTGAAAACACTTTTGATAGAAGATTTTCTTGAAAACTAAACATATTTATATTCTTAGATAAATTAAATAAATGTAAACTTTATATTGCCTGATCTTCTGTTATTAAATTAACTGTTTAAGTATTTGATTAAGTTGCTGTATTTGTAGTTAAAAATTGACTTTGAATATTTGAAGGTTATGCAATTATTCAAAGGCAATAGTCAACAAAGAATATATAAAGTTAAATTTTATAGATATTTTAGGATTGATTAGATAGAAGTTAAGTAGAAAAATGGTATATACTCTAAAACAATCAAATTAGGCTCTTGTTCATGAATAATAAAATGTTGAATAATATAGATTAATTATTTATTGTAATACAATATTTATGCATTATAATTTCAAATAAATAGAATTCTCAAATATGTTTTATTTAGAGCAAATGATATACAAAATAAATGAAAAAATTTTAAATTTGGCATAAAATAATTTGAATTTATTTTTTATGTAAATATTAGGGAATTAAAAAGAAGAAAGTAAGAACATTAAATAAATGCTTGAAAGTTTATAGGTATGTTTAAAATAACTTATATTATCTTAATTATTTGTCATTAATTTTATTCTTGTTTAAGATCTGATAATGACTCAGGCTCTCCTTATTATTGCGATTATTCATTTGATTTATAAAATGTTCTATCTTTCACTAATTCTGGATGTTTAAGTTTGATGTGTTAATTGAGAGACCCTTCAGCTCTAAGAAACATTTATTATGGACTTTTACCCATATTTCTTTTAGCAATTTTCAACAGGACAAGTAAAATGTCTTTCGATTTCTTATGCTGGCCTTCTTAATCTTTTCTTTCTTTCTTCTCCAGTTTCTTCAACATTTGAATTGAGCTCTTAATTTCGACGCTTGAATTTTGGTGATATTAAAAATTACTTCTAATTTATTTAATTTATTGACTAGTTCATTCTTTTCATTCAAAAGTTCTTTTAACTAATATAAATTCTATATAATACTTAATTTGTTAAAACAACATTAGCTATGTAAAGTCTTAGATATTCATTATAGTATTCTAAATTTTGATCTTATTATGGGACTAAGATTTGAATATATTTATACCTTGTTGTTCATCCTATCCAGCAACATAATTTTGAAATCTCAAAGGTTCATCACCCATAATAAATTTTTAATTCTCACCATCAGATCTAAAGGTATTGATATGTTAATACTTTGCATTACTCATTTTATATATAATTATTAATATTTTTTATTAATAATTTGCCTAACTTAAATTAAATTAAGAATTAAGCAAGAAGATATCGTTTTGATTCATTTTAAATCATGTTGATTGAAAATTTGATATAAAATGAAAATTGATATAATTAAAGTTAATATTTGAGTATGAAACAAAATAAAAGTATATTATTCTTATATATAATTATTAATTTAACGGATATATATATGGACAGATTTATTCCGAAAAGTAAATCGAAATTGTTGTATCAATCACACACTTAATCAAATTATAATGATGTACTAAAATTTAATATTGTAGTTATTGTATCATATAAATGAAGAAAAAGTGTTAAATTTTGGAAATCAAAAATAACAGCATAATTATCCAATATCATTTTTGGATTAGTTACATAATTAATACAGATTACCTACTTAATAAACTGTTAGATAAATTAGTTAAGTCCCTGAGAAAATATTGGATGCTCCAGATATTGCAGATGACTTTTATCTAAATATTTTAGAATGGGGCAATAATAATGTGTTATCAGTAGGATTGCAAAATAAAGTATATTTATGGAATGCTTCAAATTGTAATATAATATTACTATAAAATAGAACATATTGAATAATTATTATAAGCAACATCAAATGTTACTGCAGTTCATTGGATCAATGATCATATCTTAGGAGTAGGTTTTGATGATGCCTCTATTAAGATAGTTGATGTGTGTTCCTAACAAACAATAACTTAATTATATTATCATAATGAAAGAGTTTCAACAATGAGTAGTAGTTTTGAATTATTATCATCTTCTGGTAGAGATAATGTTATTTTCAATCATGATCTTAGAGAAAAGAATAATAATGTTGTAGGTGTATTTTAGAAACATACTTAAGAAGTTTGTGGATTGAAATGGAATTCATCTGGAACAACTTTAAGTAGTGGAGCAAATGATAACTAACTCTTATTATGGGATAAAAGATAAATGTCATTGCGTTTATCATGTGAAGGTCATTGTGCAGCTGTTAAAGCTATGGCATGGTGTCCATGGTTACCCAACATTTTAGTTAGTGGAGGAGGTTCTAATGATAAAAATATTAAATTTTGGAATTCTGATACAGGACTATGTTTCAAAAGTATAGATACAGGATCTTAAGTTTGTGCTTTATAGTTTTTACCAAGATATAGAGAACTGATTTCTTCACATGGTTTTTCAAAATTCTAAATTAGTATATGGAATGCAGAAGTAATTTAATAAGCCAAATTGATTTAAGAACTTTAAGCACATAAATCAAGAGTTTTGCATTTAGGCATATCTCCTGATTAATCTATGCTTTGTTCTGCAGCTGGTGATGAAACTTTGATATTTTGGAGACTTGGAACTGAGTAAAATAATTAAGATAAGCAAGAAATGTGTTCCAGTAAAAACCTATTTCTCAGATGATATTATATAATTACTACCCTTATAAATAATTTAATAATTAATTAACTTTCTATAATGATTAGAGGAGACTCAGATGAGTTCAAATAAATTGCAACTAGTTAAATACTGATATGCAAATCAAGTAAAGAGATTCAAGATGGATCAACTTCAAGAAGAGATCATTTATTCTAAAAATTACCTTCTTTAGATTGTACTCAACCAAATAAAATTTGGTAAATAAAAAAAGGAGGTTCTGCAAAATGTATTATTGACTCTGAAAGATTGTCAACTGCTTAAAAACCACTTACTCCATAGTAATAAAAGAAACAAAAAAATTAAGTAATCCAAATTGAAGAGAACAATTAGTTTGATCTTGGTTCAAGTCTTCATTTTTAAAGATTATTTACTATAAAGAATAAAGTTAAATCTTCTAATGGATGTGCTAAAACATCAAGAGAAGAAAATTCTAGTATGGTCAATAGTAATATGATTCTTAAAAAGTCTTAACATCACCTTACTTAATAAGTTTAACAATTATCTTAAACATAATCTTAAATACAATCATAATAGTGTCCATTCTCATCAGGAAAATCTATTAAAGATATTTTATCATAACTTAAAGACAAAAAGTATAGTTCTTTGATTTAATTTAGGCCTAAAACTGGGATTACAAGACATAGTGAATTTGAGAAAATGGAAGGATTGGATGATTATGCAAAAGAATTTGGATAAATCTTGGCTTAAGATTAATTAGTTGGAAATGTAATTGGAGATGTTCATGAAATGAAAGGAGTTGTTAAAGCATTAATTGATTTAAGTAATGGAAATAAATTACCATATCATTTTGAAAGTCTTAAATAATTACACTTGAATCTAAATATAACTGATGAGATGTTTAATCGATTTAAATATCTCTATATAAAAAAACTTATAGATATGAAAATTGGGATGGAAGTAATATTTAAATGTGCATAAACAGTTGAATATTACAGAGGAGCTATTATATGCAATGTATCCATTCTAATTATTGTAATAGTCTCGCTCTGTTCAAAATGTTAAAGATAGTATTAGAACAATTGCCAAAAATATGTATGCTTAAATATTTGAAGATTTTTCATTGAGTCCATTGTTTAAAGGAACTAAATAAGAAGAACAAGCAATTAAATTTAGTAGAATCTTTGGGTTCATTTTAGGATCTTCAGAATCTACAAATTATGTAATGGATTCTATGAGAGACTTTCACAAAGCTTTTCGAATTAATTCTGTTTAATATTCAGTTTTCAAGTACTATTTATCAGGTGCTTTATCAAAACACACTGAAAAAGAAGTTGTATGGTATATATTAGAATAAACTGATGCTTATAAAGCAGCTGTTATTGATTAAGATAGTATTAAAGATTTAGTTTATAAATAATTTGGAATAGACAATTTTTGTAGTGAATTCATTAAATTATGTTAAATAGATCCTTATATTAATAAGAATTTTATACATAAAGTTGGATATGATCAATTTGTTTAGCATACTAAATATTTCTTACATTATGCATTTAATAAATAAAATAACTGTTTTACTCTTGAAGATTTAAGTTAATTACATTGTTAACATTAAATCAATATATAATTATATTAAAGTATTAAAGATAAATTATTAAACTTATTGGTTAGACTAAATCCTTAAAGAGTTATATTTTAAGATTTTGAAGAAGAATTTGATATCATATTACCTTATATAATCAATTAAAGATTACCTTGTGATATTGTTGGATAAAAGAGATTATGTGAATTAGTTCCTTTGATTTCTGATGAATTATAATCTAATGTTGAAATTAAAAATGTATTTGATAGCAATGATGCAAACATAGCAAAAACTATACTTAAAAAATTTGAATATTTACTTTCTGGTAGAAAATATTTTAAAAGATCAGATATTTAAGCTATACACTCTAGACTTAAAATTAGTGAGGCTGTATTTGAAGAATTTATTTATATTATCGAAAAAGTTATTTAATAATATGATAATTCACTTTTATGGATGATTGAAGCCATAAAAGAATGGAAATATATCATAATAACTGTCTGATTAAATTATTTTGTTTTTGGTATTTAGTGTTAAATTTAAGTAATTATTATTAATTATTATAATAATATTAGTATAATTTTTAGTATTTGATAAAGAATTGATAGTATAAAGTAAAAATATGTTTATAAATCTCCAATTTTGAATTTTCTTATATTATAATTTAATTTTTAATAAAATATTTATGATTATTAAATTATTTATATGTTGAATTCAACAACATCAAATCAAGATGAAATCATCTTGAAATCATCAAGAAGGTTTGTGCTTACAGATCAAGTGAAGGATTTAGAATCTGCTCCTATTTATAGACCTAAAAGATCAAGTAAAAAAGTAAAATTATCACTTGTTACAAATCAACCTTTTACTTAATCCAAAATTTGTTTTATCTGTCGTAAGAGCTGCATAATTAAATTATGTAAATGTGATGATGTATAATATCATCCTGATTGTGTGATTACTGAGATGAAGAAGCCTTCATCTTCAATATCAACACTACAATGTCTTTTTTGTTTATGTTTCTTTAAAACTGAAATTAAAAATAAAAAGTATTTTCATATTCTCAAGTTTTAGATTTCATTAAAGAAAGATATATCGAAATTGTACATTTATGTTAGTTATCTCAATTACAATTCTTTTCATCATAATAGGAATATAATGGGATAAGATTGCAACATAAATCATAATATTTTTATTTATAATCAATATATTACTTTCTCTAATTGCATTATATTGCTACAAAAAGATTTATTACTTAGAGGTTGATTGGAGACTAGTAACAGTAGAAAATGAACCAATAGACCTTGATGGTTATAAAAATGCAAAATTAATATATTAGGCCTTTAATACAAATACTGCCCATTACATCTTTGATACTGAAATGCAATGAATTAATTAGAATTTCTTATAGTAATATTTAAAATCCCAATAAATTCATTATACAATGATTACAAATTATTATTTTCAGTATTAATTCTTATCACACTAAATTAATTTCTAAATTTTAGATATATTTTTATAAAGAATGGATTTATAGAAGGTTTCTAAGTTATTACCTAAATCTAATGAGGATTTACAATCATAATCAATAAATGAAAATATTGAGAGAATACAGGAATTAGATGAAGAGAATATAGAATTATGTGAACCTATAGTAGTAATTGAATAAATGTAAGTTTAACCTATAATTGAACTTGACTAAGCCTAATTTGGAATTAATAATGAATTCAAAGAAGAAATATGATAAGATAATTTCAATATGTATATATATATAAATAATTTGATATAAAATTTATATTTTAATTATGGATTCTTCATAAGATTAAACAGATCTAAAGATTTCTAATTAAGATCAAAATAATTAAGTTTAAGAAGAAGTGGAACACTTATAGATCTAAAACAATACAAATTAAACAAATGATAATTAAAATAAAGAGTCTCAACATGATGATTAGAATAATATTGATATAGATCAATAAAATTAAAATAAATTAGAAACTGAATAACATTCCTAAATTATTAATATAAATAATCATGAAGAAATAATATCCAAAAAATTAGATTCAGTTCCATAAAATTAAAGTGAAAATGATTAAATAAAAAATAATGACTTTCATGAAGAGAGAGAAGAACATAATAATCATAATTCATAATTTGTTGAATCTATTTATGAAACAGTTACATAACCACTTTAGAAAATAGAATAGGAATAAAAAGTAGATAATGCATTTGTAGACTAATCTCAATTTGAAATTTTAGATAAATCTAATAATTAGTAATTAGATTAGTAGGAATAAATATAACATGAATAATTAGATAATAAACTACATTCTGCTTTAAATGTATCTAAGGAAGAATAAAATTAATTGGAATATCCTTAATTAATTTAACCAACTTTAAATTTTGGTAAAAATATAAATACTCAAAAGGAAGGTAATTAAGAAGAAGAAAAGCAAGTTGAAGAAGGAGTTATTATTGATGAAACAATTTAAAGTTTACCTACTAATAATAATGTATAGAATTCTTAGATTTAAAATTCACCTAAAATAGTAGAAATAGATTAAAAATCATAACTAGTTATACAATTCTAAAAATCTTTAGATGAAGCAACATTTCTAAAAAATTAAGGAAATTAATGGTTTCAATAACAAAATTATGGAAGAGCTACTGAATAATATAATCTAGCTTTAGGATTATGTGATCCATATTATTTAATGTAATGTCCTGAAGAATAATTATAATAATTTAAAAAATTGAGAATAAATTTACTATCTAATCTAAGTGCTTGTTTTTTAAATCTTGGGGATTCTAATTCTTGTATAACACATGCTAATATTGTAAATATTATTTTTAATTATTAATAGGCAATTTAACTTGATCCTTCAAATTAAAAAGTTTGGTATAGAAGAGCTTTGGCATATTAATAAAAATAAGATTATGAAGAGGCATGGAGAGATATTGATTAAGCTTGGAATTTAGTGAAAAACACCACTTAAAATTAAGAGATATTTGATAAAAGAAAAGAAATTAGAGAACTATTAAAATAATCAAATAAAGAAAGAGCATAACTTTACTAAACTATGTTAAGTAATACTTAAAATCAAACTGAAAATAAAAGTACAATTAATTAATCAAAAACAAATGATTCTAAATTAACAATTAGTGAAATATAAAAGAAATCATAATTAAATGATTATAATTAAGATGGTTTTAGATATACTGACATCATTTGGAAAACTACAGCTTCAGCAGTACTTGCCTCTTCAATGACTAAATTTATTTTGGATGAAAAACTTAATACAAAGATGGGTTTAATTGAAACTTTAGTATTAAGTTCTACTACAGCATCATTTTTATTTGTAGAAAAGAAATGGTAAAAACTTTGTTTTGCTACTGTCACAGCTGGATTTTTAGCTTTTGTTTTATATAGGAAATCAACTAAGTGAGTTTATAATAATATAAAAAGGATTTAGTAGTAGTAATATTATTATTTAGTTTTTTCAAATATAATAAAATTTAGATATTATTTTTATAATATATATGAATATTCAATTGAATCTTAAATTGTTGAGTAATTCTTTTATATTCTTAGTTGATTTACTGACTACTAATCTTTACACCTTTGTTATATCAGAATTTAATTCATCCTTCTCAATTACTAGTTGATGTTATTATTAAGTGAGATTATGAGATTTATGACCTTTTTTCAAATTTTATCTAAGTTTAACATGTTTTTCTAAAATTCTATCATTTCTTCTTTCCATTTTGATTATATATTTATTCAATAATTCTTATTATTTCTATTGCTTCTAAAGAGCTACTTATTTCATTTTTGATTGAATATCATCTAATCTTTATTTAGCCTTAGCACTACTGAACATTATCTTTTCTTATAATTCTTAATTAATCATGCTTTCTCTTTATGATTACATCTATGTTTATGAAGTTAAATTTTTATGCACTTTACTAAACTTTCGATCTTATTCATCTTTAAATTTTTATAATGTTTTTTATATGTCTTATTAGTTCTTATTAGTCATTTAAGTTGTTTTTTCAACATAATTTCCTATTTTCTAAATGACCTTATTTTACTGCTCTTATTCAATCTATTAAGCTTATTGTATTCTATCTTAACTGGCAATACCATATCGAATAAAAGTGCTTCTTTGTGAAGTTTCCATTGAATATTATAATTTAGTTCTTCGTAATTCGTCTTGTTCAATTATATTCTTCTTTTTTTATCTATGATAATCCAAAGTTTATTGAGTTTTAGATTACAACATAACTTTGAATTTCATTTTTGATTCTTATAAGGTCTTTTAAATAGGTTCAAATCTAGAGTCAAAATCAAGACTTTTACTAAGCCTATCATCAAGTTCATTTTTTCTCCGTTCTCTTAATAAAGATAACTTTCGTTCTACTTTGTTATTATGTTATTTTGCCTTATGAGAAATGGATTTTAATTTTTCTTCGACTTGCCTATAAATTTTATCAGTATTCCTTTATTATGCTTCTTTGATTTATAATTCAGACTAATATAACTGTTTGAGATCATGATCAAAAATCTTTTTAACAAAGTTATATTATTTAGATTATTTAGGTGTTCTTAATACAATTTTTATTGATGGACCTATGATTTCTCTCCTTCGATTAACTAAATTCTAGAGATTATCTAAATGAATCATAAAATAATTAACTACCTTTGAGTTATTGTAAATGATTTAAGTACATGGTTCGCGATTCATGATGATATTGTAAGAAATTGGTCAAAGTTCTTGTATGATAATTTGGGCACTATTTTACTTAAGTTAGCAATCATATTTTGTTAAATTAAGTTCTTTCATGGCAAGCTATGTACGTGGTGATTCTAAATTTAGTCTCATGAGTAACTGATTGATTTCTCTTAAATGTGATTAATCACTCTTACTATCCACTTCTGTAAAAAAAGTCTTCATTTTTAATTATAATATTAGATAGTAAAATATTAAATATTGAATCCTTTATTCATAGTAATCAAAAATCATATTATTTAAATATACAAAATCATATTATAACTAATACTTATAAATTTAATGATAAACTCGATTAAATTTGATTCATATATTAATTAAGCAAATTCAATTATTTTCTTCTTAAGTCTTAAGTTATACTTATAGTAAATTACATCAAAGTTTTAAACAATTAGTAAAATACTTATAAATTATTATTTTAGGATAGAATTATTGATCAGATTATTCTTATAAGAAACTGAATATTATGTAATCTTTTTGTATTCATTTATTAAATAAAAAAGAAAAGCATATAAATATATGATTTACAATAATAAATTGGAGTATTGGAGTGAATTGACAATAATTATTAAATTTTTAAAATAACCTTGACGAGATATGTAGAGTAGAGAAAATGGCTGACTAAAGATTTGGAATTCTATGTGATAAGATTAATTTTTATCATTACTATTATTATATAAGGTAATTAAAAATTTGAATCAGAAACATATCCTTAATTATTAAAATAAACTATGCTCACAAAAGCATTAGCTAGATAGATGCGTGTAGGTAATAATTATAATGTAATTTTTGTACAGCATTCTCTGCTGCAAAGAAGGAAGCATCAAATTAAACAAAATAGGCAACAACAACTACAACAGGATAGATTGCCTAAGTTATTGGTGCAGTTGTAGATGTCCAATTCGATGGCCCTTTACCACCTATTTTGAATGCATTGTAAGTTTAAGGAACAAGTCATAAATTGATATTGGAAGTGGCTCAACATTTAGGTGATAGCAGAGTAAGAACAATTGCTATGGATTCAACAGAAGGACTTATTCGTGGTTAACCAGTTTCAGATTTAGGTGGTCCAATTACAATTCCAGTTGGTCCTGAAACATTAGGACGTATTATGAATGTTATTGGTGATCCAATTGATGAAAGAGGTCCAATTGAAACAAAAATTAGATATCCAATTCACAGAGAAGCTCCAAGCTTTGTTGATTAAGGTAGTGGTGCTGAAATCTTGATAACTGGTATTAAAGTCGTGGATTTATTGGCTCCATATGCTAGAGGTGGTAAAATTGGATTGTTCGGTGGTGCAGGAGTAGGAAAGACTGTGTTAATTTAAGAATTGATTAATAATGTTGCTAAAGCTCATGGTGGTTATTCAGTATTTGCAGGAGTAGGAGAAAGAACAAGAGAAGGAAATGATTTATATCATGAAATGGTTGCATCAGGTGTTATCAATTTAAGTGGTGGATCAAGATGTGCTCTCATTTATGGNAACTCGATTAAATTTGATTCATATATTAATTAAGCAAATTCAATTATTTTCTTCTTAAGTCTTAAGTTATACTTATAGTAAATTACATCAAAGTTTTAAACAATTAGTAAAATACTTATAAATTATTATTTTAGGATAGAATTATTGATCAGATTATTCTTATAAGAAACTGAATATTATGTAATCTTTTTGTATTCATTTATTAAATAAAAAAGAAAAGCATATAAATATATGATTTACAATAATAAATTGGAGTATTGGAGTGAATTGACAATAATTATTAAATTTTTAAAATAACCTTGACGAGATATGTAGAGTAGAGAAAATGGCTGACTAAAGATTTGGAATTCTATGTGATAAGATTAATTTTTATCATTACTATTATTATATAAGGTAATTAAAAATTTGAATCAGAAACATATCCTTAATTATTAAAATAAACTATGCTCACAAAAGCATTAGCTAGATAGATGCGTGTAGGTAATAATTATAATGTAATTTTTGTACAGCATTCTCTGCTGCAAAGAAGGAAGCATCAAATTAAACAAAATAGGCAACAACAACTACAACAGGATAGATTGCCTAAGTTATTGGTGCAGTTGTAGATGTCCAATTCGATGGCCCTTTACCACCTATTTTGAATGCATTGTAAGTTTAAGGAACAAGTCATAAATTGATATTGGAAGTGGCTCAACATTTAGGTGATAGCAGAGTAAGAACAATTGCTATGGATTCAACAGAAGGACTTATTCGTGGTTAACCAGTTTCAGATTTAGGTGGTCCAATTACAATTCCAGTTGGTCCTGAAACATTAGGACGTATTATGAATGTTATTGGTGATCCAATTGATGAAAGAGGTCCAATTGAAACAAAAATTAGATATCCAATTCACAGAGAAGCTCCAAGCTTTGTTGATTAAGGTAGTGGTGCTGAAATCTTGATAACTGGTATTAAAGTCGTGGATTTATTGGCTCCATATGCTAGAGGTGGTAAAATTGGATTGTTCGGTGGTGCAGGAGTAGGAAAGACTGTGTTAATTTAAGAATTGATTAATAATGTTGCTAAAGCTCATGGTGGTTATTCAGTATTTGCAGGAGTAGGAGAAAGAACAAGAGAAGGAAATGATTTATATCATGAAATGGTTGCATCAGGTGTTATCAATTTAAGTGGTGGATCAAGATGTGCTCTCATTTATGGTTAAATGAACGAACCACCTGGTGCAAGAGCCAGAGTTGGTTTAACTGGTTTGACAGTTGCTGAATATTTCAGAGATGAAGAAGGAAAAGATGTGTTACTCTTTATTGACAACATTTTCAGATTCACATAAGCATGTTCAGAAGTGTCAGCCTTATTGGGACGTATTCCATCAGCTGTCGGTTATTAACCAACATTGGCAACAGATTTAGGTTAATTATAAGAACGTATTACAACAACAAAGAAGGGATCAATTACATCAGTTTAAGCTATTTATGTACCTGCAGATGATCTTACAGATCCAGCACCAGCTACAACATTTGCTCACTTGGATGCTACTACTGTGTTATCAAGAGCATTAACAGAATTAGGTATTTATCCAGCTGTCGATCCATTGGATTCTTCATCTCGTATGATGGACCCAAATATTGTTGGTGAAAAGTAATTTATCTTATTTAAATTATAATAGACATTATACAGTCACAAGAGGAGTTTAAAAATTATTGTAAGATTATAAATCACTCCAAGATATCATTGCCATTTTGGGTATGGATGAATTATCTGAAGACGATAAACTCACTGTATCTAGAGCTAGAAAAGTACAAAGATTCCTTTCTNTTTACCACCTATTTTGAATGCATTGTAAGTTTAAGGAACAAGTCATAAATTGATATTGGAAGTGGCTCAACATTTAGGTGATAGCAGAGTAAGAACAATTGCTATGGATTCAACAGAAGGACTTATTCGTGGTTAACCAGTTTCAGATTTAGGTGGTCCAATTACAATTCCAGTTGGTCCTGAAACATTAGGACGTATTATGAATGTTATTGGTGATCCAATTGATGAAAGAGGTCCAATTGAAACAAAAATTAGATATCCAATTCACAGAGAAGCTCCAAGCTTTGTTGATTAAGGTAGTGGTGCTGAAATCTTGATAACTGGTATTAAAGTCGTGGATTTATTGGCTCCATATGCTAGAGGTGGTAAAATTGGATTGTTCGGTGGTGCAGGAGTAGGAAAGACTGTGTTAATTTAAGAATTGATTAATAATGTTGCTAAAGCTCATGGTGGTTATTCAGTATTTGCAGGAGTAGGAGAAAGAACAAGAGAAGGAAATGATTTATATCATGAAATGGTTGCATCAGGTGTTATCAATTTAAGTGGTGGATCAAGATGTGCTCTCATTTATGGTTAAATGAACGAACCACCTGGTGCAAGAGCCAGAGTTGGTTTAACTGGTTTGACAGTTGCTGAATATTTCAGAGATGAAGAAGGAAAAGATGTGTTACTCTTTATTGACAACATTTTCAGATTCACATAAGCATGTTCAGAAGTGTCAGCCTTATTGGGACGTATCCCATCAGCTGTCGGTTATTAACCAACATTGGCAACAGATTTAGGTTAATTATAAGAACGTATTACAACAACAAAGAAGGGATCAATTACATCAGTTTAAGCTATTTATGTACCTGCAGATGATCTTACAGATCCAGCACCAGCTACAACATTTGCTCACTTGGATGCTACTACTGTGTTATCAAGAGCATTAACAGAATTAGGTATTTATCCAGCTGTCGATCCATTGGATTCTTCATCTCGTATGATGGACCCAAATATTGTTGGTGAAAAGTAATTTATCTTATTTAAATTATAATAGACATTATACAGTCACAAGAGGAGTTTAAAAATTATTGTAAGATTATAAATCACTCCAAGATATCATTGCCATTTTGGGTATGGATGAATTATCTGAAGACGATAAACTCACTGTATCTAGAGCTAGAAAAGTACAAAGATTCCTTTCTTAACCATTCTTCATGTCTGAAGTTTTCTCAGGAAGAAAGGGTAAATTCGTTTCACTTAGTGACACTATTGCTGGATTCAGAGGTATTAAATCTCTCAATATATTTTAGCATTGCTTGATGGTGAAGGTGATGAATATCCAGAAAATGCATTCTATATGTAAGGTACATTTGAAGATGTCATCGAAGAAGCTAAAAGAGTTGCAGCTGAAACAACAAAATGAAATATAATTTAATAACATAAGATTTAAAATATCATCATTATTCTTATAATATATTAGATATTCTTATATAATAAAGAAATTATGCAGATTTTTTATATTTCTAATCATATTTCTGTATTTATGTTAATTACATTAAATATATACATAATGTATTTATTAAATAGAATTTACTTTCAGAACATTTTTCTAAGCATTAATTACAATATCTATTTTAAACTATATTTTTAAGGTCCAATTAATACTTAATACTTATCAATTAATTAATCTATTTTTGAAAATAGATAAAAATTAACATATATTTATTAAGATAATTATTTATAATCTTATGAGTAAAACATCAAAGTTTTAATAACCTATTTTTCTAATAAAAAAGAAATTATTATTTATTTTAATTGAGATATACCAATAATATAATTTATGAAAAAATCAAATGAAAAACAATCATATTCACTAAAATGTGAACCTCCGCTTAAAAGGCATCTTTATTCAATTGAAAATTTCATTAAACTATTTTATATTGTTTTAGTATCCTTTTAATTTCACGCATGTTATATTGGAATGATAAGCTCAGTTTTAGGAATGATTAGACGAAAATCCTTTAATACTGATTTTACAATGAATATATTGTATTTATTGAATATTAGTTTTTTTAAATGCACCAATAATTACATGTATCACTTACCAATTTTAATACATTATGTAATTGGTATTGCAGAATATATTAATTTAAGATAAGGATCTATGTATGAAAGTATTAAGTTTAATATTTTATAGCATGCAAGAATTTTGTTATAACAATATAATAAACTAAAGAATTTTTTTTAGATTTTAGATGTAAATATGAATTTATGCTTGTTCCTTTAAGTGTATTGATGGTAATTGTAAGTGATTCTTCATGGTGGCTAGTAATATTACATGGATTTTATGTTGTAACAAAAACAATAGCAATGAAAGTATTTCAATAAATAAAATAATATTTAGGATATGTTTGAAATTTATTTGAGTATAAGAAAGAAAGTTAGATTATGATTATTGTAATTATTCTTTGAATAGTAATTTCACTTTAATTATTCTTAATTATCTGATTAAACAATTAAATATCTATACATCATTATTTCACTTTTAATAAAGAGTTGAGATTTAAAGATAAACTTTATTCTTTGTTGTTGAAATATTCAATCCAATCCTTTAAAATTTTTATTTTATGTTAGACTTAAAATAAATTAAAAGATTGATTAATTCTTAAAACTATAGTTTTAGTGTTCATTAATATGTTGATAAAGGAGTTAGTTAGTTTGAAAAAATTATAGCAGGGATTTTAATTTCTAAAAATATTTTGTTTATTTTCTATTCAAAAAAGATTCTATAATCTGATATAATTTACTTCAATTACAATTATTACTTTTAGATACTAAAATATAGATTAAAAATTAAAACAACATATTTATAAATGAAAAGAAAAATTAATTTAAAATTCATTAATAAAAATAGTATATGATATTTCTTTTTGGTTTGTACTAGATAATTTAAGTAAGTAATATATGATTCAAAGATTCTTAAATTGAATACTTATTATTATTAAGATTTTATTATTTTTTATATTTTAATATAAATAAGAATCTTTAGCATTTATCATTATATATATGATATATATTAAAATGGCATTAAATATATAGTATAAAAATTGTTTGTAATTAAAAATTTGTATAACAGTGTGTACAATTGAATATTAATGATTTAAAAAATGACTAAGCTGGAATCCATGAATTTTTGAATTAATTTGTGATCTAGTTTATTAGTCAATTAATAGAAACTATAATTAGAATATATGATTCAAGAATTTACTAATGTTGTTAAATTATGAAAGAGATTAATATAAATTAATTATGCTATTTAGATCTGCCTTTAGATTTTGCTCTTTTAACAAAGATTTATTCTAAAGACAGAAGCCACTCATACAAATTGATAACATAATAAAGATTCTTAGACCTTTCGATATTGAAATTAATATTGAAGAGATGGTGGAGACAGTTAAGATTGTCGGAAAATATGTAATATTATAATTTTACTTTATTTTAGTCTAAGCACACTCTATACAAATTTCCTATTCCTTCATGTACGAATATATTAATATGAAGTTTTGTAAAGTAATTGCATACAAATAGATCCATAATTCATATCAGAAACATAATAAAGAATAATGAAAAATGTAAACAAATCTATACTACTCAGATACCATCAAATCCTAAAAACCTATCCATTTTTTATCGAATGTACAGATATCCAATGAGAATGGCTTTGCCTAAGACAGTGTTTTAAATATCAAAGAGTTTAGGAAAATCATCTTTATCTGAGTAAACTTTGAGATTGGCTGCCTGTTTAGAAAACATATAAATAGCACTTAGTTTACATATGATGATTGATCGTAAAGAATACAAATTCCAATCATTTTAGGTTATCACACATAGAAACCATCAATCTTCAGTTTAGAAAGAATTATTTACAATAAATTATCAGATAAAAAATTAGTTTTAGGAGGAGATTTCTTTCATTCAAAAGCGTATTGATATAATTACTATTTTAATATAGATCAGTCTTAAGTGCTAACATAATGAAATAAGTAGAAGTGCCATTATTTTTATCAATGTTAGAAGAAGAAGCAGCAAAAGGAGTGTTTTATGAGTATGATTTGTTTGAGAAAATTAAAGAAAAGGGAGCAAGTACAATAGTACCTGAAGAAGTTTATTAATTGGCTTATCATCAATGTGCCAGTAAATTTGCATTTACTACAATGTATTAATTAGATTAAAATAAGTTTAACATATTGGTTGTAGAATGGAGATTTAAATAAATTAAATGATGCATTTAAAGCAGGTGTATATTTGGGATTGTGCATAGACTTTTAAAATTAAATGAAATATTTTGTAAGAAATCTACCAACAATGTCAAATACATTATTAAAGGCTGTAGTAAATAATAATGAGTGCAATTTTTATTAAGATAAAATAGCGTAATGTATTTTATTAAATTAAAAGATTACCAATTTATTATATGCATTAGAAATCTAAAGAAACAACATCTTTGTAATAATTACATGATCATGCACTCAAATAATCTGAAAAAGTCATAGAGATTATGAAAGATAAGTCAAAAGAATATTTTCTAAAATTGGGAGCTAATTTTGAAGATATAGAAGATCTAATTGAGCATTTTTGCAGATATGAGTGATAATTTAAGAATAAAATTAATAATTATTATTATTTATTTATTTCAAATTTTCTATTATAGGTATAAATTTAATATTTCTTTAATTTAATATTATTTTAATGCTTCGAAGTCTTGATCTTAAAAAACATAGTCACAAATATCTTTATTAATAAATCTTGTAAAACACCTAATTTTTTGTGGAACTTTATTATTTTATTATTGAAATTTTGATCTATATATTAAATATTCAAATAAGCAATTCAAACATATCTAGTGAGAACAAGCAGCTTTAAATGATTTATTTCTATATAATATAGATATAACAAATACACTAAATCACATATTTTTGAATGTTACATATGAAAAGGTGTATTTAAAATCTTTTCTTATGTTTTTTGTATTTGTATTTTACATCTTTCAGTAAGCCAAACTTAATGTAAATTATAGTATTCTTCATCAAAAAATTAATACATTCTTCCTAAATAAATATCTTCCATTATTATAGTTAAAGGATTTTTATACTTATTAATAAAATATAGAAATTGATTAAGAAAAGTAATTCTTTAAGGATTGGCATTAATGTAAACATCAGCAAAAATAATAAATAATTATGGATTTACTTATTTAAATGCTAACATACATAATTATAATACATAGTTCAAATTATTCCTTTTTCTTAGAACCATCCCAATTTTTATGTCCTACAAAACTAGGAGAATTTTCTATAATCATTTTCTCTAAAAATTGTTAAGCATTTTTATGTGAGAGCAAGATTTTAGTGTAAGTTTAGTCATTAAAAATATCACATAAAAATTTTAGGAAAAAGTTTCTTATTATTCCAGAGGATTTGGGTTAATTGATTAAACATTGAATTAGTATATCACATTAAAAATATATAGCTAATTTAAGTAAGGGCAAGTAATATTCTCTAATTCTATAAACTACTTTCCCTGTATATATAAAGGTCAAGAATAATTCAAAGAGCTGTTTTTATGGTTTACTTTCCAAATAAAAATCAACTTAATAGGAAATTGTATGTTGGTTTGATTAGTCTTGAATCTTTTACAATGTTATTTCAGGTAAAATATAATTTTTCATGATCAAAAATTATATAGGTGGATATTCTATTAAATTTTGATATTGTTATTACGTTATGAAAGTATTAATGTTGCGTTCTTAATATATCCCAATTATTGATACATAAAACATTATTAGAGTAGTAAGGTTTGATTAAAAAACACTTATTTGCCTAAATCTATTACATCTGTCTCCATTTTTATTCTTCAATTAATAATTAATGTAAAAAGAAACTTCTTCTGTTAATACATCACATTAACAATAACAATAATAATAAAATAAGGAAGAGAGTAAATTAAAAAGTCTATTGTAGGGTAGCTATGATTTCATTCATAGAGAGACAGGAAAAATGATTTAGAAAGTAAATTCAATAGAAATTATTTTGATTAGAAACTCTATAAGAAAGCATTCCAACTTTTAGAAAAATTTTATAATCAAAGAAAAGACCTTGAATTAGGTGAAATGGTTATGTTGAATAGGAGAATGATTAATTGCATAAACAAAATTTTAAAATAAGGATTACTTAAACCTGATATTGAACAAGACAGACCAGAGATTATGCTTCATAAATTTCATAGAGGATGCCAAGCTATATTTGAATTATACAAATACATTAATCTGTATATTTAAAAAGTTATACCTAATGAAATGAAAGGAATTGTGTAAGCCTATTAAATAAGAATATTAGTTTGGAGGAAGTATCTCATTTGACAAGTTCTGATGAAGAAGGTGAAGAAAATATTAAGGAACATGAAGTCACAGTATTATTTTATAAAATCAATGAATATGATAAACCAAAAAAAGAGAAAAGTAAAAAATAAGTTAAAGAATTGAATCCTTTTGAATAAGAAATTTCAGAAACTAGTCGAATAGCAAATATGATTGTAAAAACAGTAAAACCATTGAATATTCAATTTGAATTGGATCAATACTTTTATAACTTAATTGAACTTCAATTAATGGGCAATTTAATATTTAAGAAAGCAAATAAACCAAAAGTAGCTTATTACTATTTAGTGGAAGCTTAAAGAATTGCTAAATAAATATTAGATACTCCAAATCCAAATTTAGTAAATACATGTGCTAGAGTAAAGATGTATTTAGCCAATTATTTATATGAAATAAGTGAATATAAGGAATCATTAAAGGTTGCAGAGGAAGCTATAGTAATTTTATGTGGAGAGATGAGAATAAGAATAAATTAAGAAAAATTTGTATAGAAGAAACATAAATAAAGGTATATAAGTGTAACTTATACCAAAATAGGGAGAGAAGAAGAATGAAAAGATGTGTGATAACAACATTATCAGCATTAATTATTATGATGTGTAATTATGAAGCGGAAAATAATTATCATAGAATTGTTGAAACCTTAACTACAGCTAGTTGGTTGGCTGATAAATATATTTAAGGAATTGATGAATTTAAAAAACATGTTATTAAATTGGCTACTGAAGGTAAACATAGATTAGAGTAGAATCTAAAAGATTTAGCAGATTTAAGTTATATTGCTGAATCTATTTTGGATTCAGAATTAAATAAGATTAAAAAGAATTAAAGAGATTAGAGAGAATAATCAGAATCTGATTATTTAAAGAAATTCAATAATGATATGTTTAATCTTTTTTAAATCAAATCATTGAATGAACAATTACATTTTAAAACATAAGTAAGAGAAGAATAATAAAAAAAATCATAATTTGATAATAAAATTATTGAATAATCATAACCTCATGGAACTGATGCTTCAATTAATATATTTGATAGTGATACAAATAGTAAAGATAGTTTTTTTGAAGGCAGTTTCTTTGCACCATCTATTGATAATTTATAATTTGATTCAAAATTATTTGAAGAAAAAAGACCATTATCATCTGCCAGAAGGCCAATTAATAGAAAAATAATTAAACCGAATAGATAAAAAGGTAAATCTGTTGGTTTAATTAAAATTGGTTTAGAAAGACCATAAGATTATAAATCAAGGATATTGACTACTACTCAATATTTTAATGAATATTAGAAACCAAAAGTATAAGAAGAGAAGAATGTAAGTAATACAGGATCTTTGTTAAAAAGATAATTAGAAAATTTAGAATATAGAGTACATCCAGATAGAGATGAACATCACAAATAAGATTTAGATGTATATGTTAATAAAATGGTAAATGGAAAAATTCAATCAAATGAGATTAGAGATTATAATGAGTAAAATAATTGTATATTTTAGTATATTAGGATAATTATTCAGTTTAAGAAAGAAAGAAGATTTTGATAAAAAAGAGTTTCAATTTGGAAGGAGGATGTTAAATCTTAAAGCCAAAGAAGAGATTATGTTTTATAAGGAATCTTTTAAGACTCCTCCTGTAAAAGTTGAGATTGATACAAAAGTTAAAGATTAAGCTCATTTTATAGATAGTAAAATTACTGCTGAGAGAGATCTAAGGGATTTAAAAAGAAGAAAGATAGATAAAATGGTTGCTGGTAAAAAAATAGTTCAAACTAATGTGAATATAGATTTAAAAGATCCAGAAGAAACTAATTATTTAAAAAAAGTATTGGAGAAAAGTAAGAAGAAGAAACTTAAAGATTTAATCTTTAAGCATAGAGAATCATTAGGATTAGCTAAATTCTTTATCAATTAATAGAGAGAATTAAGAGAAAAAGAAAGAATTTTAAAGCTCAAATCAGCTTTAGAAAAAGAAGTATCTTTGGATGTTCCAGATAATCAAAGTCAATAATAACAGTAGATCAAATAAAAGAAAAATGTTAAAATAGTTGTACAATAAGTAGATAAATAATAACCATAATAAGTGTCTTTATAACCTTCTTAATTACAATAATCTCAAGTTGGACCAGAGGATCAAAAGAATTAAATAAACTTAATTTAATAAAAATCCTATTCATAAACAAGTTTACCTAAAACAATACTGAAGAAACATAAGGAAGTTTAAAGTTAAAAAGAAAGTCCTTTAATAAGTTAAACTTTGATTTCTATGGATGCTTAAGGAACAGACTTAATATTATAATAAGAAAAGCTATAGAAAGCCAAGAGAGTTATCAAAGATCAGGTTGAAAAATAATAAAAAAAGTCTCATTAAGTTATAGGAATGATAATTGATGCAGTTGAAAGGAAAATGGATATTGAAAATAAAGAGTTGAAAAAGACACTTTTTAAATAAAAGGGAGGATCAAAATAATATGTTGATGATGATGAAAGAACTTATTTAAAATTTATGCCAAAGTTTGCAGAAATGAGTAGATCTACATATCTTATGTATATTAAGAAGGAATTAGCAGATAAATAAATTATCAACTTAGAAGATATTGTAAGAGCTAATGTAGCTAGGAAAAACTAGTTAGCAGATATGGCTGCATAAATATTTAAAGATTTTGGATAGCATCCTTGATTTATATAATAATATTTTATTATAAATTATTATTCATACATAATGAATAATGACTAAGTATCTTTGTTCTTATATTTATTTAGCATTTCTAAATCAAATTAGATTATTATTTGAATTCAAGTACACAACAAAATTTATTTTAGTTTTATTTTTTTATGAGCAATTACTTTAATCAGCTGATTGTGAATCTTTATCAAATTAACAATTATATTTTATTTTATTTTCATAATCTATATATTGATTTCATTTCAATTAAGATTATGGTGTCTTTGATTACAATTTATTAATGATAATACTAAAAACTTATTAAATAATCAATTTTAAGATGAATTTTTAATTAGAAAATAATGAACAATAAATCTCATTATAATTCAGTTAGCAAATTCTATTGAAGCTTCTTTTTTCGAATTAGTTGAGTTATTTTAGTCATATATTTAATTATTAAATTAGAATAATAATTACAGAAATAGGAATTTGATAATTTCTTAAAATTTGAGAATTTAAAGATTATTAGATCTATATGAATTAACATTTTAAGTTGAATATATAATTTTTTGTTTAATAAATTTAATTATGATTAGATTATTGCAATAATAATAGTAATTCAGAAATTAAGTGAGGTATTCCTTAACACATTCTGAAGCTAAGCTGAGAAAATCCTTATTCTCAAACTCTCCAATTGAAACCACAATGTACATCGAGCTTCTAAAAGGATAAAAGTATAGAGGAATAGCTTAGATGAGTTTCAATTTAAAAGAGACAATGTCATTGTTTCTTGACTGTTAGGGTTAAGATGTATCATCATTGATTGTTAATAATTAAACACTCTAAAATATTAAGCAAGATGGAAATAAATTATGGATAGAATCAGGTTTGAAAAAGGATTAAAATAGAATAGAAGGTATAAAATTTATGTCAATATTTAGTCTACTTTTAGAATTAGTACTCAACAACAGGTCATGGATTACATAGTTTTATGGACCATGAAGATTAATATGTTTATTCATAATGTGAACCACATCATGCATCTAAAATGTTCCCTTGTTTCGATTAACCTGATTTAAAGGGAACATTTAAACTATTTGCCTATGCACCCAAAGAATGGAAAGTTATTAGCAATGAAAGATATTTAGAAAATCCAAAAATACCTTAATTTGTTTATGACAAAGGGTATTTTCCTTTTGATTAACAATATAAAATATGGGAATTTGATTAAACAAAACCATTATCTACTTATTTATATGCAATTTTAGCAGGACCTTATGTAGAGATTAAAGCACCTGAGGAATTATTACATAATTCAATTCCATAAAGTTTATATTGCCGAAAATCACTATTAAAGTTTGTTATGAATGATGCATATTCTATTTTTAAAGTGACTTCAGATAGTATGAAGTTTTTTGATGATCTATTTTAATACAAATATCCTTTTGGAAAGTATGATTAAATCTTTTGTCCTGAATATTCAACTGGAGCTATGGAGAATGCAGGAGCAGTTACAATAAATGATTTATATGTTTTTAAAGAGCCTGTTCCAAAATCTTAAGTGGCTTCAAGAGCTAATACAATAATACATGAATTATCTCATATGTGGTTTGGTGATTTAGTGACAATGGAATGGTGGGATGATCTTTGGTTGAATGAGAGTTTTGCTGAATTCATTTCACATTTATGTTAAGATAATGTATGTTAAGGAGAAAAAGTGAATTATTGGGTATAATTTTTAGAAAGAAAACTTTGGGGTTATGTAACAGATGAAAAATCAACTACTCATCCTATATATTGTTAAATAGATAATACTGATTAGGCTGAAAATATATTTGATGGTATTACATATGCTAAAGGAGCTGCTTTGATAAAATAGATTTATTTTACAATGGGGAGAGAAGGATTTTCTAAGGCAATGGGATTATATTTTTAAAAGCATGCTTATGGTAATACAAAATTAAATGATTTCTTTGAATCAATGAGTATTAATAAAAATGTTAATTGGGAAGAATTTAAATAAGAATGGATTATGACATCTGGTTTTAATACTCTTTCTTATAAGTGTGAAAATAATTAAATAATAATAAAATAAAGTGGTTCATATTTAAGAAAACATGCTATTACTATTGGTTAATTTGTAAATAATTAATGGGTTACTCGCAAGATTTAGGTTGATGCTAAAGAAATCACAACCGTAAAAATTGAGAATTTAAAAGAAGATACTTTATTAATACTCAATTATAATGATGAGAATTATTTAAAAGTAAGTTATAATAAATAATAAACTTAATAACTCTTACAAAATTTATCAACTATTTAAAATAGTTTGAATAGATTATTGGTTCTTTAATCTATATTTGATTAAGTAAGAGATGGACAAACATGTTTTTTAGATTTCTAATAAGGTGTTTCTAATTTTCTTTAACATGAGATTGATGATACAGTAATAAAAATTGTTTTAAATTGGTGTGCTGCAGGTGTTAACAATTATACACCATATAAATATAGAGCAGAAGTAAGAGAAAATTTAGCAAAAAAAGTTAAATAATTGATTGATTGTACTTAAGAATAAAATAAATTGTTAACATTAAGATCTCATTATATTAGTTGGTCTAGAACAATTGATAGATTATAAACTATTAATATTGATGAAATTGGAGTGAAAGATGGTTGGACTTATATTTATAATTAGTTTTTATATAATAAAGTTTAATGGAATCTTTTTGATAAATTAAGTCTTTAAGATGTAGATCATAAGAAACATAAAAGATTTTTAGAATCTTTAGGTGTTGATAAAGATTAACTTTGGTCATATTTTATTAATTTTGATAAGAATGAAAGTGTTTAATAAGTATCTTAAGTAATGAGAGCATTTAATCATGAGAAATTTATAGATTAATTGGGAAAATATGAAGTTAGATTTTTTGAAGTTATTGTTTAAATTTTTGAGACAAAGGAATCTGAATATGCTAAAGCATTCTTTAATAATCTATATCCAATAGGTGAAAATCTAGAAGTTTACCAATAATTATCAAAGGAAGCACTAACTAAGACAAAAAATGATTTCTTAATTAAATTATTAAAAGAAGCTATTGATATCAATGATAAAAGATTGAAAGCATACAAAACATTTAAATGAGTTATTTATAGTTTATTTATTTACAGAATTAATCTATTATATATATATATTTAATTCCTTTATTTGACTTAATAATAGTTTATATTATATATCAAAAGAGTAAAAAGACAAATTATATATTTAGATCTTCAATCATTAGATTGAGAAATATTTTATAAATAAAAATATAGCAAATAAATGAATTAAATATCAATATTTCTCATAAAGCAATACATAGGCTGATCTATCAGATAATTATTTTCCATTAATTTTTGATACAGTTTCATCATCAAATTAATACCAATTATTATATCTTTCAGCATAAGCCTTATAATGTCCACCATTTATCTAACCCATATGAGTTATTAGTGCTTTTAGTTTATATTTAGTTTGCAACCCTTTAGAGCAGAATCTAAAAATAAATTTTATGATTTACTCTTAAATGTCCAACTTTTCAGTGTAAGAAATAGAATCATTAATCTTTTGAGATGTTGGAAAAGTAGTAAATCTTTTAAATTAAATAATTAAATATTGAGGAGTCTAACTAATAAACATCTTTCTTTTAACTGATTTATTGGTTTTTTTGCACTTGTCACATTTCCAAGTATCATTAATAACTTCCTCTCTATAATATGATTTTAGACAATCCATTAAATCAATACCAGTATATGATTTACTAAAAATACTATATTAAATATTACTTAATTGATAAAGACAAATCCCATATTGGATCATATCCTTCACAAACTTAATTACATGATTTACAATAAGATTAACTTGTAGATTATCCTGCAAAAATAAAATCAATAATATCTTGATTTTTGGATGTATAATCACTCCAAGCTTATTCAGCTGAATTGAATTCTTATTTATTTTTATATTTCCCAACTAATTCTTCTTAAATCTTTCCCAAAAAGAACAAAAGAAATTCATGACTATCTTATTATTAATTAAATTGGAATTTTCCAGAACAAACTTCCCAAACACTCTGAGCTGCAATTGAAGAAAAAGAACCTTATCTTTTAATCTGTAAACAATAAATATATATATAATACTGATCTTAATAATTCTTAATATGAAGTTAAGAATTTTTATCCATATTTTGGTTGAATAGCTAGAATACCTTCAGTAAGTGAATCAATACTTAAAAGAACTTATAAAGCTGAATTCATATAACAATAATATCTTGGATTTCTCAATCCAATAATTGGTATTTAACCTTAAGAAATTGATGGTCTTTTTTATTCTTAATTTACTTATCTATAGTTTTGAACACTATCATTTCTTGGTTGTGGTTACATAGTCTATGATACTTGTCTATCAACAGATTTTGGAGTTGCCATGACTGAAACAGTTTAAGTCATAGGTTTTTATTGAATGAATCTTGAATTGCTTGATGTTTATATCATAGATTATGGTTATTTTGGAGGCTTAGATTGAGGATTATTAAGACTAGTAGATTAAACTTAAGATTCTCGTTTAGATGGATGTATGAGTTTCACTTCTGGACCTCCTCGATACATTTAGTATACAAAGTTCCAAGCTTGCTCATTTAAAACTACATAGTCGACATCTTATTTTAATCCACTTTTTATTTATTAATTGGGTCCAATCAGGTTTTAATTGTTTATTGATTAAATTTCAGTTTTTTTTCCTTTTAGATGATTTGTATAATTAACTGCCCATGTAAAATCAAGTGCAAACTACTCTTGTATATTTTCTTTGTTTATCAATTAAGTGATATAATCATGTTCACATTCAACACTAGGAACTTAGGATTTAAATACCTTTTTTCATATAAACTACGATTACGCAAGTCTTTAATCTCTTGTATTTTCCTCAACATTTCCTAATTTGAATTAGTTTTAATAAAAACTTCGTCCATTGGTTTTGCAGGGACAGGTGGTGGAACATTAACTTTTTGGGATTCTTCTTCTTTCTTAAAAGAATGCGTATCAGAATTCGTGGATGGCTCCTCTGGCTTGGCACTCTTCCTAAAATTCCAAAAAACTACTTCGATTTCTTCTTTTTTGAACCGCAACAGAACATTATAATATATAATAATATTTTATTTATATTTATAAAATCGCATAACATATTTGCATTCTAAATAATTATCTTTATCAATTAATATTTATTCATATTTAAACCAACGTCTGAAACTTTGCTTCATTTTTTACTGGCACTCAAATTATTTAACCTTTCCATTTCTATAAATCTATAATAATATTATCATTTTATTTCACATTTTAAATGATTAAGTCTTTCTATTAAAGTAATAATATAGATATCCTATATTACAATAGAAAATTCTAATAAAGATCTTAAATATAAAATACAAACCATTATTTTCTTATATATATTTTTAACTTAAAAGAAATCATTTTAATTTTAAGATAATTGTTATATAAATAATCAATTAGTTTTAATAATTTGAAGGTAATTAGCAATATTGTTGAATAGATTGATTATATTAATTTATATATAATGGAAATTTGATTATATTTTAATTCTGATATTATTTATTTCTTTATATTATGATTATTTCAATTAAATTTAATAAAAGGAAATAATATTGTTTAAAATAAGAGAATATTAATAAAAAATAAAATGTTAGTAGGATTTTAAATGTTTTGAAATTGATGAAGTAATAAAAAATATTAAAACTTAACAAGAATAACAAATAATACTATTTTATTCTTAATTTGATTCTTAGGTGTTATGATGTATGGTTATATTGGTTAATATAAGTAAGAATAAATTTGAAATGACTTAATAAATGAATTGATAAAATAAAGTTAAGTAAAATAATTTAATTAAAAATAAATGAGTACTTTGGCAATTTCAAGATGTCCAATAGTTGTTCGTCATGATTTCCCAGATGAAATGGTGAACTATATTGATGAAAAGATGGATGAAGGACAATACAAAAAGAGGTTTAGATATGATCGTCCTGACAAAGTATAATCATATTTTTAAAGTGTTACTAGAAAAAAAGTAAACAAACAAAATCGATTCTTAATATGAATTCATAAGAGATCTTTTAAAAAATAGTAATGGGAAAGAAAGAACCAAAAGAAGAGAGGTTTCGTATCAAACCGAAATAAAAAATTAATACAACTGCGTTGCATTCTGCCCTATTAAAAGTGAAGAAATAAAAAGAAGAGCTTGATATTTGTTTAGCAGTATAAGAGAATTTTATTTATAGATTGCAGATAAAGCTAAATAATGTGTGAATGAAAATGATATTTGTATGTTAGCAAATGAAGGAGCAGTTCGATTTATAATGTCTTAAAATCTAGATATAGATGAAGCTGCATTATTAAGGACTAAGAAAGGGAACACTTTTCATCCTAAACCTAAGAAATCATAGTCTGTAAAATAGGTAATAATGGATGAACCAGAGAATTTATTATCTGTAGAAGGTAGATCATACAACATGGCTGTTTCAACATCACTTTGTAAACATAGACCAACTTCTGCATTTTCAACTATGAGACCTGTTTCTTCAACTAAAAATTATTCTGAAAAAGGTATATCAGAACATTTACTTTAATAATATGCTGATTTCAGAAATTAACTGTTTGAAAAATTGATAGATAATAATGAAAATTAAAATGAAGAAGTATAAATAAATGTTGGATATCCATAATATTTAACACCAGCTGTAGGTATGAAGGGTAGTAGAGTTCCTCCTGGATTTCTACCAAAAGGATTAAAAAGAATTCATAGTGCAGCTGCTACTCAAAATATTGAATTCAGACCTTTTATAAATCCAGGAGAAATATTATTTAATGAATAATAGCATATATCAGCTAAAAGACCATAGACTGCTATGATTAGTAAGATTTAATCAACAAGTAGATTGAATGATCATTTAAAGGTGATAGAAGAAGTTAGACATTAAGAGGATGTAAGAATGTTTGATGTATGAATATATTAGTTGAGTCAATTAAAAATGTCACTAGATTAATCATTTAGAGAATAATAATAAACTTTGAATGTTACAGGTAAAAAAAGAATCTAAAGCGCCTATCCAAAAACTAGAATTTGATTATAATAATAATTAGAATGATTTAAAAACCATTTCTTTATGTAACAAATCCTGAGACATTCATAATATACAAATATCAATATTAAGATGGAAAATATTAAAAGATTGGACCACATATTCCATAAGAATTTGAATTAATGAATGTTAGATAGTAATAATAATATCGCTAATGGAAAGCTTTAAAATTTATGATGTGGAGTATTTTCAATAAAGATAAGATTTAAAATCCTATTGATTTTCGAATAATTTTATGCAGATTAATGGATTTAAATACAAATGTACTATTGGCAGTTGTTAGTACAATAGGATTAAGATATTTCCTTTTGAAATTACAATCTCCATTTATGGATTACTATTTTGAAGATAGGCTAATAACATTTCCAAAACTCAAAAAGTAATCAATTATAATATATTTTAGAGGCTTAGCTTATTCTTACTTTGGTTTTGCATTGTATTTTGGAGTGAAGAGTGTAATAAATTAAGAACATATATTTGATTTAAGTTTGGAGTATGAGTGATTATTATTATAACATTTCTGTTAAATGAGAGTTACAGTTGCGCCATTATAAATCTCAAGATCATTGCCTCCAGTTCCCTTGCCAGTTATGGCAACACCAGTAATGGTTGATAGAGGTACTACTAATCTATAGATCTTTCATAGTCGTTAACATTCATCATTCACAAGTATTTCACACTGATTCACCATTAAAATAACAAAGTGAATAGAAATTGAAATAATTGGAATCAAGAGTGTAAAATCTAGAAAGTCAATCTCCAAATAAGGGTAAGGTTGAAAAACTACTTGAAGAAAATGAAAAATTGTTGCAGTTGGTTCGTGAGAAGACTGAACATGCTTCAAAATATAAAGGGGAATTACTTACTGCTAAAAAGGAAATCACAAAGTAATCTAATTATCTATAATATTAGGTTGAAGAAAGTATTAGATTTGAAAGAGGAAGCATTAACGGATATGAGAATAAAAAGTTAGAGTAGGAGTATATCAAGAGCTAGTGATAGAAAGGTTGAATAGATAATTTAAGAGAAATAACTACTTGAATAATAATATACTCGTGAAAAATAATATTTGGAAAATCAAATAAATTAGCTAAAAGAAGTCATAGAATCATAATCATCTTAAAATCAATCTTTCTAAAATATAGATTATCAATAGTAATATAATTCTAATCCTAACTAATAAATTGAATTATTTGGTCAATAACCATCATAATCAGGTTAAATAATTAGAGGTAGTTAAAAAAGTATTAAAAAGCCTTAATCATCAAATCAAATCTAATTTGATGTTCCTGAATTTACTAATTTTTAATCTAGGAATCCTTAAGGTTAAGATCATCTTAGAAAGCTTTCATCAACATTTTAGGATAAGGATTAAAAATAAATTTCCCCAATAAAAAATGATTATGATTAACCTTTAGAATCAGTCTAACATTCTAAACGTTAATCATATAAGCAATCTGATATCTAAAGATAAAATATCATACCTAATGAAGTAGAAGGAAATGCTTAAGATTAACGTGGTATTAGAAAAGATCATTAAAGATAATAATCATATAAATAGCCTGAGTAAGTTCAAAGAAAATCTATATCACCAACATATGAATAATCATAATAAGATTAATATAATTCAATTAGATAAAATTAAAGATAATAGTCATATAAATAAGGTGATGTTTAAAGAAAATCTATCTCTCCTAATTAAGATGAAGCTGTAATAGAATTAAGAGGAGGTACACGATAAGATCATTCAAGATAACCATCATATAAATAACAAATTCCAGTTTAAGAATAATAACGTAATATTCATAGAAAGCAATCTAGTACAATGGAATAATATTAAGTTTAAATCTATTAATTGAATGATGAATTACTTTAAGCTAGACATTAAGAAGATGAATTGAAATCTTAGATTAATCTATTAAATTAATAGCTTTAAGAACATAAATTAATGGTAGATAATTTGTAATAAGATTAGAAGAAATAATAGGAATAGATTGCTAAATATAAATAAGATTTATAAAATTAAAATTAAGAATTATAGAAATAGTTATCAAGTAATAAGGATTTATAATTATAACTTTAAAAGTTATAACGTAATACTGATTCTTAAAATAAATTATAAGATTAAAAGTTATAAGAACATTTAAGAAAATAACAAATTTTAGAAAAGTAATTAGAAGAATCTAATTAAATTATAGAGAAGCTAGAATAAGAAAACTAAAGTATTTCACATAAATTTGAATAAGAAAAAGATGATTTAATCAAAGAGTATGAAGAATAATTAGAATAGAAATAATAAGAACTTATAGAATTGAATTAATCTGCACTTTTGGAGAAAACATCAAAGGTTGAATTTGAAATTTAATTAAATCAACTTAAATAAAAAGAAGCTAATTTTAACTCTGAAATAGATAAAATACGCAAATAGAAAGATTTAATGAAAGCCTAGTTAGAAGAAACTCAAAAAAGTCTTAATTAAGCCAAAATATAAATTAGTCAAATAGAATCAGAACATACAGCCTAAGTAGAATTAAGGGAACAATTAGAAACTAATTATGCAATTCTATAAAAGGAATATGGAGAATTTAAAGAGAATTCTATATCTTAATTTAATAGTAAAATGAATAGTTATTAATAAAAGGCTTAATTGGAGTATGACAAATTAAAAAAATAGAGTTTATAATAATAATCAGAATTAGAGAAAATATATCTAGAGAAATCAGAATTAGAATAGGAATTGAATAATACTCAATAGGATTTGGGACATTAATATTAGGAAGTAACATAATAATTATAAAGTGCAAAGTAAACTATAAATGAATAGAAAAAGTAAATAAAATAATTAGGATAATAGAATTAATAATTAAGTTAGGATCATTAAGAATTATCAGTACATTATTAATAATAAGAAAGTGAATTAAATTAATTAAGATAAGAATTTTAAACTTAATAAGATTAATGTTAATCACTTCGATTTGATATTTCAAGAATTTAGATTGATAAGGCATAAATGGAATCAGCAAATAAATAACAAAGATAGATGGATTAATTAATGTTAGAAAATGATTCAATTTTGCATACTAATGAACAATTATAAACTGATCGTAATTAATTATCTGATACTCTTTAATAAAAGGAGAGTGAAATTGAAAGACAGAAAAAGAAGATAGATCAATTAAAATAATTAAATTAATAAAATATTGAATAAATTAAAAAATTATAAGTAGAATTATCAGAGAAAGAGGTGATAGCTGAAAAATGTTAAAGTGAATTCAACAATTTTTAAAGAGAATTATAGATATTGAGAAAGGAAAATGAGAGATTGTCATCAGATACATAAAAATATGTTGAATAACTTGAATAAGAGAAAATGAATTCAAGTAAGAAACTTGATCATTTGTAATCTCAATTACAATAATAAATTCAACAGAGAGATTAAGAATATGAAGATTTAGATAAATCAAGTAGATCAGCCTTTGTTGAATTATAATCTCGAAAGTAAGAAGCTACTTAATAATAAAGAAGATTAGAATAATAGAATGATCTTATTAAATAATTGAGTGAATAATTAGAGAAAGTTTCTTAATAAAATAAAAATTTATTAAATGATTCATAATTGAACAAGTAATAACTTGAACAATAACAATAAGAATTTGAATTCACTATTAAAGATCTATAAGCAAATCTTTAGAAATAATAATATATTCAAGATGAATTATAAAAAGATATTTAGAAATAAAAATTATAAGAAGCTAAATAAAAAGAAGCTAATGATATGGAAAAAGAAAAAATGAATTAAATAATGTTAAAGTTGGAAGAAAAGTTTGAGTAACACAAAAATGATACAGCAGCTGATTAATAAGAATATTAAATATTTAAATAGACAAATTCATAATTAAATAGTGAATTAGAAAGAATTAGAGGAGAAAATGCTGATTTACATGAAATAGTTATATAACTTTAAAAAGAAAATGTTTCATTAAGGGATCATCATTAATAAATGATTTCTTAAATTGAAGAAAATCATCAGGCAACTGAGAGGTTAAGAACATTATGTTAATAATATGAATAAGAAGTTATTTTATTAAGGAGATAGGTAATTATTTTAATATTTATATCTTTTTAGCCTGACCAAGGACTATATGAATAACCAAAGGCAGGATTTATAAAGACAAAGAATAGTAAGAGATTAGAGGATATGGAGAGAGATAACATTAATTAATAAAAGGAGATTTAGAGATTAAAATCAATAATTGATGAATTTTAGAATAATTAAAATTATAATTCAACTCCAACACCAGAAAGAAAATAGTTTAATTAGTCATAAAGTTTGTCATAAAAAAAACACTTGTTTGAATAAAAACCTAAATCTATTGATAACACAATAAGAAAATAATTATAATGAAAAATACTATCCATTTTAATATTTATGAAAAAAAATGAGTTTTATTTTTGTAATTCATTTTAACAAACTCTTAGATATTAGGATAATATTATAAGATTGTTATATTTATATAATAATAAATATTTATAGATAATGTAAATGCTGAGATAGAAGGACTATTTAGTAAATAAAGAATTTTGATTTTGTTAAAATTACATAATTGTTATTGTTAAACTTTAATCTTAAAGAAAATTGAAAATGATTGATGAAAATAAGTATTAATAATTAAATTTTGAATTAAGATGGTTATTTAATAAGGATTCTTTTTTATATATTGTAATGTATAAAATTCATGAAGGTTTAAATAGAACTTAAAACATGTACTTTTATGTGAAAAGGTATAATGGGCGATATACTTTGTTAAAACATTGTATTTGTTAATTTTGATAAATTTAGAAAATAAATTAGAGTTAGTTTTTAAGAGATATATATAAAATGATGGTTTTTTGTATATTTATTATCATAATGATATGATCAATAGAAGTAAATTATTAAATTATTGTGTTTATTTTGCTTAGATTGTAATTGTATTTTATTTAGTCTTATTTTTATATGGATATTTAAAGATGCTTGAATACAAATGATTTATATTTAAATTATTATATATTTAACATCATGATATTGATTCTATTATGGTTATCCTTTTCAACTGTTTATTCTATAGATAAATGTCTTGAATTTAGAACTTAATTGGATTGCATTTAGAGCACAGATAGTCAGTGTAATATTTATAAAAAACGAATTAATAGGTGTATGGGATTCTGAGTATTGCCAATACACAAAAAATTTAGAACTTGGCTGTTCTAATTTATTGAATAAAATGGCATGTATAAAATAATTAGCTTATTCATCAGGATAAATAGCAAAATGTAATTATTTTAATAAAAAGTACAGGTATTTTTATAAAAGTGTGTTAACCAGTGTATGATTTAACTTAATTGACATGTACTGATACAATAACTAAACATTCTTGTTTGAGTATTCAGAATATCAATTAACTTTGTTATTGGGATGAAAAGACTTATACTTGTAATGAAATAAAAGAGTAAACATATTAGGAAGATTTTGAGAATGTTCTATATAGTGCTTCTGTTTGTGGAAGGATTAAACGTAAAAAATGTAACATATTTAGATTATTTGATAATACACAGTTCATTGATTTGGCCACTTATTTCATATACTCCAGATTTTTCTTCTGAGGCTTAAGATATTTATAGGTAAGATTTAGGTTTGGAGAAACAGAGTTCAAATAAAGAATATGATAGTGGAGTATTAGCCAATAATAAACTTTATAATAGATGTGATGATTCTAATTAAGCCACTTATTTTTAATGGTATCATTTTAATGATGCATAATCATATGCTCTTAATAATTGTAATAAGTTAATATAAATAGTTTAGTAAAAATAAGTGATAGAAAGAGAGAAGGATGTATAGCATTATAGATAGCAGATGATAATGATTATTTGTAGATATTTTCAACAAAAATAGAAACAATTGGAATTAATCATATTTATTGTAGATATCAAGGAGGAGTTTTTACTAATTATAAATGCTTATATTTAAATGATAAATTAGAATTGAAAGACAAAAATTTCTTATTAGCCAATAAGATATATTGTGATCAATTAAATTTGAATTAATGTCAATATATTGAATAAGAATGTTATCCAATTTTAATGGATGGTAATAATGAATAAGAAATAACATGTACATTTTCAGAATAAAAATTACAGGAAGCTTAGGGTTGTTTATCTTAAACATAATAATATAAAACTTATAGGGATTGTGCATCATTGACAGATATAAATTAAGGGAGTTATTTAGATATATCTTAAGTACCTTCAATATGTACTTCAAGTTGTGTAAGTAAAGTATAAGATAATTGTGATACTAGTATATGTAAATGGATTGATAGCCAAGAAGATTTTTATGGTTGTATTCCAAAATTTGGTTGTAATCAACCAGGAGTAAATCGTCATTATTGTATTTATATGGCATAACCTTGTTAATGGGATATAGATTTAAATTAATGCAAATAAATTTAGGATTATGAATTAAGTATTATAGAATGTAATGATGCCATTTCAAAATATTTATGTGGAAATATTCGAACAATGGGTTAAGAATGTATATGGATTGATGAAGATGAAAAATGCTTAAATGTTATGAGTGTTCCAGCATTAAAGGTGTTTACAGCTTATCCTTAGAAATATATTGTAAATAGAACTCTTTGTATGAATTATAAGGGAAAACATATATATTAGAATTTTAAATGTCCAATTTATACAACAAGTGGTAGTTGTGCTACTGAAGATCCTACTTAATTTAATAAGGAAATGTGTTTAAAAACACCAAAATGTCATTGGGATATTATGTATTAAAGATGTTCATAATATTAAATTAAATCAAGTTGTGAGTAAATGGTGAGTGTTTCATCTGATGCATGTAGTTCATTTTTAGATTGTATATATGATTAAGCAAGTGAGAGTTGCAAAGCTTAATCTTCAAATAAAAATTGCAATACTCCTGGTTTAGCAAAACCAAAATGTTTAGAATTAGAGAATTATCCATGTTAATGGATTGGAGGATAATGCATTTAAGTTACTTAATTTAGAGAATTATGTACATCATATAGAAATGTAAGTAAGTTAGTTTGTACTTCTTTGGAAACTCAATTGTGTTAATATTCAAATGGAAATTGTTTTTTAGTTGATGTATAGCCAACTAATTGTTCTGACACTTATAATCGTTATGCTTGTTAATACAGCACTGATCAATGTTACTTTTTTAATAATAAATGTTAAAGCTTTACAAATTAATAAATTTCTTGTGTAGGATATTATGTTAGTAAGAAAGCTTGTTAAGCAATTACAACACCAGGTTAGGAATGTATTTGGCAATCAGATTAATGTATTTAAATTAATAAACGTATTAATTGTTTGGCTTCGTCCTCTTTTGCTGTAAATAAATGGGCTTGTATGGGAATTGAAGCAGAAACTTCTGCTTATTTGGATGATTAATTTTATTGCGAATATAATGAAGTTACAAAGGAATGTAAATCTAATATTACAAACATTATTGATGATTGTGGTGAAAATATGAATATAAATAGACAAAGATGCAGTGGTTTTACACATGGGAGGTTTTGTCTTTTTTAGGATTATAAATGTAATCAAGTAAATTTGAATCACAAATATTGGGATGATAAATTAGACACTATTAAATGTGAATAGGCTAATAAATCATTATGTAGATTTGTTAGAAATAGAGTATGTTAATGGGTTTGGCAATTATGGGCTGGTTATTATGATTTTAGATGTGCTGAAGTCAAAATTTTTAATATTCAATGTTCTCCTAATTCTAATCTTGAAACATTATCTTATCAACCTCTATCCTATAATCCTTAATAATGTTCTGTACTCATACATTATGGTGTGATTGAAAGATGTATACCTTCAACAGATCCGGCTTAATTATATAATAATTGTATAGCTGATAATGCAACTCCATAAAACTATTATCCTTGTGATTAACTTGGAATTAGTCCTTCAATTTGTGTGACTACTACTTATGGCAAATGTGCTTATATTAATGATGTTTGTGTTTAAGCACCTGAATATTAAGCTACTTGTTCAACTTTGAATAAATATGCTTGTTTGAGTTCAAGATCTTTTTGTTCTTTAATGGCTGGATATACATTAAATTTTGATATGGGAAGTCTCACATCAAGTTAATTGGTTGTTTAAGTATGTGATTAATCAACATCTAATTAATCATGTGAATCATTTAAATATGATATTTAATCATGGACATTTTGTAGTTCATTATAAAAATGTTATGGTAGATAGAAAGCATGTAAACAATTATTAGATAATGAGATACCAATTATTAAATGTGATTCTCCAGGTGTTAGTTAATATGTTTGTTTGCGTTCTAATATGATATGTTAATTCAGAAATAATCGTTGTTAAACTATATCAACAAATAAATGTGAATTCGAAACAACTTTAGAAGATTGTGTTTAAAATTTGTATTATAATTGTGTCTATTCTGATAATAAATGTTATACTCAAAATTTAATAACTAAATGTGATAAATATAATTATACAAATAAGAAATTCTGTAGACAATATCCAAATTGTAGATATAATCCATTAACTTTTAAATGTGTTGATTTTACAATATTGATGGATGTTTAAAATAATATAGTAAATTATACAATAGATTGTTCAACATATAAAAATCAATTTGATTGTTTAAATTAATGGAAAGTTTAATGTTAATATTAAAATAATATTTGTAGTATTCCATCTACTACACCTTCTAGTTGTCCACATTTACAATAATATAGTAAATTAACATGTTAAAAATTTGAAAATTGTGATTTCAAATTTGGTTATTATTGTTATAATAAAACCTTAACTATAGATTGTTCATAATTATCAGAGACTCTATGTGTCTAAGATATAGATTAAAACCTAGAATGTTTTTGGGATGGAACAACATGTTAAGTAATTACTACTTAAATTTGTAGTGATATTTAAAATAAAAAAATAAGTTACTTTGGATGTTAAAAAGTAAATTAGAATGATAATTCTAAATGTTTTTATTCTGATGAATAAAAGTTATGTAAATTAGTAAATGAAATTAATTAATGTTCTGATTTTAATACAAATATTGAATGTGCATTAAGAGCATAAACACCATGTATTGTAGTAAGTCCAAATACAGATAGTTCTAGTTGTACAACAACATCATTAACATACAATATAAATATGAATCAATATGGATGTACATAATTAGTTGGAAATGTTTATATATATGATATGTATGAATATTAATGTAAATTATTGATTGGCAAAGAAATAATTGGATGTGAAAATTTAAATATTGATGCATGTATTAAAAGTACAAGTAGTTATTTAACAATTATGTGTGCATGGATTAATTAAAGATGTTAATAAATAAATGATTTTTCAAATGTAAATGATTGTACTAAATTAAATAAATATGCTTGTATGAAAATTGAAAAGAATGATTTAATTTGTAAATGGGATGATACTAATTATTGTCTATCTTCAACTGAGAGTTCTGCTTGTTAATTATTATCTCCAACAATACCAATACCAATACCAAATGCTATTTTTGGAAAGGCAGATCATCCACCAAGACCTTATGTTAAAGCATCAGCTCCATATAACTCTCTTAGTTTATGTAGTAAAGGTGAAAGTAGTAAGGCTTGTATGGCAAAAGTAGGATAATAAGGTTGTGTTGAATTTAATTATACAATAGAGATATGTTCAGGTTTAGGTTTAAATAAGAAAGCATGTATAGAATAGACAACAGGATATTGTATTTGGTAGAATAATTAATGTTAAAATGCATCATTAGATAATTAGAATTGTAATGCAGAAGTTAACAAGAAAACATGTTTAGCTATGAATGATGAAATGTGTAAATGGAATGATACTACTCATCTATGTTCAAATCTAACATTACTTTAATGTTCAGATGCAACATCTTATAATTAATGTATGAATGTACCAAATAAGGAATGTTAATTTATCAATACATGTCAAGAATTAGCTATACTCCCTTTGGTTTGTAAAAAAGGATATAACAAAGTGGCATGTAGAAATGTTAAAAATTAAGTTTGTTAATTTTCTAATAATGAATGTTCTCTTATTGGAGAATTTGATTTTTGGTAGATATGTCCATAATATAAGACATCATCTTCTTGTCCAACCGGAACTTGTTAATGGTAGAATTCAAAATGCATTATAAATACAGAATGTTTAAGTATAAAGTAATAATTAACAACTCCTCTTGATGAAATTCCATATATGTTAGATGTATGTCCAAGAATTAAATTATTTGCTTGTATTTAAATTTACAATAAAATTGGTTGTATGACAAGTAGTCTATATTGTAAATGGGATGATATTAATGGTTGTTCTTCTTTTGTTACATATTTAAACACAATTACTTGTGATGAAACTATTAAATATAATAAAAAAGTTTGTGATAAATATGCTCCTAAATTCTGTGAATTCAAAGAAGATTCTTGTTCACCAAAAATATCTGATTATTATTTTAATAATATACCTACTTAAACCTTAGCAAGTTCTGAAATTAATCAAGATATTGAAACAGAAACATGTGATTATTATTTAACAAGAGAAACTTGTATACATTCTACTAAATTTGCATGTAAATGGATTGGATTTTGTGAATCCATTAATAATAATGATATTAATATAATATATTCTGATCTCAATTTAAAAGCATGTATCAAATTTAATTAATAATGGAGATAAAGATAATGTATATAAACTAACTTTTTATTCATACCAAATGAAGTTATTGATCATAATGTATAAGTTTGTGATACTCCATTTATATCCAAATCTACTTGTTTGAATATTAGTGCTTAACCTTGTACATTTAATCAAAACAATAATAAATGTGAGAAAACAAATAATCTATCTAATAATTGTTCATATTATGTAAATGTTAATTAAAAGACATGTTAATTATTAAAAAATTCTGCTTGTCAATATAATTAATTGGCATATGCATGTGTTAGTGTAAATACAAATTAAATACCATCAAATTTAGATGGAGTATCCTTTAAAGCTTGTATCTCTTTATCTATACCAGTATATTGGAATAATGGATGTAAATAAGCAAATATATTTTAATGTGATTCTGTTTATCCAAGTTCACCTTCAGCTTGTGCATTAGCATTAGGTCTTTGCATATATGATTAATCTAAATCATTATGTGTATCTACATTTAATATTAATTCAATATACTGTGACACTCCAGGAATCAGTTAAGAACTCTGTACTTAAATCATTAGATAACCATGTATTTTTAAATCAAATCAATGTTAATTAATTCCAAAAACATATTCATGTAGTTAAGCTAAACTTGTTAATCAATAAGCATGTGCATCTTTAAATTAATCTTGTGTCTATGATTCCTTAAATAAATCCTGTAAAGCTGTTATTTAACCTTAAAAATGTTCCTCTTTAGGATTATCTAAAAATGCTTGTCTATTAAATCCATCATGTGCTTTCAATTATGACTATACTTAATGTTAATGTTCATACATTATATCACCATAAATTTGTCACAATCTTAATAGTACCAATTGTTCTCAGAATTCCTAATGTTTCTATGATACATTACTTTAAGTATGCAGACGTAAATATTGTGAAGATCTATCATAACAATAATGTGTAGGATCATTAGAAGGAAAATAATGTTATCTTAGCTAAGGAATAAATTGTTAATCTGCTAGCAAATGTGAAGATATCATAAATGTTGATGAATCTTATTGTGAAGATATGTTCTTTGATGGATTTCCTTGTTTAGGTGCAAATAAAAGATGTTTTAGCTAAAATAATTTCTAAGATTACTGTCCCAATTCTGATTGTACTAATAATAGTTGCAAATATAATTAATAAAATATCTGTCAAGCTTTGACTTGTTCTGAGCTTGATGATTGTACAAAATTAGGTAATTATTGTCTGAAATTATCTAATGGTTAATGTATTGAAAACAATAGTTGTCAAAGTCTAGAATCAGATATGTGTAATGGGGCTACTGTTAGAACTTAAGCATCATGTTTATTACAAAAATATAATCTCTATTTAGAAGATGTCATTTGTACATCATAAGTTTGTGAATTGTATGGTATTTCTGATTTATGTAATGGAAATGAATATAATGGATATACATGTTTATTAGTAGATTAAAAATGTATTCCTTGTGAATAAATACTTGATGTTTGTACTTGTATGGAAGCAACAGGAATATGTTTATGGAAAAATAATTAATGTCATTCTGTTTAATGTAATGAACTGTTAAATGCACCTTCATGCAATTCTTTATCACGATGTTCTTGGAGTAATCTAAATAATGCATGCATGATTCATTGTAATAAAGTCATAAACTCAGATGAATGTGATTCTAGAACTGGAGAATGTTATTTTGATTATGCCATCAATTTCTGTTCTGCTGGAGTTTACTAATCACCCAATTTATCTATTCAAATAGACATTTCATCCATCTATTCAATATATCTGACATTGTCCATCATCACTTATATCTTGATTTTATGATATATTCAAAATTGAAATATTATATTTAATTAATCTATTAATCTACTTCTTATTAAAACAAATTTTATTTGATTTTCATTTATCAATAACATTATAAAATATAAATTATAAAATATTATTATATAATCTTTAGTTAATACATCTTATTTTGAATCGTATCTACTTTTCATTATTAAAAAGCTGTGTTTTTATGGATTTAAGTAGGGAATTACTATTGATAATCTAATTTAATAAACATTTTTAGAGATATTTGTACATTATTTCACTTAAATATAATAATTATTGGGATCAACTTTTTTAATAAATACTAGCCATTTTATTATAATATTTAAGTATGCTAACAATATCTTAAGAATTACTTTAATTAACTAATGAATAGAAATAACTAAAAAATAATTTTTCATATATAAATAAGAATTAAACAGTTAAAATTATTTTCTTTTATTAAAATACAACATTTTAGATTGAAGACTGCCTTATTATTATTATTATTTTAAATATGAACAAGAGAATAGTATATTAAGGTGAGAAAGCTACAATTAAATATGAAGGTCCATTAATGCATGAAAATAAAGGAGATGAAATTTGGTTAGGAGTTGAATGGGATTAAGTTGATAGAGGAAGACATAATGGTACTGTTTAGGGGTACACTTATTTTACTACAATTGATGGATGTAATTCAGGCAGTTTATTAAAGAAAGAGAAGGTGAGTTTTGGTAATAGATTGTGGGAAGCATTATTTTTGAAATATTTCAAAGAAATACCTCCATTATTATTTTAAGGGATGTAGGTTTAAGATTAAATTAAAGATGAATTTCTTTTAGAACATTAAGATCTAACAAACCATTAGGTTGAGAAAAGTTAAATTATTACCCTTATCAATTAAAAATAAGTAAAAATTGAATTTGATGATACAGCATTCTTTGAAACAATGAAAAAGAAAAAAAAAATGGTTGAGTTTTATGGATTTGATGAGATATATAAAAAGCTTAATAATTTAGAGACTTTGTAAGAACTATCTTTAGAGTCTTAAAATGTTTCAACAATTGGACCATTTGGTTTTGTGGGTAGTATATTTAAAAATCTAAAAATTTTGGGTTTAGAAAATAATTTATTCTATTCTTGGCATTAAATCTTTGTATTAGTATCACAATTACCAACTTTAAAAGAATTATCAATATCAAGTAATAAATTATCAAAACTTGAAACATTTGGATAACAATAGTTTTAAAATTAAATATTCACTTAATCACCAGATTATTTGATTTATGATTATGAGTAAGGAAAACATTTAGAAATTCCTGTAGATAGATGTGGTAAACATTTAGAAATTTTGGTTTTAATTGATATGTATTTGACTTGGTAAGATATTTCTTTAATTATTCCTGCATTTCCTATGATTTAATAATTATTATTGTGTAGAAATAATTTTATTGATTATGATAATTTGTAATTTAGGAACACAGATTTATAAGCTTTAAAAATATTAAATTTGGAATCAACTTAATTATCATAATTTGAATGTGTTTAAAAATCATTTGGAAATTTACCAAATTTAGAGAGACTTATTTTAAATAAAAATAATTTAAAGGATTTACCTTTGGTTAATGAATTTAAATCTCTTAAACATTTAGCTTTAGATTATAATCATTTTGCAACTCCTTAATTTTTCAATAAAATAGGATAATTATAATTAATTTCTCTATCTATTAAACATAATCCATTAGTTGATAAATTTGGTAAATTATATGTTAGACAAAGAGCAATTGCAGAAATTTCTAGTGTTTAAATCATTAATGGTAGTTAAATAACTAAATTTGAAAGAAAAGATTCTGAAATATTTTACTTGAAATCTTCTTTTGAAGAATATTTCTTATTAAAGAATGTCAAACATTATTATTATGATTACGATGATTTTATCAATTATGCTAAGATTAATCATCCAAAAATTATAGAATTAATTAAAAAATATGGAAATCCATATGAAATTGATCCAACTGTTAAAGGAGGATATACTTAAACAAAATAATAACTCTAATAACCTTAATATTGTACAATCATAATTATAGATCATGTTGGAAAATTAAAAGATAAACCTACACCTAAAAAATTGATGGGAAGTACTGGATTATAACCAGTGAAATTGATGATCTCAAAATTAGTAAATATTCCAATCAAATAGATAGCTTTATCAATATAAGTATAATTTTATAAATAAATTTAAGGTAACTGATGATGCTGAAATTGTGAATTTGGAAGGAAAAGATATGACTTTGAATGATTTTGGGGTTCAAGATAATAGTCTCATTCATGTTAATGTAATACCAGAATGATTATATTATATAATAATAAATTTATTTATTATATGAAAGCATTGAGACCTTGGAAATAACCATCTTAAGCTGATCTCATATTAGAATAACACATAATGATGAGAAGATTAATTAGTATGGAAAAAAAAATATTTGTAAACTTAAATTAGCAAAGGAAAGATTTCAAAGTACATCAAGAAATTATTGAAAATAGAAAAAAATGGTTTCTCTAATAATACAATTTTTCTCATAGATAAAATAAAAGTAAGATAAATCAAGCATCAAGTGATAAAATTATTAGTAAATCGAAATCAAGTTAATTAATGCATTTATGAAATTTATTTATTTCATATTATTAAATTATTTATTAATATTATATGGAATTTCAAAAATAAGTAACTCTCATCATAAAATCAGAAAATCATTTCATCTATCAATCTTAAGCTTTAGATCTCTATTCAATCAAATATTCCCCAAATTTTGATACTAATGACTTTTTTGCAGCTGCTCGCCTACTTATTTAAAACTAATAATAACGTCATGAAGATTTAACAATAGAAAATTATGCAGATCTTTTACTCACTAAAGAATTCAAAGAAATTTTGGGTATTATAAATAAAGGAATAATAATAAAATCAAATTCATAAGAAAAAGTGATTTTAATAAATTATAATGCTAGCTTTGGATTTAAGTCAGAAATCCTCCCTGATATTTTTAAATAATACATTCCTAAAGATATAAAAAAACGATATGCATTATTAATTACAGAACCATTTTATTATACTAAATTTGTTAATATCATGGAGGCAATGCATTTGGGAATTTATAAAGAAGAAGATGAAAATTGGGAAGTATATTTGGTATGGCTAATTTATCAATATTAAGGTTATGGAACATAAATTTCCAGATTTATAAGGGTTGGATGGCATAGTTATTACAGGATCTAGTAGTGCAGCCTATGATTTAAGTGAAGATTGGAAGGAACCACTATTTGAATTTTTAAGAGAAGCTGATAAACTTAAAATAAGAATATTAGGGATATGTTTTGGACATTAAGTTTTGGCTCATTGTTTAGGTGGAGAAGCCTAAAAGATGACTCATGTAGATAGGATGTAAGTAGGTAGGAAAGCCATATCGACTTAATTTAAATGGAAAGATTATGTAATAGAAAATCTAAATGTGTATTAAATCCATGGAGATTTTGTAGCAAAATTACCTAAAGATACAGAAGTTATCATGAGCACAGATCATTGTTAAAATTATGCATATAAAAATGATCACATTTTGGGTGTTCAATTTCACCCTGAATTTAATGCTTTAATCTTGTTATATATATTTAGAAATTCTACAAATCCTTTGAGAGAAATCTATGCAAAAGATTGTTATGAGAGTTTTAAATAAGGATATGATCATTAATAAATAATTTGGGAATTTATGATTTAATTCTTAAAAAATAAATGATAGATAATTAATAAAATAATTACAATTTTATTATTTAAATATGAATTGGGATAAGAAATAAAATCATTATTGTTTCTATTATTTGTGATAAATTCCACTAGTTATGGATTTAAATATCTTTAAGCGATGCCTAAATTATATCAAATATTTAATACTTTTTTTTAATTGAGCCCACTTCTATTTTCTCAACTGAAGTCCAATACTTTAATTGAGGCATTAAATATTTGGTCTATGTATGTGAAAATTAACATCTCTGACCATATTTACAACAAATTTCTTAGAAATTCTTACATTCTTTAGTTCTGTAATTTTTAGGAACGTCTTTTGACAATAATTATTCATCACCATGTGCAAAGTAACACTAAGAATCTAGTAATATTTTATTACTTTATTGCCATATGGACACATTTTTCCTTCAGTCCAATATTTACAGAATTCTGTCTTCAATTTTACATTCAATGTTCCATAATCATCTTAGGTTGATGTAGAAGACAGATAGTCTTCACAATCTGTATACATTCGATAAGTTTGAGTTTTATTAAATATATTTATATATAGTAATTCACTATCAACTCATATGATTCAAAAATATGTCATGTGACTTATTAATTAATAAACCAGTTATTCATTATAAATTTTAAATTCATATTTATAGTCAAATTAGATTCAAATATTCTCCTGATTGAGTCCATTTAGCCATAATTTATAACTATAATTAATATAAGTAATTAATTACCCTTCTAACTCTTGTAAGTAAAATCTTAGCACGTTCATTCTCTTCTAGAATACTTTTCAAATCTGTTATTGCTGTACTCCAAGGATATGCTCCATTTGTCAAGAGAAGATGTGTAACATCTAAATGATTTTCTTAAATCGATAATATTAATGGAGTACGATATAAGATATCAACTCCATCAATATCCGAATGATATTTCAATAAAATCTCAACGATTTCAATATAACCCTTTTTACATGCCCAATGTAATGCAGTCATATTATAAAAATCATATTCAAAAACCAAATATGGGTTGATTTAAAGATAGTTTTCAATATCTTCAATTTTATTCTGTTTGGCAGCATGTATGAACTCCTTTGAATTGATTTTTTCATATGGTTTTTTTGAAAATATTTTATGTTTCATAACATATTTTATTGTAAGACCCAAAGCCTTGATTTTTTTAAGTGCTCTCAACAGAAATTATCTTAATTGTTTTTTAGTTCTTGGAGGATAAGGCAATACACTTTTTGGAATTTCAGGTTTAATATAAGGTTGTTGTTAAACAATTTTTTAAGGTTAGGTCTATTTTTTGCAAATGTTTGTTGTATCTACATGCAAAGGAGAATAATTAAGTTTTGTAATTATGCTATATAGTTCTTCATTGGAATGGTCGCTTTATTTTAATCTAATAAATTTATGCACACTCCTGCATTAAGATGATGATTTCTTGCTTGGCTCAGTAATAACTCTTGTTGAAGGTAATTACAATGGCCTTCTTTTAACTGGAAATAATTATCGTCCCATATTATTATTTTTAGGAATTGGAATTTAAATTGAAGGTCTTTGTACTTTCATATCTAATGTACTTTGCAAAGTTTCACCGAAATCAACAATTTATTTCAAGGAATGGTTATGCAAGAATTCTTTTATTTTTTCATTTTGAGCTGAGATTTTGTTTTTTTTTAGTAAAGTAATCATTTTGTTTGGAGGTAACATAAATAATTTATATTCCTCCTTCTTTGTTTCATTTTATTGTCTTTTAGGGTACCATGGTCTATCAGTCTTAATTTCCTTAGAGTTTAGTTTACATTACTATTTTATGAGTCTCCTATAATAATCTTCAACAAACATTATTTTTAATTAAATCAATCTGAGTCAATATTAAGAACATTTATTACATATGAATTATATATATATAATATATTTAAATCATATCAATTAGACAACAGTAAGTTTTAATTATAAAATATATTTCATCTCTATTTCTAATTTTTTCCTTTTATTTTTAGGTATATGAACATCATTTTATTTTCAATATTATTATTTTCATGCATTAGTTTAATATTTTCTAATTTATTACATTAATATGATGTAATATAATTAAGTAATAGAATATAAATATATTTAAAGAGTTTCTCTAAAACAGAGAAATATCATAAAAGGATAATTCTATTTATGCTCAGATATTTTAAAAATAATTTAATTCTACAATAGAAAAATTAGTAAAAATTGGCAATTCAAAATGTAAAAATAAAAATAAGAATCATAAGTCATATTAGAAATTGACTACAACCAAAAATTAATTCACTATGAAAATTTAAGAAAAAATAAGTGCATTTACTTATTGTATTATTTAGATAGATCTATTTAGGATCAAATTCTGAAATAAAATTATAAATTATTTAAATGAATAGAAAATTTAATTATAAATTTTTTTAAGTAAAGGCACTTGTAAATAACACTAAAATATATTCGGTATTTAATAAATGCTTAAGTGTTATCTCTTTTTTTAGGATAATAATTTTGATATGATATTTTATTAGTTTAAAAGGTTAATAATAATCATTATATTTGATTGAAAATTAAGTATTTAATAAAAATTAATTTCAATCATTCAAAAATAGATTTTACTAATAATCAGGAGTCTTTAGGTTGTTATATATATGATTAACTTATTATAAACTGTTTTTTAATAAAATGATTTATTGTTCATTATGTTTAATTCAATATTAATTAAATTAAAGCAATATCTCGAAATGATATTAGTCTTATTATGTAAAACAATAAGTAAATTTTGATAACTGAGAAACCACTATTTATATTTGTTAATATAATATCAAATTATTAATATTAATGAATAATAATAAAGATATTTCAATAACAATTTAAACTAATTTGTTCTAAGGACTGATGAATAGAGATCAATGTAAATAATTGGCTTAAAAAATCATGAAGCTCTATGACTAAGATTAAAATGATTTGATGGAAGTAAAAGATGCAGGAAATTTGTAATCCGATTGCTATAAAGCTTTAAACCTTGATTTCAGTCCTTCTTAAAATGATATCAAAGGATATGCTAAAATTTTTGATCGTAAATGATACAATATAATACAATAGGGGATGGGACAGGAAAAATATCGGTAAATGATATTGAACGCTTATGTTTTAAATATTTTGGAGGAGGTACTGACATAGCAAATTAACAACTTTAGAAAGGAGAAACAATTGAATTAAGCCCTATTTAAGCAGAAGATAAAGTGGATACTCCTTCAAAATTATAATATCAATCCCCATACAGAAGATGGGGTTCTTAAAAATCAACCTAAGGCTCTTAAACTTCTATATAATCTAACAAATAACCTGCAACATAATCTTGTGTTGTACCATGTACAGTCTAAAAAGAACCTCAAAAATACAGTAAACTAGCTGAAGCTCGTCTTCAAGTAGCCAGAAGAATTTTTAAAATGCTGGACTAAGAAAATAATGGATATATAACAGAAAAACATGTCACCCCATTGTTGGTAGAAACATATAATAATATGGGCATGAAGATTGAACCAACAAGGGAGGATGTAGAAATGTGGATGGAAATGGCTGATTAAGATCGTGATGGAAAAGTCTACTTGATTGATTATGAGGCTCTTGTTTTAAAAAGTCTAAAATCATAAGGTATTGAAATTGATTGACAAATTCATGTTCGTTAAATTTATAATTTCATATTTTACAATTTCTGAATGCATTATTCATATTACTTGAGATAATAGTCTAAAAAAATAGTAACATTCACTACTTCTAAATTTGAAATCATTATATCCTTTATCTCACTTACAAAACTAAAAACATTGTATTTATCACAAAATATTTTTTCCTTTATTTACATTATGAATAAATCGGTTCAATACCTTTTTCTTAAATAATAACTATGTTATTTCTAATAAATGTTAATAATAATAATATATTTATTCATTTTTTAAGCATACTTTCTTAAACACGAGACAAAAAAGACTTTCTTGTTTTGAATTATTCTAATGGCATTCTTTTTATGGTTTAATCGATAGATTTAACAATTAAATTATTTTATTCCCTTAATTTTTTAGAAATTTATGATTGCTCAATTGGTTATTCATGTATTGTAGTTTATTTGGATAAGTTTTATTCATAATCTGATACTAATGACTTAAGATTCTAATAATAATAATATATTAATTACCATTAATTCTCCTTCATTATAAATAGATTTTTTTTTAATGATTTATTGAATTTATAATCTCATTTTATTTTCTATATCATGTGATCCTTATATTGCCAGTCTAGCAGTATTAATACCTTCTAGATGTTCTTATTCCTTAGATATATCAGATACAATTTTCATAATATTCGAATGAGTTGCCACTCTTTAATGAGTATACTTTTAAAATTTTAATAATTTTTTTCCGACTATTAAATCTGATTAACAAACTTTATCTATTTCTTCTTAAGAATTTATCTATTGCTTAACTGATTTGAGCGATTTTATCTAGTTTTCACCTTCAAATGAGGAGAGAACCTTTTATTAATAATATAAATCTAATTCTTTTTTTGCTTTGAGGGAAGTAAAAGTTTCAATTTCCCTTTGAGGTAGTCTTTTTAAAATTTAATCGATATCGGAAGTGAACTTAAAAGATCTACTTTTTTGATGTGTTATCATAGGTGTTCTGTGAGAGTGTTAAGGTGAAGGATTATTAGTAGTTTGTTTACTAATCCTTACATCATCCAATGAATTGATAGTTTTACATTTTTCATATTAACGAGGAGTGTGAATATAAGATTAGATTGTGGTTTCTTACTCAGTTAATCGAACTTACTTTTTATTACAAACAGTTTCTTCAGGTTATTGTAATATGGAATATAAGTGTAAGTTAATCTCTTTATTATATTTTCTATAAAATCCATCATTTATTTTGGTCCAATAATCATTACTTATAGTTTCAACATGATTGTTATTAGATTGAGGGAAAATTGGAGCCAAAATTTAGTTTAGTTCCTTTAATTCCATTGTAAATAATCTATACTTAAATAATTAAATATTTATATTACTTTGTTTGTATATAGATAATACTATTCTTCAATAAAAGTACTCAAACCATTATTATTAGTTATTTATGATAACCATAATGCAATTTTATAAGTTTCTAATAATTTATTATAATCTGATTGTAATTCATAAATAAAACCAACTATATAGAGTGTAATAACAATCCATGAAATTACTTTAAAAAATTGATCTTCCAACCTTTTAAGGTGATAATCTTAATTAATTATATCCATCAATAGAAATTAACATTCAGTTATGGCTTCATAATAATAAGAAATTGCAGGTTCAAATAACTTAAATTAAAAATGCAAATGTCCAACTAATAAGTTATATTAAAATTTAAGTTTATTGAATCTAGAATCCTTATTATAACAAATTGGTTTCCAATAAAGTACACATCTAACATCTTCATGTTATTTTGATAATTAAAATGTCAGCAATTAAATTTATGAAAATCTATAAAGAATATCCTTCAAATAAAACTTTTCTATTAAATTTCTAATCAATTTTTACTATATTCCTTAGCTTAGTTATGTAACATTTCTATATAAAACAAAAGGAATTGCTGTAACTTTCTCACTAAGTTTAATTAACTTTCTTATTTGTTCCCATCTCGAGAATACTACTTTAGAATTTTGATTAGACAAACTATTCCTCTTCTTAGTAATTGAATACGAATGCGCCATCCTGTTTGCATAATCAATGATCTTTCAAATTCTTTATTAATTATTGCAAATCCACTTTTATATTTACCCTAACCTATAGTTTTAATTGTCTTAATACGTATTAACTTTGTTATTTCTAAAATTTAGTTTTAGAAATGATTTTCTTATATAATCGTTAACTATTTAGCATGACTTCTCATAATATAAAAATTATAAAATCAATAAAAGATTATTTTAGTTTTTAGACTTTAAATTATCTAATCAAAGCAAATAGATAGAAGTAACTTATATTTTTCAATTGAGACTATTTTAAATGAATGATACCTATGTAGAATATTAATAAATATATTGATTTTTTAATATAATAAGAATAATTAGATTTTTAGTTTAATAAGTATAATATTTAACTCACATCTAATTAATTATTACAATGATTTATTAATTTAACTTAAGATATCTATAGTTATACAAATTATTCTTTTTTTTTGTATAATTATATGTTTAATTTTAGTAAATTATAAAATAATCATTTATTGTGAAGAGAACTTTTCAATCTTGAAGTACTACTATATAGGTTTTGCTAATTTAAAGAAGTCAAGGTATTAGCCCTTTCTTACAATGGCTTTGGCTGTTAAACATCAACTTAAGGTGTAGTTCCATGACCATTTGCACCACTAAGCATTTAACTTAATATTTCCTTTGTGTATTTTAATCTTTTAACCATTTAATTATTTTCACTTTCTAAAGCAGTGCTCAACATATATGTTGTTTTAACTAATTCTTTATCAATATAAGTAACCACCTTTAATTACTATGTCAATATAATTTATGTATTATCATTAAAAATGACTTAGACAGTCTTGTCAGATAGTCTAAAAATGATAGCATGCTTTGCCTTCATCCATTTTTTAACATAAATTTTTTACCAAAATTATTATTCAGTTTCACTAACAATTTAATTTTCTATTAAATATCCTTTAAAATGAATCATCAAAGTGGATTTCTTTTACATTTCTGTAGTTTATTCTTTAAGAGTTCCTTCCTTTTCTTCTCCATTTCTATCAATATAAATGTATTTGCTATAATAAACAATGATTTTTACTCATCATTCAACATTAGCATTTTAGAACAGTCGTTGTAAAAAACTCCACATTACAAGTTATTAAAAACATATCCCAATCCATATTTACTTGAATAATCAACCCTAAAAATTAATTTAAAATAAATACCATTTTTTAACATAGATTTATGGTTCTTAAATCACATAATTTTAATTAAGACAACTTTCAATATTAGAACGAAGAGGTATTCTATCCATACTTGCATATTGAGGACGTTATTTGAGATCAAGAGGTCTTTTTTCAGTGTTTTCAAATTTTGGTATACTGGTAGATTGTTATTTTTGATACTATCTTGTGTATTATGACGAGGGTGGACAAGCTAAAGTGCTTAAAGGTAATAACTAAGGAATTAGACCATGAAAAAATTCATGATCTTAAATTTCTTAAAGAGTTAATCTCTTTGATGGTTCAGTGATAAGGATCTTACTGATCAGCTATCTTGCTGCATTGCTAATGATACTAGATTCAGGGAATTAGTAAGCATTCATTTTGATTCTTCTATAAGTAGTTTTAACATCAGTTGTTTCAAAGGGAGGTTTACCAATCAAAAGAGTATAAGCAATAACACCAAATGACCATATATCTACTTCAAAACTATGACCACTTTTAGATTCCAAGATTTCTGGTGCAATGTAATTAGGAGTTCCACAAACAGTACGTTTTCTTTCACCTTCAAATTCTATAAGAGTAGCTAATCCAAAATCACCTAATTTGACTTCCATTTTATCAGATAAAAATAAATTGCCTAATTTTAAATCTCTATGTATAACATTATGCTTATGTAAATATTGAAGTGCAATTAGTATTTACATAAGATAACATTATACTTCAAGTTCAGTTAATCTTTTTCTTCTTTTTAGTAGTTCATTCATAGTTTAATTAGTGCATAATTCTAATAATATGTAGACGTTTTCATCATCTTCAAAATATCGATGGAACCCAACAATATTTTGATGTTATAAACTACGATGTATTTTTATTTCAGACATCAATTTTTATCTTGCTCTTGATCTTGTTAGACTTGCTTTGCTAATAATTTTGCTAGCATAAGTTTATTCTCCATGCTAAAATTCATAGCATTTTGCAAACCCTCCTTTCCCTAAGAATTTACCCTTTACATATTAACGCACAGTTTTATCCTTACAAACTTCCTCTACAATATCCATTTTTTTTTAACGATTAAATTTAATATCAGAATTTATAATCATTAGTTCTTACAAAAAATGCTTCCTGGTTTCACTCTTACATATGTTCAAATAATTAATTTATCATCCTTCTAAATCCTAGTTTGTGGTTATCTGTATTCCATAACAATTATCTATATTTTGTTATTTAATTCTCCATTGTATACTTTAATTCTGGGTTTAACAAATAATATGCTTGTTGAAACTTAAAAAGCAATAGCTTTCCTTTTTTCATAAATTCTTCATAATATTTTATTATTCATTATGATTCTTATTACTAATATCTTCTTTCTATTATACTACTGATTCTATCATACATAGTTTCATGTATCAAAATCACTAAATATCTATTTGATTCTCATAAGTTGTATGATCAATCAAAACCCCATTAACATTAGGCAAAACTTAATCAAAATGATCAGTATAGATTATTATTGTATTTTAAATAGATGTATACTTCATTATTCAATGAAAATGTAATTAAAAATAAACTAATATAAATTTTTACTAATATCCTCCCTTCTTATTTGGAACTTAAATATAGATTTAACTCTTTTAAATATACACTATGAATATATATTATAAAATTATTTATTTATCCTTTCTTTATTCACAATTTGAATAAACTTTTATATAATATTTAATTCACTCTAAGTCTTCAATTCGCTGTAAATGGTATATTTATAGCTTCAATCATTTTTTTATAAACTTAGCTATTATAATTGCTCTTTCATTAAACAAACTAAAATTACGTTACTCTATATTTAATAGGATAAATTACAGTAATATCAATTCCATCATTCTATTCACTATATTAAAAACTTAGCAGAACCTCCTAAAATAATGAATAACTAAATGTAATAGTCTATTACTAATTGAAATGGCTTAAACAGTTGACTTATATTAATACTCTTAGAATTACTTAGAAATACTATATTTATATAATCAATAAAGAATTGTTGATCACATCAATATCTAAATTCATATTTACTTTGTAAATCATACAGAGAATCAGGATATTCTATAGAAATTAATAATGAAAATAAGTAAAAAACTATATTCTTAATGATTAATTTGCTATATCATTTTCATGAATCATCTCCTTCTTAAGACATATATTCTTTAGTAGAAGTCAAAAGAACAAAAGAAAACTATGAGGTTCTAAAGTAATATTAATCTAGTGACCTATAGAAAATTTTATTACTGAATGCTTACTCCATTAATAATTTAATAATGTAATCTATTCGTAAATAGCGTATGAATAAAATCATGCAAGTTTAAGGAGAAGTTGGATAGCATAAAGGGTATGCTGCTATAAAAATAGTCTCAAATGTACATGAGCTGCTAAGAAAAAGTAAATCGGAAACTAATTGTATTGGAGAATTAGCCATACAAGATATAAGTAAAAAACTGTTGCAGGATTAATTTAACTCTATCAAAATGTATGATATCCCAAAAGGAGAAGACAAACCAGGTATTCAATTCAAATCAGTTCACAGTATGTATGACCTACAAGCATTAAAGATGACTAAGTTATACAAAAAGAATGAAAGAAATGCAATTGAAAAGTAGGTTAGATCTCAATTAGCAAAAGAGCCTGATAAATAGTTACTTTTGTCTGAAATTTATGAGCAATTAGAAGACAATTCTGATGGTGAAGTACTTAAGAGGAAATAAAAAGTTAAAGAGGAATCCTTAGCAACTCAGTCAAAAGAATATGATGATTCTAAAGATTAATTGACAGATCTTAAATAATGGACAAAGAAGATGAAAGAATTGAAAAAAAAGTAATAAAATAAAAAGAATGAGAATGATACAATAGTTCTTCCAAGAAGTAAAGAGAGAGCTTAAACTGAAATAAAGAATCCTTTAATTCGTTAAAATGGAACTTAAAATAAAAAAATTGAAAAATCAAATTCACCTTCTAATACTCAAAATCCTCTTCAATCTTATAAGGATATAATGAAAAATGCAGTTTCTAAAGCTAAATAACTTAAGAGTTTAAATGAAGATTTAAGTGTAGAACGATCAGTTGAATAATATCTTTAAAAAGCATCTTCAGTGGCATTAAATGAACTTAAAGAGATTGGTGAATTGAATATTGATGAAGAGAAAGGTCTTTCAACAAATTTTGATTACACTAATGAAGATATCTAAAGAATGTACAATACTCTTGTTAAAGTTCAATTATCATAATTCAAATCAGAAGCAGAAAAAGCAAAATTTTATAAAAAATAAACTTAATTAATAGCTAATAAATTAATACAAAAGATTAAATAAAATGAATAAATTATTGATGCAAGGATTACAGCATAAGAAAAATTAAGATTAGAGACTCATGATTTTCATGATAAATTAATTTAAATAAAATAATTATCTTAATAATTGTAATAAGAAATATAAGAAATGAAAGATCCTAAATTATCAATGTAAATAAATAAATCTCGTATGTCTTTAGTCAATTAATTGATGAGTTCATAAAATAAAGAAAAAGAATTATAATAAGATTTGAATATCTTAAAAGAAAGTCGTATAGCATATAAAAATAAAATTTTATTCAATAAAAAAACTTTAGAATAAATAGATTCAGATCTATAATCTAAAAAAAAGGAAAATAAAAATTTATAAAAATGTCTCATAAATTTCTATTTCTAAGTTTTAAAAAATGGTTAAGATGTTAGAAATACAGGAATAGCTTGGGTAATATCTAGACTAAATGCTCTTAATGAAAAATCATCTTATTAAAGTTTTCCAGAATATTTAGATTAAAAAGCTAAGGAATATTTACTACAAGTATAATTAATATTTAATCAAGAAAGCTACTATGTTATAAGAAATTGAATAATTAGAAAAAGAATTAAGTGAATCCTTTAAATAGTACAAATAAGAATAATCACTTGATAATAGTTTAGCAATACTTCAACAAAGCTTATCTCATAATGACTCTTTAGATATATCATCATTACCTTCCATATTCCCTTATGATAGTCATAAATTATCAGCCATTGATTTAACATAGGCAAGATTATAAGCAACTAAAAGTAGTCGAAATAATTATCAACTTGATCAATTAGGTCCTATTACTCTTGGATTAACAAATTAAGATATTGAGAATTTAGAGAATATGTTAACAAAGTTAAATTCAAAAAATTTGCCAGTGACTAATGGAACTCTTATTTATAGAGAAACTTAAAAAAGAATTAAAAAATAAATAAAACCATAAGGATCTATGGATGTTTCTTAAATTAATGATTCATCAACAGTATTAAAAGAATAAGCTATTCATTCATATGATAAATGTAACTCTCAATTAAACAAAATAAAAATAAAAGTATATTTTATAATAAATTAAAGTTATTGCATTTGGATGATGAATAAGTAATTCGAATAGTAAAAGAATTTGACTATAAGAATTATAGTAAAAGGTTTAATATAGACCCAATAACAGTTATCTCATGTTTAGTTGGAGGAATAAGATGTGATAGAGAGATCATTAAATAGGGAATGAAGAAAACTCACTATGATTGAAATAGAGTATTGATTACATTAATTAAAATAACTAAATTAAAGTAGAATATTATTAAAATTAAATCCATGGATATTTAATTTTTATATTCTGAATTTCATAAATTTTTAAATTCTCCAAAAAGTATTTAATAATTTAAAGCTAAAATCTACTTAAATATTAATTTAAATTAGATATAGATATTAGTGGTTCCATCTTGATATTTATTTTAAAAGGTTGTCTAATTCTTAATACATAATTTGAGATTTTCATTTTTTATTTCATTATATTTTAGTAATAAGATAACAATATTATGAAATAACAATTAATAAAAATTAAAATAAGTAAAATTTAGATTTTTTAAATTACAAAAGCATTTATAATATAATGATTTTTTTGTTAATTTCATTTATTCTTTAACAATGCCTTTTTACTTAAAAAGTATCCTCCTGTCAATATCAATGTCAGAAGTGTTACAACACCAGCTACTTCAATAATTGGTAGACTATTTTACTTTTTCAACTATTATATTTAATAATCAGAATAACCAAATGGACTAAATGATAATGAAAATAAATACATTTGATGTAAGGTACCATTGATGTTATTGATTTATGCCCAAAATGGTTCCTGATCATTGTATGTAGAGATTGGAATAAGTTAAGCAGTTTCAAATTAACAATTTTGATCAATAAGTAAAAAATCTATAATACTTAATCTTCTTTTTTCAATTTATTATTCAGCTTCTAATTCATCATATAAACTAATAGCATATGTTTTATTTTGAATAGTTGTAATAATGAGGGGTAGATTACTAAATTATTTTTCAAGTTAACCCTAAGAGATAAATAAGAGTATACATGTTTTTTTCTGGTCACAATAGCAATATGGAATACTTTTCTATCAATATTCTTTTAAACAGAAGACCAAGAATCTTTTCTATTTTATTCCTTAAATGTATCAGATAATTTAATTTCAATTCCGATATAACACAACAACTTGTAGGCTTCTTTATAATTAAAGAAGGAAAAGGCACTTGGATATCATGATTTGAATACTTCCACATTGCTAACCATTAATTTAATGTTATAATATCTTATTCTTATGGATAATATTAATTTAAATGAGGAAAATTAGTTTTACACATCACTGGATAAAATATATCATCAAATTATTTCTAATTAATAGTATTTGTTTTTTAAGAGTTGAAATTGCATCTAATTTCAAACATTTATTTTAATTTAGATAAAGCAATATCACTTAATTCTACAGTTTGACCAGCATCTTAATCAAATATTAATCTAATTTCTATATAAATTAATACTCATTTGTAAATATACTCTCATCTAAAGTTAAATCATCTTTGTATCTAAAAAAACGTAAAATAGTCCAGCAAATTTAAATCTTCATTAATTCTATTCCTCTTTTTTATAATGCTATAAATCCTTCTAAAGTAATAACTTTTTTATTTGAGTTATCAAGCAATTCTTCTTCAATCATATCTTTTATTCCAGCAATATCACTATAATCTAATTATCTTTTAAACACTTTTTTTTAGAATTTTTCCAATTCTATATCACTCCATACTCCATCTCCATCTCTATCACATATTCTAAATATTCTAGTCAATGCCTTTTTAAATCCTTCTGTTAATGATTTGTCTGCAATACTATAGATTGGAGCTAATGGATAGAGATATGATCTTTAAGCACAATTTATCACATCATAAATACCTTATTATTTTATTGATGAACATTCAATTCCCATTTCAACTGACTATATTAATTCAATTTAAATACATTGAAATCTTTAACTAATTGTTTGATAACCTTGAAAATCCTATGATAATCTCGATCTTCTTCCAAACCCAATAAATCAAGTTTGTTACCAACTATTAATACAGGTTATTTGTATCCTTATTCTCTTAATTCCTTTAACCAAAATCTTTTCAATCTTTCACTTGATCCATCATCATCAATTGCATACATTAAAAGAATTACATCAGCTATCTAAATCTCCTGAGGTAATTAATGAGGAGCACATTTTGTATCTATTATAGTAGTTATACATTCAGGATGATTAAGTATATCAGAAGGTAAGTTGATAGGTGGATGTTTATCTAAAACAGATGCTTTATTTGATATTTAATTTATTAATGCAGAAACAAATGATGATTTTCCAACCCCACCTAATATTAATTCAATTACTTACTATCTCCAATTACAACAAGTTTGAGATCTCTCTTTTTCATTTTTGAAATATATATATTTAATTATGAATTTACAATTATTAATGTCCTAATTAATTAGTATTTGTGGTTCTCATTATTCAGAATATAAATGCGGTATATATAAATATAATATCATATCTTTTTAATCTTAATTACTCTTTAATCACTAAAACTTATACTTAGAGTTGCTATTTTATCTCCTATATTATATATACACAAAAATGTTTCTATAATACTTTACTATATATTAATAAAAAAATGTCAATAAATAAAATAGATAAACATTAAATCAATCAAAGTTTTATAATGATTCAGAATCTTATAATTAATAAATTGATATATATATAACATATTCAATTAAAACTATAATCATATTTTGAATTGATTATTACTTTGATACAAAATATAATAATCATAAATGTTATCTGTTTAATCGTAATTATCATTAAGTACTTTATTACTCTCAATAATATTATATGTGAATTACTTACATATGTAAAAATTATGATTAATAATATGATAATAAAAAACAACGAATAAAGAACATCAATAAATAAATCACAAACAATCATTGTCAATCCAATTAGAAAGTAATAAAGATTTGTATCATATGTAGATCTTAATCTATCTTTTTAACTACATCAAATTAAAATATTATGAGTTTTAAGGAAATTAGTTCAAAACAATAATAATTGAATCGTGTACTCAATTACAATATAAATTATTCGCAATCTGTCAATACATCAATGTATTCGATTGAATGTTCTACCACCAAATCTAAAATTAGAAATCGAGTAAATTAAGGGGATTTTTGTTCAAAATTTATGTAACTGGATAAAGAAATAATAGAAGTTTATAGTGAATTTGAAAAGAATTATAGATCCATTAATTAATAAGACAAATTAGAACATATATAATATTAGACTAATAAGTATTTAGAAGTTAACCCCAAAAGTATAAAATAATTAATTTAAACTCATGATGGTTTATTATAGTCAGACTTAATGCAAGGAGATTAAAATCATATTAAAATAAATAGATTTAAGTTCAATTATTTTAGAAAGAAACTAAAAGGCAAAGTATCTCCAATACATGTCTTTTTTAATGTACCAGATAGAGTTTAAACATCATCTCTTAAAACATTCATATCTATAAAAGCTGAGTTTCCTACAAAATTCAATGCAGGATATATCATGCATTCTCGATTTGCAAAAATTTTTTCTGAAAAAAATTAACATTATTTCAGTGAAGAATATTTATTTATTACACGCTATTCTGATGTTGATTTCGAATTCTCTATTAATTTTTCATTTGGTAATTCATAAATTATCAAATCCCCTATCAAATAATAACATGAACCTTCTGAGTTGATTCAAGATATTTAACCATTAATTTAAAAACCTTAAGCAAGAGATAAGATTTTAGGAAATTTATCTGTGACAGACTATTAATAAGATACTTTCAGTATTATCAGAAAGATTATAAAAAAAAAGGCTAAATCTATGAGATAATCTATCATAGATCACTTAAAAGAAAAGCTTTGATGGATGTTTAAGAGTATGATGACAATGCATAAGAGATAACCATATTCAAATGTAGATGTGCTATAAACAGTTTTGCAAGTATAATTAGATCTAAAACTATATAAAGAGCTGAATTTGTTATTACTAAATATATGGATAGAATTCTTCTATTTTTGAAAATCCTCAATAAACACAAAAGTACAATACAAAATTTTTATCATATTTTATATAGTTATCTTCATCTAAAGAAAGTTTCGTCTACTTAAAAACTAAGAAGAGATTATTCAGAGATATGTTTTGGAAATTACTCAAAGAAAATATAGCTGATATTCTTTATGATTTAAGAAGATAAAAAGAAAATCATTTCTTTTTTGAAAAACAACAAGTAATAATTGATTTGTAAATTAAATTTTTTAGTCTTAGGTCTGTAATGAATTAAGTAAATAATGAATACAACAAAAAGCAAAGAATTCTTTGGATTGAATACATTAAATATACTTACCTTTTTAAAGATTAAAAGAAAGTATAGTTTACTATAATTAAGAAAATACATGAAACTGCACTGAACTTCAAAGAGCCTAAAATCTATGATTTACCAAATAGAAATGAACTTAGTCTTCTTATAGAATAATATGCCAAATTAAAAAAATTACTTTGATTATAAATAATTTATTTAAATGGGAAATATTTGTAAAACATCATCACTTACTGTAAATACTGAAATTAGTGATGAATACGTTAATCATAAAGCTATAATGTCTACAAACAATCGAGTCATCTTTAACGAGATTTATAAACAAGAATAAGTTGAACCAACAATTAAATTACATCCTTAACCTTTAATAACATAGTTACCATTGATAAGTTTAGATTTAATTGAGCCAAATCAATTTATTCCTTAAATTAAAGTAAATCGAAGAACTCTAAGTTTTGTTAAAGAGAAATCCCTAAAAGATGACAATAGAAGCAGAACTACTTCCTAAAAAATCAAGTCTGAAAATATCTCAACTTCTAAATAGCCAATCAAATCATCATTAAAATCAATAAATTCTAAATAAGGAAGCTCTCAAAAAAGTTAAAAGTCAGTAAGATGGGGTAGTGACTTAAGTGTCTTTGTTAATTTAATCCATTACTAAAATTAATTGATTTGAATTTATTATATATTATACTATATCGATTTATTTGGTTATATTTTAAATTTAGAGAATCTTTATTATTTTTTTTATACCATTTTAATAGAGTTGAGTTTTATTTAAAAAAAATATAACATTTTATTTTATAAGATAAATTATGAGAATTAATTAAATAATATATATAAATTATATTATCTTATATGCAATAATTTTTATTTACATTTTATATAATAATAATATTGTGAAATACACTTATGTTGCAAAGTTGAATTTCAATCAATGATATTTAAAATTAATCTATCTTATAAGGATACCTTATAAGTCTGTAGAATCTAAATTAAAAATTAAATAGATTTTTTTTATTTATAATTATTAAATTTTCAGCAACCCTATTATAATCTAAAACATTTTGAACATAATAAAGCTTAAAAATCTAGTGAAATTTATTAAATAGATATTATAATTAAATAGAGTAGAGCTAATATGATAAAGGAGCATTAATAAATAAGTTAAAATAATCAATATTATATTACTTTATGATAAATAACATCAATCTTTTTATCAAATTAAAATTTAGATCTAATTTATAAGTATATTATAATTAAAAGAATTAATCTCTTTATTAACTAAATCTTAAAGTTTTAAATAATAAATCAAAAAACTACTAAAGCATTTACTTATAAAATAACTTTTAATTAATAAATATATTAATGAAGAATCCAAAAGTAGATACTTTATTTAATCCACTATAAGTTGGGGAAATTTAAATTGAAAATAGAATAATCATGTCCTCTTTAACTAGAATGAGATGTGATAAAGAAACAAAATCACCAAATGATTTAGTGGCCTAATTTTATTCTTAAAGAGCATCTGCAGGTCTTATTATGACAGAAAGCACATTTATAAGTGAGAGATCTTAAAGTTGGCCTGGTTGTCCTGGAATAATGGACTAAACTTAAGTAGAAGGTTGGAAGAAAGTTATATAAGCAGTTCATAATAAAAAAGGGAAAATAGCATTATAAATATGGCATAGTGGACGTGCTACTCATTCATTATTATAATAAGGTCTTCAACCTTGGGGACCATCTTAAATAGGAATCAAAGGTCCAAATTAAATTTTAAATATTCCACATGAAATTCCTCATGAAATGAATTTAGATGATATTTAGTTAGTAAAAAATCAATTCCGAAATGGAGCATAGTTAGCTAAAGAAGCAGGTTTTGATGCAATAGAATTACATGGAGCTAATGGTTATTTGATTGATTAGTTTTTAAAAAGTAATAGTAATCAAAGATAGGATGAATATGGAGGAACTATTTAAGGTAGATGTAAATTCTGTTTGGAAATTATTGATGAACTAATTTCAATTTTTGGAAAAGGAAGAGTAGGGATAAAAGTATCTCCAATTGGTAGGTTTAATGATATGTATGATGAAGATCCAATTAAACTTTATACTTATTTATTTTAAGAATTAGATAAAAGATAAATTGCATTTATAGAATTAATGAATGATAAAGATGAAGAAAATGCTTATAATCATGGATTACCTTCATCATAATCTTAAACAAATAATTTATTTGAAAAATTAAGAAATTCATTTAAAGGTATAATAATAGGAAATGTTGGTTTAACTGGAGAAATAGCTGCTCAATTAATTTAAACTGGATTAATTGATGCTGCAAGTTTTGGAATGCCTTATATATCTAGTATATAATTTATACATTTTAGATCCTGATTTAGTGGAGAGAATTAGATATAATTTCCCTTTAACAGAAGCAAATCCAGATACATTTTTTGAAGGAGAACATATTGGATATATTGATTATCTCCCATTTTAATAATGATATAAAGTTAAATAATATTTTAATCTCAAATTAAAATTTACAATTTTCATATTAATGATATATAAAATATAAATATCAGAATAAGCATTGAAGAATCTAAAGTCTTTATTCTTGAAGCTAATATTGGTTTTCTAATGATTCCACTATTTGGACTTTCTGGTTAAGGGTACTTAAGGTTTAGTCATAAAAATTACCAAAAATCCAACAACATTAACAAAATAATCTTTTCCAATTTCTAAATTAGATATTCTATAATTAACAACTATATTTTATTAAATGCTTGTAAGATCACTAATTACTAATTTGGAAGATACTTAAACAAAGAATTCTGAGACATCAATTGATACACCTAATTCTGTAATACCAATGGCAATAATACCATCCACATTAGTAATAGAAATATCAGCATTAAGTGTTTATTATGCAAAACTAAGTGATATTGATAATTCAGGAACAATTTTGATTTGACTTGTATCTATTAACTTAGGCTATGAACTTGATGATAAGAATAAATTGCTGCTCTATAAAAAGATAGTTGTAAGTTCTTATTCTCCTAATAAAGTCAATTCATCAGGTAATATGTCAACTAAATTATTGTAATCAGTTAGAAAGTATAAAAATAAAGGAAAAGGCTTAATTTTAGAATATGATTTAATAATAGTAACTTTAGTAGATGTATTTTGATCAGTTGTTATATTATTATCATTAATATTTGTAGTATCTGAACAGATTGACCAATCTCCAATGATAATTCTATTAGCTTATGAAGGATATTTGTATTATGCTTAACATACAATACTTTAACTTTGTTTAATGGTTGGTTCACTATCAAAATATAGTTTTAAAATCATAGCTTTAGAATTATTATCTGTAGTAGCTATCATATCTCGTGTTAAAGGATAACTTAAGTAAGAATATATACCAGTTGAATCATAACTAAGACAATAGATGTCTACATTGTAAAATGAATTTAATTTAACAATAACTGTAATTTCTAAGTTTAAAACAGATTCTTTGTATCCATAATTTTCATAATTTGATTATTCATTCATTCTTATTTTTATTTCTTGAAATGTTGGTCTTATTCCATTATTTAAATATATAGCATAGTATATATCACTTATTTAATTACAAGTAGCTGAAACTTTAAGTGTATTTTATGAATTTAATGTTATTAAACTATTAACAATTGGATAATTGTTTTGGGCTAACACAAAATTGAACAAGTATATTAATATCATAAAAATTTAAAAATAATCATTTTTTTTCTAAAGAGGCAGGTTATTATTTATTCCTTTCTTGTTGTTCACAAATGGCTAAGTGAATTTTCCAATTCAATCCAATAGTTTTGTAACATAATGGACAAGTATCACCTTGTGAAGTATTACAAACCTTTTTATTTTAATGTTCAGCTAATTGATTTTCTAATACTGCACATCCACAACTAATATATAAATAAAAATAATAAAATTACGTTTCACATTATCTATAATTTTTAGCAAATTCACATTCTTCAAAATGATGATTAGTTAATTGAGATACTTCTACAACTTAGGCACATGATAAACAAGTTGTAAGCATAACACATTCCTTCCATAAATGCATATCTAATTTTTAACTTTATATGAATTCTTTATTTTCAATTCCACAAAATTCACAAGCTTATGTTATTTATTAAAAGACTTAATCAGGATTAATTTATTATTATTTCTTTTTTGTTTATGGTTTTTTTTCTTATTCAAAAGATGTTTAAACATTACCTCCATTATCTATTTTATAAAATAATTCATCTAGAATTTATTATTATGCTGGTCTAATTCCTTTTATACTTTCTCTTACTTTTTCTGCTTAATTTTTATAAACTTCAGTTATTATATAAATAGCACAAGTTCTAACTTATTCAGCAGAATGATCTAAATATTTAATAGCCACATCCATAACTGGATTATAAGGAACTCTTTCATTATTAATTTTATATTTTTAGATTAAATTGTAAATTAACATTAATCTAGTTTAAATGTGTCTGACTGATGATAATTATAAATTTGGTTTTGTTGTAATACCTTTTACTAAATGATTAATTACTCCAGCACTACCCATAATCTATGTTTCAGCTAGAGTTAATAAAATCTTTTTGCATTCCTCTTTATGTCTCTCATTAATATCACCCAACTTCTCCATAAGAATCTAAGATTATTAATATATTATACCAATACAATATTATCTAATATTATTGGACTTTCATCATTTAATTTATTTGGTTTCAATTTAAGTAAAGTTTATTACATTAATTATAGACTTGCATAAACTACTTTGTCTGCTTTATCTTAAATGCCTTTATAAATTAATAATAAAGTAGCTTAAAAGGCTCCATCAATATTAGAAATATTTATTTAATTAGGATTGTTAAATTGTTCAATTAACCAACGAATACCTTCTTCTCTACGAGCCCAATTCTTTGAAAAATAGTTTTTACAAAAATCCATTCCAAAATATGGTTTGATAGCTTCAACTTATTTTTAATTTTCAGAACTTAATTCTTCAATTTGTTATTTACTTTTATCTACTTCTGAATACTCTTCTAAAATTTAATTATTATTATTATTATTATTATTATTTTATTTATTTTTTAAAGCTGGTATTACCATTTCATCATAATTTAATTGTTTTTCATTTTTAAGTTATTATTCAAAAGAAGTAGGTTATTAATAACTTGTATTTGCATTATCATTTTAATGATTAGTAATATGAGTAATATTATTGTTATTATTTAATTATTCAATTAAATATGTTTACTCTTCTTAAGGCATTCTATCAAAACTATCTTCAATTATTTTATTATTATCTATTTATTTAATTGATGGTTTTGAATTTCTTCTATCTTCATAATTATCTGTCTATTCACCTAATTCTTATTGTCTTATCTTATCAATATTTGGTTTATATTCATTGCCTTGTTCATCTATAAGTCCATTTTCAATTTTCAATTTATTAATTTATTCTTTAATAGCTTCAGCCTAATCATAATCTTCATTTTATAACACTTCTTTTTTTCTCTCTTCCAAATCTCTCAATTATACTCCCAATGATCTTAATTAAATTATTCTATTTTTTAGTTTTTTAGCTTCCTAATAGTTTTCCTACTTAATTGCATAATCTTTAGACTCTCATATTAAGGAATACTTTACATGTTCAAGTGCAATAATATGTGCCAACAATTTAGTATCAATTAATTTATCTTATTATGGATTGTATAATTCATCTAAGACCTTATCTTAAACCTTATTAGTCTTTTTAGGTGGAGGAAGTTCTGCCTTCTCACCATAAATTCTTATTGCAACAATACCAACTTAATTAAATGGATTAAACTTATTTTCATGATTACGATGCACCAATAGTTTTAAATAGTTGCAATTAGATTCATCTATTGAAACTGTTTTTAGCTCTCTGGCTTACCAGTTTGATTGTTCGTTGGAATGAAATGTAAAATAACCAATTTTTTTAAAACTTGCATTTTCTAAATCCATTCTCCCCTATAGTCTTCCAATAAAAACCTCTATCTTTGTAGGTATTTTTTTCTCATGAGATAAAATTTACATTTTATAAACAGTTATGGCAGATTAGAATTGCAATATCAACTCTTATGGATATTAGCAAAACCTACAACTTTGCCAACCTAAAGGGGTTGAAGATATTTCTAATAAATTTGATGGGGGAAATTATGGATCTTAACTTTAAGCATAAGGTATTGTAAAGGTTATGAATCTAGTATTTTTAGGTTAATTCATTTAATAAAATAATTTATATTAATTTTTCAACTCAATACTTTTTTATTCTTTATAACTATCAAATCTTCCTCCTCTAGTATTTTCTTCTCCAATTAACAATAAAAAGGTAATATTTAAGTAAAATAATATAGTTCAGATTTCTTTATAATATATTTTATGCATAACTCATCCCTAAGAACCCTAATTACTCTATTACCACGGTGTGTAGAAATTATAAAATCACACCAAGATAATTCAGTAATCAGCAAGTATACTTAGATTTAATAATAATATTAATGATTCCTTTTTAATTAATGAACTTAATTCTAATCTACTATTATATAATCTAATTGAAAGTTTTCATCTTGATTCAAATCAATTTCTTTCTTTTTAAAAGGAGACTTAACTTCTATCAATCCTAATAAATTATCATTTAAATCATAAATTAAAGCATCAGGCTTACCACATATGAATGGATAAGACATGTTGAATAGAACATCTGTTTATTTTAATATAATATCTGGATGTAAACTAGCATATTCATTCAGAGCTATTTTTTCATGTTCTTCCCCATGTTTTTAAGCCTCATTTGAAGATTAGATCCTTTTTTAATAATTTTCTTATTAGCATATATAATATATTTAAGTAGAAGTTAATCTAAGTCCTGATTAATTTTTTTATTGATAATTTTGAATTTCTATGCATTATTTATCAATTAACTTTCCTTCTTTTACAAGTAATTTATTTAGAAAAAAATATTCAATTGATTATAAGTCTTCTTGTGGTAATTTCTTTTTTTCTACTAAATGAGTTTGATGAAATAATTTTAAAGCTTAATAACAATCTTGTTTATCAATTTCCTATTTAAAATATTTCCCTTTTTATTTAATGGATACTCTTTGAATATTCTCAATAGAAACATATTGAAATGCCTCAAATAATTATTTTATCTAATCACTTATTTCATCATTTAAATTTAGTTTATTCTTCATAATTTTTTCCATAATTTTCACATTTTTTTTATTTGAATCATAGAAATTGTTAAGATCTTTTATTACATGATTCTTAATATTGAAAAAGAAGTTATAAATGAATAAATCTCTATACTTAGATCTCTTAAGTTGTTTTATTATATATTTAGGAATTATGATTTATTCAGTTTTCTAATGTACAAATATTTAATCTAATGAAATACTACATAATATCTCTTACTCATCCTTTGATTTTATGTTTGTTAACATTTATTTCAGCTTTTATGTAACACTTTCTAGAAATTGAGCATCATATTAGGATAGTGTATTTAATTCAATTAATTCAAATTCTGTGCATTCTATTTTAGCTGAGTTGTCATTTATGTAGATAAATGATAAATGCTTCTCTTTATCCAAAGCATAGAAACAATACTCTTGTAAATTTATCTGATCAATTTGTTTGAATATCAAATATTATTTGCACAGATTATTCATTTAAATATTCAAATTAACAATTTATATAATTCTATTAATTAAATTATTTTAATCAATAAAAATTTAATGAATAAACCTCATCTTACTTTTAATCTAAATTCCATATTTAAATATTACCAGGTTCCTTTTCAAATTGTTTTTCTTCTCTCTGCTCATTAATAAAATAAAATTCAGAATTTTCTGATAACAAATAATTCTATTTTATTAAACTATTCTAAAATGGAAAATAAATCTCAAGTATTATATTTTCAGCTTCAAAAATTGCTTAATTAATAAATGGGCTCTGAATTAAATTATAATTTTATTTATTCAAAGAAGTTAAAACTACTTTATTTTAAATTTCTTAGGAAGTATCAGTTTATAAGTTGATATATTGCATATTAAATAGAAAAATTTTATGGTTTAATTAATGTCCATGTCTCTCAAAAGAATATAGGAGTTCTTAATTCTTCAGGTAAATAAAATCATCTCTAAAATAAATTGGGGATTAGATTATGTTTCTCTTTAAAATGAATGGTGAACTATTTTGGGATGTTATTAGTGAAGCTAGATTGTATTGAATGACATCTTGATTTATCATTAAGTAAAAATATTAAGAATCCAAAAAATAAGGCATGAATGATTTATTATATTGACATTCAATTGACTCTATCATAACACTATTAATAATGTGGTATTGCTTATCATTTTTTATTGAATTTTCAATTTTAGAAAAAAAACATTTATGTATTTCAATTGTTTCTAAAAATTAATTTATTCTAATTATTAAAACTATTTTGTAAACTGAAAATACTATAAGAGTTTCAAAAAATTCATGTGGACTTAGTTTTCTTCCAATATTATAATTTGTGAAAAATTTGATTATTTTTTTGTTATCTTAAGGTGTATTGATTACTTTTAATTCATAAACTTTGGCTGTCCTATCATAAATCTTGAATTCCATATTAGAGAATATTTTTTATTTTAATTATATATGTTTTTCAGAGTATCATTTAATTTTTATAATTAGAAATTAAAACTCATAAAAAATATATTACTATTCTTAAAGTGTTGAAATTTTTAATCATTAATTTTAATTCATATATTTTTTATATATTTTTGATATTTTAAGACATAATTTTTCAAAAATAAGATGAAACTTAGTGTTATGACTGACATCTTCTTTAAAATTTTATTCATTATCAATTCATTTTTCAAATTATCATTATTTCTTACTCCATAACAATAGAATTTTTATTTTCTCAATAAATTTTCTTATATATAACTAACAATTTTTATTTTAGCTTCATCTTTATCATCACAAATTATATGTACCAGCAAAATGAAGAAAATAAATATTGGATAGATAACTATTTATTTAAAGTTAAAAAGAATTATTTACAATTTTCTTTATTATTTTTTCATTTATGTGTAAATCCATATTACATGAATATATGTCTAAAGTGGCATGTTTTTATTGATAGATTGAACAGTTTTATCAGCATCTCTAACTTTATCTAATAATTTAACCTTAATTTCTTTTAAGTATATTGCATTAATGAAATCGGATCTTTTAGTCTAAGTTAATCAAAGTATTGCCCACGTTTAGAAATATAAAAACATAATTTTTTTTTTTTATTCTATTTATAAAAATTTTTTAAAAATTAAAATCTTAATTTGATTTCTATAAGTATTATGCAAAATTTATAAAAATGAATAAAAGCGTATACTATTGAATATAAAATTCATTTGACTTTTTTATTTGATCCACCATCATTTTTGATAACATATACTTTTGGTTCTTTGTCATCAGGATCATTGTAAATAAATTGATCATCTTCAAGGCATTTAATTTTTTCTTCTGCATCTTTTTCTAAATGATTTTATTTGATAAGTTCATCAGTATATTAAACAACTTTATTTTCATATCTATCTTTCTCATATTTATATTCTGCCATTAATCTTCTAATCTAATAAATATTAATAATTTATTTATTACATTAACAACATTGACTTATTATAAATCAGGATAATCATTTTTATTATCATCTTTTTTAGGTGTCAAATTTTTTGAATCAATATCTGTTTTACCTGGTTTTAATTTATTTGGATCATAACCATGTTATTTTAATAAACTTTCTAAATAAATAATATGAATTTTTAAGTCATCTATTTGCTTTTCTAATTTAATTATAATTTCTTTATATTTAGAATCAGTTTATTAACCTGGCTTTTTATCAGATTATCCTTATTTATCATTTCCAAAAGGTTCATCTCTATTTTTTGTTGGGGTTTTTTGTTTTTAATCTTCAATTTATTTTTGTAGATCTTTTATCTTATCTTCTAATTTTTTAATCTTTTCATCTGTTAGAGATTTCTCTTTTTCTAATTTAGATATCTAATCTTTTAATTTGTTGTTTTCATTAGTTTAATCCTTAAATTTTTTATTTTCTTCTTCTTTTTTTTTGATTTCTTCTTGTTATTTTTTTATTATTTCATTTTAATTCTTTTCATTCTACTTTTTTTCATTGTTTTCCTTTTAATCTTTTTCTATTTTTTCTTTTAATTTTGATATCTCTTCTTCTTTTTTTTTAAATTCTTATTCAGTCTTACTATATTTTTCATCTTTTTATTTTTATGTATTAATATCTTTTTGTAATTTTTAAATCTAATCTTATAATTTTGTAATTTATTCAGTCCTTTAATCTATTTCTTACTTCAATACTTTTATTTACTCTATATATTCTTTTTCTTTATAATTTTTTTCTATTTTTTAAATATCTTCTTATAATTTTTTTATTTGTTCATCCTTTTTCTTAATATCTATCTCTTATTTTCTAATTGTCTAATTCTATTCATTTTCTTTTTAAGTCTTTTACTATTTCTCTGTTGTTTCTTTTTAATTAAGTTCTTAATATTTTTTGAGTTATTCCTCCAATTATTTGATTTATCTAGTTTTATCGATATTTTCTTAAGTTAATTTTTCAATATCTTTTTCCAATTAACGATATGTTTTTTATTCATTTTTCTCCTTCTTTGCTTCCTTTTCGTATTTCTTTTTCGTTTTATTATTTTAATCTACATCAACATCTTCTCCAATATCTTCTATGACATCTTCTATATAATCAGATTTTAATTTTTAATTCAATTTACTTATCTATTCATTCAAACTTTTTATTTATTTATGTAAATCTTCTATAATTTAATCTTTTTTATTTAATTTCTCTTAAGATCTCTCACTTATTTAATTACATTGCTCTTCTAGTTATTTTAATTTCTTTTCATTTTATTACAAATTCTTAATAGTCTGTTCTAATTGATTGTTTTATTATTTCAATTTTTTAGCTTTATCAATTTGTTATTCAATCTCCTTAGAATTGTTATTCTCTTGTTTAATCATTTCCTCTTTAAGTCTTTAAACTTCTTTTTCTAATTCCTTAATTGACTCTTTGTATTTCTTTTCATTATTATCTGTTGTTTTTTTTATATCTTCTTTTTCTTTTTCTACTTTCCTCAATTGATCATATCTTTACTAAAGTTCCTTAAGTTGACTTTATAAATCTTCTACTTAAACATTTAATGATTGCAAGTCATTAATTAATTCTATTTTCTATTCCTCTAATTAATTTATTTTCTTCTATTGAGTTACTTCTGATGATTTAACTTTCTAATTTACATTTTCTTTCTCCTTTGAAATTTTGGTAATTTATTTCTAATAATCCTCTATTTATTACTTTAATTTAATTATTTCTTAGTCCAAATTTTGTATTGATTCTGATTTTTCATCTAAATCTTATTCATATGTTTTTATTTACTCGACAGTCTATTTTTCATATTCTTAAAAGATTTTAATTTTTTGAGTTTGATCAGTAATAGTCTTATCCAAAGTTTTCACTTTTTCTTTTTATCTATTATAATCATTTTCTATTTAAACTAATCTTAAAATTTCTATTTCTTTAAGTTTTATTTAATTCTCTATATCAATTAATCCATCAATTTACTACTATAACTCTATTTTATCTTATGTTAATTATTAAACTTATTTTGTAAGTTTAGATATTTATTGTTAAAGTGTATTAATTGTTTACTTTAGAGATTCTTCAGCTTTCTCTTTTAATCTAATTTAATCATTTAATTCCTCTTTTTCACGATCAATTAAATCTATCTATGAAATCTAACTTGTTCTTTCTGAAATATCTTATTTAAATTATTTGATCTACTACTTTTTTTCTTTAACAGAAATCTCTAATTTCTTAATCTATTCTTATAACTTATAAATAATATCATCTTTAATTTTGATATTTAAATTAATTTATTCAATATCATTATGTAATACTGTATTAGATAACTCTTCTGATTTCAACTTTTCTTATAATTATTTAATCTATTATTCAAGTTATTTAATTTATTTTTGATAAATATTATTCTCTGATTATAGTTTAGATTCAATGTTTTTTCTTGACTTTTACTCTTCTTTTAAATCTTCAACTTCTTAAGTAAATTCAAAATGTTGAGATTCTAATTTTTCTAATTCTGAAATTTTTTCTTTTAATTTTGTAATAATTTCATCCTTAATTTTAGCTTATTAATTTAATTTGTTTTCAAATTATTTCCTTTCTTCTTCTAACTTTTTTTTCAATAATTCAATTTCTCTTTCTAAACTAATTTTTTCATCTTCATCTATTTAAATTTGTTCCTCTAAAAACTTAATTTTATTTTCAAGTTATTCATAATTTTATTTATATTCTTCAATTATATTCTATTATTTTTTATATTTTTCTTCTAACTTTTTAAGTTATTATACTTTTTCTTCCAAAATCTAATTTTCTTAAGATTTCTTTTTATTCTCTTATTTCTATTTATCAATCTAATTTTCTAAATCTTCAATTTTATTTTATTGTTAAATAATTTTTTATTATAATTCTTCCTTTTCTTATAATTTAACTTATAGTTTTTCAATTTCCCTTTAAATCTCTTTTATTTAATCCTTCAATTTTTTCAATTCTGAATCTTTTAAAATAATCTATTACTCTAAAGATTTAATTTTTTCTTAATTTATATTTTCATTCTCCAATACTTCATGCAAATACTGCTCAGTTTCTATCAATTTCTTTTATACAGTTATTAATTAATCTCCTTTTTTTGTAAATTCTCTTTGTTATTCTTATAATTTTCTAATTGTTTAATCTTTTGATTATATCATTGCATCTTAATTATTGATAGTTGAACTTTAATCATCAATTTTAACTTAATTGGTTTCATCTTTTATTTTGAGTTCACTAATTAAGATTTCTAATTAAGAATTTCTATCTTATTTTTTTTAATATTCTTTAATTGTTTCTTAGAATTTTTTGAAATCTAATTCATAATTTCTGATTTTTTAAGTAAATTCTTAAGTATCTTCTCTAACTTTTATTATTTCTGTTTCCTTCTCTATTATCTATTAATGTAATTAATCAATTTCTGCTTAAATTTCAGGTGATTTCTAATTAACAAATTTTTATTTCAATTTATTTATTTCAAATTCTTTTTCCCTTATTGTTAATTAAAATTTCAATTATACTTCATTTAATTATTATTATGATATATGAAATTAATCATTAATTTATTCAATCATTTTCTCCAAACTTTAAATTTTCTCTTATTATAACTTATTTTCATCTTATAACTTCTTTAATTCATGTTCCTTTAATTTTAATTAATTTTCTAATTTTTTAATAGTTTCTTTATTTTATTTATCTTATTATTTTAATTCTCTTAATTATTATGTTTCTAATTCCTCAATCTGATTTTCTAATTTTGTAAGATTATCCTTCCAATTATCTTTTTCAATCTCATTTTTTTTTAATTATTGATCTTTGTATTTTATTAAGTTTTCTAATTTATTTATTTAATCTTAAAGTTATTTGATATTTAATTCATTTTTATTTATTTATAGATTTAGTTCTTGAATTTCTTTATTTAAATCATTCTCTCTATTTGAATTTAATTACTTTTCTTATTATATTTCTATTAATTTTTTAATTTCTTGATCTTTTAACTTGATTTAAGTAGAAAGGTTTTGTATTTAAATTTTAAGATCTCCATTTTCTCCAATTTATTAATTTAATTTATCATATAAATCATCTAATTCTTATTATAATTTTGTTGTTCTTTCTGGAGTTCTCTAATTACCTTAGATATTTCCCTATAATTTTTTGACTTCAATTTCAAAGATTCTAATTTATTCTTATAATTCTTCATTTTGAAATATGAATTTTCTTATTTCAGTTGTTTTTTCATCATTTAATTCTTTAACTTTATTTGTCATTTCTTTTGTTTATTCTAAATATTTAGATAATTAATAATCCTTAGTTTTATTACTCTATTCTAATTTATAAATATTCTCCTACTATTATTTATCAATAGTATTAAGTCTTTCTATTTCTTATTTTAATGAATTAATATTCTCTTCATAATCTTTTAATTTTAATTAGTATAATTACAAATCTCTATTCTTTTCTTTTAATCTTTTAATTTCTTATTCTTTAGTCTTAATTTCATATTCTTATTATTAGATCTTTTATTCAAGCTCTTCTAATAATTATGTTTAAGAATTTGCTTCTTAATGTAATTTTTCAATTTGATCACTTTAATTATTGCTTTTCTCTAAGGCTTTAGTTAATTCCTTAATTTATTCTTAAAGTTTCTTTACTTCTTGATCTTTTACTTTAAGAGAATCTTATAGATCCTTCATTTAATCTTCAAAAAAGTTAATTTCATCTTGCATTTGTTTATTAATTTATTCTATCTTCTTTTAATTGGCCAATAATTCATCCTTTTACTTTTAAAGTGCTTTTTAATAATCAGCCTCTTTCTTTGATTATTTTTTTTCATTCAATTTATAATCAGAATCATAATTTTCAATTTCAAGCATTAAATCTTAAATTTTTTATTCTAATTCTCCTACTTTTTTTTCTAATTATTTATTTTCTTATTCTAATTTGTATTATTTATTTAACTATTCTTTTAATTGTCTAATTTCTTTTTCTCTTAATTCCATCAAACTTAATTATTTATCTTTTTCATTAATTTAAGCATCTTATTGATTTATTTTAAAAATTGCTTAATTTAATTCTTATTATAATCTTTAATTTTCTACTTTTAAATTTGCAATAATCTTTTAGAAATCCTTGATAGAATCTTCATCTTCTTTTTTTTTACCACCTTCCAAACCGTGCTTCTTTTTCTTTTTCTCTTCATTAGTATCTTTCTAATCAAAATTATCTTAATTATCTTCCTCTTATTAGAAAATATCAGTAGCATTTTTGGTTGCTTCTCCAGGATTTCTTTAATTTTTATTAGCATTATTTGGATTTTAGTTAAAAGAAGTACTTGGACTTTTATTTTGATTTTTTGGTGAAATAGGATTTTATATATCATTTGTTTATCTATTTTAAATTTTTTTAGTTAAATCCTTAATAATATTTTATAAGTCTTCAATCAAATGATCCTTTTCTGATAATTCATTTTGAATATATTACATTCTTGTTTTATATCCTTCAATTTCAATTTTATATTATATCAATTAAACTTATAATGTTTCCATTTCTATTAGTAAATTTTGATTTTAACCTTGATTCAATTAATCATCCTTCTCTATAATTATTATTCTTAATTATTCAATTTTCTCTTATAATTCTTTTATTATTTAACCATAATATTCTTCAGTTTCAGTTATTTATCTTTTATCGCTACTTGGATCAAATTGTTTTACTTATTTATTATTAGATATTTGTATTATTTATTAAGTTAGTATTTCAATCTCTTAATCTCTTTCTCTCAATAATTCTTCATAATCTACAGTCCCTTATGCATTATCTCTCTCTAAGAGTCTTTTAGTTATCAAATCTAATTCTTAAATCAATTGTTAGTTTTACTCTTCCAATTACTTCAATTTATTAGACTAAAAAATTAAAATTGAATATCATACATTAGTACTTTTATCTACAATATCTAACTTTATTTATAAGTCTTCATTATATCTAATTTTAAAAGAATTAACCTCTTTTTGTTTTTCTTGTAGCAATAACTTGAGTTATGTAATTTCTTATTCATAATCATTTATGGTCTTATCATGAATGGAATGCTATCTTGTATTTCTTTTAATTCTTTCAAGCTAATCGCAGAGTTCAATATTTAGTTTATTAAGATCCTTATTTTCTTTATAAAGCACATCAATATTTCCTTTTAGCTATTCATTCTCAGCAAGTGCTTCTCTAACAACAGCATTCTAATAATGAATTCATTATATATACAAGTTTATCATTAGCTCTAAGTAATTATTTGATTTTTAATTCATAATCATCTTATGATTAATGTGAAAGTGCTGGCGAAGCAGTTGGATCATAGTTTCTGTACATTATAAAAATATTTTGAAATAAATTTATTCAATAAAACAATTGAGAAAAAAATAGTTGAGTTTAAAATTAAAAACAGTTTATTTATCTACAAAATTCATAATAGTTTATCTAAAGTATAGCAAAGTATTTAGAATTAATGTTCTTCTTCTTAATCTTCTTTATCAAAAATTAATTATTTATAATCAGCATCAGGTTTTCGTAGTAGTTATTAATTCTAAGTTTTTGTTATTTTTGTACTTTCAGTAGTGTTATTAAAAAAGTTATTGCTAGTTCTTTACATTTTCTCTTTGTTTATAAATTGATTATTATGATGTATTCTAAACTTTGCCTTTTATTTATAAACATCAATAATACAATTGGAGTAATAGGATTGAACATTGGTTAACTTTTATCTCTACTGAATTATCGAGAATTAGGTGCTTTTGGAAGTAATTTCTTAAAAAAATATTATTAAGTTGAGGACATCAATAATTTTAATAATTATTTTTATATGAAATCACACTTTCTACATTTCATTTTCTTTAATTTTTGGAATTTATGATCTTATTAATCTAAAGAACTTTTTCCATTTTCTTTAAGGGATTGGTTTCCATTGATTTCTCAATTCAAAAATCAATATAGCAAATCCTAATTATGTACAAGTAAAAATAGTAGCTAATGTAGAATATTTGTAAAAATTCATTTCAGTTTAAGTTATCATAAAATAAAACATGATAGCTCTTTGAAAACTTGATATAAATGATGATATTCCACAAACTATTGTAAGTGTTTGTTTCTTATTCATTATAGCATATAAAGCTAAAATGTGTTATATAAATGCAATCAAGTCAGCTAAAGACAATCCAATAGTTATGTAAATGAATTGATCTTAATTCTCTAACCAATAATTATCAGACAATAATAAAGAGTAAAAGCATACAAAGTATAATAAAATTGCACCAGTCATTATAAATTATACCACAAAAAGACATCTTCCTAATTTGATAACATTTTTATATTCTTTTTTATAGTTAACTTTATTGTTTTCTAAAAATTCATTCTTTTCATTCTCTTATTTACAAGTATTCATAAACCGATTTATTAATAATATATTCATTTGTCATCAAAATTTAAATATTAAATAAAGAGAATGTTTTACATTTTACATGTATATATAATATACTAGAACAATAATACATTAATTATCTAATTACAAAAAAACATAAGAGATTCTTGTCTTTATCTTTAAATTTGATATATGTTTGAATTCTAATATTCTAGAAAAAAATCAATCAGTTATTAAACACAAAATATTGAATGATGAAATAATTTAAATTCTCTTTTTTCTATTTATTGGATGTGAATTAACAATATTCTAAGAAAATTGAAATGAAGAGGTTAAAATTTGATTAATTTCTATATTATTAGAATAAATTTATAAAATGCATGTAATATAAAAACAAAGTACTTTTAAGAAAAAGAATTTTAAGGAAAAGGTGAATTAGTTTAGAAAAATATTATTCATCTTATTAGAAGATCCTTCATCAAGTAGATTAGCAGGTTTAATACAATTTATCATTTGTTTTACAATATTGCTATCTTAAGTTTAAATACTTTGCGATTCGATATTCGATAAGTAAATGAATTAATTTGAGATAGTAATTAAACCTATAATGATTTAAGCAATGATTGTGAAATCCTTATTTTTGTTGTTTTTGTTCTAGAATATCTATTTCGATTATCAACATATACTGTTTATGGATATCCATTAAGGAAGTTTCTATTTTAGCATATGAATATAATAGGTAGATTAATTATTAATTATAGATCTGTTATCAATTGCTCCTCTTAGTATCATTTCATTAATTTATGGTAAAACTGCATTAAATGGATTTAGAATTTTGAAATTATTTAAAGTGATAAGAATATTAAAAGTAAAGAGATATTTGAAAGGAGTTGACCTTTTGTATAAAAGTGTTGCAGATAGCATATCTCAGTTCTATTTCTTAATAATAGCTTTTTTATAAATTACACTTGCTTATGCGATAGTTTTATATTATTCAGAAAATTGTGAAAATGAATTAGAAATTCAAAATGCAGTTTGGCTAGGTATAGTTACAATGACTACTGTTGGTTATGGTGATTATGTTCCAAAGTCCATAATTGGCATAATAACTACTTGTATTATGGCTTTGATGGCTAATACAGTTATTTTTTCACTTCCTGTTGCTATTCTCAATATTGAATTTTAAGAACTTTATGGAAGCAAAAAAGAAGAAGAATAAATTACTATACTTAAAAAAGGAATGAGAACTGGAAGAAGAGATTCAATAAAAAATAAAGAATTTAGTTTTTTTAATTAAAGATTATAAATTATTGAATAAAGAAATAAAGAAATCTAAGAATTATTAAATAAGAGTAATAAAATGGCTAAAGAATTAACAAAAGATTTGAAAAGATTATTTCTATCAGTTAATGATGATGCAGATTAACTTCTTGATAATTTAAATTCACCTAGACCTACAAAATAAAATGTATTATTAGTTAAGGCTAATCTTTATGATAAATTGATGAGAGCTAAAAAGAAAATATAAATTACAAGCATATTTAGAAATTTAAAATAAGATTCTGATTAAGAATTAAATGAAAGTCCATTAAATCAAACTGTATCTGGTTAAATTAGTAAATAAAAAAGCTTTTTTAGAATGATGTCGGATAGAAAATAAAATAAAAGAAAAATAGGAATAAAAAGTCATTCTTATGAAAATATCAATTAATTAATTATACTCAGAAATGAAGAATATGGTGAATTGCCTTTTGACTTTTTGAATGAAGTTCTTTTATAAATTCATGATGATATGTTTTAAGATATAGATGAACATCCAATAAATTAATAAAAGCATTCTATTATTATACCTGAAAGTAGTGAAATAATTAATAGAGAACCATCTTTTAGAATTAATTCATTATAGTATCAATCTATTATTATATTTTAAGTGGCTTTGACAGTCCTATGAATAAACTTAATTAAACTAATTGTGGAAGTTCAAATTAACAGAGACGAAAGATATCCGATTTTGCAAGTTTAGTTGAAAAGAAAACTATAATAAATTTAAAAAGTACTTCAATTCGTCCTTTTTCCACTAATGAATGTGGATTAAGAAGTATTACTGAAATATCAAAGGGCAAAAAGAAAAACTCATTTACTAAATAGCAAATTGATGAAATGCATTAAAGAACTAAACCAAGAATACCTCATTAATTTATTAATTATAATAATAATCTTAAAGATCTAGATAGTGGCAAAAATAAAGATGAATTTCGACAAAAATATTCTAGAGCATCAATAGTGGATTTATATTCTCCTCATCAATTATACTTAAATATTCAAGATTAATGTTCTTGTATTGAATGCCAAAACTATAATAATGAATAGAATTACTGATTAACTAAAAATTAACTTGAATTTTAAATTATAGATCAATACTTATCAAATTTTAATAGATATTTTAATTACTTATTAAAATATATTTATTATGAAATCAATTAATTAAAAGTCTAAATTCATAATATTGAATCTTTATATTAAATAATGATCATAAATATATTGGAATTCTAATATATTATGTATCATATATATATATATATATATTTTAAATGATTAAAATTTATTTATATATTAATCATTGGTCTACTTATTCTTCAAATCCAAATAAACTTCTTATATATTTTGTTAGAATTTTCCTGTTAAACCTTGTTTGAGTGTTTCGTTTGTATGATCTCATTTTCTAATTATATTTTTTTGAACTTCCTTTATGTTTTTTAGATATATGTCCTCCAAGAGCTTTATGATTCTTAAATCTTTATGGGCAAAATTGACATTGATTTTTTTATTTTTTGATATTTGTTGGAATAATCTCGCACTACTATTATTAAAATGAATTAATCATTTTTGGTTTAGTTATTAAAGAGAGTTATTAACATGGCTGATTATCTTCATTGCCAATCTAAAATAGATGCCATTACTTATTTCCAAAGTTGATATGATTTTTCTTATTTAAATATACATTTGAATGAAGATTTTTGTTTTCCATTGATACAACAAGGCCATTTCACTAAAAAATCAAAAAGTTCCCATAGTTATTATTAAATTTGAGTTTAATTTTTTCTAATAAATATAAAAATCAATTCTGAATGGTATAAGCTTTTAGAATAAAAATTGTTATAGATATTAAGTTTGATTTTTTTAATTAAGTTGATAGATACATAAATCAATAAATTTAATAGTTATAACTTGTATTTAAAGAACTAAGACAACAACTATATTATAAATAAATAGGAAGAAGTATTATATTGTTGAACTTCAGAATAAATTTAAGATTTAATAAAAGTATAGAATTACTTTCTTTAAAAGGATATTTAGATATTTCAAATTATTACTATGTTTTTAATAAAATTTGTAAGATTTATTAACTATCAAAGGAATCCTCAAGTATAATCAATGAAAGCCTTTGAAGAAGTAAAATTTTATATTATTTTTTTTTTTGGTGTCTTAAGGGTTACCCTATTTTAAATATAAATAAATTAATTCAGATATGTTTTTAAGGAACAGATTGCATTCTCTACGCAAATTAGCTTAATTTTGCACAGCTGAAAGTGTATCAGGAAAGAAGACCCCTACAACTTAAGCTCAATAGACAAAAGTAGAGAGAAATTACTAATTGCAATTCTCTAAGTCAGCATTAGTGGACTTTGGAGAATTGCCAACAGGGGAAATTCCTGAAGCCTTGAAGTATGATAGACCTTAAGGTACACACATTTATTGAATTTTAAGCCTTGACTTAATTAGACAGCGGTCTCAGAGTAGTGTCTGAATAATATAATTCTCCACTAGCCTCAATTACTGTAGCTGTAAAAGCAGGATCAAGATTTGAAACTTTAGAAAGTTCTGGAGTATCAAACTTCATTTCAAAATTAAATTTAAGAGTAGAAATGAATATATATGCTAGGGCACAACAACAAAATCAAGAGAATAAGTTGAAGCTGAAATAGATTATTTGGGAGGATCATTAAAAGTGAAATAAGGAAGAGAATTATAAACATATACTCTAACTTTTTTACCATCAGAACTTGAGAGAGCAGTAAACTTTTTGGGAGACATTTTGACAAATTCATTATATTCACCAGCTTAAATTGAAGCAGAAAGAGAAGGAATCTATAGAGAATCAGTTAGCATCAATGATTAATACAGAGTAGTTGCTGAAGCTGCTCATTACACAAATTATAGAGATCATTATATGGGTTAACCTGCAGCAGGAATTAGAGATAATATTCCAAATATTACAGAAGAATAAATAAGATAATTCCATAAGGCCAATTTTGTTGCACCAAATGTTGTTGTCTCTGCTGCTGGTAATGTTAATCATGAAGACTTTGTATCTGCAGTCAATAAAGCATTCAAAGGATTAGGTACATCAGTTCCAACTGAAGTACCAAATTCAGAAAAACCATATGCTACTCCATCTATTATGGTATTCATATTTTATTAATAATATAGTTAATGAAAGATGATGAATTAACTAACTTAAATGTTGGTGTTTTCTTTGATACTCCAGGATGGAATCACCCTGATGTTTTTGCTCTCCATTATTTCTAAAGACTTATTGGTGATTATAGAGCTGATAAACACACAGGATTCCATTTGAATGCTCCAAGTAGATAATATAACACTATGCATTCACTTCTCGGTGGATTACCTGATGTTACATATTAAAGATGTGTCTATTATGCATATTCAGACACTGGTCTTTTTGGAAATTACTTAATTGGTAATGAAGTCTTTGCAACATAAATGGCATATGTCAGTCAAATGGTTTTATCTGATTATGCTTCATCTGTAGGTTAAGTTGAAGTTTTCAGAGCTAGAGCCAAAGTGTTTAATGAATTATTAAGTTAAGAGAGTTCTGCTAAATAATCAAGAGAAATTGCTTAATAAGTTTTGTATAAATATTTCAATAAGATTTAGCTATTGGGGAAGAAGAGTTCCAAGAAGTGAATTTGCTAGAAGAATCTCTGCTCTTGATGCTGGTCATTTGACTAGAGTTGCTACAAGACACTTCTGGGATAAAGTAAATATTCTATTTGATTTAATAGGATATTTCTGTTGTTGTATGGGGACCAACTCACTTGTTAGATGCTGTTGCTCATTATAATAGATCATGGAAGAGAAGCACCTTGGGTGGATATGCATAACCATACTATGAGGGTTGATTCATTAAATAATAAATATAAAGTTTATTCAATTATTTTTTACTCTTGTTTTCTCTTTGTAATTTATTCTGAAGAGTTGTATTGGATTTTTAAATTAACTATAAATTTATATTGAAATATTTACTTTTCTATAGAACCTTTTTATAAAATGCTGAATTTGTCATCAAGACAAGGACTTTCATCCTCATTCATTTAATCTTAACTTTTTACAGTAAAATCCATAATAGATGGATTATTCATTAGTCCTAATTATAATTCTACAATAGAATTATAACAATTAGGTTTGACATCTAAACTTAATTTATGCACAACTCTAATCTTATTTTGTGCAGATGTACTTCTTTCTGCTTAGATTGGAGTATTTATTTCATTATGAAATGATCCAAATCTTACATTTCTTTAATAGGCTATCATACAACTGACATCTGGTTGAATATCACTGTATTATTAATTTGATTCATTAAATGAACTTGTGCTTTTATGTCTTAAATTTAATCTACTTTCATAAGGTAGAAGATTATAAGAATTATTGGCAATTGAAAATCTTCCATTTGAATCTCTCTTAGATTATCCTGTATCATCAAACTCTTCACTTTATTTTTACTTCTTTGGTGAATAGATTTATTAAATTAAATGTGATTAATCCATAATTTTTATAGATTATTACTTTTTAGGAGAAACAGAACCAGATTTTTTATCTTAAGCATTTTCATCTAACCAATCAAATCTATATTCAGCTTATTGTTAAATAGCAACTCTTCTGAATAATTATTAAAAGTATCTTAATTAACTAATAATTTTACTTATAATCTGGTTTTTCTCTATAACTCATCTTTTTTACTAAATCTATGAATTTCATTAATTCAATAGGCAAGTCTTGGCATAATTCTTAAGATGAAATTCTCATTTTTAATAATCCAACTATTTTAACTTTCTCTTCTTCATTTTTATAATCTACATTTTACCATGGAAGACTTCCCTTCAATAAAAATCTCTTTATTGTATCAATATTACATTAACATATAACCTAATGATTCAAGATCATCTTTTCTAGATAATTCATATCCTTTATGTGCTGCTATACTTGCATATCTTGAAGTTCCTAGAAATGGCTTATTATCTTTAAATGGACTAATATTAACTTACTTTTTATACATATGTTTATCATCTTTATCTTTAAAATGTTTTGCAATTCCAAAGTCAACTAAATATATTAAATTTTTCTCTTTCTCTTTTCCAACCAATACATTTTCAGGCTTTAAGTCTCTATGAATCACACCCCTGCCTTGAATAGAAAATGTACTTATTGTGAATATTTTCAAGTATGGTTAGCATCTAATCTGCAATACTCAAAACACAAGGCAAACTAAATCGTTTTCTCTATCTCATATAATGAGTAAGATCTCTACCCAACAGCTAAATTACCATTACATTATTCCCTTAATCCTTTCCTGCCCATTTCAACCTAGGAACTTACTGCACTCCTTATACTGATCTCAGTATTTAAATCTATAGATATTGCTATTACTCAACCTCTCTATCTAAACTTAGTAATTCATCCACCTCTAACTTTTCAACCTTAATTGCCACATGGTCTGATGACCGTAAATCAACTCCTTAATACACTATGCCAAATGAACCTGAAGAAATCCTTTTTTTTACAACAAATTAATTATTGAAGATCTTTTATTGCATTCCAGCCATTTAATTTAATATTTATAAATACTAGTTATAGTCATTAATATAAATTAAATACCACTTGACTCATAATCATTTATGAGTTTCCTCTTATTGCGATAAAATATAATTTATATATCTAAAACGCAATAAGTTGAAAAGTAATAAATAATACATAATTAATTTATCAAAATCAAATATTCTTAAAATTAAATGTTTAATAAACCTAATATAAAAAAAACTAATATTTTCATATTAAGTTAATATCAGGGCTAAATTTAAATCTAAATCCATAAATGTGATTTAAATTTAAAGGTTTTATTATAAATAATCATATATTAAATTTCTTAAATACTGGAAAACTATTATAACTCAATTTACTAATAAACTAAAAGATGAACTCAATTTTTATTTTAAATATAATTTGCTACCAATTCTGAATCTATTCATATTAACTAAATATTTAACTAGATCATCATATTACATTGAATTTAATCAATTAGAATATTTTAAATCCAAAAGAAATTTAATAAATAAATTAAAATAAGTAATTAAAAAAATTATAATATGTTACACATTTAATTAATATTATTATTAGTAGATAACCATTTAAAATATATATAAATTCTACCAAATTGATTGTCTGGAGTATCACGATATCTTTATTGATTTTTCTAATTCAAAGGAAAATTATCTGACCATTATTCAATAATTACTCTAAGTAAAACAATAAATAAAATAACATGTAATCAAATAAATTGAAATCATTAAAGACTTTTAAATAGCTTTTTCTAAAGTAATTTTGAATAAAATTAGGATAATTATTAATTAACCTTTATTTTGATTTGCTACTCAAAAATTGAAAACATAAGAATAAGATATATCTTTGTGAACAATAAATTTATTAAATATATAAAATTATTGTATTTATTTTAAATCATTATAATTTCATTCTTCAAATATTCCTTATTAAAATATTAACTCAGGATTATTTTATTTAAGCACTTTCTATGGATCTTCAATAGCATTTTGATCTAAATATAACTTTTTTAAAGTATTTAATTGTTTTAATTAAATAGGAAGATAAGTCAAATGATTGTCTCTTAAATTTAACAATTTTAACTTTTGCAACTTGTCAATATTTTATGGAATTCTGAAAATTTCATTGTTTGATAAATCCAATAACACAAGCTCAGATAAAGATGTAAATCTATCAATATTTGATAATTAATTCTTAGCCATATTTAATTCTTCTAAAGATGCTAATTCAAAAAATTCATTCTCTATATTGTGATCTTGTAAATTACAACATGATGCATGAAATACTTTTAAATTAGTTAAACTTTTAATGCTTTATGGTATTATTTAAATTTTGTTATTCGAAATAATCAGAATTTATAGATTATTTATACCAAGAATCTATTCATAAATTATATTGACTCCTCTATTCCTAATTGAAATCAAATTTGATATTTTCGCTTTGTCTACAATTTCTTTTAACTCTTAAGGATTTATAAATTTTTCAGATATCTGATTTTACTATTGAATTCCCCCATACTATTGTAATTTAGTAACTAAATCTTTTTCTTTCTCATCTTCCTTTGCCTTGATTTCTTCCCTTTATTATTTTGCTTTTTCAAAAGCCTCTATTATTTCTGCATCACTCAAACCTAATTTATAAATAGATTTTACCTTTTTTCTTAAGAAATTTTTCTATTTCAGATCTAGGGACATTTTATAAATTTGGTGTATTTATAAAGTTAATTGCAATTGCTATTCTTTTATCTTTCTCATCCTTTTCTTTCTCTTATTTAGTTTATTTAGACATTTTAATATAAAATAAATATAATCATAGCATAATTTTTATTATTAACAGTAAAATGGAACTAATTAACGTATATATTTTAGTTAATTTAGCACTTTCCATCCAGAAAGTTTGGATAAGAGTTAACTAATCTATATTATAGACCTTAAACTAGATTAAACTTATCATAATTGAAGAAAAAAGCTGAATCAACAAATACTTCAATGAGACATAAATCTTAAAGAGATATAAATAATAATAATGTTTGGTACTAAGTATCAATAAAGAAAAGAACAAGTAGTTAACATAGTAGTGGAGATTCAGTCACTCATAGATAGAAATCTTCTAGATGTTCAAGTAGAAATCAAACAATATAAACTGTAAGATTTTGTGATGTGAAATAATTATTAATTGATGAATAGAATAAGTAATTTATCGAAAATATAGATATGGTATATTCAAATAAACCTTAGTATTGTAGTGTTTATGCCTATGATATCTAAGAATATTTGAAATCTATAGAATTATCATATCAATTAAGTGTTTAATAATACTTTCATCATTAACCTTAAGTAACTTAAAAAATGAGAACTATTTTGGTAGAGTGGATTATAGATGTGTCTGTAAAATTCAGATTGAAATAGGAGACATTGTTTTTAACCATAAATTTGCTTGATAGATATATGTTAACAACTCCAGTTTCTAAAAATATATTATAATTAATTGGAGTATCTGCATTATTTATAGCAAGTAAATTAGAAGAAGTGCATTAACTAATGGCAAAAGATTTAGCTTATATCACAGATAAGACTTATACAAAAGAATAAATTATATACACTGAATCGCTTATATTGAAATAACTAAACTTTAATCTAACAAGTCCAACAATAATTTATTTTTTAACTAGATAATAAAATATCTGTCCTTTAAAGTTAAAACATTTCTTTTATTGTCAACTTTTAATTGAAATTTATATATTATTATAACCTCAGACACATGATAGTAGTTAATTAGCAGCAGCCTCATTTTGGTTAATTAGGAAATAAAAGAAATATAATCCCATATGGCCTTAAGAATTATAAATAATTAGTAATTGTAATGAAAATAAATTACATTAAATTGTTAAAGTTCTTTAGCAATATTAGTTAGAATTTCAAACAAGATAAACTATTTTTAACTCATTATATACTAAATATTCTTAGTATAAATATTGCAGAATAATTAATGTATGAAATTACATATTTTATATATTTATTATACTTATACATTAATGAATCATCATCCAGTTAAGGTGAGAATTGCTTGTACTGTATCATTATCAGATTTTCTGAGTGCTTCAACAGCTTTACTTCTATCGCATTTACAGTGCTCCATAACCATTTTTATGGATTCTGCTGGAATACCTTCATCACTTACTTATTCTGTAGTTTCAGATGGTTTTGGTTCCTTATTTTCTTCTTATTTAGGACTATAAGATATAAATTGAATATTACACTTATTAAGCTAAATTTTCAGCTTCTTTTTTGCCAATTTAACCTGTTGGGTCATGTACTTTAGCTTCACCAATCACAATATAAGAATTATCTACATTGGCTGATTTTAAGACTTCTGGGTTATCAATATAAAGAAGGAATTATTTTCCTCTTTTAATTGTAACTCTATTAATTCCAGCTACTGGTTTCATTCCTAATTTAAGCATTGCCTTTTTGAATTTCTTTTCTCCTCTATTAGCTTTCTTGTCTTTGTCATCTCCTCCTTAATGATTGTGACCATCATCAGAATCTGAATGGCCATGTTCATGAGGATGATCATGATTATGTTCTTAAGTTTATTCTTTTTCTTCTTTTATCTCAATCTCCTTCTCTTAAGCCATTTATTATTATTATTACATAATTTAAATTTTTCTAATCTTGATTAAATATTTCAAATGAACATAAATTAACAATAGTATAGATTTTAATATATCTAATATATAAATAAAAATGATTAGATTCTCATTGAAGAAAGGATAACAATTATTAAAAAAATAATTCTAAGCTTTCTCAACATAATAGAATCTTATAGAAATATTTATAGATGATGTTCCTCATAAAGTAGAAATATATGTTTGACCATTTATAGGTTGATCCATCAGCTACAATATTTTAAGCATGTTATTCAGCAGGTGTGATTATTCCAAGATTCTGTTATCATGAAAGATTAGCAGTTGCAGGAAATTGTAGAATGTGTCTAGTAGAAGTTGAAAAATCACCAAAACCTGTATAATTAAATGAATATTCTAAAAGGTGGCAGCTTGTGCAGCATAAGTTGCACCTGGAATGAGAATACTTACAAAAAGTGAGAAGACTAGAATAGCAAGAGGAGGTGTTATGGAATTCATGTTAGCAAATCACCCATTAGATTGTCCAATCTGTGATTAAGGAGGAGAATGTGATTTATAAGATATTTCTGAATAATATGGGTAAACTCATTATATTCTATCATTAGATATGGAGATAGCAGACATAATGAATATAAGAGAGCTGTGGAAGATAAGAATTTTGGTCCTCTTGTAGCTACTAGTATGAATAGATGCATTCATTGCACTAGATGTATAAGATTTTCAGATGAATATGCTGGTGTAACTGAATTAGGAACTAGTGGAAGAGGAAGAAATACTGAAATTGGTACATACATTGACAAAATGATCACTAGTGAATTATAAGGAAATCTAGCTGATATTTGTCCAGTTGGTGCTTTAACCAATGGACCATATGCATTTACGTCTAGACCTTGGGAATTAAAATCATATGATTCTGTTGATGTTTTTGATACCATCATTCCACTTATTTAAATTGATACTAGAGGAGCTGAAATTATGAGAGTTTTACCTAGAATTCATGAAGAAGTCAATGAAGAATGGTTAAATGATAAATCAAGATAAGCCTTTGATGGATTAAAAAAATAAAGATTAACACTACCATTGGCTAGAGATGCTTAAGGCAATTTTACAGATTTATATTGGGCAGATGCTATATAATAAGCAGCTAAGAAATTATAATCTGTTAAAGGAGAAGAAATTGTTGGAGTTATTGGAGAATTTGCTGATTGTGAATCTATTGTTGCTTTAAAGGATTTATTAAATAGATTTGATAGTGATAATTTTGAAATTAGAGGAACTGGTGTCCCCTAATTAGATGCAGATTTTAGAGCTAATTATTTATTCAATTCTAGAATTACAGGAATTGAAGAAGCTGATGTTCTTTTATTAGTAGGTACAAATCCAAAAATTGAATCACCCTTATTAAATTCAAGAATCTTAAGAGCTACTAGAAAAAACAATTTAAAGGTATTTTTGGTTGGACCAGCAAATGATTTAACATATAACTATGTTCATCTTGGTAATAATGCTTCAATTCTTGATGAAATTGCTAATGGTACTCATCCATTTGCTGCAAGACTTAAATCTGCTAAATTGCCTATGATTTTAACAGGAGCTGGTGTGTTAGAAAGAGTTGATGGAAATGCCATTCACAATGCTTTAAAAAAGATAGCATAAAATTCACCTGTAATTAATCCATAACAAGGATGGAATGGTTTCAACCTTTTACATAAAGATGTTGGAAGAATTAATGCTCTTGAATTAGGTATCACAGCTAGAAGAAGCAGTGTACCACCTAAAGTTGTTATTTTATTAGGAGTTGATAATAATTTAAATGCTTAAGATATTCCAAAAGATGCCTTTGTTATCTATATTGGCAGTCATGGAGATGAAGGGGCTTATTATGCTGACCTCATATTACCAGGTGCTACCTATACTGAAAAGAATGGCACATATGTAATTCCAATTATGTATTTAACAAGATTTCAACTGAAGGAAGGGTCTAAACCACAAAATTGGTAGCCCTCCCTCCATCAGGTGCAAAATCAGATTGGGAAATCTTGAGAGCTTTATCCGAAGAATGTGGATGTGCCTTACCTTATGATAGTTTAGAGGAAGTAAGTCTTTATCTATACATTAAAATAGGTTAGATATAGAATTGCTGAATTAGCTCCACATTTGTTAAAGTATGATTATATTGAGCCCACTGTTTTGGGATAGGTTGCATTAAAACCTGAATCATCAAAATAAACCATTTCAGCCACTCCTTTCAGAGATCTTATTGATGTACAATATATAATTTATTTAATAGAACTTCTATATGACTGATGCTATTTCTAGATAATCAGTTACTATGGCTAAATGCTCTACAGCATTTAATCCTCATAAATTTAGCACATTTAAATAATTATGATATAATATCCATAAAATTTATAGCAATAATATATATCAAGCCATTTTTTTACTTACAGGACTCAAATTGGATCTTTGTGTATGATAGACTTCGAAGATCCCTTTAGGATTATTTTTTAATGGACTATTGATTCGAGCAGTTTATGAACCTCCCTATTTTAACTTTGTTGATGATTTCAGATCCTCAATATAAATATTAACTATATTGTTTTAGTTGATATTGTATACACCACCTCCCTTTTTTGTTGAACCTTATACACAAATATTATTGGTTATTCTTAATGGATCCTTTGAATTATCATGTTTTTATGGTTATTTTGGAGGAGACCCCTTATAGTTTCCAACAGCATCTTGAGATTTTGTTCTATAGTGCATTAATTAGGCATTAAGAATAGGAGCCTACAAATTATTATTAGAAATCAAAGTGGATTTCTTTTTTTAATCAGAATTTTTGACTTACAATCCTTTTAATGTAGATAAGGCATATTAAGTAAACTTTTATGGTAATTTTTATCTATATTAAGAGATATATTAAATGATACATATTTTTAGATGTTGTTTTCTATAAGGTCTATTCTCCAGTATTATATACGCTCTATCTCTAGACTCTGTCTGTAGCCAAAGGTTGTTTACCTATTAATTATAAATTTTAAATATACTTTTATTATCATCTTCATATTTTTAAAGTTAAGAGGCAACTCTGGTTCTTCTATTAATGGATTATCAATAATAATTACAAGAAATTCACTTAATAAGATAACAAATCAGCTGATTACTTTTATTTTGAATTTTATCTACTTGGTAATCTGAATTAACATTCTGTTGTATTGAAATTAGCACTCACTTTTCTTTGAGAATTAGAGTTTTAACAGTTATTAACTTTTTATTGTTTCTACATAGTTTACTATTATTAAACAAAATTAGCAAATCCTTCAATTTGTGAGTAGACTTTTTACATTAATTATGATTATTATGAATTTCTTAAAGGAGATTATTCTTAATTAGATCTTTTAGTTTATTCCCCAGCCTTTATAGAATTCTCAGCCTTTAAAGAATTTTCAGCTTTCAAAGAAGAAACCTCACCTTGATTGAATTGCAAACGATTAATATTGATTTTATCAAAACTACCTTAATAACTGACTTGATTTGTAGTTTTTGAATCAAAATTCTGTAATTAAGAACTTTTATTAACTTTAGGTTTAAGATTAGTCATATAGTTAGATTTTAGATTTTTAGTGATTGTTGAGAGATCCTAAGATCTTAAGAGAAAACTATTGCTTTAATCAATAGATAATAATCCTGATATTTATCCGAGACAATCATATTTTTATCCTACTTACTAAATGAAATCTCTTAATTAGACACTACTAGAAATATCTACTTTTTTTTAAAGATATGAATTAGTATCTAATTTTAAATCTTTCAATAGATATTTTAATTATCCTATTGTTAGATCTTCATCACTATGCTTTTATTTCTTCTTCTCTTTCTTTTTGGATGGTTACTAGATTTAGTGATTGAATTACTACATCCTCATCTGGAATGTTCAACTTCCTTTTAATATTTGCATATTCTAATCTCCTCTTTTTTTCATGGAACTTATTTATGGTCAAGTAAACATTTTGCATAAATAAACGAGGAATGTCTTTATGATACTTATAGTATTCTTATAATGCCTTGACTTTTTATATTGCCTCTTTTTTTACATATGATCTAAACTTATAATATCATTCTTACCTTTTCAAATACTCTTCTTCTTCTATCATACTTTCTAAATCTCTATAAAATACAACTGCAGGAGTTGACTCTTCTTCTATTATATCGTTGATGTCCTTTGAATAATAATAGTTTTAAGATGACGAATATTTAGCGAATAATGCTTTGTTTAAAAGTGGAGCATAGGATTCTTCTTTGCAGTTTTTAAACTTTTAACAAAACACACAAGGAGTTTAGTTCTAGTTGTTGGGCCTATTCACCAATTAAATCACATAAATTACGGTGAACATAAGGAGGAAAATCGTTTTCTAACTGAAATTGGATTGCTTGTCGATTGTTTGCTATTTGATCTCGATGTTTTACCACCAGTGAATTACTTTTTCATTGACATAATCCTTAGCTTTTTTATAAGTTAATAATTTAATTGTATTGTATTTATAATAATTTTTAGTATTTTATATTAATTTCTATAGAAAACCTTAGTGAATAATTCTTATCATAATTGTAATACTATATAGAAACAATAATAAAAGCAATTTATAAAAATTCATAAATAGCTCTATATATATTTAGAGAATATTAATATAAATAAATGTAATCTCATTTCAAATAAGAATATTATTAATAATATTTGACAATTATGAATAAATTATTTATAGATATAAAAGATAAATCTTAAGATAAATACAAAAAAGTTATTTATTATAAGAATTTTTGATTTACTATGTTTATATTTTATTATACTATATGGTTCATTTTTTTGTTTCCTTTGCCTACTTTCTCTTTTCTTTAACACCGACAAATTTAGCATTGTACCATTCTTATCTTAATCTTCTGTATACATTCTTTGCTCTTAATTCTTTAGAGATAACTGTAGCCTTCTCTCTTTTTGGTGTCCTTTAGAATGTGATAACCTTTGATATAGCAATATTCTTACTTCTGGATTGTTATTTTAAGCAACTGGTTGAGCAACAACTTCATTTGTAGAATCCTTAACAACTCCATTCTTAGGTTTACCTGCAATTCTAGGATAAAGGACTAATTTTGAGAGATATGCCTTTAATCTCTTAACATTATTATTCAATTCTTCTTAGTTTAAATTTCTTCTTCTATGATCAACAGCAATTCCAACTGTTCTGGCAAATGCTGAATTGAGTCCTGCTTCCTTTAATTCAATCAATGAAAATCCTCTTCCAAGTTTTTGGACATTATTATACTTGATAGTTTAACCTCTGACAACTGGACGAAGAAGCTCAACTGGTCTTGGAGATGCAGCTATTATTAATGAATAAAACACATACATAAAGCTTATGCTCTTCTTCTCAATTATCTTCTTCTTTTAGCTGCTGGTTGATTATAAAATGTCTTTACAAATCTGGTCCAATGTTTTCTCATATGAGCATTAGGAAGTTGTTAATTGTGTTTCATGTAGGTAAATTTTTTTAAATAAAAAAAATGTAGATATGTAAAAACCAATATTAAATGACTTAAATTATTTATATATATATATATAATTTCATAACTTTTATATTCATCATAGCTGAGTTAAGTGTTTCATAGACTTTCTATTATTATTATAATGAAGAGTTACCTGACAAAAGTCTTAGTCTTTTCTGAAGGAGTTTAATTTAAATTTGGAGTGGATTCTCTTGGCTTTTATTATTAAGCTAATTCTTCAAAAGTTTATAGGTCTGTTATAGAGTTATGGAAAGATAACTTCATCTTTTTCATGTTGTTCTCATCAATCTCTTCGATTAACTTTGGTTTAAACATTAAATATGGTCTAGAAGGTTTTTATGACTATTCTTTTTTTGTAGCTTAATCAGGTATATAACCAAATTAACCTTATTATCTTCATATGAATATTTGAATGATACATTATTATATCCTATTAACTCCTTTATTAAATTATGGGTTTTTGTTCCCTTGGTGTTGGAACTGTGTAAACTTTTTTCATTATCTTAAGAATTAATTCTAAAACCTTAAATTTATTAATGAAAGTTTTCTAATAATTTCAAATATATTATTAGACATAACAATATAAATCACTTACATTCTGATCTTCAAAAATATAATATTTTTAAAAACAACATACCTTTAATATACATAAATCAATAAAATATTATTAAGAAAATTCATCTTATTAAATAGAGACCTTGATAAAAAGATAAATAAATAATACAGAAATCAATAATAGAGCCAAATCTTTCATTAATCTTTGACTTAGTAATTGAAAATTTAAATAAAAATTATAAAGCTAATAACTATAATCCAGTTCTTTAATATTAATATATAACAATCAAAACATTTCATTTAGAATCTGGTAATTAAATAGACAAAAAATCTTCATTTAGAAAATTAAAAGATTACATTTTAAAATTGTATTAATCCTAAGTAACTTAACTTAATCTTATTATTCAGTAATAATCAATCAATACCTTGTATTTAAATTTTTACTTGCTTTCATATTAAAATAGTTATAACTTTATTTTGATAATTAAGTAAATTTATTTAATCATTTTATTTTTTATTACACATTTTTGTAGCATTTATTACATATTATAATTTTTGTAAAATAAAAATATTTAGTGATAATCAAGATAATTTCATTATAAATTATCTTTACTATTCATTTATTACATAAAAAATTAAAAAAATAATTTCAAAGATACACATGAGACTGTGTTTTAGAAATTTAAATTGCCTATCACAGTAAGAGAGGAGACTCTAATAAATTGAACTAATATTTTACTTAATTGCTGTCTTTTAATTGGATTTATACATAAATTTTCTATTATCATTAGGTATTTCATAATTTATCAAAATCCAAAAGAAGATCTTTTATCTTATTTACTCATATATTTAATAAGTATTATAATTTAAATAATCTAATGCTATTGTTTTTCTTCTGATTCTTAATTCTATATTAATAAATGAATTTAAATTGAATTTTATCATGCTTCTCAATTAATGAGTTTATTTTTTGACAATAACAACTTAATAGACATTTTTAGTAGAAATTCTTATTATTATAAGCATAAAAATAAAAGGAAATATTAAAAAGGATTATTTTTCAAAACAAATTTGAACAGACATTTAAAGAAGGCATATTATGAAATTAGAAATTATCAATAATATTTAATTTATGATAGTTATTATATCATATTATAATCTTCAAATATTTAGATATATATTATAAATTTGAAGAATTAACATATTTTCATTAGTAATCTTAAGAATCATTTGACTATTTTTAAACAAAATTAGGTAAAACATATTTATAAATATATTTTAAAGTCTTCCTTTACTTTCTTAAAAGTCTCACCATTTTCAATTAAATTAAAAAATTAATACTCAACTTTTAAAAATATCTTTAAATCCATTTCACTAATGACTACTGATATTATTTATATATACATTTTATTTCAAATATGAAACCAAATCAATTAGAAAATTTAGGAACTGAATAAGAAAATTGTATTTATTATAACTCAACCAATATGCTAGGCAACCATACTTTGCATGGTTAATCAGGTAGACTATTGCTTGAAAGTGGTTAGAAATCAAATTATCAATTGGTTACAAGGATTAAACAAAATTTAAAAAACAACAAGGAAACCTAGAAACAAATTAGAGCCTCAGATTTAGTAACAGACAAATCGTATTTATGATTGAATAATCTAGGTAATCTATTGGGAACTTTGGTAAGCATTCTTAAGTTTAATTATCACATTATGGTCCTTATTATGCAGGAAAACCACCTAAGAATAAAAAAAACTTTGATGAAAGTCCTTTTCTTATAGATTCACAATTTGAAGAAGACATAGAAGGATTTAGCAATAAAGCTTGGAAGAAATATCCTTTAGAAATTTTAATGATAATCTTAAGGTTTATTAGTTTTATTACAAAATCAAACTTTGCCACTAGTTTTAGATTGGTTAATAGAAATGTTTTTGAAATTATAGGAGATAAAGCAGCTTACTTCCGATATTACTTATTTAATGATTATTTCAAATATGAAGTATTAATTTATTTAATTCAGAAACCTAGTCCTTATGAAAAAATGAAATATTAATTGAATCAGCAGGTTTTTGTGCCTTTAAGAAAAATGAAGGTTTATAATTTCTTGAGCTAAAATAAATTAATATTAAGACCAGAATCTTTTACCTCTATAGCTTGGAATATTTACATATTAACAATTCTAAATATGAATGTTTTATATGTAAGTGCAAGAGTTTCTTTTAAGTTTGATACAAGCAATTCATTTGATGATAGTTTTTAGCAATTTAGATAGATATTATTTGATGTTTTACCTTCTTACTCTTTTATTTTGGAAATACTATTTAAGTTTAATACTTGTTATTATTATAAAGGAACAGTAATAGAAAATAGATATTAAATAGCAAAGAATTATATTCGAACATGTAAAATTTTAATTAAATTTATTTATAGCATTTTTCTTTGATGTTTTTGTAATAATTCCATTTTTTTTAAGTTTAAGATTTTAAGTTGATTATTTAGATTTAGTTTTGATTTTGAAAGTATTTCAGATAAAAAAGTTTAGTGGTCATTTATTTGATAGATTAGAACTAACTACAAATTAAATTGCTATATTTGATTTAGTAAAATTAGGATATACAATTCTAGCTGTTGCTCATTTTTGTGCTTGTCTTTGGTTTTTAGTAGGTTCAACTGGAAATGATTAGATGTCATGGGTTATAAAAAATAATCTAATAGATGAACCTTGGCATACTTAATATTTAACATCTTTTTATTTCAGTATTGTTACTATGACAACTATAGGATATGGAGATATTACTCCTTTAAATTTAAGGGAGAGAATTTTTACAATATGTATGACTGTAGCTGCTGTTGGTATATTTGGATATTCTATTGGTAATATAAATAGTATTTATGCTGAATGGAGTAGAAAAAGTTATGAATTTAGATAGAATATGAATGCTTTAAAAAAGTATATGAGATTAAAAGGATTAGATAAGCATTTAGCAGAAAAAATTAGAAAATATTTTGAGTATGTTTGGTGTGATGCAGAGGAAGAAAATGATAGAGAAGCATTTAAATTTGCTGAATAAATACCTACATAATTATTGGAAGAAATGAAAATAGATATTAATATGAAAGTTGTTAAAAGAATAAGCTTTTTGACTCAAAACTTTAGTGAGTAATTTCTAATCTAATTATCAAAAAATTTAATAGAAGAAAAATATGCCCCAGAATAAATCATTTATAAAGTAATTTATATTTTCTTTACTATTAGTAAAATGAGGAAAGTGATTTTCTTTACATATTATAAAAAGGAGAATTATAATTTTATATAAATTTAAAAAATAAATAGGAATCATAAAAAGTATTAGAATCAATTACAGGAGAATCTTTACCATTTGGAGTTTTAGAGTTTTTTTAAAAATAAAACTATTAAGTCTCATGTAAATCCACTTAATTTACGTATGTACTTAAAATACATAGAAGTTAATTTATTGAAATTTTATTATAAAATTCAAAAGATTATGTAAAAAAATAGTTTATATAATTTTAGTCTACATTTTGTTAAATGAAAGATCAAGTTACTTTCCTAAATAAATAAGATATAGTTGATGTCACTTGTAGAGCATGCAATAAAACTACTCATGTAATTAAAGAGTGTCCAATGGTATGTGGATATCCAAATAGAGCAAAAGTCTTATTAAATTACCGTAGAAATGTACCATCAGATAGAAAAAGTTTTAAAAGAACATTTAATAGAAGGATTGATACACTTATGGAATCACATGATGTTAAAAATAGTATATTACTATTTATATGCAAAAATAAATTAATAGAGGATCTTTAAAGGCAATCTACTGGTAAAACATTATTTAATATAGAAAAAACAAATGAAAATGAATCTGATATTGAAAGTAATGAATCATTAAAAATTGGATATAATTTGACAATATCATAGTAAATTGAATCAAAAAGGCCACTCTCTTTTTAAGGTTGTAATGATGCCTTATAGGATGATGAATTAGTAATAATTGTCATAATATTTTAGTAATCAAAAATTAAAGAAATTGTTAAGTATTTAAAAAAGAAATAATCTACATACTCCCATTAAGAAAGCAAAACATGTTTAAAATAAGAAGAAAAAACTCAAAATTTCAATTTCCTAATGAAAGGTTCTGATAAATCTAATTAATTGCTACCTTAATAATTATCAAGTGGATCTGAATATGCTTATTAAGATTCAAATAAAAGGGGATCAAGAGCTTAAATGCCAAAATACAAAAATTTAATTGATGTTATTATTCAAGGAACAATGATTACATCACCTAATAAGATTGTAGCATCTGAATAAGTTGAATAAGAAGAAGAGACAGGTAAAATTAGAGGTCAATACATTGAAATATTTGAAGGATTTGAGTAATATAAGAACTTTGAAAATTATTTAAAGCATAATAATCTTGGGTTTATTATAAAGCTAAGAGAACGTAAGAAACACAAAAGATGATATATCAATATATATATCATACATATTTAAATTTTTGATTGTTTGCTTTAGTTCATTCTTTTTTAACTTTTTCTGAAGTTTTTTCATTCTCAGATGAAATATCCAAAATCTTAGGGCTAATCAAACTATCACATATTGCTCCACTTATTGCAAGGAATAACATAGCACCTAAGATGATTTAATAACCTCCAAATCTTTCAGATTTATATAATATATGGTTATAATTGATTGCAGCATAGAGAAATAAGACAGGAATTTGAAGAATATAAAGAATTGCAATTCTAAATTTTAATAAAAAATACCGATTCATTGTTATAAATGAACATGCAATAAAAACATATCCAAGCACATTCCTCATTGAAAGATACACATCAACATTACTAAGAATTGAATTTTCTAATCTAGCTGTTTCTCTTACCATTCTTTCAAATCTTTCCTATAATTAGAGATTATTTAATACTTATTCCCAAGGATCTAATAATAAACTCATTCCTATAATTCCTAATCCAAATCCAAAAAATAAAGATGAAAGTCTTTACATAATATAAATAAATTATAATTAATATTTTAATTATGTTTGAATTTATTATTATATTTAAGCTATATTGATTTTTTATATTTATTATTATAAAATTGATTTATATCATTCTAAAGTTTAATTTAAGAATAAATCATTTGCTAATATAAATATTAGTTGATAATAAAAACTAAAAAAATATAAAAAATAATTTTTTCTAAAGGATTAATTTTATATACAATTATTATTTAAATTCATTTTAATTTATTTTGAAATATAGTAGTAATTTAATAACTTATAGATTCTAAATTCTTATAATTATCTACTAAATTTTTATCAGATTCTATTAACCATTCATCATCGAAACATAATGTTTGGTTTTAGAAGGTTTTTAATTTAGGTTTTTTTAATTTATCAGGTAAAGTTCTAATTCGAATATTACAATTATGTTCACATTCATTTGGAATAACATACTCTGAATCTTCACTTATTTCATCTATTGAACTTTAATTCAATCCTTCAATTTTAGAAAAAGGACTATGGCTACTTCCTCTACTCTTTTAATCTTTTATTATTTATAAAAAAGGCTGATGTTGTTTCATCATTGTAGGACCAGCAGTTCTACGTTTTACAGGACTAGCAGATTAAGTATTTAGATGCCTATAAATTTGAATATTTAAATTTTACATAATTTACTTAGAAGATAATTTATCAGATTATAAATTATCTTCAAATTATATAGTTCCAAAATGAGAAAAATTTCCTGTCAATGTTGTATTTTATAGGTCCCAATCATAAAAAGTATCTAATATTATTTTTGAATTTTTAGCTGCCTATTAAAAAAGTTTTATAATTGCTTTATAGTCTGGTTCAGTTGCATAAGTCAATTTTCTTAAGTAACTTAATAATTTAATACTGTAAATTACTCATAAATTTTTTTAAATTCAATTGGAAGCTCATTTAATAGTTCATTTGTTTTTAAAAGTTTCATTTCTCCAACTTATTCAATTTTGAAATCACTATGTATTTGTTTTATATTCTACCAAGGTAATTTACTGATATATAGTGATATAATATCTTTACCCAAAAATAAAGAATAATAACACATAAAACATTGATTCCAGGTCATCTTTCCTACCTAATTCATTTCCTTTATGAGCTGCTATTGATGCATATCGAGATGTACCAATAAATGGTTAACGATCTTTGAAAGGTCTAAATATAATAATTTTGTACAAAATTGATCCATTTTTTTTAAGATAAATTTTACTAATTCCAAAATCAATTAAATAGAACTTATTATTTTCATCTATCATAATGTTTTCTGGTTTAAGATCTCTATGTAATACTCCTCTCTGATGTATATCTTAAAAGACTTCAACTAATTTAATAGCTATTTATAATGTAGTTTTTAGACTAAATTGTTTATGTTTTTTTATCAAAGTTGATAAATCTTTTGATAAAAGTTATAAAACAAGGACATTAAAATCATCTTCTTATCCAGAATAAATTAATTATGGTATTCCTTAAACACCTTCTAGTCTTCTTATTATGTCAATTTCTTTTTCTAATGAATGATGATGTTGATTCTCAGGTTTTTCAAATTTAATTGCTACTTGTTATTCAGACTTTTAATCATAGGCTAACATTACAAATCCAAAACTGCCAGCTGCTAATTTACGAGATATGATAAATTGATTGTTAATTTTTAGAGATTTCATATAAATTATTCTTAATTAATGGAAAAAATATTAGGATTAGTGGATAGCCAAAAATTTCAGGATGCTATTGAAGAATTGACTGATTTATTAGAGAGTGAATTACCAAGTCCAAAACTTGAAACTATAGAAGTGTTAAATAGGATTTTAAGTCAAAGCACTAAGAGACAAGATTTGTAAATAGCAATTTTAAGACTGGCAAAATATGAGAATTCAGAAAGATATTGTAATTTGATTATGAATTTGGCAAGACTATACATTGATTTAGGATAATTGAGTACTGCAAAATAAGAGTTAGAAAGGTTAAGGAATATTGACAATAAATATATTAAATGCATACTTTAAGGATTTGATAGAATGTTCAATTAAAAAAAAGAAGATCTATAAAAAGAGGATTAATGGGAACAATTTTAATTATTAGAAAAAGAAGAAAAGGATTTAGATTATTTTTCATAAGATGGATTATGCAGTTATCTAATACCGGCAGATTGGTTTTAAAAATGGAGACTATATGTTAAAAATGAAGATCCATTAGTACTTGATGATCCAATTATGGGATTGAATGTTACAAAATTAAGATAGTTACTTAATCTTAATGAAGATTCTATTAATGAAGAGACAGAAGTAATACCAGGTCCAATTGACAGTTCAAGATTACTTTAAATTAAATGGAATTTACTACCTGATCCTACTTAATCAAAATAATATTTGAATTATGTTTTAAGAAATGATTTGAGAGAAGGAGTAGATTTTGTTCATGTAAGCGGAAAAGTATTTAAATTTTTTTAAAAAATTTATGGCGCAATTGTTGTTAAAAGATTAATTGTAAAATAAGAAGAGTAAGAGAGAGCAATAGTAGATGTAATCATTATGATTAATATTTAAGTTAATTCCAAGAGTTGTAGAAATAATGATTCTTGAAAATTAATTAGAAGAATCATCTTTATCTGTTAATGGATTTGAATAAGTATAAGAATTAACTAGAAAAATAAGAGTAATAAAAGGTATTGGCAATGAAATCAGATGGTGGAAATTTAAAGATCTATAAAGTTAAATGGATTGGATGTCTATGATATAAAAAGGGACATTTATTAAAAGTATCAAAGGAAAAGAATTAGATTTCAAAATTAAAATTGATGATTTAAATTTAACTACATAAGATATTCTTATATGTGAAATTAAACAAGGAAAAAGTTGGTAATTAACTGCTGAGATGAATGCTGTACAATAAAAAGAATAAAATGTATCAGAACTCTATGCAAAATTTGGCATTAGTAATGTTCCTAAAGTCTTATCTGATAGTAGAAGAGGAATGACAGGTTTATAGAATTTAGGAAATACTTGTTTTATGAATGCCGCTCTCCAATGTCTCAGTAATACCTATGAATTTACAGAATATATGGTTTATAATCATTTTGCATAACATTTGAATCCAAATAATGTTTTAGGAACCAAAGGATTTTTAGCAGCATCATATGCTGAATTAATGAAATCTATGTGGTTTGCAAATTATTCTAGTGTTTCAGCTATTGATTTAAAAAAAGTAATAGGAAAATTTGCTCCTTAATTCTATGGATATGGTTAATAAGACTCTCATGAATTTTTGTCATATCTCTTAGATGGATTACATGAAGATTTAAATAGAATACTTAATAAGCCTATAGTTACAGATATAGAAATTACTAATGAAAGTGATTAATAGGCTTCTGAAAAATTTTGGATTAATTATACTTTAAGAAATTAAAGTAAAATATAAGAACTTATGGTTGGACAATACAAATCAACTTTAGTTTGTCCAATTTGTAGTAGAATATCAAAGACATTTGATCCATTTATGAGTTTATCATTACCTATACCTAGTTTTTAATCTTTTCCATCTTCTTTGTATTTTATACATGATGATAGTGAAAATATACCTGCTAAAATTAGTTTACAATTAAGTACTGATATGACAGGATTAGATATATTAAAATAATTAGAAAATCTTTTAAATGTCAGTCACAAAAGAATGAATATGTTACTTATAAAGGAACATCAAATTTAGGAGAGAGTGACCTATGATAAAGGTGCCAAATGGATTAATGAACATAATGGAATTTTGTTTGTTTAAGAAGTTGAATCAAATATATAAAATTTGATATAGAATTAAATAAACATAGATTTCTATTATGTTGCTAGGGGAACAAAAGTTTATGAAATTGATAAAATATTATCATTTCCTAGATAAGTTGTAATGAATAGAAATTAAAATTCATAATAACTTTATGGATTAATTTACTAAAAGTTTAGAATTCATTTAACTTTGGCAGTAAAAGAATTAACTACTAAAGAATTTCCATTAAAAGATGAATTTTTATCATTACCTAGACCTAAAAATTTAGAGGAATCCATATAAGAATTTTCAATATTAATATAAAATTAATTATAACCATTTATTTTAAGATCAAAAGATAAAATATTTGGTTAATCAAATAAGGAAATCTAATTTAGTGTATTATTTTACATTATTCTAGGATAACATAATATTTGATATTTCAGGTTCTAATCTTTCTATTGAAGTTATTATTTCAGATTATTTAGCAAAATCTTTTCAAATTTTAAAATTACAAAGATGCAAAGAATTTACAACAAATGATACAAAATCTTAATAAGTAAAAAAGGGTGAATATGATTTGGATGATTGTCTAAGAGCTTTTACAAAAGAAGAAATACTAGGTAAAGGTGATGAATGGTATTGTAATAAATGTAAGAAACATGTTTAAGCATCTAAAAAAATGGAAATATATAAGGCTCCTTAAGTAATTATATATATTTTTTATAGATATTAATAATTCATCTCAAGAGATTCAAAACTAATAGAATATCCAATTTAGGTAATTTTTACTTTAGTAATGGAACATCGAAGATTACTTCAATGGTGTAATTTCCACTTGAACTTAATTTAAATAATTTTGTGTTATCCAAATAAGCTGGAGATAATTAAAATTATATATATGATCTTTATGGAGTGGATAATCACTACGGTGGCTTAGGAGGAGGACATTATACAGCATATGCTTATAATAGTGTTCTAAACAAATGGATAGATTATAATGATTCAAATACTAGAACAACAAGTAACAATGTAGTAAGTGAGGCTGCTTACTTATTGTTTTACAGAAGAAGAGATTCTTAAAAGTGTTAAATGTTCAAATGATATATCTATATAATATATTCATACAATATATCACATATTTAATATTATTAAAAGATGATAATCTATACTAAATTTTTAATAGATTGATTACTTAATATACCTTAATATTTAAAGAGCATTTCTAATAGTATATATATATTCTCCTTTTAATATTAAATTATATTTCAATTATTTCATAAAAATAATGATATTGCCTGAAAAGGTACTTTAGAAAGCTAAATCAGAATTAAAGAATTGGAATTAAACTTCTTTAAGTGTTTTAGAAATGAGTCATAGATCACCAGAATATCTATCAATCCATAATAAATTGTTGAATGATTTAAGACTACTATTTAATATTCCTAATAATTATCAAGTAATCTTAATGTAAGGAGGAGCCACTTTGTAATATTCTGCTATACCATTGAATTTATTAAATAAACATGAAACTGCTGGATATATAATTACTGGAAAATATAGTTAATAAGCTTACGATGAAGCTAAAAAATTTTGTAATCCTAAAATTATTTCTCTTGGAGAAGTTCCTCATTAAGATATTACTTATTTATTTTATGTAGATAATGAAATGAATGAAGGAATTTAAATCAATTAGCTTCCTCCTTATTGTGATAATAAAATAGTTGTTTGTGATATGACATCAAGCTTAGGAACTAAAATTATAAATGTTGAAAAATATGGATGCATTTTTGCATCATTATAATATAATTTAGGAATTCCTGGGTTGTGTATTGTTATAATTAAGGATGAATTAATTGGAAAAAGTGATAGGACCATTCCATCTATGGCTGACTATCAAATTATGAAAATTAATAATAGTATATATAATACTATACCATGTTATAATGTTTATATAACAGGATTGATAATTGAATACCTATTATAAATTGGTTTAGAATAGATTGAATAAGAATAACTCAAAAAATCAAAATTTATATATGATTTTATTGATTAAAATTCAGAATTATTCACTTAAAATTGTTGCAATAAAAATTAAAGAAGCAATAATTCTATTGTCTTTTATTCAAAACACTGTATCAACAATTAATTACCTTCTGAAATTTTAATTATTGAGAAAAATAAAATAATTATCTAAGTTACCATTCATACTACAATATAATAATTAGAATAAATTTGTTAATTATTGATTTTGTGATAAAAAATTATGTAGAATTAATTTACAATCAATTTAAGATCTATTTTCAAATAGATTATTATTTTTTTTAATTAAAGAACATATTTTTCTTTTTCCCTAAGTCATTAATTTATTTATTTTTTTAAATTAACATAAAAATAAAATTGTTAATTAAAATATATACACTTTTCTATAAAAACTTAAGACTTTGAAATGCTCTTGAATGATATTTCTTGATGATTTTGCACTTTTAAGCCTTTTAAATATATGTGTTCCTCTCATAGTTATATTATTTCCACTATATTCTAACTTAAATGGAACTTATTACTTTTCCTTTAGATACATGTGTTCCAATTTCAGATAATAGAATTAGAATGATTGTAAAGTTTTAATTTTAATTCATTAATATTTATATATGAATAAATATCAAACACTCATTTATCTTTTTTTAGTTTCCATAATTTTAATTACATCTAATTATTGTCTTAATTAAAATCCTCTAAGTTTTTCCCACTTAATGAAATTTTCTTTAGGAATATATAAATAAGGATCTTCTAAAGAAGCCTTTGCACTTAATCTGAAAATTGAATTAGGATTCATCATTCTACAAATTAATCTTCTTAATTTAATAGAATAGAAATCTAATTAATATATATATTATAATAAATACCAGATCCAAAATCATTTACAGTCAATCCTTATCTCAATTTCAACCATCTTTCTCCACAGGTAGGAAGAGTTTCCCCAATCATAATTTCATAAATCGAAGCACCAAGTGAGAAAATATCTGATTTACTTAAATCAGATTAAGTCGTAAGCTAAAATTCTAAAATATTATTTACATTTGATAGAATTTCAGGAGCTAAATATCGAGAATCTCCTTCATTAATATCTTCTCCTTTTTTTAATTAAGTCAATCTAGATAAACCTAAATCAGCTAATTTATAACAGCCTTCAGTTTTGCTATATAAAATATTATCAGGTTTAACATCAAAATGTGTTATAGATTATTCATGTAGGAATTTTAAACCTTATAAAATATCCTTCAATATCTTTTTTACTTCAAATTCTTCAAGTTTTTAATTTGATTCTTTTCTTAATTCCTAATGAATAATAATAATATAATATTACTTAGAGAGAAGTCACATTATAATCACAATATTCCATACATAAATAATAATAACATCTTTCATTCCAAGCAGTATAATATCGTATTATATTTTTACATCTACCTTTAGCTGTCAAATAGGCAAGTGCTTATGCTTCATTAAGAGATTCAGCTGCATCATATGATTTACCACATCCTTGAAGTTTAACACATTTAATTGCATAAATTTGTTTATCAATATTATTTCTGCATTTATATACAGTACCAAAATTTCCATTACCTATTACTGCTAATTAAGTATATTCATTATAATATCTAGATCTTTCAAATGTAGGACTCTCTTCTTCTGATTAATCTTCAATATCCATAGCCCATGCACTTGTCTAAATACTTTTTATTGCACTCTTTTCAGTTAAAATATTTGATTACTTTCTTTTTTTTTGGAGTGGCAGTACCCTATTTTTAAGCAGTTAATTCTTTATGTGATTTTGTTCCTTTGTTTTTTGGAGTGCTAGGAGGACTTTATTAGATTTAATCTAATGTCATTTGATTTTAAAATCTTTGAACTAAAGTAGTTCCGATACAATCATTTTCAGAAGTACTTGGAGTAATATGTGAATGATGATGTTTTTATTTGATTGGTGTTTAAGTCTTAATAGGACTAATTATTAATTGATATAGCACTACATAATCTAGAATTTGAATTATTTTTTTCCTGAATTATTGAATTATTGTATTTGTTCATCAATAATTACTTTCTTACACAATTCTGGTTCCATTTACTATTTTTCAGGAGTACTGAATAAATTTCTTGCAAGAGGAGATTAAAAATTCATTTCCAATTTGAATTTGAAAAATGCTACTTTTTATAATTAATTAATTTATGCTATACCCATTACAATATATTTTTATTTATATTTAAATACCAATGTCTCATTAAGTGAATATTCATTAAGATTTCACAATTTGATATAAATTAGTGGATCTTTGGAATAAATTACATATTTTTGTTGATTCTCAAATTTAGGTTAAATTTAGAAAAGGAATAATATGTAAAATCATTAATATGAATCAGCAATCTAGCATTAAAAAAAGTAATAATAGATTAGTATTATCATTAAAAATAATGATATATAGGGTATATCATATCATTATTTATAGCATAAAATTAAATTCAAAAATATTATGCTTAATTTTAATTACACATAATTAATTTTCATTAATTGTTAGTATCAATATTAAAAAGATGAAATAGAGTTGATAATCAAATACTCTGTTTTTATTAAGATAAGCAATCATATATTAATTAAAAATATACTAATTTATATTAAATAGATGTATTAAAGGGAAATTTAAATGAGTAATGTTTCTATTCATTGTTGATTAGCTTCTTTATAGAGCCTAAATAATTTTTTAATATTATTAAAATTCTAAATAAAATTTAATGAATCGTTAAACAAACTAACTTTCTCACAATTCCTCGACACAACTATATTATTCCCAGTATTTAAAGTAATAATAAGTGAGTCCAATTGCAGAAAGATTTGTTGGGGATGAAGTTTAAGAGCTTAGAAAATAAGTTGAATAACTCAATAAATAATTAGAATTCAAAGAATAAATGATTAGTGAAATGAGAGCTCATTAAAAAATATTGATGAATAGATTATCTGAACCAACTAATTATTAAAAAGACAACGTAGTAGAAAAAATTAAGGAATTTGAGATGCAATTAAAAGAAAAAGAAGTTTAATTTCAAAATTAATTAATTGAAAACAGCTTGTTAATGAAAGAAAACTAGAGTTTAAAGTAAGAAATCACACGTTTGGAAAGCTTAATCAAAGACCCTTCAATACCAAAGTTCGTTAATTCAATAGTGGATCTTGTTATACAGTGTCATCCCTAAAATCATTTTCCAAATTCGAAACCCGAATTGAGAGAGTGTTGGAGGTGGTTGAAAAAGATTCTCAATGATTACATAAAACTAAAGCAACGCATTCATTGATTATTTTATTAATATTATGAATATAGATGGACTTGAAAAAATAGTGAATTTCTCCATCAAGAAGTTAGGCAGTTGTTAAGAAAACAAAGAACTTAAACAATTGCTTAAACTCATTTAAGAAGCCATCAAAATCTTAAGGAATTACAGAAAAATATCTGTATTGCTGAAAACTGATGAATAAGGTCAGCACAATTCAAAACTCTAAATTGAATTATCAATTAAAGAACATAATAAATAATTGGAAAAAACAACTTGTTTAAATGGTTTCTAAAATTCATAGTGAAATAAAAACTTTATACTCTTAATCATAGATAAAATATATAAAGATAATTCATAGAAAAGTTAATCAATAAAAACTTTGAATTAAGGCTGTTATATCTACAAGTAAGCTATTAAATATAAATAAAGTATCTTTAATTACAAAAATAATAGCAGATTTTGAAATATCCCTACAAATTATTAAAAAAGTTTTAAGATTTTTAGAAATTTTTAACTTAAAGTATGTTGAGTAAAGTCAATTAGTTTGAAATAACTAATAAATCTTTAATTTAAAAGGTTTAATTAGAATAATAAAAATATAGAGAAAATAATTATAAAAATTTGGAAAGAATAATCAATTTTTTAAAGTTTTTCTATTTTAATTGAATCTATGAATTTAACTTTAGAAAATCAAAGAAAAATCTATACAAATTATATAAATTTAAGTTATCTTATATATAATATTATATTTTACAGATTTCTTAATAATAAATAATTTATTATCAATTATAAGTATGATTTTGAATATATATATATATAACATGTCCCTTATCATAATTGAATCTTTTCTAATAAATATTTATTTAATTTTGAAAATTAGTTAACAAATATATATTAAACTTGGACTATGAAGTAGATTTAGATAATGGATGGATAATAGACAAGAAATGTAGAGTTATTTATTTTATACATAATGTACTTTCATTACTATTTCACCTTCTTGAATTTTGAGTTTTATGCTAAATCTTATGATGCTTCTCTTTTATCTTCCCCTTTTGAGAATCTCTACATCCATGTAGCTCCTTAAGGTTAAAAGTCTGCTTCTTCTTAATATTAAGCTTAAGAGGAAACAGGCTTAGCTTTTCCTCTTTATGGTGCTTTCACATCTCTATAGTTTACTCCTTCTTCTAATTAATGAACTCTCTTTTCTAAAAATGCTTTATTAGTGATTCCAAATTCAGCATCTTATCCCTCACCTAGAATAATATAATAAATAAAATATACCTAATGCATCATATCTAATGCACAAGGCTGTTTTAGCAGCTAATGTTCTGGAAACTTTACCTTTCAATTTAGCAGGAGCACTTCCAACTAAACTGGCTTAAAAGATCAAACCATATTTTGGTGTGTTATGTTTGGTTCTAATAGCTTTAAACAATGCCTTTTCAGCTCCTAAGATTTGAACTGTTGAAGCTGGATATTTAGCTAGATTAACCAGAGATCCAGCATGAGATATCAATCTTGCTCCTACTAATTCACCAACCATGGTTGTAAGATTTGGGGCAATAGCTTACATTCTATTTTTTAAATATTCTGATAATTAGGCTCTGTAATCAGTTAATTCAATGACTTAGTCAGCCAAACAAAGAATAAATTTCTCATCTTCTTCTGTTATTTCAGTACCAAATGACACTTCTGCAGCCTATTTGACATCTGCTTCTAGATTATCTGGTAAAATGCCAGAAAGATCAGTCTAACTTGTCTTGATTCTCATACCAATGGCTTTAACAACTTTAGCATATATTAGGTTATCTGTTATGATTTTTCCTAATTCTGGGAAATGCCATCCAAACCATTCTCTAAGTCTCATCATGTAATTATTAATTTCTTTATCTAAATCATCAAGAAGAGCAATAGCTTAGATAATCATGGTGTCCACTTTTTCAGTTGAAAATTTTAACTTGTATCTAGAGAGACCATGTGCCAAACCTAAAGTCATACTTTTGAGTTCAGCCTCACTAAGACCTTCAATTAAATTAGTTAGTTGTGATTTGATGCCTCTAAACAATTAGTCTGTTACTGGGGTTTAAATACAACTCAATCCCAATTATTCTTGAAGCTATTTAGCAAGTTTTTTATCCTAAACTATATTAATTGTATAATTAATTGATACCTGCAATTTAATCCTAAACTTCTTATGAAATTACATTCTTTTCCAAAAACTTACTGAGTTTTTTTGGTATTTTACCATTAATAAGCTTACTAGTGGCAATTAAAGCTTCTTATGTATCCTTAAATTGTTGGAAAGCAAAAGGTGTAATCCTAAGATGATGTATAGGCTTACAATTTTTTAGCTTACTTCTCATTTTGTAAGTAATCATAGATATTATCAATTTTGTTAAGTGCCTTAGTGTTAGCCACTTGGAAGAGGGCAAATCCAGCAGGAGTCTCGATTAATATTAACATATTAAAATATTTATGAATCTCTGTCCATATATTAATAATTTATTATGGATAGTGACAATAATAAACGTTTCAATTTTGATCACCTTTCTCAAAGATAGCTTAAAAATAGACTGTACAAAAACATTAATCGATATGATCCTACCGAAAGAAAACATACTTAACCACTCTCTACTGCATCTAAACCATATTTGATACCAAAAATTTCAAAATAGAGATTGGAACCAATTATATCACCTTAAGTCAATTTAGGTGTGACAATTTAATAAGGTAGAATTCTTCTTGATCAATCTGCATATTAATCTGGCAAAAGTATTTGTTGTCATTACTAACTCAAGACATTAGAAATGATACTTCTTTTGCTCAAGATCACTCTAAAAAACCTAAGAATTTATCACCTTTAGAATAAAGACTATAAAGTGATTATGGAATGAGTATGTTAGATGATGTATAGAATCCTAATTCATCAGTCAATGAAACTATTTTAAATCTATTTTAATTTCCTGAGAAAAGGAAAGACACATCTATCTTAAAAAAAGAATTAAAAAAATAAAAGAAGAAATAATAATAATAATCTTATTTATCTCCTATGGATTTTATTTATTTAATAAGAACAGATCCTGAAATGGCTGATTAATTTTGTTATTTGAATAAAAGAGATCATGCTTATGATTATGAAATTGTAGAATTTGAAGATAGAAATATTAAAGAATATATGACAATAAGTGCTAGAGGAATTACCTATTATTAAAATGAAGAAACAACTTTTTTAACTATTGAAGAATGGTAAAGAGAGGCTAATCTATTTTAAGACTTATAGAAAATTGATTTTTTTAGAAAATACAAATTATGGAAAAATTTCTTTTTATGGAAAAGACTTATGAGAAAGAAAATTTTAGCTAAAAATTAAGAATTAATGGTTTCAAATATGTTTACAACAGATAAATAATTAAGAATTACTTTATTAGAAGTTAAAAGAATATGTTAATAAATGGCATCTGATATAAGATTTTTAGATACTTCAACAGCAATACCTTAAACTCTTGATAATTTTAAAATTATATAAGATAAACATCTAATGTCTAAAATGGATAAATAATTTGATTCTTATGAACAATAAATTTAATAAATAATAATAGAATGTTGTTAAAAATCATTAATAAATTTTAAGGAAACTCACCGTATCTCATTACAAGAAGATGATAATGAAGAAAGAGCACCTTTATTAGTAGGTGATGAATCTGGGAAAGAGATGCCATTTACTACTGAGGCTACTATCAGAACTCATTATAAAAGGTTGAGAAAATTTGTTAAATATCTTGATTATGTAATTATGGATGCTAAATTATAAATGATGCAAAATTCAGTTGAACATATTGTTAAATAAATTAGAGATTTTAATGAATTATATAGACAGAATTTGGGAGGTAAAAGAAAAGGATATTATGGAAAAGGTTAACCATAGTGTTGGATAATTGTTGAAGCTGTTGGTAAAGGAGATAATATACTATTTAATCCTTTAAGAGAATAACTTTTTAAATTATTTGAAAGTGTAGTTAACAATAGTGTAATACGTATAACTACTAGACATAAGGAAATGTTATCAATGGCAGAATTATAACAATATATATAAGATGATGGTAATCAATAATTGGAAAAAGTTGATGTTAAATCAATAATAAATGCAAGTGAAAACTTTCAAAATCTTTGTGGTTAAATGAGAAGAGAATTAGAAGTTGCATTTGATCATCTTGAATAATATGCTGATAAATTGAAACCTTTTTTGAAATGGTATGTAGAGAACACTGGTGTAAATATTGAAAAACAATTTACAGATAAGGATGTGGATGAATATAGAAATGCCATAAATAGATATAAAAAGTAAGATCAATTATTTTAAGATATGGAACCTACATAAGAGATAGGTGTGATTCTATTTGATAATCATAAGTTAAAGGCAAAAATAAAATCTAGTGCAATGCATTGCATAGTTGAATTATAAAGATTTATACCAGATTATATGTATAAGAAAGCAATACTATTTACAAAGAAAACAGCTCAATTATATTCTACAATCGCTATATCTCCTATAACAGTTGAATAATTTGTAAATTATATGGATGCTGTTAATGTAATTAATAATTAATTCGAAGATTTAAGTAATACTTCATAAGAGGTCACTGCAATGGCTTTACTTATGGATGAATTAAAGATTAAGATCTAAGATACACATAAATAAAAATTTGGTGAATGTATATAATAGGTGAGTTAATTGCGTAAAAAAGTGGATGATGCTATGGTAAATTATGATTAAAATTTAAATAAATTTAGAAAAGATATGGAAAGAATGATACCATAGGTAGATAATACAGTTAAGGATTTAAATGAAAGAGTTTCAGAATAACCATTGAGTTCTTTGTCTGCTGATTTAAATGATATGATTACATTTGTTACTGGAATTAGAAAATAAGTAGATGAATTAAAGATACATGCTAAAAAATTAAATGATTATTAAATTGCATTAAATTTAGAATATACACCATTTGAAAAATTAGAAATATTTAATAATGAATTTACATTATTAGAAAGATTGTGGTGTGGTAGAAATGAATGGGTTCAAAATTATTCATTTTGGTTGAAATAACATTATACAGAAATTGATTTAGAAGAAATGAATAATGTTATGGAAAAATTATAAAAGACAGCTAATTTATGTGCTAAAGAATTAGATAAAAATGAAGTAGCAAGAGTTTTTAAATCAGATATTGAAGCATTTAGAGGAATTTATCAAGTACTTTAAGCATTAAAAGATCCAGCTATTTCAGATAAGTAATGGAATTAAATTAGATAATTAATACTTGAAAATTAATAAGTATTTAAAGAACTAATTGTAGAACCATTTACTCCTTTAGATAATCCAATATATGATGTTTAATGGATTACAAAAGTTGGTTTAGATTATATAAAAGACAAGTTAAGTGAAATTGCTTTGAGAGCAGCTAAGGAAATTGAATTAGTTAAAATGTTAGAATAAGTAGAATCAATTTGGAGATAAGCTATTATTACTGTTTAACCATATAGAGAATCAAAGGATATCTTTATATTAGGAAATAATCAAGATTTAATATCTAAGATAGATGATACTCTTTTAACTGTTAATAATATTTTAGCATCTCGATTTGTTGAAGGTATAAGATCTGAAGTAGAGAGATAACAATCTTTATTAAGATATTTTTAAGAATTATTTGATGAATGGAGATTACATCAAAGAAACTGGCTTTATTTGGAACCTATTTTGAATTCACCTTATAGTGCTAAAAATTTAGTAAAAGAGTCTAAAATATTTTAATAAGCTGATATATTATGGAAGAAATTAATGAGAACTGTTAGAGATAATAGTATAGCTAAAAGATGGGCTGATGATTATTAAAATAGATAATATTTTAATTAATTAAGATAAAATAATAATAATTTTGATGTTATTTAAAAAGCTTTAGATGAATTTTTAGAAAAGAAAAGAGATGCATTTTAAAGATTTTATTTTTTATCTAATGATGAACTTTTAGATATATTATCAAATGCTAAAAATGTTTAATCTATTTAACCATATTTAAGAAAATGTTTTGAAAATTTAGTTAAGATTTAATTTGATTAATAAGAAAATGCTATAGGAATGATATCAGCTGAAGGAGAAATTGCAGTACTTAAGGGATATACAGCTAGAGGAGAAGTAGAAGATTGGTTTAAAGGATTAGAAGACAAAATGAAGAGTTCTTTGAATGGAGTTATGAGATAATCTCTTATTAAATATTAATTAGAAGATACTTAAAGAAAGGATTGGATATTTGAATTTCCTTTATAAATTATAATCACTATTGATTCAATATTTTGGACTAAAATTACAGAAGAGAATTATTTATAAGTAAATGCAGAAGGAGATTTAGATGATTGGTATGATACTAATGTAGTTATGCTAGATGAATTAACATAATTAATTAGAGGAAATCTAAATGAATTATAAAGAAGAACTCTTTTAGCCTTAGTTACATAGGATGTACATTTTAGAGATATTGTTGATAATATGAGAAATGAATCTGTAGAAGGCATAATGGATTTTAAATGGCAATAATAATTGAGATTTTATCATGATGAAGAAAGTGTATAGGCAAGATAAGCAAATGCAAAAATTATGTATGGTTATGAGTATTTGGGATCAACAACAAGATTAATTATTACACCATTAACTGATAGATGTTGGATGACTATTACAGGAGCTTTAGGTATTAAATTAGGAGCAGCTCCACAAGGACCAGCTGGTACTGGAAAAACAGAATCATGTAAAGATTTAGCTAAGGCATTGGGTAGATATTGTATAGTGTTTAATTGTTCAGATTAGATTACAGCTAAAATGATAGAAAAATTATTTGCAGGATTAGCATATTGTGGAGCTTGGGTTTGTTTAGATGAATTTAATAGAATCCATATTGAAGTATTATCAGTTATAGCATAATAAGTATAAACAATAAGAGAAGCTTTGTTAGAATATAAAATGAATTTTTATTTTTTTGGTAAAAATGTATAATTGAATCCTGATTTGGGTATATTTATTACAATGAATCCTGGTTATGTAGGTAGAACAGAATTACCTGATAATTTGAAAGTACTTTTTAGACCAGTAGCTATGATGGTTCCAGATTATAGATTGATTTCAGAAATTATGTTATTTGCTGAAGGATTTTCAAATGCTAAAGATTTATCAAGAAAGATGATTAAATTATATCAATTAAGTTCAGAATAATTGAGTTAATAAAATCATTATGATTTTGGTATGAGAGCAGTTAAATCTGTATTAGTTATGGCTGGATCATTAAAAAGGGCAGAATTAAATATTAATGAAGATATTGTATTAGTTAGAGCAATGAGAGAAAGCAATTTACCAAAATTTTTATCTCATGATATACCATTATTTAATGCTATAGTAAGTGATCTATTTCCAGGAATTTAAATATCAGTAGAATAGAATGAAGAGTTAGAAAAAACTATTAAAAATGTTATAGAATTTAATAATTTATAATAATAAGATACTTTTATAGAAAAAGTTTTATAATTTCATGAAACTTTAAAAGTGAGATTTGGAGTAGTGTTAGTTGGAGTTACAATGGGTGGTAAATCTTAAGTTCAAAATGTACTTAGAGAATCTTATATGAAATTATATGAATAGTATTCATAATAAGAAGTTAATGATCATTAAATTTATCAGAAAATCTAAAATTAGATCTTAAACCCAAAAGCTATAACAATAGAAGAATTATATGGTTAATTTGATATGATAACTTAATAATGGACTGATGGTTTAGCTTCTCATATAATTAGAGGATAAGCATCTATAGATATGGAAGAAAAGAAATGGGTTGTATTTGATGGACCTGTTGATGCCATATGGGTTGAAAATTTAAATACTGTATTAGATGATTCAATGACTTTATGTTTAAGTAATGGTGAGAGAATCAAATTGAATAATTAAATGAGAATGATCTTTGAAGTATTGGATTTAAATGCAGCTTCACCTGCAACTATAAGTAGATGTGGTATAGTTTATATAGATGATACAGTATTAGGATATGAACCTATTGTATTTACTGAAGCAATGACACTTATTGATATTCTAAGCAATGATATTATAGATCATTTATTAGTATAAATTAAAGTTTCATTTAGTAAATCAATTAATTAAGTTATTAAACATTGTAAATAATTAATACCTGTTTATGAAACATAAATGGCAGTTGGATTAATTAAAATAATAAGAATGGTAATATAATACTATAATTAATAATTAAATTGTAATTTAAGAGATGAAATTTCTAAAAAACATTTAGAAAAGCTTTTTGTTTGGGTATATGCATGGTCTGTAGGTGCAACATTAATATCTGATGATTATTAAAAATTTGAGAGTATAATTAATGATACTTTCTCAGTGGATATTTTACCTAGAGGATCTTTATTATCTAGTTTAGTAAAAATTACTAAAATAGATGGATTAATTGATATTAATTATACTTAATGGAATGATATTATTCCATAATTTCAATATATTAAAGGTATGAGTTACTTTGACATGATTGTATAAACTCCAGAAACAGTGGCTCATGGTTGGTTTTTAGAATAAGCTGTAAATACAAATTGTCCTATTTTTATAACTGGAGTTACTGGAACAGGTAAAACTATTATGATAAATTCTACTATACAAAAATTAAGAGATTGTGGTTTAATAGCTTTAATGTAAATGACATTCTCAGCAAAAACATCTAGTTAAACAACTTAATTAAGCATAGAATAAAAATTATAAGTTTAACGTAAGAAAGGTAGAACTATTCTAATGCCTCCTCCTGGTAAAAAATTTGTTGTATTTATTGATGATGTCAATATGCCTTCATTAGAATAATATGGTGCTTAACCACCTATTGAATTATTAAGATAATTTATAGATTATAAAGGAGTTTATGATAGAAAAACATTTAATTGGAAGAATGTAGATAATACAATATTAATTTGTGCTTGTGGTCCACCTGGAGGAGGTCGATCTCCTTTAACTATTAGATTTACTCGTCATTTTGTTTTATTGAGTGTACCCAATTCAAGTGATGAAACATTATCCTGTATTTTTAGTAGAATTTTAAAGGCTTATTTTAAAAATAATTATTTTAAAAATGAAATTATTGATTTAAGTGATAATTATTCAATTGTAAATGCAACTCTATCAATGTATTAAGATATTTAAAAAACTTTATTACCTACTCCAGAAAAATCTCATTATGTATTCAATTTAAGAGATGTTAGCAAAATCTTTTAAGGTATTTTATAAGCTAAACCTTTGATTTATGTTAAGTGTGATTAAATAATTAGATTATGGGCACATGAAACATGTCGTGTATTTATGGATAGATTAATTAATTAATAGGATTAAGATTGGTTTAAAGAGAATTTAGTTAAAAATATATTCTTATTTTTTAAGACTGAATATAAGGTTAATGAATTATTTGATTCATAAAGACCTTTTATTTTTGCTGATTTTTAGAAAAAAGTAGAAATATAAGATCGTATTTATGAAGAAGTCAAAGATTATAATTAACTTATTAAAGTTATTAATGATTATATGTTTGGATAAACAAAAATGAATTTAGTACTCTTTAAGGATGCTATTCAATATTTAACAAGAATTAGTAGAGTATTAAGATAATAAAGAGGACATTTTATGTTAGTTGGATTTGGAGGTTCAGGTAAGAAATCTTTAATATAACTGGGAGCTGTATTAGCTGGATGTAAAGTTGAAACTATAGAATGTAAGAGAAATTATGGAAAAAAAGAATTTAAAGAGGTATTATTTAGAATGATGTGTGCAGTTGGAATTGATAATAAATTAATTGCTTTTTCTTTTACAGATACTTAAATTTTATAAGAAAGTTTCTTAGAAGATATTAATAGTCTCCTTAATTCTGGTGAAGTACCTAATATGTTAACAAAAGATGATTTAGAGTTGATAAATTAAGGATTATAGGCAGAAGCTAAAGAATTAAATATAAATCATATATATCCTTATTTTGTATAAAAAGTGAGATCGAATCTACACATTGTATTAGGACTGTCACCAATTGGAGGTAAATTGAGAATCAGATTGAGAATGTTTCCAAGTTTATTAAACTGTTGTACTATATAATGGTTATAAAAATGGCCATAAGAAGCATTGATGAGTGTTGCAGAAATGTTTTTATCAACACTTGAATTTGATGGATTAACAAAAGAGATGAAATAAAATTTATATTAGATGTGTGTTTATGTTCATTAAAGTGTTGATAAAAAATGTGAAGATTTTCAAATTGCCTTTAATAGATAAGTTTATATTACACCTAAATCATATCTTGATTTAATAGAGTAATACAAAACATTATTAATGATGAAAAAAGAAGAATTGGTAACCCATAAATTAAAATTATCTTCAGGATTATAAAAATTACATGAAGTAAATAGTATTATTAGTGATTTAAAAGTTAAATTGACTTAAATGTAACCTATTCTTAAATAAAAGACCATTGAATAAGAGCAATTGTTATAAAAATTATAAATTGATTCAACTGAGGCAAATAGAGTTAAATAATTAGTATCAGAAGAAGAAAGATAAGTTAATGAGTAAGCTTCTAAAATTAAAGAGACAAAAGCTGAAGCTGATAAAATTCTTAATGAAGCTATTCCTACTTTAAATAATGCCATAGAAGCACTTAATATACTTAATAGAAATGATATTAATGAATTTAAAAATAATAATAATCCATAACCTATAATACGTTTCACTTTTGAATGTGTAGCTATTTTATTTGAAGAAAAATTAGATTGGGATTCTATTAAAAAATTATTAACAGATCTAAATTTCTTATAAAAAATGAAAGGATTAGATGTGACTCGTATAAAACCTGCAACTTAAATCAAAATTAAAACTAAAATTGCTAGTAATCCAGAATTTATTCCTAATTTAATTTAAAAAATTAGTATTACTGCAAAAACAATATGTGAATGGGTAAGGGCTGTAAGTGAATTTATAGATATTAATAATGATGTAGAAAAGAAAAAATCATAGGTTGAAAATATGAATTAATAATTAGAAAAAGCAAAAAAGGAATTGGCTTAGAAATAATCTGAACTTGCTTAAGTTGTAAGAAAAGTAACTGAATTAGAAATATAATTTAATTCAAATAAATAAGATAAAGATCTACTTGATTAAAATATTTAAACTACTCAATAAAGATTAATAAGAGCTGAAGAACTTACAATAGGATTAGCAGATGAATAAGATAGATGGAAAACAAAAGTTTAAAGTCTCACTGAAGAAATTTAATTGCTCTTAGGAAATGTATTTTTAGGTAGTGCTACTGTAACATACATTGGACCTTTCTCTGGAACATATAGAAATTAATTAATTTAGAATTGGATTGAAAAAGCAACAGAATTAGCATTTCCATCAGTTAAAAAATATAATTTTGAATCTGTTTTAGGTGATACTCTTGAAATTAAGTAATGGATTGCAAATGGATTGCCTAATGATACAATCTCAAAGTCAAATGTGATAATATCAAAATTTAGTAGATCATACCCTTTATTTATTGATCCTTAATTGTAGGCCAATACTTGGATCAAAAATACATACAAGGATTTAAATCTTAAAGTCTTAAAATATACTTAAGAAGGTCTTATTAAACATATTGAAAATTCAATATAAATTGGTGTACCTTTACTATTAGAAGATGTTTAAGATTAACTTGATACTTTTTTAGATCCTGTATTACTTAAATAGATTAATGTTACAAATAAAAAAAAAATGATTAAAATTGGAGATAAGGAAATAGAATTTGATCCAAATTTTAAATTATTCATATGTACTAAACTTTCTAATCCATAATTTTTACCAGAAATATTTATTAGGGTTACAGTTATAAATTTTACAGTAACAGAATAAGGTTTAGAAGAATAATTACTTGGAGATATTGTATATATTGAAAAACCAGAAATGGAAGAAGAACAAAAAGATTTAGTTAAGAACATCTCAACAGGAATGAGGAGTCTTCGTAAAAATGAAGAAGAAATATTAAATCTTTTGTCTAATTCAAAGGGAATGATATTAGATAATGTAGATTTAATAGAAAGTCTGAAAATATCTAAATAAGAAGCAATATAAGTAAAAGAAACATTAGTCACATAAGAGTAGAAATCTGTAGAGATAGAAAAAGTCAGATAACAATATTTACCAATAGCTACAAGAGGAAGTTTGCTCTATTTTGTTATTGCTGACTTTGCTCTTGTAGATCCAATGTATTAATTTTCATTAAATTGCTTTAAGAAATTATATTAAAATGTTATTAAGAATTCTGAAAAAAATGATAATATATAGATTAGAATAGCAACACTATTAGATTGTATAACAGAAACAATATATACAAATATTTGTAGAGGTTTATTTAATTAACATAAAAGAATATTTTCATTCTTGATGACTATTAAAATATAATTGCATGCTAAAGAAATAAGTTTTGCAGAATGGAATTTGTTTATAAGAGGAGCTAGTTTAATAGTGTAATCACCTCCTATGCCTATCACCTTCAAATTGACACAAAGAATATGGCATGAATTTTATTAATTATCAATTGTTCATTAGAACTTTACATAAATTTATAATCAAGCCTTGATAAATTTTAAAGAAATAGAAAATTTAATATAATCAGAAAATCTATGGACTTTATTAAATGATTCATTGACACCATTTTAGAAATTAATGATAATTAAAGTATTAAGATAGGAAGAATCTTTTTATGCAATGACATATTATGTAGAGGCAATTTTAGGTAAAAAATATACATCAAACTATCAATCTACAATTGAAGAACTATTTAATGATACAGATCATAAAACTCCACTTATTTTTATTTTAAGTTAAGGAGTTGATCCTTTGACTAGTTTGATGAGATTTGTAAATTAAAAGAAAATCTCTTCTGAAAAATTAAGAATTTTATCATTAGGTTAAGGTTAAGCAATTATAGCTGAAAAAGCTATTGAAAGTGGTGTCAAAAGTGGTGAATGGGTTATATTATAAAATTGTCATTTATGTAAAACTTTTATGACAACACTAGAAAAAAAGTTAGAATGGTTTGAAGACCCAGAACTTTAATCATAATTTAATCCAGGATTTAGATTAATGTTAACAAGTATGTCTTGTAATTATTTTCCTGTAAGTGTACTTTAGAATAGTTTAAAATTTACATTTGAATCTCCAAAAGGATTAAAATCTAATATGTACAAAAGTTATACTGATTTATCAGCTGATTAAATAGAAAATTGTGATAAAAAAGAAACTTGGAAGAAATTATTATATTCTCTTTCATTCTTCCATGCTGTAGTTTAAGAACGTCGTAAATTTGGTCCTTTGGGATGGAATATAAGTTATGAGTAAATTATAATAATTAAGTAGATTTAATGATTCTGATCTGGAAACATCATAAACATTACTGAAGAATTTTTTAGATATACATTAAGAGATTCCATGGGATGCCATTTTGTATGTAATAGGTGAGATAACTTATGGAGGTAGAATAACTGATGATTGGGATAGAAGATGTCTATAAACAATTTTAAGTAAATACATCAAGTAATTATTATATATCTATATAATTTAGTGAAGATATTTTGAATGATGGATATTCATTTTCTGAATCAGGAATATATAAATAACCTTGTGAAATGAATATAATTGATTATAGAAGATTGATTAATAAATATCCTGATTTTGAAAAACCTGAAGTATTTGGAATGAATGAAAATGCAAATCTAATATTTAAATAAACAGAATCTAAAATAGTATTATAAACTATACTAAGTATTTAACCAAATGAAATTATTTAAACAAATGAATCAGATCAAAAGATAAAAAGTTCTGATTAAATTGTATTTGATATATGTGAACATTTGCTTTAAAAGATTCCATTTTAAATAAAAGAATAAGAAAAGAAAAAAAAACTCACATTAATTAATTTCTAAGGTAATGCTTTAGAAATTGATTCTTTAAAAGTATGCTTAAATTAAGAAGTTTAAAGATTTAATTAATTATTATAAATAATTTCAAGTTCAATAAAGAATTTATAAGCTGCTATAAAAGGTGAAGTAGTTATGTCAGCTGATCTTGAAATGATGTACAGCTCATTGCTTAATAATTAAGTACCACTGATTTGGGCAAATAAAGCATATCCAACTTTGAAACCTCTTGCTGCCTTTTATGAAGACATGATAAAAAGAGTGATTTTCTTTAAAGAATGGTTCAATTTAGAAGTTGGATAACCAAAAGGATATTGGATATCTGCTTTCTTCTTTCCTTAAGGATTCTTAACTTCTGTATTATAAACATTTGCAAGAAAAAATTAGATTGCTATAGATGTACTAAGATTCAGCTTTAAGTTTTTCAATTTTATTGATAATGAGATGGTAAATTCATTTTATCTATATTAGATAACTTCAATGCCTGATAATGGTGTATATATATATGGTTTATTTATTGAGGGGTGTAGATTTGATTTCAATAAAGGAATTTTAGAAGATCAATTGCCAGGATAATTAATAGTTCAAGCTCCTATAATCCATTTTATACCTACTCAAGATTATAAGCCAAATTAGAACGATTATTCAATGCCTTTATATAAAACTAGTAATTTAAATATAAAAATTCTACCATTAGGCCTACGAGCAGGAGTTTTATCGACCACAGGACATTCAACTAACTTTATTAGAGCAATTGATTGTCCAACTAAGAAGAACCCTGATTATTGGATTCTCAATGGTGCTGCTTTCACCACTTAACTTAATGATTGATTTTTATATAATTAAATGGAAGAACTTGAATAATACTATTAAATCATCAAATTCTTAGGAGCAGGGGGTTTTGGTAAAGTCGTTGAAGCAGTATACAAATATGGTGGAGGAGAACATGTTGCCGTGAAAGTAAGATTACAATCTAATCTTTAAATTAGATTCTTCCCAAAAAAGAATATAAGGTAGCCTAGATTTTGTCAGAGGCTTAAATTCTTGCAAAGATGAAGCATCCTAATATAGTTCAATTTAAGGGTGTAAGAGAAACAGAAAATAAACTGCTTATAGAAATGGCTCTTATAAAATAAGGTCCGTTGAAAGTGCGCAAATATACATAATAAGAAGCTAGAATCATTATGACCAGTATATTCAAAGCAGTTTAGTTTATTCATGAACATGGAGTAGTGCATCGAGATCTCAAGCCTGAGGTAACTATAATTGAATTAAGATAAGAGAATATACTAGTAGAAGACTCTAACGATTTCAGTACATTAAAGATTGTAGATTTTGGATTATCGGCTGGATAAATTGTATTACATGGATAATGTGGAACACTTATTTATATGGCTCCAGAGCTATTTAGTTAACGTGTTTACTCTAAGCCAATAGATATTTGGAGTTGTGGAATTATACTTTACTAAATGTTAACAGGAAAGCATCCTTTATATAAAGGAGGAGAGAATTCACATGATTATAAAAAGAAACTTCTAGATCCTAAGTGGGAATTCCCTGAAGATTTTGATCCTTTGGCTAAACATCTCTTTTTGAAATGTGTTTCTTTGGACCCTATTCATAGATATAGTGCAAATTAAATCTTATAACATCCTTGGATTACTAATTCTAAAACAGATCCAATCCCATTGACTCTACCAGAAATGTATAGAGCATTCACTGTAAGAGAATAAATTCTATAGAAAATTAAAGCTATTATGCTATTAGTTTCAATTAAAGGTTTATAAGTAGACACGACGTAATAAAATTTATTATTTGAATCTTAGTTATTTGATGAAACAATCATAAAAATTATAGAATAACACTTCTAATTTATTGGATAAAGATTATATAAAGGAGATGCTTAGAGAACAATAAGAATTAAAAGAAAATATTAATATACCACCAATTAAATAATAATTGAGATATGAGAAGATATTATAAGTATTAATAATATCAATATTTTAAGAGAATCTAAGAAAATGGAGTTAAAGAACCAGAAGAAAAATGTTTATCTAAAAATTCTCAACATGTACACACTAATGAAAATAGTTAACCTTCATCTTCTCAAAAGTCTTTAAATAGTAGTGTAATTCATCATGATTCAAATCAAAAAGAACAACTTTTTATATAGATTGGAAATAAACATCATTTTAAAAAGAGACTTTACAAAAAAACACATTATAGTGATAAAAAGAAAACATCAAATCCTTTTGAAATACCAGCACTTCGTTCTAGATCAACAACAGCTAATAATAAAACTGAATTAAAATAAACTTAACCATAAAATTTTGAATCTCCCAAAAAACCTATCTCTATGATTCGTCCCTTTAGGCAATAGTTTAATACTTAACAACAATAATAATAATAAAGTTAATCTCCAATTAAAAAAACTTAAGATTTAAAAAATAAAAGCAACAGTTCTACAAAAAAATTAAGTATTGTTGAATAAGAATGCATTGATGCTTACCGTTTCGATTAAGAAAGTAGATATTTTTATTTATCTCCTTTAAAGAAATCATACATAGTATGTTTATGCCAAGAGTGTTTAATAAAAAGATACTACCATTTTCAAGAAATTTTTAATAAAGATTTCCTGTTTAACCTCAAAGTTTAGAGTTTAATATCCTTAAACCACCACTACCTAGAAAAGTTATCTGATTATGTTTTATATAATATATATTTATTTATCTTTGTTTTTAAGGAAATCACATATTTTCTGAATTTTCATTTATTGGAATAGATACTTCCATCTCATCCATCCATTTCTCTAATTTAATAGCACATGCTAATCTTGAACTACAAAATCTATAACATTCTTTACTGCTTTGCAACAGCATAATCTTATCTATTGATCACTAATTCTTCTAAATAAAATGGGTCTCTGATCTTATCAATCCAAGGTGATGAAATCAAAATGTGACATGATCCACATGATGGACCAAAAGTATTTGTCTAAACTGGATTCTCAAGTATGCTATCTAATTATTCTCCTCCTTCACAATCACCTGTTTTATGAATATCCAAATTTACCTGGAATATTTGTTACTTTAAATCTTCTAAGTGCAGACAAAAGACTTTCACCAATATAAGCAGGTATTCTTTCAAACTCACCATCATTATAAACATTGATATAGATCCTAAATTAAGGCTTTGAGATTACATCTTATCCTACACTGATGGGGCAAAGATTGGACCTGATGGTTTGTGTGATCCATGAGCGAAACAATATCTCACTATTCTTTATAACATTTAATAAAATTATTATATTAATCTAACTTCAAAAATAAATCACCATTATTATCCTATTTGCTTTTATTAAGCAAACATACCTTACCTATTATTATTATTATATATTTTAATGTAAAGATTTCAATTCCTATTAATTCTTATTTGAATATTTATGAAAATCTTTTAGATTTGTACTATTTTAAGTTAAAATTTAACTATTAGATTCTAAATTCATGTCATTGTTAAAATTATTGATTTCTTAATGAATTTCGTTGTTGAATCTAAAAATATAGTAAATTTATCTTTAATTATCATTAATAAATTTATTTATACATATTTAATGTTATTCTAGATTGATTTTAACAAAAATTGATTATCTGAATGAAAATAAATAAATGTATATACTCGTTTTTTTATTCATTTATTAAATAATGAAATTAATATTATTGATAACATTGTTCGCAATATGTACATGTTTAAGATATGATGATGGGAACAGTGGTAACTCTGTAATTGAAGAATAAATTAAAGAGATCTAATAACATAAAATTGGTTAAGCGATTTTGAAGATGGCTGAATTAAATTATAAATTATAAGGTCCTGTAGATGAATTAATTTAAACAATTAAAAGCTTTGGACGTTAATTGATTGTATTTTTAAGAATAATATATAGGAAAGAGTGGAATAAGAGAACCTCGATTACGAGGCTATAAAAGCAGAAAGTGTTGTAAAAGTTCAATAATTAAAATAAATAATTTCTGATGCTGAAAACGAATAGAATAAGTAGAGAAAAAGAATTGGATAAGAACTTGAACCAAGAAAGGTAATTCTAAGTTATTTTTTATTAGAATGATATAGAAAAATAATTATTAAGATTAAAGGATTCTAAACAATAAAACGAATCTAGACTTAAGATGTAGGAAGCATTAAGAAAATAATAATATGAGAATTTTGAGAAATCTAAGAGAGATATTGGAGATTTGATTAAGATAACAGATGATACTTTAAAGATGGTAGGATCTTTATTACCCAGACCTGATTGCAGTTTTATTGAGATGGATAAAATTCAATTAAATAAAGAAGAATCTAAGGATTTGACTAGAAGATTAAGAAATATTAAAGGAAGAGTAATAATTTGAATTTACTGTAGGTAGATGGATTAAAAGGTTATGAAAATGTGATGGAAACTTTAGTATAATTAACAGATTCCAATTTTAAATAGAGACATTTTATAAAATCAGTTTTGGATTTATTAAATAAGCTACGAAAATCTTTGGTTGAATCTCAAAATAAATTAATAAATGATGAAAAAGAATAAGAAAGAGCATTTTCTTAATGGGATAGTGCTTAAGATGGTGAGACTAATGTTTTTGATAGAGAATGGAATGATTTAATGGAGGAAAGAGATGATATTTAATCATTCGTAGCTGATTGTGAAAATATAATAAAAATCCATTAAGCTGATATTGATTTATATGGGGAACGTGTTAAATTAGAAGAATAATCATTATTGATAAGTAAATAAACCCATGAAGAATTGGTGAAACAAATAAATAATGAATTGGATATTATTCAAAAATCCATTAAGTTATTGTATTCACCTGCTATTTTTGAATACTTGAAATACAAAATTAACTTAGGTCCCTGATTTTTAGAATAATATACATATATATAAATAGAGAAGATTTAATTATTTATTTTATCATGATATACGATCAACCTGAACACTTCGGACTTTTTGAAAAAACTGTCACTGCTAAAGAGAAAGAAGAAGTGAAATAATTCTTGAAATATGATAGACATGTTCCTTTAAAATTGACAGAATAAGTCTTCCATGCTGAAGCGTATTTATATTATTCTCGATAATAGAGATGCATCAAGATTCGAAAGATTAGGTTAAGTTGGAGGAGCAGTCTATTCATTCTCATTCTTTTTCTTCCCAATTATTAAAGGTTTACCTATTAAATAGAGACTCTTTTGGGCAGCAGTACCAGGTGGCATTGTTGCATGGTTAGGATGGAGAATTAAAGAAGAATTAGAATGGAATAGAGTTTATAATTGCTATTAGAAATATCAGGTAGCTCATTCAATGCACAAGAAAGTGTTCATTTGAAAAAATATAACATGCACATAATATATATATACAAAACCAAAATATCTAATTCAATAATTAATTTATCATGTTTTTTGAGTTAGACGACATCAGAAGAAGACATTCCTTGTATTTTGATTGTTATAATGCTGGTGTATGGACAGATGCTCCAGAAAAGTAAATACTCTTTTGAATAAATTAGTTCATTGAGATGGAATTATACTAGAGGAGCAATATCAGGATTATTAGGTAGTGTTATTGGTGAAACATGGCATAATTTCTATGAAAATTGGAAACTATTGTATCATATTTTAGTATATCTCAGGTTACGAAAGTATGAATAACCAAATACAGTGAAGGAATTGTATAATTTTAGTAAAGCAACAGTCAATCTTGAGAATTTCAGAAGATCTATGGGCACTAGAATGTAATTTGCTTTTGCTTCAGGTGGCATCGATTGGGCATTAAGATTAGCAGCATTTAGAGCAGTCAATCATGGATGGCAAAGTAATTTATTAATATAATAAATATAGGAACTTGGGGTACATTTGAATATGGATTCTTGAGAAAAATCCCAGGTACTATGTTCATTTCTCTTCTTACTGCTCCAATTGGAATTCCTTTTGAAGTTGCTAGAATGGCTTATTATGCTGATAAGACATTCCCTAAAGAATTGTAAAAAGGATATACCTCATTTTTCAATGCTTTATGGAGAATTCCATTTGAAGAGGGACCATACTATTTCTTTAAAAATTCATTCCCTCTATTTGCTAGAAACTTTTTCTAAACATTAACTCTATTATACTCTTTTGATTGGATGAAAGATAAGGTAATAAATATAGTATATTGATTAATAGCTTTCTGTCTTAACAAGAGTTGCTGAAATTCCATATTTCCCAGTTAAAGTTTTAAATTGTTTCTTATCTACATACTTGGCTATCTTAACAAGTTACTCATTATCTTAAGTTACAAGAGAAATGGTAGATTTATGGCCAAAACCCAATGGTGTTTGTCCTTATGATGGCAATTATAGAAAAGCTGCTACTCATATTTGGTAATTGGAGTTGATATAATGCATATAGGTATGCCAGAAATCTCAATAATTATTTCCCAGGAATGTTAAGAAATTATGCTAGTAGATAATTCTTACCAATGTTTGTTACTCTTTGGTGGGCTGACTCTTTTGGATTGTTTACTTATTGGAAAATAGATATGTTTAGTGGAGCAGGATCAAATACATGGGAAGATTCATTTTGCTGAAATTATTAATCAATAATACAAAAAATAATACAATAATATTTATTTATTTTATATATACCGTTTTTAATCATTTTCTTTGTTCATAAATTAATAAAATGAAAACAACATTGCTTCTAGTATTAGTTGCTTGTGCTTTCGCTACAAACACAGCTTTATTTGACAGAATCGAAAAGAGCGATTTGGGCAAAACACTTTTAAACACTATTGCAATTTAAATGACAACAGGTGAACCTTTAGAAAGAATTTTCTAAACCCTTTATGATTTAGAAGACAGATACATCGCTGATTAAAAAGAAGATGATGCTAACAACTAAGCCTTCTAATAAGTTTGTGATGCTGATTTAAATGCCTTGAACCAAGAACTTGCCAATCTTGAATAAAGAAATACAGAATTATAAGCTGTTCTTGATGATCTTTAACCAATCAGAGACTAAAAGATCGGATAAAAGAAAGCAAAGGAACTCTAAAAGGCTGAATTATAAAAGGTCATTGATGAAACAACAGCCAAGAGATAAGAATAAGCTGATGACTTTGAAGCTTAAAGATAAGAATACACATTTGTTTCATCTGTTTTAGCTGAAGCTAGAAGACTCTTCACTGATAACCTCTAAGCTCCATCTTTCTTATAAAAGGGTGAAGAAAGAGTTCATGTTACACCATAAATTATGGCTTAAGTTGCCAGTCACATGAGTCAAGGTGCCCATAAAGCTAGTACAATGAAACACGTCAGAACTTTTGGAAAAGCCATCAAATTGTTAGCTAATCTTGCAAACAGAACTTAATAATTTGCTAATTAAGAATTAACAGGAAGAGTCATTAAATTGATTGATGATCTCTAAAACTAATTAAGTTAAGCATTTGATTTAGCCAGAAAAGCTGAAGATGATAGAGTCAGAGCATACGAAGCATATATGAGTTTACTCAATAAAGATATGAACAAATACAATTCATCAATTGCTAATTTAACAGCTGAAATCTAATCACTTTAAGATAGAATCGATGCTACTACTTCAAGCTAAAATGATGTTCTTTAAAGAATCTAAGCTAAGACATAATAAAGAGATGATAGAAGAGGAGAATGCTAAGAAGCTGCTTATGATTATTAATAAAGAAGATCTGCAAGAGACAGTGATAGATAGACTGTTAGTGATTTGATTGGTATTTTGAACAGTAACATGAGAGATCTTAAAGAATATATTGCTTTAAGAGTTGCTGCTGGTGATAAAGATCTTGAATGAAATTGATAAATAATAACATTAAAATAATAGTAACTCAATCAATTTAAAGTTTTAACATCATCTCTTTGAATTCTTATAAAGATAATACTCCATCTCCATTTTTATCTACTTCTTCCATTAATTTAGTCCATGTTTCAGATGGAATTTTATTGCCTGCTCCAAACATATGTTTTAATTCTTCAACTGTAATGGCTCCATTATTATCATTATCTATTGCTTTGAATGCTTATTCTAAAATATCTTATTATAACAATTTTTGCTTATTAATTGTAGCAGCAACAAATTCTGAATAATCTATTAATCCTGATTCATTTTTATCAACTTATTTCATGATTTATTCAACTTGCAACTCTGCTTCTGATTAACTAATAATCTTTTTATATCCTTCTAATAATTCTTATTTTGTAAGAACTCCATCTCCATTTTTATCCAGAAATTTAAAAAACCTTTATAATTCTTATTTCTCCTCTTTTGAAATGAACTATTTAACAATATAAAGAAAGGCTGCTTCTTAAACTTTTTGAGTAGTCTAATTAATCTTAAAAAAGTACTCGAAAGTGTTTCATATTATTTAGTACATTTTTTAATTCAGGGGCTTATAATTCTTCGGATGTATATTTCTATATCCAAGGATGCATCAATGCTTTGTTTGCAGATAATCTCTTTTAAGGATTCTTATTTAACAATTACATAATTAAATCTTTGGCTTCATTTGATACAGATTTCCATTATTACTGTTCAAAATATATATTTCCTTATTATATTCTTTTCACTATTTAATCATCAGTTTCTCCATCGAATGGTGGTGAACCACATAATAAGATAAATAAAACAACTCCTGCAGACCATATATCACACTTTTCATCATATTTTTCATCAATCAATTCAGGTGCCATATAATATACCTAAAATTTAATTCAACAATTGTATCTTACAGTGCCTATCTTTTCTTCAAGCTTTTAATTACCATATTTTAAAGAAGTTCCAAAATCAATTATTTTTAATTAACTATCATCTCCTTCATGATCATATAATAAATTTTCTGGTTTAATATCTCTATGAACTATCTTAGATTAATGACAATAATTTAATGCTGATAATATTTGTTTCATTGCTAATGCAGCTTCTTTTTCTGAAAAATAATTTGATTAGATAATCTTATCAAATAATTCTCCTCCTGTGCATAATTCTGTAACTATGTAAAGATGATCATTTTCTTCAAAATAATCAAATATTTTGATTATATTAGGATGATCCTATTATTATCACATTATTAATTACTAAAGATCTCAATATATTGACTTCATTGATTATCTATTAAAATTCATCTTCATTAGCTTTTAGTTTATTGATTTATTTTATAGCTCTTAATTACCCACTTGCTATATGAATAGCCTTCCAAACTGTACCAAATGCGCCTACTTTATAGATAACACTTTTTACCTTATCCTAATGGGGGATCTTCTAATTTATAGTCTCTTAAATTTCCTCCATTCCCTTCATATGCATCTTTATAGGACGTAAATTCTTATCGATCTAAAATATACCTAAAGATAAAGCAGAAGGAGTTTGAGCACTCTTGGCAATGCATTTACAAATTCCCATCAATATTAAACTACAAAAGAAAATAAATTAAAAAAAAATCAAGCTCTATAATGCTCTGCAGAATGATTATTTCCTCTAGTTTTAGTTGGGGCATATTTTAATGGTGATTTAGATGAACTATGCTATTATATTCTTGCCATTGCATATAATTTATCTGTAGAAACTGATTAATTAAACAGTAATTCTTTAATTTTACTAAGTAATAAGTGTCGATTGAAATCTTCAGTCTAAATTATTGAATATTGATACATATAATTTAACTTTCTATTTATTTACTAAAGATTATTAACTAGTGAGATTCGAGAGTTAGATTTTTGGACTTGTTGCATTATCTAACTATGAAAATTTCTGTAATAAATTATTAGCTAAATTTAACTGCTATTACATACAATTTTTTTATTATGAAGAAATTATTCTTGGAGATAATGCTGTTGTGAGATTCTTTGCTGCTTATCTTTAAGTAGAACTCTATCTTTCATACTTATCTATCTCATGCATTTGATTTATTAGTGAATATATTTTCCCATAATCTAATGGCTATGTTTACAACAAACTCAAAAATTATTCCCAACATTCCATTATATATCCTTGCTAATTCATTGGATAATAAGACAAATTTGATCTTATGAATGAATCAAACATCGAAAAAAGTGTGTCCATTTAAATTATTTAACGATTAAAACTTATCTAAATAACTAAAATGAAAACATAATATTAATTTCAAAAACATAGGTTAATTTGGCACTTTATCACTCTAATATAATAATAGTAAGCAATCAATAGAATTTTAGAATATTTCATATAATTTTAAAGCTAACTTAATTTTAAAATTTAAAATTCTTATTATTAACATAATTATTATACTATATAAACTTAGAGTGAATGAATTTTGAGTTGATTTTAAAAATTCTAATTTCAAAAATGAAGTAGAATTCTAAAATGGAAATATTTTTAATATTGATTAATTTACTATTTTATTATATTATTTTAATACTATCATTGTCAGAACTTATCTAATGAAGACAAATCTTAAGGCAATTATTATAATTTATCAGGATATTATTTTAAGATTTATTATAAGACCTAGTTTTTAGAATTGTACAATTTACTTCATCATCTGTTTATTTTTTTCCATCATTTGTTTCTTCTTCTGATTTGACAAATGAGATAGCTACACCATTAGTTTCTTATCTTCCTGCTCTACCTACCTAATTTGATCATTTAAATTATTACTCTATGCAAATAGGTTTCCAAAGAATCAGGCATATCAAAATTGATAACATAATTGACTTTATCAATATCAATACCTCTTCCCATTAAATTAGTAGCAACTAACAATCGGAAATGACCATTTCTAAATTATTCATATGTTTTTTATCTCATTTTTTAATGATCAGGACCTAGTCTATTACCTCCATATAGTTATCTAACAGATTCTTCTCCCTTTTTCTTTAATTCTGTAACCAAAGCATCAGCTTTTTCAGAACTCTTAACAAAAATAATGCATTAATTTAATTTGCAGGTATTTAAAATTTATCTCAAATAATGAAATTTAAGAGCTTCAGGAACCTTCATATAATATTGCTTTAATTTATCCAAAAAGAGTTATTCTGGTTTAATAGTAATCTCATAAATCTAACCATTTATTAATTTATAAGTATTACATGTTTATTGTCAGCTATAAATCTTTTCAATGATGTTCTACTAGATTCGGTAAATGTTGCACTAAATGCCATAAATTATTTCTCCTATGGTGACTTAAAAAAGATGTCCTAAATGTCCTTTCTAAAAATAATTATTTCCAAAAATCAACACCTCATGTTCAAATCTTCAATCATGGTATCGGCTTCATCCAAGATAAAGTACTTCAATCTATCTAATTTTAATGCTTTTCTCTCACAAATTAGATCCTTAAGACGTCCAGGAGTACTAAATATAAGAATTTATTTATACCCAACTACTATTTATGGTTTTACTGTTTCGATAGTTTAGATATTCACTGATACAGGCTCACCTCCACCATAGAAACATTCCACTTTCACATTTTTCATAAACTTTCCCAATCTCAAAAATTCATCTCGAGCCTTAAATAATTAATATTAAATTATTTTACTTATTGGGCTAACTCTCTTGTATGTGTAATTACAAGGCATTCAACTTTATTACTTTCTACATTTATCGTATTTAACACTGTAAGCACGAACACAGCAGTCTTTCCAGTTCCAGCCTTAGCTTAGCAGATCAATTATTCTCCTAATAATGCATTTGTTAATGACTCAGCTTGGACTTTAATAATTAGAATATATGATACCTCTAGTAGGATGTTCAAATCCAGCTTCTTTAACTGCTCTTAAGATCTCTTCTTTAAGCCCAAAATTTTTAAATTAAGAGACATTGTAATTGTCAATTCTAGGATTCTCAATATTTGCTCTTACTAAATGTCTTTGCCAGTTGGTTATTGTTCTTCTTTAAAATCAGGAATATCGTCCATTAATGCGCTGCTCCTTCGATTAAAGATTTATATAAATAATATCCTAATTAAATGCTTTTATTTAAATATAAATAATTCCCTATGTTTTTGAGATCAATATCTTTAATGAATAAAATTAATATAATAATACTACATACAATAGTAAGAATTATTACAATTTTATACTAAATTTCTTATGAATTTTGGTTAACTAAAATCATTAAAATCATTCTATATACTATTATTAATATATAGGTCTATATAGAGTCCCAGAACTAAAGAGATTATAAAAATTGATCAAAAAAATTACAAATATACCTAAGTAATAAAAATTTTAATTTTAAAATTGAACTTCATAATGATTTCAGAATTAATAGAAAAGAACTAATTTAATGATTTTTACATATTATTTGATGAAAATGTTAAAGATGCAAACAAATCTGTGAAATCATTTTATGAATAATTTGAATAAGAAAACTTACAAAAAGGATCTGAAAATTTTAATAATCCCAACAAATTAAAAATTTATATCAATGAAACAATTCATAAAGGAAGATCAAAATAAAATGTATCTTAAATTATTGAAAAATATTCCAAAAATAAAAATTTAGAATCATCAAATGTTTTTATGTAAAATTGTTAAAGATCACCTTTTTTATGTTTAATTGTTATGACCAAAGAATAATTTAAAAGTTTAGAGAATATTTTAGAATTGATAATTACTCATAAAGAAAACGATTGCAAAACAGTAATAATTTTAGAAGAAATTAAGGAATTGATTTATGCATAAAATCAATTCATATAATTTCAATAAGAATTTGATTAATTTGTATTAGATCTCTAATTAAACAATAAAATAGATGTGATTAATACAAAATCTTTGAAATAAACTATTGAAGAGATAGCTTAATGTTTATTATGTAGTGTATAATGGAAGAGAAAATAAAATAAAATACCATGTTTATTTAGAGATAGAGGAGATTTTAGTTTATTTAAAGCTGAAAATGCAGGAATAACAAATACTTATGAATTATATTGGTTGTCTATGCTGACTTAAATTCCAGGTATAAGTGAAGCTAAAGCTAGAGCAATAGTATTAAAATATCCATCAATTAAATCATTAATTAATGCTTATAAGAATACTGACATTGAGAAGAGACCTCATTTACTTAGTGAAATTGAAGTTGTACAAGGAATTGTTTAATAAACTTCAAAGAAATTAGGAAATACTATTTCAGAATAATTGTATATACTCTTTTCGACCACAAATGCCGATTATAAAGTATTAGATTGAAAATAATTAATTGATTATTATTATTGATTTATTATTGTACTATATGAAACTTAATAAATGCTCAATCAAAGAGACCTCCCATATCAACATCTTCTTCGGGTTCTTCAACCTTCTTTGGTGCTTCAGCTTTTGGAGCTTCAGCTTTTGGTGCTTGAGCTGCTTAAGCAACTGGGGCTGAGCTTTATGCTAAATATTTAGAAATCAAAATTACAAGCTCCTCCTCCGACTGACAAGCTTGTGAGTTACTTTGATCCTTCCTTAATAACATCAGCCAAGCTCTTTCCTTTTAAGGCATCGACTACTAATTTGACATCTGCAGCAACTGGCTCAACTCCAGCCTCTTTGAGCAATTTAGTAACATCAGCCTCAGCTAATCAATAGAGATGTAATAATACTGGGTTGGTTGTTTCCTCCTAAAACAAGCAAGGCATATGCAGCAACGTACTTCATTTTATTATTATTTAAAAATTATTTTTAAATATGATGCTACAAGATTATTGTTTATTTATAATTTCTCATTAGAATACAATTTTTTTCAATTATTTTATTAAAATATCTCATCTATATGTTTCTAATCATTCTATTCCTTTGGGATACAATAAATAAAATTCAATTAAAGGTCAAAAAACGAGCTTAGAGAAAATTCTTTAATATAGTATTTTTAATATTTTAAAAAGTATAAAGAATTCAGAAAAAGGAAACTTAAATGCATAACTAATAAAAGTTGTTATTTACTTTATGTATGTAAAATGTTGAGTTCAATTTATAATGTATATATATTTTGTAATTAAATTGTATATTATATATAAAAATTTGTTGTAAAAATAGATTTTAGAATAATAAAATGTCAAATAAATTATCATTAGAAATCTTAAAGATATCCATTTTGTAGAAAATATTTGACATCAAATTAAAATAATTTAAGAAGTCTTTTTATGTTTTGATTGAGTGGAACAAATCCTATGTCTTCCTCTTCAGATTTATGTTTTTATTTTTCTCTATTGATTAAATGAACAGTTAGATCTCGATTACAACTCCATTAATTAATTAATACTCGATGTTATGTAATATGTCTACTATCAAATACAGGTAATCCTTTCTACCATTTGAGTATATTGTCTTTTTGAATAATCACATCTAAATCCATATCATCAATGCTAAATGAATCCTAATCATTCACTTAAGCCTTTAATTTTTATGTATTGAGATAGGAAGATACCCCAGCAATTCTAATATTAGATTCAGCTGCTTCAAATTCTCCTGACACAAATTTCGAATGGAAGAACTAAGCTCTATCTACATCTCCTCTATAATAAAAATTGATAGCAATCATATCATAACATAGTAATTCATAATTTCTATCTTTAACAACCCAAGATAATTTTAATAATTTCTTTAGATATATAGCTTCTTTATCTAAATCTCCTAAATCTAAAGCACATCTTGCTAATTGTCTATATGCTAAGAGTTTATATTTTTAGAGTCTCTTTCCTTATAAGTTACAAGTTCTCAAAAACCTTTTCCATATATTATATCCCTCTTTTCTTCTACAATATACAAATTGTATTTAAGTTTAAAAATATATTGCCATAAAATAAAAACCTACAATTCCACATTATTTACAGGCATTAACAAGTTTTTCTAAATCAGGCATTAAGATTTATAATTATTCAATTAAAACAGTTTTTATTAGAGTAGATAGGATTGAATATATTTCTTCAAAATGGTTTTTATTAATAAATGTTACAGAGGGTGTAAAATCATTTAATTATGCAAGAGATCCTATAAGAGTAAACTTTCTGGCTTGTTCCATTCTTTTTTATTGTTATTATTTTAGAAAGGGTAATAAAATACTATCCTTTCTATTTCTTCTCTCTTTTTCAATTTTTTCAGTAGCCAACCTAGTTTATGAAGCTTCTCTAAGAAAAACAAAATCTTAAAACATTTCATTATTTTATAAACTTCTCCATTCAGATTTAATTTTAAGTATTTCTTTTTTTTCATCACCAAATCCAGTTTATGTTAACATCTATTTCATTTTTGTAAAAGATGCTGTAGTAGATAATGAGCTTGAGTTCATAATATGAATTTAATATTAATATTAGGTTTTAGTAAACGAATTGCATAATTATTATTATTAAAACACTTAAATATAATAAATTAATGAATTTAGCATTATTAAATGAAGAAATAGAAAAAATTGAAAGAAGTATCAAAGAACCATCTGAAATAATTGAAATATTTCGAAATCATCTTGATAAAATATTGGATATTATAATAAATAAGGAAACTTAATAAGAAATAAAATTTTCAAGTTTGAAAGAATTATGTCATTATTTAATAGTAATGAGAGTATCATTGGATGGTATTTTAAATGATTCTTATCATACAAAGAGAGAAATCTTTTATATGAATCAAAATATATTTTAAAAATAAGAGAACTTAAATTTAGTTATAAAATAATTTTCGCATAATTTATAGATATAAAGAAAATAATTACATATAATCTCAGCTTCCAAAGGATTAGTATGTGGTTCTTTAATACTTAGAAAATAAGACATTGAATTAGACTTACTATAATTAACTTCATAAGGAAAAGGATTGAATATCACTGAATTTATGGATGAATGGTAACCTGAAATTTATGGTAAATGGATATTGGTAGTAGAAAAAGAGACTGTTTATTTTCATTTAATAAATGAAATGCATTAAGAATTCTTATAAAATACTGTTTTGATTACAGGAAAAGGTTATCCTTGTTATGCCACTAAATCTTTTATTAAATATTTATCAATAATGAATCCATATATCCCAGTATATTATTTTGGAGATATGGATCCTCATGGATATGATATTTTATAATAATATGCTTTTGGGAATTAATATTCTAGTCATGAACTCAATAATATACCTTGGATTTAATGGTTAAATTCTTATATTCCTTAAGATTAATTAAAAATCAAGAAAAAAATTAAATTAAATTAGAGAGAAATTTAACTTTTGGAACAAATCATAAACAACCCAAACATACCTGAATAGTGGAAACGAATAATGGATAATAAAGAGAAATATGAAATTGAAGATATCCAATTTCAAAACCTATCTGAATCCGTATTAGAAATAATGTAAAGTTAAGATTGAGATCCATTATGTATATTTTTTTGATTTTCGAAATTTTAATAAGATTAACAATTAATTCATTTTAAGAGGTTGTCTTATATAAAATTCTTAAGTGTTATTTATATAAATATATATAATATATTTTTATATAAACAACACTTATTATTTTTCAAAATATATATATGAGATAAGAACAAAAAATTAATGGTAAATTAATTAGTAAAATTAAAAAAAAATTAGGTAATATGTCCAAAGGTAAATATATTGTTTTGTGTAGATTTACTATTTATAAGGTACCTAATGGAATTTGTTCAATCTATTTATAAATTTAATTATATATATTTAAGTTAAACTTAAATAATTAATTTGAATTAATACAAAAATAATAAAATTATTACATAATACATCACAAAAGCAATATTTAATAGCTTAAAAATAATACAAATATTAAAATACCAAATCGTTAATATATTTTAACCGAATAAACGAGTTATTTCAATTAATTCTAATACTTAGAAATAAAAAGGCAGTATTTAAACAAATCAATTTAATATTTAAAATATCTTCACTTAATATAATTTATGTCTAATACCAATAAGTAACATGATGTGTGTATTGATGAAAACAAAGAAAATTTGACTATCTAAATAATTTTAAGCGAGCAAGAATCATAAGAATAAGGTAGTTTGAATAATTATATATTAGCTTTATCTAATTACAGCACTTAAAATGATTAACAAAATCTAGTCAATTTCGATTATCAAGAGGACATTAGTGCTATTGTAGAACATTTTAAGGTTTCAATCAAGAAAGGATAATGGAAAGATCAAATATCAAAAAATATCCATAAAACAAGATTAAAGAAGACTTAATACAAAAAAAAGGTTAAAAGAATTAAAGAGTTTCAACTTGAAGAAGATATCAAACTCTTAAACTTAGTTCATCAACATGGAAGATAATTCTCCAGAATAGTGAAGTAATTCCCAAAAAGGACAGTTAGTATGCTTAAAAATAGATATTACAAGAACCTAAGATATAGATGGGAAGAATTAATGGGAATGTAATACATATATAGATTATATAGAGAATACACATAAAATGAATATGAATCGAAAACTGAGAACTAGGTGAATAGAAAGTCTGGGGACAACAATTTTGTTAAACATTAAGACCTAATCAACATGATACCTGATTCATATAGTTGTCCAATAATTTGTGACATGCTCTCAACATTCATTACAAAAATGGACTAATTTCTCAAATTTCAATTTTGATCATTCCAACTAACTTGATAGAGTTTTTCTATATTATATTTTATACAAACAATCATTAAAATGCTCTCCTTTTCCTTCAGATGGAAGAAAAAAAGCAAAATTCATTATTCATATATAAATAATAAAAAAAACTGAAATTCCGATAAATTGTTTATTATATTAGAAGGTACGGCTTTTATCATTTAATAGTTTAATTAAATTGTTTATTGAGTTATTGCAGCTTGATATGCGACATTTAATTAAAAAGCTTCAAAGCGGAACCTGAGTTTGCATAATGGTTTTGTGTAAATAAAGTTGATAAAACTGAAAAATAAATTTTAATGATTTTTCTTAAATTTATTTCTTAACTTTAAAAGTGAAATTTATAAACAAAAGCTTGGTCAAGAGATAACTTACTTAATAATTTATGGTTAATTATAGTGAAGTATAATTTATTCAGGATTAATTATAAAAGTATGGAAAATTAAGATAATATTTAAGTAATAAGAAATAACATTCCTCTTTTTCATTAAATATTGGCCTTAATATATTTATAACATATATATATCATAAATTGATCAGTTTTTTTATAATTCTAATTCTAATTATAAAAAATATATATATATTATTAAAATGCCTTTCATTAAATAATATATATAATAAAATTATTGAGCTTTATTTTTAATACTTTTTAAATAATCTGTTTAATTAATAGTATTGTGTATGGCTAGTTAATGAAAAGTTAGATAGTATGGAATAGCAATATAATAGATTAAAACTATTATTCTTCAATTTACTTTTGTTATTAAGAAAATGTTATAATTTATATATTAATTGTATTAGTTTAAGCAACTAAGAATGCTCATTTATAAGTGATACTCTATTTACAATCAATCCAATATGCGATTGATTATAAAACTTATTTAAAAGATAAATTAACATTATACAAATAGATACAGACACTGAAAAATGTGGAATTTTAAAGATATTGAATATTAATAAAACATATATTTTCATTAAGAAATATATTATATCCTTAACTAAAAAATTAGAATAAAAAAATTGAAAAAGAAAGATTTGGATTAAAAACAAGAATAAATTATTCAATCAAAAAAACATGAATTTCTAAAATGAGTAATTGACACACTTATATATATGAATTTAATTTATTTATATTGCATTTAGTATTAATTTCACTAATTATAAATAATAATAATCTTTAAATTTTTTTGACAAAATTATTTCTACATTCAAATATCCAAAGATTTAAGATAATTTAAAAAGCAAGAAAATTTATATAGTTTTTTTAATTTAATAATAAAGTTATCTTAAAATATTCACATTTAGGAATATAATTTAGAATCTTTTTTAATTAATATTATATTTAGATATAATTTTTAGGTAAAAAGATAATAAATAATATTTTGTAATATACATTAGATAAATAGTTAATGATAGAAATCATTATTCTTTAAGTTGAATTCTTATGTTAGAAGTTCTTGGAGAAACAAAAGCTGACAATAAAGAAGTTTACACATTTTATGGTAAATATTCATAACCTAGAAATTATTCTAAAATTTATTATATATTTTACATTAAATATGTTCTGAATGAAGGATTGATTAATCTTCCAATGATTCTAATCTATTTGACTTTAAATAGTTTTCTAATTTTCCATCTGGAATGAATGGAGATGGAATTAACTTTTTTTCATATTAATCCCAATTAATATCTTTAAACCATGGATGATTTTTCACTTCTTCAGGTCCATTACAACCTAATCTAATAGTTGGTTTTCTATGCATAAGTAAATTTGTAAAATTGATTGCATCTTCACTCCATCCTTATGGAATATCTGTTAAAATCACTTATTTTGCTATTATTTAATCTCTGATCTCTTATCTACTTTTACCATTATAAGGTCTTTTACCTAACTTAATCAATCAATAGATTAAATTACAATACATTCATGCATTATGATTCCAAGGGCAAAATAATCTACAGCAACACCATGATTTTATCTACACATTACTTCAGGAGCCATATATCCAGGAGTACCACTGGTTTCATGACTATTCTAAGGTTTCCAAATTCTTGCAATTCCAAAATCAGTGATTCTTAAATATCCATCACTATCAAAAACGAGATTTTCAGGTTTAATGTCTCTGTGTATTATACCATTAGAATGAATGTAATCTAATCCAATAATAATACAAGCAGCTATATGCTTTGTTATCGACTCTGAAAACTTTCTATATTTACAGATATGAAATCTTAAATCTCCACCTGATAAGAAATCCATTGCTAAATACAATTAATATCGATCTTAAAATGCACTTACTATATTAATGATAAAACTATAGAAAATTTATTGCAAAATATTACTCATGTTTTAAAGTTGACAATATTTATAATTCATTCATGACTGAACTAACACTCTTTTTTTGTATAACTCTTTTGTATAAAAATGATTAAGTACCTCACTTTAGACATAACTTTTAATGCTACTATTAAATTTCTGGTTTTTTAAAGTCTAGCCTTGTACACTTTACCAAACCCTCCTTAGCCTATAACAGATATTAATTCAAAATTTTAGAGAGACACCTCTATAAATATTAAAACAATATCTATACAAGTATCATCACAGGATCCACGAAATTTGAACTCACAGCCTCCCATAATTTTTATATGAGATTATTTTATTAATAAAATTGAACTCTCTTAACAAGAAAGAATCATTTCAAAAAAACCGAGTTTATTTAATTGTTTTTTTTTTGGATGCTATTAGAATTTTTAAATTAAAGAAATCTTTTACATTTACATAGAAAAAATTTCAAATATTCAACAATCCTTTAAAATCAAAAAAAAAATAATTTATTTTTCCTATTATTTTGATAATAAAGTTTCTATCAAATTAATAAAAACATAATGAGTTATACTAAACAAATACCCAAGAAAGTAAAAGATGTATTTTTTAAATTAAAGAACAAAATCATATTTTCTTAATATCAACTAAATAATAAGAAAAATCAAGATTAAAAATATAAGAAATATATCTATACTTCCTTGGAAATTATTATAATTTAGTTTTATTGTTATCTTTATCAATAAAATTTCTAGTTCTATAATATATCTTAATTGTTCCTTATCAAGCAGTTCCAAACGATTCCATCAAAATTCAATTTAATTTTCATAATATTGCTTTAATATTTACTCAATATTTAGGAGACCTTTAAAAAAGTACTTAGTAATTTCATCTCTAATATAATCCAATAAGATTATAGACCTTAATATCAAAGGATAAATTTTATTAATAATAATCATTATAGTTAGAGGTCGTTAATATGAATTATGCCTTTTTTCTATTAGTATTCTATTGTAGCATAACCTTATTTGACACTCAATACTTTTACAATACTTCCTGAATCTATGAAAAAGAATTAATGTCCTTTTGACCAAGTATTGCGAAGACAAATTCCCTATAAATTTTATTTTTTATATTAAAAAGACTCTGGAATTTGTTTTTAGAGAATGTCAGATGGAGTATCATCTAAAAAGTAATTGACTTCATCTGGTCTGTGGCTATGATTCGTTTTGATATAATGAGTCAATAAATTTAATGTCTCCATAGCTTCATTAGTTTCTATTGTAAGTTCATTATTTTGAAATTTGTCAAAGTAATTCAAATTTGCTGGTTTTTTAAACAATTTAAGGGATATTTCTTTTCCATCATTTTATAAAGAGTGTTAGGAAACAAACTTAATATTGGTTAACATATCTTAGCATTTTTTATCAAGGTTACTTTTGATCATAAAATTAACTAATTATAAATTTAATTATAGTATTTATATAATAAGAAATCAAATTCTTAATTACTAATTGACTTTTGTTACATAGGTTTTCTTAATGATTGGATTTAATAGATTAATAAAATATATAAAGTATGAATTTATAAAGATCAAATCATCTTCTTGGTTTAGGTATTTTGGAATAGAGAATAGCTGACCTTTATTCAGCTACTTATTTATATGTAATAGGTTATTCTTTTGATTATGATCTTATTTTATTATATGATGATAGAGTATCTGTTTGAATATTCTCTTTTTCAATAGAAATATTAATTTATTTTACAGGTCTTGAGTCATATTATTTGTAATCATTTCTTTAATCTTATTTATTAGATATTGATTGCGATTATTAAGTACAAGAAGATTTCCCTTTACTATAACACCCAACATAATGTTAAGGTTTAACTTTAGAATTAATTTCACATTCTGTAAGTGTTTTGACATTTTGAACTCCATGACATGCAGAAAATGATTTACTTCTTGAAACCTATAAATCAACACTATTATCTTAATGAATTGAAGTTTAAAGATTGTTTTTCCTTTAAATTTCAAATTCTAATTATTAAATTTTACATTCTGCATTTGAGAGTTATCCAAAAAGGAAATTATTTTATTCCCTTAATTCATCAATTTATTAATCTAAAATCTTTCGTTGATCATCTAATTATTATTAATACTTTTATTTTAAATCTCTATATCGTTATTAATATAATTCTTCATTGGATTTCATTCTACTCATAAATTCTTACTAGAATGTTGAACTTTATTATAATTCTTCTTCTAATTCACAGATCCTTCTTTAATATTCTTCTTCTTGATTAATTATATTTTATGTTAATAATTAATATTCTTCATATTCTTATTTTATTTATTAATAATCTTGTTAATCATTTCTCATAGTTTCCTATAATTTATTTTATAGATCCAGATATTATTTTTGTAATTCTTCTAGGGCTCTATGTAATTCCATAACATCAGGAATATTTTCTTGTTGATTTTGTAGATTTTACAAATCTTCTTATAATTATTGATTTTAATATTCCAATTATTGATTTCTACGATTTAATTCAGATAATTATTAATTGCATTATCTTTCAGTATCAAATAACTTTTTTTAGAGTTCTTAGATTTATTAATTTTTTTATTCCAATAAACTCTTTGATTTAACTGAACTTTTATCAAGACTACTCTCTCTAATTATATCAGAATTTTTTAATTCATAACCTGTTTTTAAATACTTTTATTCTAATCTAATCATTGTTTATTAATTTTGCTAACATCTTTCTTACATTTCTTTTAGTTCTTATTTAAAAAAGTTTTCATCAAATTTAGTACTATCATCAAGTTATCTGCTTCTCTTTAAAGCTTAATTAACTTATTCTTCCAATTCTTCTATCCTTTTCAATTCTTTATCAGTCTATGACATTTATCTAACGGATAATAATTTAATATTTATTTATTATTTTGCACATTTAGAAGAACAGAATATAATTATACTACTTTGTAAATAGCTATATATATTATACTATATCAAACTAATTTAGTCAAATAATTTTATCAAATAATATTCTCATTTACTAAAATTTTAAAGAGATTATATATTATAATCATTTAATTTTCATATATAAATCATAAACATTGAAATCATCAAATAATATTTGGTAGATCATCGTACAGAAGATTTAATTTGTAGAGACTGGAGATAGAATAAAAAGTAACAAAAAATGAAATGAGAGCATACTTATTTACAATAAACTTTGTATTATCTAAATTTAATAAGTAGACCTGATTTTAATGATTTTTTTAGAAAAAGATTATTGAAAAAGGAGATGAATTTAATTTAGGATACATATTTAAAACAATTGATTCAATGATTATTTTAAGAATATAGAATTCACAAATAATTATTTTTCTCTTTGATTTATATAAAGCCATAAGGGGATCATTAAGAATATTAAAGTCATTATGGAGTTGTAATTGATGCTTTATCTTCATCTTTATTATTCTACTTTATGGATTAAAATCTTCTCATTTTAATTCTATCTTCTTCTTAAATTACTTCAAAATATGGATGTAAAGGTCCAAAAAAATATAGTATTTCATGATTTTTAAGTACATCGTATCTATGTTTTTGTAGTAATTTTCTTATATAATCTCTTAAAAATTTTCTGCATTGTATATAATTTTTAGTTTGAATGAATTATGATTGATATTGAAAGAATACTTTGTCATTCTTAATTTTTTTATTTCTTTTCATGAATCTTTTGAATTTCACTATTTCTGACTCTTACCATTCTTAAGTATACTCTTTCTGGAACTATATTTGATGATTTTGAAATTAAAAGATTCCTATTAATTCTTCATATGTAACAAAGCTCAGGGAAGACATATTTAATTTATTTTTATTTATATTAAATTATAAGGTTTACTTAAAGAATTTGTTAGATGAATGTTAATATGGATTTTATTCACACATTCTTATATCAATAAAATATATAATTATGAAGATTTATTTTAGGTATTAACAATAATTTTTGGAATTTGATTATTTAAATCATAATATTGTAATATTTCCATTGTTTAAACCATTATGTTCTCCAACAATATGAGTATCTGAATAAGGTACAATTGGCTCTTTAAAATTGGGATTTTTCTATTATGCTTATTTAGTTAGGTTTTTCCACTAATGATAAATGTAAAATAATACCTTTTCCTCAATTTTTTATCTGTCTTTCTTTTGATTCTTGGCATCTTAGATAATATACAAATATTTTGGATCTTTATTATTCAAAGCTTTATCAAATGCTTGATAATCTATTTCTTTAAGAATTGTCTTTAAAGCATTCAAAGATTCTTATAAAACCTTATGCCAATGAGTATCAGCTATCTAAGAAATTACTGGAACTAAAAGAGGAAATGTGAATGGCTTATAACTCTTCAGAATAGTGAGGAAATAATCATTTTCAAAGAAACACATAGCTCTATCAGCCACTTATAAATGTGGTCCTGCAATACATTTAATTAACCTTTTAAACAATTTTGGAATCAAAGGCTCTAATTTTGATATTTCACAGACTTCTAATACTTCTAAGAGTTCATTAAGAAACATGACTTCTTTGGCTGAATTAGCAAATGGCCAATATCTAAGTAAACCTTCTACTAAGAAAGTGGCTAAAGTTGGATCTTTGGATAGAAAGAGCATGGAACATCTCAATAATTGTTCATGATAAAACTAACAAGTTTAAACTTTATGTAGAGGAATGATGACAGTTTTAAAGAAAATAACATGTTCTTCTCTTAATGGAACAGCAAATCCACTAATAATGCTTGCCAAGATATCTAAAAGTTCAGCTGCACCATTAAATTTGTAGGTTTCATGTATTAAAGTGTAGAAGCAATCATTTATTGCTTTTCTTATCATCTTTCTTCTTGGTACTAATTTAGCATAAAGTCTATGCAATATGTTTTTTAAGTATTCTCTTTCTCTAGGTTCTTCTGTATCAAATAATTCAAGGAATTCTTAAATAAAGGAGTGAGTGATGAAAATCTATAAAATTTATAAAAGAAATACTTTGAGAGATTTAACATCAGGCTATTCATTAACAATTAATTGTAAGAAATATTCATAGACAGGTTATAGATGTGTCCAGGCAGGGTCAATAAGTTGCTATTTTATAAAAGAAAATAATTTACATCATCATCCTCCATGCCAATCTCTCCATTGGTTGCTGTTTTCTTTAAAATAGGCAAAGGTCTAAAAATATTCTTTTCAATCATTTCTATTATCAAATCTAAATGTGGAACAACTAAATTAGCAACAAAATTAGGTTCCTTTAATAAATCAAATAATTCTTATAAGTATTATGAGCGTTCTTATTTTTCTTTAACATTTTTTGAGTCATCATTAAAATCATATGGTTAAGAACAAAAATGAATTTTTTTTAAGAATTAATCTCTGATTTCTTTAGGTACATGTTTAGGATCTGTTACTCTGGCCATATTTTGAATCATTTATGGAGGAGCCTAAGAATAATATTAGTTATTACTCTTGTTTATTAAGTGTTTGTATTTGGTTAAATTTGGGATCTTCCTGTAGCTGTTTATTTTGAATTAGCAGTCCTATTTTACATTATTTTTATTTTTGATTTTGATAAAGATGTGTTTTTGAATATATATATATATATATTAGATGATTTAATAATAAGAATATGAACTCTTTTCATTTACACCAATCCTTTAATCAATTTCATTAGACAACAACGATTTACCAACATATTCAACATACACATACGATTTATATGAGAAAAAATTTAGAAGAATATCTAAGTTTGTTAATTTTGATTAATTGAATTATGTTCCATTATATGCTGGATTAACTAGAATTTCAAATACAAATGATTTCTTAATTACTGGTGGAGCAGTTTTATTGGAAGACAATTAAGATTAATATTTTTCAACAAATTTTTGCATGAAAATAACAATAAATTAAGATAGTGTATCAATATCATCTTTTGATTCTATTTAATAAAAATAAATATTACCATTATTGAAATATGCAAGACATAATCATAAGATATTTGAATTAAAACTTAATGATAAAAGAGCTTTTATAGTGGTAGGTGGATAATGTGTAAATGATAATTAATTTAGTGTTTTAAATTCTTGTGAAATGTTAATAGAAGGATCAGAAGAATGGGTTGAAATAGCACCCTTATAAAAAAATAGAACTGGATTTTCAGGTTTTGTATAAAATAATAAAATTTATATTTTCTGTGGTATATCTGGTTTTACACAAAATAAACAAGAAGTAATTCCACTTACAATAATTGAAGTTTACAACCCAGATACAAATTAATGGGAATAAATTAAATATAAATGTCCTTTAGGTATTTCAATAGGTTTAGATTGTCTTTGCTTACCTATTAATGATACAAAAGTATTGATTTTTGGAGGATCAAAAGAATAAAGTGGAGATTAGATTTTGATAATGGATTAAGATAAAAAGGCATTTATAAAACATTCATAAAAATTATCCACTCCTAGAGCTAAATGTTATGGAAGATTCTCTAAAAATATTTTAACAAAGAAAATAGTACGAGAAAATAGTATTATTTATTCATTTAATATTAGATCAAGAAATCATATAAGAGGAATAAAAAAATTTAATAATAATCTTAGGTGGAAGTAGTTTCTTATTAGATCTTGAGGTTTATCAATTGTTAGATGAAGATAATCTTTAAATAAAATTACTTTAAAAATATGATTTTGGTGATGTTTTAGATAAAGATTATGAAATTTATGAACTTCCTAATAAAACTTCATGGAATTTTGTATTTTAAAGTTTACCAATTTTAACAGAATGATAAATAAAAATAGAAATATATATTGAATATTAATAAGAAATGATATGTTCTTCATTTAAAATAAATAATATAATTTCATTATTCCTCCTATGAGGTAGCATAAGGATCTTTTCTATAAAATACTTTGACTTTCTTAGCTGATGTTTTTCTGTCCTATACTAAAATATAAATACAATTATCATACTAACTCTATAGTTGCCATTTGGAAAAATATCAGTATTATGATACAAATTGTAGAAAAATGAAAGTTAAGAATTTGGAGCTTTGAATGGTCTTTCAAAAATGTACCAAGAATTTCTTTCTGTACAATCTGGGTAAGTGAAAGATCCTGCATATAAATAATAAGGTTAGATAGAAAATGCTGATGTTATCAATTCACCTAAATCCAAAATAAAATCTTCTTTATTATAATTATCTATAACCTTTGTATATTATTTATGATTAATACTGTTTATAAAAATGGATTTTTTGGGGCAGCATCATCTTGAATAAAAAATACAGAGACTGTTGATCTATTTGAAATTGTTGCAAAGAGCATAGTATGTTAAATTTAAACTTCTAAATTATATTAAACTCCATTAAATTTATGTTCAGCTTCACTTCTAAAGAATATTATTTTTCCTCCATAAGCAACACTCTCTGACCAAGAATTAACAGTATATAATGGACCAAAGTTATCACTATCATTAGCTGGTATTATTCTATGAGTTGTCTAGTTTTTTGTAATTCTCACTTTAGTTGGTTTATATTTTGGAAAAAAGTACATATCATCTTCCTAAATTAATGATTATGTATTGTACATTGGTATTAGTATAATTATTATCTAGATTGATTGGGGACTGTAATTGTTTCCCAAAACAATATTCATGTATGTTTGGCCAGTCTTTACCATTCTATGTATAATCATAGTCATCACTACCATAAACAGTTTATATGCTAAGTATTAATAATGATAAAATCATGAATTAATAATAATATTATTTTATTTGGATTCATCATTAATAATTTTTATATAGGAATTTCAAAAAATCCTAACTTAATTTGAGAATCAAAAGGGATTCCTTAATTTTAGAAAAAATTTTAAAAATATATTATAAAACATTGTTCAAAATATGATGCATTCCTTGCATTACTAACATCTTTATTAATTATTACTTGGCTTGCTGTATTCTTATATGTATCTTTACATAAATTCTATATATTTAGGCCATATAGTATCCCCTATATATATAGTTATAATAATTTACTATATGATTTAATTTCTTCAATATTAATCAATTATTTAGCAGCCATGGACAATTCACCAGCCAATAAAATACTGGCATCAATCAAATCAAAATATCTATGATATAAATCAATAACATCTCTATCAGTATGAGGCTATTGTTTCTTAGCTATATCATATAATGCATTTGTTTTTTAGAGATAATCAAATGCAAGGATCTATCTTCCTGCCTTAATTAATAGTGATTTACCCTACACTGCCCTTGAGAACAAAGCAAGCCTTTTCCATCCTTTTTTAATCAAGCAATTATACAGCTAAGTATAATTCTTGTAGTTATTTTTCAAAGGTCATGTTGATAAATTTGGAAATAATGGATACATATATTTCTTCACTTCCATATTCGATCTTTCCTTAGTCATAATTTATTGTTTTATATTCCATTTTATAAAAAATATATTTATTTATAATAGACAATCTAAAGTTTAATTTATAATTTCTAACGATAATATAAACATTAGCTAATTCATTAATATGAGTTGGATTACTATAAATAGTTAAAATAAAGGTCCTGGAGGTAGATGGGGACACAATAGTGTTGCATTAGATGATAAATTATATATTTTTGGAGGTTATGGTATAAACTTAGAAATATAATTAAGATGGCAATTATCTAAATGATTTTTATTGTTATGATTTCGATAATAATTTATGGCAAACTATATTTTAAGAAGGTTAGGTACCAGAACCTCGATCAAATCATATTATGTTTATAAATAACGGAACTATATATATTCAAGGTGGTGGTGGCATATCAAAAACTCGATTTGGAGATCTATATTCATTTAATAATAAAACTTGGATGAAATAGAAAATAAATTTAATACCTAGAACTTATCATACAGGTTGTGTAGGTGATAATAAATTATTTATATATGGAGGAGAATCTGGTAGAGATTTAGATGATTTAGAAATTGTTGATTTAAATAATATTACACAATATATAGTGAAAGTTGAATGTTATGTAAAACCAGAATCTAGACGTTTTGCAACTATTTAATATTATAAAAATTAATTGATATTAATTGGAGGATGCACTTAATCTTATATTAATACTCCTTCAATTTATATTGCAAATTTTATAGAAAAAGATAATTAAATAAATATAACTTGGTCTTTACTATAGATGTAATTTTCTAAATGGGGATAATCTTGTATACAATTTGATGATTTATTTTATATATTTGGAGGAAGAGATGATAAGGATTCTGATGAACTTTACTCTTTTGATTTATAAGATCATAAAATTTAGATGATTAATAATGAAAATAAAGTTAAAGCAAGAAGAAAGCATAGTGCTTCTCTTATTGGTAATTCTTTAGTAATTTATGGTGGTTTCAATGGAAAATATTAAAATGATTTATGCTTCTATGAATTACCACTTATAAATTCTGTACCTCTCTCTGTTGAATTACCATCTAAACCATATTAAGAAATATCATAATATAAATTTGAAAACTAATTTTAATTAGAAAATGGAGTTCATTTTTATAAAGAATAATATGATTGTTTAATCTAGACAGATGAAAAATGTTATGGTGTTAATAAATCAGTTCTTATCAATATTTCAGGATATTTTAGAGAACTATTTAATGGAGATTATGCAGAAGGCTAATTACTATAATTAGATTTGTCATTTGTAGATCATATTGCTTTTGGTATAGTTTTAATTTTCTCATATGAAAATAATTTAATACTTCCAATTCTAAATAAAGAAGAACTTTTTAGACTTTTAGAATTATGTGATTATTTAGACATGATTTAATTAAAAGAGAAAACTTAATATTATATAGCTTAAACTGTAGATAAAAATACAATTTAAGAAATATACAAACTTTCTGTTGAACATTAAAATAATTAGTTATAGCATTTTTGTGCATTTAAAGTTTCAAAATTAAAAATGCCATTACAAGAAATTGACAATATATAAAGTTAATAAGTAAATAACATGAAAAAAATAAGAAAATTGTCAATAGTTAATGAATTATGATTAAAATATATATATATATATATTCTTCTATTATAATTTAATTTATTTATGGAGAATTCTTGGAAATTAATTACAGCAAACTCTTATTATGATTCAGAAGCAAATTTAGTGAAATATTTTACAAAAGGATTAGGAATCGATTTATAAATAGTTAATATTGAATATCTCTTTCTTTTTAAATAAGGAAACTTACCTCTATTAATTATTGGACCAAAAGTTTTTTAAAAAGGAGAGATTTCTAAATTTATTGTGAATGTATTAGACAGTCTATATAAAAGGAATACTTGAAAAATTACCAATAGAATTATGAACAGTATTTTAATCTGTTTGATAATTGCTATTAAATGCTTGAAATAATTGATTATTTTATGTGGGCTGCTCCATCTAATATATTATACTAATATAGGGATTAGTATAGTTTCTATAATGCAATTAACAAATATCATCAATGTCGTTTCCTTATTAATCAAAAGAAAAGATTTAAGAACCTCAAATATCTTGATCTTAATATGGTTAATAATAAAGCTAAGATTCATCTAACAGTTATTCAACATTGGATAAAAATGTAACATGAATAATAAAAACCTGTTAATATATTTTACATATTTTGTTATGTTGTACTAAAGTCAATTATTTTCAATATTAGATATTCTCTATTAGTATTAAATTTATCATATTTATAGTATAATCAAATCCTTAAATCAGAATTAAAAGATTTAATACAATAGATGACTTTGAAATTAGAAAACGAATTTTAACTTGAACCTATATAAGGAATAAAAGATTCTGTTATAATATATAATTAACAATTAGATAAGCTCTTATAGATAAATCAAGATTAAAGACAAAAAAGGAATTCTCACTAAATTATTCTTCAAATAATATCATTATCATTATTTACTTATGTGTTAATTACAAATGACTTCAAATGAGTTGTAATAAATATTTATAAATAATTTTAATGACGTAAACTTATTCTTAATTACTTTGATTTAACTAGAAACAAATGTCAAAACTTTTAGCAATAATCAAATGATCTCTCTTCTAAATTGTTGATTCATGTTTGAATAAACCCTAAACAATTATTTTTCAAATAGATGTAATTAAATTTGAAAATCATGACATTACAAAATCATTCCATCCTATTAATCTAATTATATCAGAAATGATCAGTAATAATATAATCATAATTTGCATCATCAAAAATTATGCATAATTTTCTGCATTTTCTGATTGTATAAATTTTCAAAATTTATTCATTAAAATTCATTAATTTATAATTAGACATTCAGCAAAATACAAAAAAAATGACTTAAAACTTTAACAATCAAACTTAAATTACATTAATGACTGAAAGATATAATGAATAATATGAAAATAACAAAGAAACAGAAATTAAAATGCAATAAGGATTGAAAAAAGATTTGACAGACTGTGTCACTAAAGTAGTTGGAGAAGTAGCAATGAAAGTTTGCTTTGCTTTAACAGTTGCTTTCTGTATTGGATGTTGATAACTTACCCAAAAATACTATGTTTTCTTGACTTTTATATTTTATGTTTATAGTACTTTAAACCTAAAAAAAAAAAATTCTTATAAATTTAGTCTTTGATTATACTAATTTTAATGATGGAACTGAATAATCATATTTACAATTTATACTTTCCACTTTGAATATTGTATATGCATGAAAAAACTAACATATTTTGTTTACTAAAATTTATGATGTAATTGTTAGCATAAAAAATTTCATGATTTCAAAAAATGTCTTAAATTTTTTGAATCGGTTTGTCTCTAACCTTAATTCTAATAAGATTATTTTGCTTCACTTCCATAATAAGAAATTTAGTAAAGGAACATCATTTTTGAAAATTTTTATAATAGTTATAGTATGAAATTATTTCTTTTATAATTAATAGTTAAAAATTATAATCCTCTTTTTGACTTATGAAATATAAAATAGATTATACTTAGATAATTGAAGCATACAAAGTATTTTAAATAACATAAGAAGTTTCAAAATTTTGATAAAAATATTTACAGTTTTTGTTAAAGAAATAAATATATTATAATCTAAATATATCTTCTGTTAGGATTATAGTTTGGATAAACACACCATTGAATCTAATTGTTGATTTCCAAAATAATCTTGATTAATACATTTGTTTAATTGATTTATTTATCACAATTACAAATTATTAATACTCTATTAAATTAAAAAATACAATTTTTATTGATTTAACAAGAAGAATTTGTATGCTATCTAATTAATTTAATAAAGTTTAATTTTTTGATTTAAAATATTAGGAATTTATAAAAGAATCTAGATACATAAAGTATAAAAATTATTATTAAAAGATTAGTTCATTATCCTAATTATTACTTTTAAAAATCATGAAAATATTAAAACCTATAAATACCAAATTAAGAAATTAGTGTATAATTTAGTTTATAATATAGTTAAGAATATAATATTAAAATATGCAATATTATTTGAAAACTAAACCTTATCAGAATCAATTATTTAAATTGTCTCTTAACTAAAAGATTAACATTATAATTTATTCTACTTATATCAAACAATTAAGAATATAGTATAATTGTGTTCTATATAGAAATGATTATTGATTTGAATTAAATTTTGATCAGTTTGGTTATGAATTACGGTTGAAGAAAATTAGAAAAAATAAAATAATAATATTAATGTTTCTAGAATAGCATGAGTTTTGGTTAATCATATAATAAATATTGATTATTCTGTCAAATAAATTATAATTATTTGAAAAAAGATTTAAATTCACACACAGATTAATTAATCAAATTTATTTATATCTTAATAGAAAAGATGATTTCATAAGAGAGAGAAAATAATAGAGAAAATAGAAACTTAAAAAGTTTAAAGGCCTTGTAAAATTAGAGCTTAAGCAGATAATAAAATCTAGAAGAATTAAAATTATTTGATCATTCAAATGATTCCAATTTTGAATCCTACAACTAAGATCATGTATCATGTGTCTTGTAACAACATCATTGTACGAAAATTATGCAACTTCTTAGATATTTTTGATATAACTGAAAACGTAGACAGCGTTTATTCGCTATAATTTATGATGGATAAAAATACAAATGAAAATGAAAACCTAAGCGAAGAAAAGATGAAACTAATTCGATATACAATTAAGAAAAGGAAAGAATTAAATAAAAGAAAGTCGAAAGGAAGAGGAAAGAATTTTTCGAATGAGGAAGATTAGCGATTATTAAACTGTGTTAAAAGGAAAGGACCAAAATTTCATAAGTTCTTCAGATAATTTCCAGGAAAAACCCCTAATATGTTAAAGAATAGATATTATAAATAACTAAGATTTGCTTGGGATCACATATCAGATAAGTATTTTTTTAGATTATTTAAGACAAAATCATCATTTCAATTTTCTACCTAAAGAGCAAATGGCAATAATCTAAAAAGACTTTGGTTAATTTAAAAAAGAGGATATTGAAAAACTCTAATTGTTTCCAGAAGCTAAAAAATTACTATCTAATTTTTTAGGCTGTTTATCAAGCGTATTTATAAATATAAACTCCATCTTTCTATAAGAGAACATATAATGAGCATTTTAATTCCAGTATTAGATACCAGTATTTTATTTAAATAAATATATTTGAATATCAATCGAGACATTGTCTTTTTATTTAGTTTCAATATGTTTTAAGACACTTCTACTATCAATTTCATCAACTCATAATTTTACATATGAGAAACAGATTTTGAAAATATTATTATTTATTAAAAATGTATCGAATCTTTTTGAAAGTTTTACAGAATTTGAAGATAAAAAGGGAATTAAACTTAATACCATCTATATTATTAGTTAATTCCAGCTAGCTTAGATCAAAAAATGAAAAAAAATTATTGAAACTATTAATTAATTAAGAAAAAAATTAACAATTTATATTATCTCATAAAATAGCGTTTTTTAGGTCTTGATAAATGTTATAAAATTAATTAAAGTTGTCTAATCAAGAATTTTATTAAATTATGTCATTCTAATCATATAGAATATTTGATAAATAAAAATAAGAAATATTAGAAGTTTGTATTTGATTTTTTGTAGTCTTTTAAATTATTTTTTATGTATGATTTTTAATGTATAAAAGATAACATGATTTTTATTAAATATTGCTTAAGACATATATATTTTTTATTTTTATTTGAAAATCTTAAGGAAATTCTTAAATTAGAGCCGACTTGATCGATATTTAATGATTATTAATAATGTAATTGTATTAAATATAATCTAAGTTTTATATTTTATTCATTAATTTTGTTATAATATAGATTGTAGGGTAATAATTTGAGTAAACATAAAAGAATAATTGAAGTAAAAAAATGAACTTTGTATAAAATAATTTTTAATAATAAATTTTCTCTCTAACGAGTATAGATAGATATTTATAATGGAAGAGAATAAGTCAAATATATGAAGATGTATAATTACATTCTAATTTATTTATCAAGCTTGTTGAATTACATAATACATAAACACATAGCATAATAAATTCATTAATTTTATGGTACATCTTGTATAAATTTATTTGAAATAATTTTTCTTTCACTTAAGGGTGAAACTTCAATAACTATTTACTTTTTAACCTAAGTTATCCTAGTTGAGTTAATTTTATATTCTCTAGTTATGATTCCTTCTTCTTTGCTCATTTTTCTTCCAGTCTAAGGAGGAACATTTATAAAACACAAATCCTTCTTAGATTTTAGCTTTGTAGATGTACAACCCATATATTATAAAATAATTTATGTTTTTTTAAGTGCTTTTGATTAATAGTTCAATTAAATTAATAATTAATTTGATCAATTATATTATTTGAAATTCCAAAATTTAATAGTTAATATGTATTACTAATTAATTGTTAAATTTTTGTGTAAAATAGTATTACCAAAAATACTTTCTCAAAATTTTACTTTTAAGATCTCTATTTATTATAGTTAGATCATGTAAATAAGCTAAGCTTAATTAACACTTAAAAAATAATCAACTTGACTCTTTTTATTTCTAAATATTCTATTATGATATATTTCTATCTTTATTAATTAGCAAATTCTTTAAATAGCACTATTTATTCACAATCAAGACTCCTAATACCTAATCTTCTATAGAAAAATACAGGAGATTTTGAGATTGCTTTTAATTGGTGAAGAAATATGAAAATAGAAATCTACAAGTTTAATTATGGCTATATAAATTAATAATAAATTTAAATCTAATTGATATAACATTTAGACAATCTCGAATTTAATTTAGATGTGGTCAATTGAGTCTTTCCTGTTCCAGAATAGTCTCTAACATAAAGGACAAATGGTTCTCTCTCTTATTTATGGCTTCAATAAATAGTTGAATTCAGTTTAATTAATTTACTAAGCACAACATCTTAACAGTCGCTTTTATATTAGGTTTATTCCATTCTCCATTTCGCATAAATAAACATGATATGGGTTTCTCCTAAACTCCTACTTTCACGGACTTCATACTAATTGTCACTATTTTTCATTTAGCCACTCTAAATTCTCCAAAAATTTATTAATTGTCTTGAACCTATAAAAAAACTCATTATCAAACTATATGATATTCTTTACTTTCATCACTTAATCAAATAACTTACATATAGTAATTATATAATATCTCTTCATCACTTATATGATGGCATCATTTTTTTAAGGCACTATCTCTCTGGTGCAAATAGCAAAATGTTGATATACAGTTCTAAGATTAAAATGATTTATTTACCTATTTTCATTATACCCAAGATTCTTTTGAAATTTAAATTTTGATTTGAGCATGTTGATTTAAATAAGAATATGTTTGATCATTCTATTATTTTTGGATTGTGAAATAACTAAAGACATGCTTTTATTCAAACCAACAACTTTCATCTTATATACATAAATTGTAAATTGTATGATCCACTTTAATAATATTAAATTTGATATGCAACTTTACTTTATATAATTGAATGATCTAAAATCTTTTCTTGATATAATATAGACAGTGAAAAATATAATTATTTTAAAAGGTTAGGATGACTATTTATAGATATGTTACTGGGATGTTTATATTACTAAAGCATTCCTTTTATTAATCATTCTAAAATATTCCTAATTAAAATTAATTACATTAGGGCTTCAAAATGTTTATTTTAGTTTTCAAAAATTCTTAACAAAAAATTAATAAATATGATTATATCAAAAGTCATTTAATAATAATTAATAAGGCTATGACTAGGATATTAACTATTTAGTCATCATTACATAATTAGCAAAATCCCCTATCAAAACTTTCGTCACTCCATGTTGCAAAGAACTTTGAATTTAAGGTGCATGCAATAGGTGATAATTCAGATATAGAAGCATTCTTACAAGTAGCTGGAACTTTTGAGTAGTCAATTTGACAGGCTTATAAAATATTATAAGTCTTTTGTCTTTAAAAAATAAAAGAACATTCAGAAATAGATTTATGATCACATTTAGTTTGAATACATTTTTAATTATCAATTTCCCAATAACATGATTCAAAAAATCCATGACATTTCTATTGGGATTTTATTAAAGTGCAATCAAAGTTTTAGCACTATTCATTGATCCATAAACAATATTAACCTTCATTAAAATATTTACATTCTGACTAAGTTGTATATAAATTACATTCCTTGTACTCTAATTTATAACATTGCTTTGATGTAGGATTATAGAGTCCACAATATATTGATTATTCTCTACACTCATTGTCTGATGTAGCATTTAATAAACTGCAATCAATTAACTCTTCGCAACTTTAATTCATATAATTATAATAGCAATTCTAATTTAAGCGACAATTAGAGTGATAATATAATTATGTACAACTTTTTGTTTCACAATTATTGAACTTCCATTGACATTCTATGTTTAGCATGCATGAATATTAATTTTTAATTTGATTGCAAGTACAACCATATTCAGTCATAGCAATTCTAACAAATAAGAATTCAATGAGAATGATAAATTATATCATTTTTAATAAAATATATTAATTTCATGTTTATTTTTATAAATATTACATTATTTTATATATTATTCATTCCATACTAGCCTTCTTACGTTCATAAATATTAAGAATAGAGATCTTTTCACCTCCCTTCTATCTACCTATTTTAACACCTCTCATCATAATTCTCATTTTTCTACCATCAACTAATTTTCTATTGAATTCAAGTTTTCTCCATTATGTCATAAATGGAAACCATTGTCTTTTAGCTAATTATATATCATTACGCTGGATTCCATACTGGGACACTATATTATCTAGCTCTATTTTAGCCTGAATCTAATCTCTTAATGGCCTTCATTCCATTTCTTAAATTACCACCAAAGGAAATTCCGAATATACGAGCTGCCACCAGATCTAATTTTTATGAAGGCGTCAAATTATCCATTTTATATGAAGATCTAACAGATGGTGAAATACCAAGTCTAAAGTTAGGTAACTTAATATGAGGCATAAATATAATATAATATAATAATTAAAAATTATGAAAGAAAAAACAAGAATTATATTAGTATCTTCTTTTTGTATTCAGGAAGTTTAGTATGAAGAAGTCCATTTTACTCTTTTGCCATTGATCCATTCCCCTTCTCTATATAATCCACTTTTTGAATAGAATGTTCCTTATCCATTTTCTTTCCCATCAACCCAATTGCCTTTATACATTGATCCATCTGCATATGTGAAATCTCCAAATCCATGTTTTTTATCTTTCACATACTAATCATTATAATAAAACTTACATATCCATCATAACATCTACCATCAGGCCAAGTAAATGTCCCATATCCATCCATTTAATTATCTTTCCATTATCCATCATATTTACGACCATCTGAAAAATTAAACACTCCTTTTCCATTAAATTTATTGTTAACAATTGAACCTTTATACCTTTGTTTTAGCTGAACTAATACTTGGATCCATCTGAAAAAACAAACTCGCCGAATCCTGTCTTATTTCCATCTACAAACTTTCCTTAGAAACTTGTTCCATCTGAAAACTTTTCTATACCTTCCCCTTATTATTTATCATTAACCCAATGGCCTTCATATGAATATCCTGAAGAAGTCACTTATTTCCCAAATCCGTTAGCCTTATTATCTTTAAATTCTCCTTCATAATAATCTCCATTCACAAATATCAATCTTCCATAACCATCCATTTTATCATTTTTCCAAAATCCTTCATATACACTTTTATCTAAAAATATTGCTCTTCCTTTTCCATGTCTTTTACCTAATTTCCATTAACCTAAATATATTGTTTCATCAACAAGTAAATATGGATCTAAAAATGCTGCACTCAATTCTTCTTCTTCATAATTTTAACTTTCCTTCTTTAAATATTCTTTATAATTAAAGTTCCCAATTCGATATATCAAAGAATTTATTGAAGTAGGATATTCACTTTATTTTCTATCTATTTTTACACCATCAGGAGGAGAATGATCTAATACAACAGGAACTTCTTCTATCTATTCCATCTATGCAACTTCATCTTACGGTTACTAATGAACAATTGTAATTTCAATAGGCTCTTAATGACTTCTCTAGCTGTCGTTTGTTATAGATACTGGAACTGTAGATCTTCTCTTCCGATGCTTGAACTCTATTTATTGTTTAAACCCAATATACATCTGTAAGCTCTTTGTATTAAAATTGCTTTTTAAGTGTAGATACTTAGGATAGATAATTCAAATTTTGGCATAACAATTTACAATTAACTCTATGTACCACAACATGTTCCCATTATTTAATTAAATTATGTAAATAATTCATCAAAATAACTTTTTTATTCTCAACTTTATCTTATAGATTATTTGTATATCAATGAAAATTATCAAATCCTTATCTCCACATGTATTTCAAACCTTAATGATTATTTTTTCCTTTTTTTTCAAGAAATTTCTTAAATACATAATTTCACATTAAAAAGTATTTATATATATACCTGACACTTTAAAATATTGTGAATTAATGGTTTTATAGAAATAAATTATATTATTATGTAGTCATAAATAACTGAATTACTTAGAATTATTTGTTTAATTTCTAATTTTAGTGTAATATAATTTACTAAATTATTCAGTATTATCAATTATATTGATAAATGTTAAATAGCTTTAATTAGTTAATTATTAAAATAATTGTATTAATATGGAAAAAAGTTTATTAATTGCAGGATTCTTATCATTACTAAGTGCTTGCATTTATTTTTAGAAAATAAATGAATTAAGTGATGAATATTAACTAAAAATTATTATCAAATATTAAGAATGGCAACAAAAATATAATAAAAGGTATCTAAACCAAAATGAATAAATGTATAGATTTTCAATTTACTAATAAAATATAATTAAGATAGAAAATTTTAATTCTTAAAACAATAGCTATAAGTAAAAAATTAACAAGTTTGGTGATTTAACAGACTAAGAGTTCTATACAAAATATTTAACTTTATAAATGCCATAAAGATTATAAAATATCCCAAGAAATGAAGAATCTTTTGTAGTTTAAAATGCAATAGATTGGGTAGAGAAAGGAAAAGTTCCAGCAATTAAAGATTAGGGTGATTGTGGATCATGTTGGGCATTTTCAGCTGTAGGAGCTTTAGAAATTAATACTCATATCTAATTTAATGAAATAACTGATTTATCAGAATAAGATTTAGTAGATTGTGCAGGTCCTTATGGTAATGCTGGATGTGATGGTGGATGGATGGAATCTGCTTTGGATTATATTATAGATAAAGGAATAGCTGAAACAAACATTTATCCTTATACAGGATAAGATGGGATTTGTAAAACAGTTATAAGAAGATTCAAAAGAGTAATTGGATATGTAGATTTAGAAGGATGTCAAAATATTTCAGATGCTTTATAATAATAATCAATTTCTGTAGGAGTGGATGCAACAAATTGGAGATTTTATTGTATAAATATTATAATATTGATTAATAGCAAGTGGGGTATTTTCTGATTGTAAAAAATATTTAAATCATGGAGTAGTATTAGTAGGAATAAATAAGAATGGTATTTGGAAGATTAGAAATTCATGGGGATAAGATTGGGGAGAATAAGGATACATAAATCTAGCTTCTGGAGATACATGTGGAGTCTGTTTAACAGGATCATATGCAATTTTATAATGAAAAAGCTATATAATTATATTTGTATTTTTTAACATGTTCTCATACTCATTCACTTCCTTAATACATAGCCTCAATTTATTTAAGAAAATGTTCTTTTGCCTTATGTCTCATCAATTTGAGTGTGTTACTTGTTAAACCATGAGCAATAAAGGATGTTGGTTCAATGTAGATTTTCTTAACATTTTCCATACCATTCAATTTTTCTGTTTTACCCTAATATATAATATATTATGGATACATATTTAACCATTTCATCAATAAAGTATTTATTGACTTTGTCATTTGCACATAAATTTTCAAATGTACCTTATATTCCTAATGTATTTGCCAAATCTAAGACAAATTGTTTTTCAGGGACAAGAATACCTACACAAAAGCTTTTTGTTGAATCTCCATAAACAAATACTTCTGCAATTCCTTTGACTTTCAAATATACTCCTTCTACTTTTTCAGGAGCAATGTATTCACCTTGACTTAACTTAAAAATGTTTTTAACTCTATCAATAATTTTTAAAGATCCATCTGGTCTAATCAATCCAATATCTCCAGAATGCATCCAACCATCAGCATCAATCATTTCTTTAGTTTTTTCAGGTTCTTTGTAATATCCAGCAAATAATCCATTTCCTCTTATACCTATAATTATATAAATTAATTGATTACAAATTTCTCCTCTAGGTGTAAGTCTTCCTTATTCATCTTTATCAGTGCTGAAATAATTCATTTATGGAACATCAACAACTTTAAATTCAATATTTGAGAATACACCTCCTACATGTCCACTAATAGGATCATCAGCTCTACTAATAAATGAACCTCCACATCCTTCAGTTTATCCATATCCTTCAAGGAATGGTACACATACAACACATTTCAAGAAATCTACAACTTCAGGTGACATTGGTGCAGATCCAGATAACATTAATCTAACTCTACCACCAAATGCTTCTCTAGTTTTTTTGAATACTAAATTATCCCAAACTTTATGTTAAACATGTCCTCCATTTTATAAATAATACATTTTGCTTGCTAATCCTTTTTCAAATAATGTTTTTTAATATCCTGTTGCTTTATCTGCTTTTTCTTTAATTGCATTATATAATCTTCTATACAATCTTGGAACACTTACAAAAATAGTTGGTTTAACCAATTAAATATCAACATTGATTTTTTATACATCTCCACCATACATACAAATTGTACAACCAAATCCAAGTAATGCTGTTACTACAACTCTTTCTAATACATGAGGTAATGGTAGATAACTTAAATAAACATCAGTTGGATATAATTAAATTCCTTAATGAACAACTCCACCTGCTACTGTAACAAAATTTAAATGTCTTAACATAACACCTTTTGGCATTCCTGTTGTTCCTGATGTATAACTGAATGTAAAAATGTCTTTTCCATGAACTTCTGCAAATGGATGTATTTTCTCCTTACCAGAATTTAATACTTCTTCATAATTAAATACCTTTATTCCTTTTTCACCAAACTAATCTAATATAATTTACTATTACCTTTTAAACTATCTCTTAAGATAATTCATCAAAAGTAACCACATTTTTAAGTGCATGATACTCTTTTACTTTTAATAGAGTATCAACACTTGTATTTGAAATGAATAAAGTACTCATTTAAGTGTGTTCTAAAATGTAAGGAATACTTTCCAACCCTAAAGTATCATATAAAGGAATCATTGTGTTTCCATACAATGTATTCGCTATGTCAAGGAGTAGCCATTCTTCTCTGTTCTTTGAGAATATTCCTATCATTCTTAATTCTTATCCCTCATACACTACTGGATTTGGAATCAAGTTCAAATTCTTTATACCTGACCCAAGTTATCTAAGTTCTATTAAAGATCTTACTCTGCAACATCTCTGACTTCAATGTAAGTTTTGTAAACATAATTTCTACTATTCTCTCCTGACACTACTTACTTGCCCAAGCATCTATTGTTAGGGAATTTACGACAAGATCTTAAGAATATACCTTAAACTGTTGTTTCTCCTTCAAAGTTATCTAGAAGCTTCTCTGTATTATTAGGATTTCTATAGACATGACTTTCTCCATCTTTCTTCTCTCCAACAGGTACTGCATAAAATTTAGATTATCCCTATCCCATATTTAAAGATATTTAAATTATTTCTGAGTTATTTAATTCACATATAGACTAAATATTATTATTTATATATTAAAAGAAAATAGTATATCATTCCACTTAAAATATTATCTCTTCTTTAGAATTTATATTAATTTATAAATTATAATAAATCAAATGATTAAGAAATAAACTATCTTAATGTAATAATTAATTATTGCTCAAATTTTTAAGCATTTCCTGATTTATATACCATGATATAATATATATATAATTCAAACTAATTGAAGTAGTTAATATTTGACAATTTTTAATGATTCCTCATTTTCATCTTCCTGATAATATTCAATTAAATTTTACAAAATGTGCAATTAATCAAAGAAAAAATAATTTATCTTAAATTTCAACTATATAAAATAAATACAGTTTTATACAATGTAAGTTTTTGTTAATACGCAAAAAAAACTTAGTTAATGATGATATGCAAAAGTATTACTAGCAAACAACCTCTCTTAGAGATTAATTTCCATATTAACTTAAAATTAAATTTCTTAAAAAAGGAAAGAAATTTAGATAGCATTTCTGAATAGACAAAAAAATAAATAAAATTTGAATAGAATGATGATAGTTGAAAACTATTTAAAAATAAAAACATAAAAATATAGAACTTAATAAGTTTATGTTTTTTTTAATATTAGTAATTCCTATATAATTAGGAAATTGAACTATAAATTAAATATTATACTAGTTGAATTTAAGAATTAAGCAGTGAAATGATTGATGACATGAAAATAATTACTCATTTTAGATACAATAGAAAATACACCAAGAAGCTTCTAATTATTCATTTCAACATCTCTAAATTTTAGATTTTTCACATTTAAATGATTGTGCTTACTTTTTTTGAGAAGGTAGTAATGAAAAATGATGAATAAATATTAACTATATCAAAATAATCCAAAACTATGTAAAGATTATATCCTTCTGATTTTAGAAGCAAAATTTAATCACGAATAAGTAAATCTCATTTTAATCACAATCAAAACAAGAATAGTATTAATATTGATGTTATATAAAAGTAATTTTAAAATAAAAATATTTATTATTCTTTTTGAAAAATAATAAAAAATAAACCAATTCTAAAAAGTTTAAGAAATATTTTAATTAATTTTAAAAGGCTGATATTATATCCAGAATTATTTAAGACTTTTCTATTGAATCTGATATAATAATTACAATAGTGAGTCCTAAAACTCATATTAGACCGATTGCTTAACACAAATTCGATAAGTTAAATCAATAAAATTGATACTAATATAAAAATTATTCAATTTAAATTATAATTAATTTTTAAAATACCTATATTAAAAGTATGGTTATCCATATAAATTTCAGATTATATTAGAAAGGTCTAACAACTACTATTAAATATTATAATTAATTATATTTGTAATAAATCCTAAGATTATTTATTAAGATTTATTTTGATAATAGAATTAACCATATTAATGTATTTGATTTGTTTCTTAAGCATAAGAAAATCAAAGGAAATTAGAATAGATTATGAAATTTGATTTAAACGTATTTATTTAAAGTTTCATTTTTAAATAATTTTTTATATATTTAATTATATTTTTATTTATAATTATATAAAAGGCAATAAATCAGTTATCTTTATTTCTCATAATTTAATACAATAATTCTAATAAAACATACTTAAATCTGTCTTTTTATTCTTAGTGGCTTTATAAAAAATGAGAAAATATTTTATTCTACACTTATAAAGCTTAACTTCAATTTATTTCAGTTTTTAAAAAATTTGACTTAGAAGTCTTTTAAAAATAAAATTAAATATATTCATAATATTTAGGAGATAGAGTTCTATCAATATTAATTTTATATATGATCCAATCTGATAATCTAAAATAGAAGCATCTCTTTGATAATTCAAATAACTTTTTTACAAAGACTTAATCATTTTTTAAAATCCAAATCAATATTATATATAAGTATTCCTATCTAAAATCATTATCTATATGATTTTTTTTAAAGAAAAATGTCAAAAAGTTGATTTTTAAATTAAAATTTGAAGAAACTCGTATAGAGAGTTAAAACCTAAAAAAATAAATGAAGGATTATCTTTAATTAACACTCTCTTGATATTTACCTTTTTTTCATGATTCTAAAGATAAAGAAGAAAGTAGCGAGCATTCCATAAATTATTTATATATCAAGATACTAAATATAGAATAACTCCACGTTAATTTTAAAGGTTCTTCTGTGTCTAAGCAACAAGATATCTTGGTATTTGCTCTTTCAACAACTCTAAATGCTGTATATTTTATCATTGAGAAATATAATTGAAAAAAGAAAGAAAAATTTTGAGATGATCATCAAAGAATAATAACGATTTTAGGGGAATAATCAATAAGAGAGGTATTATGAACAATTATTAGCTTCTTGGTAGAAAGTTTGTAAATTTTGCTGCAGGTTCTTCATAACATAATAAATAAAAAATCTATTTTTTAAAATTTATTTTGCTTATGAATGGTAATTCAAAAAGTACTGATAAAAAAGGTTTTAATTTTTTTTTTTCAAAAGTGATTTACCTGTAGCTCTTTATATCCACTTTAATTAAAATTGAAGATATAATACTAAAATCAAATTATTAAAATGAAGACATAAATATTGCTCATAGCTATGATATCCCTTTCATTCCAAGCCTTGACTGCCACAAAAAAATGTGATTGCACAGAAATTGTTTAATCAGCTGACTGTAAAGGTGGATGCACTTGGTCATCAGCTGATTCTTCTTGTGCAGCTAAAACAGTTGATTGCGCAACATTAACAAGTTAACCAACATGTGATAGTGAATCTACATGTGCTTGGAGTGATACAACTTCAAAATGTGCTGCTTTCACAGCTTGTGCTGATTACACAGTAACTACAGCTGAACATTGCTATTACAAAAACGATACTTGCATTCCAGGAACTGCTGGTGCAGATGGAAAAACTCCATGCAAAACAGGTTCAGTCACATGCTCAAGTTTCACAAATGCCTCAGATTGTAACGGTAAGTCACCAAGTGATACAACTATGTGCTGGTTCAAAGCTGGTGCTTGTTCATAAATTGATGTTTCAAAGTGCTCAGCAATCACAGACTAAGATGTATGCTCAATTATCTGTAAATGGACTTCAGCTGGTGCTTGTGCTGCATATACATGTGGAGATATGACAACTGCTGAATCTTGTGATACAGTATTGTTAGACGATTTCTCAGGTGTGAATATTTGTACTTTTAATACTTCTACCACCAAATGTGAAGATGCTGTTGATGTTAGTGCTTTAACATCATCAAATTGTCTTGATAAAACATCAGGTTATTATTATTGGGATGGTAGCGCCTGCTCAGAATGCTCAGGATCNGAAAAATTTTGAGATGATCATCAAAGAATAATAACGATTTTAGGGGAATAATCAATAAGAGAGGTATTATGAACAATTATTAGCTTCTTGGTAGAAAGTTTGTAAATTTTGCTGCAGGTTCTTCATAACATAATAAATAAAAAATCTATTTTTTAAAATTTATTTTGCTTATGAATGGTAATTCAAAAAGTACTGATAAAAAAGGTTTTAATTTTTTTTTTTCAAAAGTGATTTACCTGTAGCTCTTTATATCCACTTTAATTAAAATTGAAGATATAATACTAAAATCAAATTATTAAAATGAAGACATAAATATTGCTCATAGCTATGATATCCCTTTCATTCCAAGCCTTGACTGCCACAAAAAAATGTGATTGCACAGAAATTGTTTAATCAGCTGACTGTAAAGGTGGATGCACTTGGTCATCAGCTGATTCTTCTTGTGCAGCTAAAACAGTTGATTGCGCAACATTAACAAGTTAACCAACATGTGATAGTGAATCTACATGTGCTTGGAGTGATACAACTTCAAAATGTGCTGCTTTCACAGCTTGTGCTGATTACACAGTAACTACAGCTGAACATTGCTATTACAAAAACGATACTTGCATTCCAGGAACTGCTGGTGCAGATGGAAAAACTCCATGCAAAACAGGTTCAGTCACATGCTCAAGTTTCACAAATGCCTCAGATTGTAACGGTAAGTCACCAAGTGATACAACTATGTGCTGGTTCAAAGCTGGTGCTTGTTCATAAATTGATGTTTCAAAGTGCTCAGCAATCACAGACTAAGATGTATGCTCAATTATCTGTAAATGGACTTCAGCTGGTGCTTGTGCTGCATATACATGTGGAGATATGACAACTGCTGAATCTTGTGATACAGTATTGTTAGACGATTTCTCAGGTGTGAATATTTGTACTTTTAATACTTCTACCACCAAATGTGAAGATGCTGTTGATGTTAGTGCTTTAACATCATCAAATTGTCTTGATAAAACATCAGGTTATTATTATTGGGATGGTAGCGCCTGCTCAGAATGCTCAGGATCAAGCAGTAATGGATACATTTTGGCATTCATTGGATTCATTGGTATGGTTATGTTCTGATTCAGTATTAAATATTAAATTATCGATCAATTATTAATTAAAATATAATAAATTTCTAAAATTATATAATAAATATAAAAATTATAATACTATTCTTATATTAATTAACAAAGAAAGCTTTATCAGGCTTAATTGTCAATTTATAAATTTCTAAAATCTATTCTTTGGAAAATTATTATTCATAATATAATTTAAAGCATTATAAAATATATTAATAAATTTTGAAAAATGTTATTGCTTAATTAGATGATCTGTTCTCATTCATTAAGAATAATCTATTATTATTTAAAGTTAGTAAAATTAAAGTTCATTTTCATTCAACCATAATATAAAAACTAAACATCATAATTAATAAACCTTTATATTATAACTTAATAATGAATATAAACAAATAAATAACATAATACTATTTTATTAAATGAAAAAGTACTCTTTTCAAATAAGAAATCATCATTTCTCCGTTTCAATATTTGTTACTGCCTCTCATTTGAGAATTAGTAAATTCTTTTCTAATATTTTATGTTATTTCGGTATCAAAATATCAATATTGAAATAATGTTATTTTTCCCTTTCCAAAAACTTATTTTCAATTAGAGCACACCTATATCTATATGAATATATTTATTCAAATTATTGATTGAACATTCTTTGTAATTATTTACTCTAAACAAGAACTATAAAATAGAATATTATTTCTTAATAATAAGGACGATTCTTTTAGAAATGATGAGAAGAGAAGGTTTTGATATACGCTATAATTTAAGAATGTCTAATTTCTATCATTACAATTTTTTCAAAAAGAGGAAAAATTAAAGAAAAAGTGTGTAATTGTTAAAAGTATTAAACTTTACAATGAAAATAGAGAATATTATCTGAGAAATCATTTAAAGAATTACTATCTATATAAAAGCTTTTAGTAGGGCAAGATGACGACATTTAAAGCAATAAATTAAATAAAAAATCAAATTTTTTTCAATTAATTTGCTTATGTAGTAAAAAATTATATTTACTGATAATAATATTTTTTATTATATTTTTTCAAAAGTGATTTACCTGTAGCTCTTTATAAACGAATTAATGCAAATTAAAATTTTTCAATACTAAAATAAAAATATTAAAATGAAGACATAAATATTGCTCATAGCTATGATATCCCTTTCATTCCAAGCCTTGACTGCCACAAAAAAATGTGATTGCACAGAAATTGTTTAATCAGCTGACTGTAAAGGTGGATGCACTTGGTCATCAGCTGATTCTTCTTGTGCAGCTAAAACAGTTGATTGCGCAACATTAACAAGTTAACCAACATGTGATAGTGAATCTACATGTGCTTGGAGTGATACAACTTCAAAATGTGCTGCTTTCACAGCTTGTGCTGATTACACAGTAACTACAGCTGAACATTGCTATTACAAAAACGATACTTGTATTCCAGGAACTGCTGGTGCAGATGGAAAAACTCCATGCAAAACAGGTTCAGTCACATGCTCAAGTTTCACAAATGCCTCAGATTGTAACGGTAAGTCACCAAGTGATACAACTATGTGTTGGTTCAAAGCTGGTGCTTGTACTTAATTTGATATATCAAAATGCTCAGCAATCACAGACTAAGATATATGCTCATTGTTCTGTAAATGGAATTCAACTGGTACTGGTTCTTGTGCTGCATTAACATGTGGCGATAGGACAACCGCTGAAACTTGTAAAACAGTATCGTCAGACGATTCCTCAAGTGTGAATATTTGTACTTTTAATACTTCTACCACCAAATGTGAAGATGCTGTTGATGTTAGTGCTTTAACATCATCAAATTGTTTTGATTAAACATCAGGTTATTATTATTGGGATGGAAGTGTCTGCTCAGAATGCTCAGGATCAAGCAGTAATGGATACATTTTGGCATTCATTGGATTCATTGGTATGGTTATGTTCTGATTCAGTATTAAATATTAAATTATCGATCAATTATTAATTAAAATATAATAAATTTCTAAAATTATATAATAAATATAAAAATTATAATACTATTCTTATATTAATTAACAAAGAAAGCTTTATCAGGCTTAATTGTCAATTTATAAATTTCTAAAATCTATTCTTTTGTATTATTATTATTTAAAATTCTTTCTAATATATACTAATTATTTATGATTAAAATTAAATTGAATTGAATAGTTCCTTTAATTTCAGAGATTTAGATTTTTGTAAACATAAAATATAATTATTCAATAAAAACATTAATTCATCATATAATACATTATTTAACAATAAACTAAGAATAACTAAAACATTTTATCTAAAATTTAAATAAAAAGCTATAATTAATTTAAAATCTAAAAATTTACAAAAAGATATTATCATATTTAAGAGGGAAATCTTTATGAAATTCAATATTTTTTATATTAAATAAAAAATATATAAAAAATCATTATTATTTATATACTTTTTATCATTTTATTTTTAAAGATCCGTATTTAAATTTATTATTTTTTTAGATATATTGCTTAAAAAAACTTAATCAGAAAAAAATTAAATTTACGTTTTAGCACTAATTACAATTACTCATATATTGTTAAACTAAACATAATCAATTAAAATAAACCAAAAAACTCTCTGATTGATTAAGAATTATTAAAAAGCTCTGATATTATAAAGCTTAAATTAGAATATAATTTGAATACTATAGCCAATGTTATTATTTAAATTAGAATTCTTCCTACCACTTTTGATTCTGAACCATTTGTTTTAAAATCCACTTTAATGTTGGACTAATAAAGAAAATAACATATTAATTTCATAAATTTTATTATTTAATCAATAAAAATTATTGGACAATTTAATTTTAATTACTTAATAAAATCATTTATATTTTCTGATTACTAGAAAGCTGAAATAAAATTTCATAGTCTATGCAAAAAGAATAATAAAATGTTAAATTTATCAATATTTAATTAAAAATTATGATAATAATATATTATAAAATAATCATTTCTTAATGAATTTTAAGACTCTCATTTTTCCACTTTCAAATCCTAATAACAATACTAATTATTGGTTTTGAAATTCTCTTTAAAATATTAATCTGCCTGTTAATATTTAATCATCAAATTAAATTCCTGATAAAAGTATCTTATTATTTAAATCTTAAAATTTAATTTTTGTTTCATTATTTTCTAAAGCAGCCAGCATAAATCCTTCCTCTTCCAAACCATATTAATAAAAAACATGAAAAATACAATGACAAGTTTAAGAAAAGCTATAAACTAATTTATAATTATTCTCAACTACATTATCATCATAAGTATATACATAAAATCCCCTATTAGTACTAACACATAAAGTATCCTATTCTTAAAAGTTATGTAGAATTGTTGCTTATTCTATACAATCTCTTACATTTTATAATTATAAAGTCTACTTTTTGACTCCATCTATTAATCCAAAAACATCAATTTTATTTTTATTACATCTAAATATATGTTGATTAGTTTCACTCATCAATAAATCACCTTCATTTGGAAACGAATATTAATATCTTAAGACTTTTCTAATTTTAGCATCATTAAAATGCCAAATAATTACATAAAAACAATTTTATTTACATCCTCCTGATGCTATTAGAAAGTTTTAACATGGACTAATTAATATTCTATAGAGTGTCATACCTTATTTAGGACATGTAAATTGTTTATTTTTAGAATTCATACTCTTACTTGAAATAGACATAATAGAATTATCACCAAATAATACAACAAATTCATCTTTCTTATCTGCTACACAAACATATTTTAAATTTAAAAATGGTAATGGAGCAATTGGTTTAAATTCTAAATAACATTTACTATATTTCCATAATTTAATTTCATTAGGATGTACAGTAATTAAGTTTTCTGAATTTAATGGTAAAATTTATAAAATTTTAGGAGTTGATTCTGGATCATCTTCATTTGTTGCTAAATCAACTTCTACTAAAACAATATTATGAGTAGAAGAATTAGGTCTAATACTCATTTTACTATGAGATAACATTCGTTTAGAAAAACGTTTTAAAGCACCAGCTAATTTATTCATATTTCTTTCCCATAAACCACCTGTTAATCTTAATGCTTTTATTTCATCTTATTATTAAGTTTATAATGATTAATTATGTTATAATTTTTATCTTTCTCTTTCATCAGCTAAAAAGAATTAATCCACAATTTCACTAATTTATCTTTATAATTCTTTTCTTTCTCTTTCTTCATTATATTACATTGCCATTTATTAATCAACTTCATCCTTAACCAAAAATTCTTAATGATGTTATTTAAATTAATCTAAGTTTTAATGTCTCACAAGTTTAAGTAATCTTATCATTTTATCAAATGCTTCCTTTCTTGATGTTGAACTTAATTTAATTTTAATTTTTTATTCAGTTGTATCTTCTATAGATCTACATTCTTTTTCAACCTTTTTTAATTATTTGATTATATATTTCAAATATTTCATTCTCTTTTTTCTTTATTCACTTTTCAATACTGAAATTTCATGAGTTGTAGTTTATTGTACTCCATGTCTACGTTTAATCTTTTCTCTTATGTGATTAATATACCAATCTAAACTATCTGTTTTATGATTTGGATGTACAAAATGTGCACATTCTTAACAACATAATTTTTATAATATTCTGCATTCATTTTCATGACATACAACATCTAATTTACATTCCCTATTATTTTCATGTGGAAATGGTCTTGGTCTTATATAATTAATAGTCTTTGTTTATCCATCATTCTAATCATCATCATCTTATTATAATAATCCAGCATTTTAATTATTAATATAATCTTATTCATAAGCTTTTCTCATAATTCTAATCTATTTATTATAATTCACTATTTTGTAATTATGTACTTCCTAACAAATATTAACAAATTAATATAATGATTTTTATTTGTATTATAAAATGCTGTAAATAAAATATTTATATTAATTATATTTCAATAGCAATCAGTGATATATTTTTCATATCTTCTATTATTTCTTTAATTCGTCATCACTATCTAGATCAATTATTTTATTTTTTTCTGTATACTACAATAATTATTCTATCAGAACTTTTATTTAATATAAGATTTCATTTTTATCTGTTTTATCTATAGGTTTATTAGATTTCTCTTAACAAATACTGAGTATCATAAGTAAACTATTGCTAATTTGTTTTGATTCTTCAAAAATTGATTTTAAATCAACCAAATATTTTGAACGTTCCTAATATACTAATTCTAACATTTTAACAATTATTTCAGCCTCACTCTATTCTATTGGATTTAAAACTGAAGTTCTACAAAAATTGTTTAATTAAGTGAAACTAGTAACACAATAAAGTTCAACAAGTTGTTTTTAAATGTATTAAAAATATTTTCTTAATATTGTATCACTAGTATCGAATTTAAAATTTCCATTTCTTAATTTCATCAAATTTATTATTTATGGAAATCCTGTTTTATCTTTAATCATTTTCACTATTACTTCCTTCAATACTATAACAATATTAACTTTATGATTTCTATTCTATTATCTTTTCTCAGTCATTTGTTAAGAAGTTTCTAATAATTAATTAAATAAAGCTTTCAATCGATTAATTTAAGGAGAACTCTAAATTTTTTAGGTTTAGGTTAATAAATTCCTTATTTGAATTTAATTAACTTCAATTCCTTTCATCACTAAAATTGATAATGTTGAATCTATTAAATCTTATTCAGGTATTTCTAAATATTGTTTATAATATTGCAATTTTAATTCTAGAAGTCCTTGTTCTGCTAATGATACATTATTATATCCTAATTCTTCAGCCACTTTCTTTACTTACACAATCGATAATATAGTTCTTTCAAGATTCTAATCTATTCTCAATTTCATTTAATCTCCTGTCAAATATAAACAATTTATAAAGCAAGGTAAGGGAATCTACTCTTGATTACAAACAGCAATTAATATGAATATTATTCTTTCGTTATGCTATAATAAATAGATTAAAGTAGGAGGTTAATTAATTTAATAGAGTTTAGTAGAAATTGGATGTTAAATTTATTAATCTAGCAAATATTTGATATGATCTATATTTACTCTTGTTTTAATTCTTTTTACAACTTCATATATGATATCTTGTAAAGTGTATAAATCATCAGTATGAGTATCAGTAATATAATTAAGTTCATCAAGATGTGCTTATGAAAATTCAATAGTATATTCATTATTAATTATTTGGATGAAATTCACAAATTTAGGAAAAGACTTGTCATATTTAATGATAGCTAATAATTTGCCTTTTATTTTTTATTCAATGATCATTTATTCCTTCAAAAACTAATCTAATTATTTGAGTATTAATCCAAATTTAATAATGTTCTTTCTGTCAGGAATATTGTTATCAATCTATTTGACAGCTAAAAATTCATTGATGATAGGATCTTGTATAATATCATTCATTTATTTAAAGATGTGTTTGTAGGTTGAATACATTTAATAATTAAAATTGAATTTGGATTAGAGATGCCTAAATATTTTGGTCTTATTTTCTTGTTTTTATTTATATTCAATTAAATTAAATATATATTTCTCATTATTTTTATCAAATATATAATAATCATTTCTTTTTAGGTTATGTTTTTTTTAATTTTTTAATTTCCTCATCTTCCAATTTTAATTTCTATTGTTCATTTAATGATTTATCAAATGCCATATATTTAAATACTTTTCCAGAATGACTAAAAGATGTACCATTAAATGTTATTTCAACACCAACATCATGTATTCCTGTAGGTAACTCTAATTCAGGAATTTATACCACTAATTTACTTTTATTTTTGAAAATAGCCTTTAAATAATTTAATATTATATACCTTTTAATTAACAGCCATGTTGCCATTGAAAATGAATTAAACTAAAAGAGATTCAGTATTGGCTAGATTTTCTCCATAAACACTTAAATATTGACCAGCCTTTTTGAAGAAATAATTGATTTCTTGTTCTTCAGCTTCAAAAATTTTCTAGAGTTCATCTTTTTTCTTTTATAAATCAGCCCCTTATAAATCCTTAAGAGGATCTATCTCTTATTCTTCTTAATGAATTAATTATTTCTTCTATTCTTCTGGTAATTTTTCATCTACAATAAAAGGACCCAGACGTAAAACTTCAGGATCAATATAATAAAATGTTCCAATAGGTATCCATTCAATACCAGAAAGTGTCAATAATGCAGTGACACCACTAGCTTTCACAGCATTAAGTAAGTCTGGAGTAGGTTATTATCCACCTAAGAGCCATGATAAAGGAGGAGCAACAAAAGAATAAAACCTATCTTATTTATCCCACATTATTTCAATTAATCTTTCTCCAAAAAGAGTTTTAAAGATAACTCTTTTATTGGTTGTATCAAAAAATCCATCTCCAATTATTTTAACAGAAGCTCCACCCTCAGACATAACATTATCAGGTTATAATTCTTTTATTTAAATATCATAAAATCTAAAAACCATAGGATTACCAGTAAATTATTATCCATTTATACTTACATCAACATTAAAATTAAGACTATCTGTTTGTAATTAACTAACATTAGGGATTGTGCATGAGATCTTTCCTTTTTCATAAAAGCCTTCAACACACATCCAATTTTCTTTATCTAATTCAGGATCATTGATACTAAGATCTAAAGGATTTAATGGTTTGTTAGTGCTTTGTTTCATAGCAGATTTATCTTCCTTCTTTTTATTTCTTGGTTAGAATCCAATATTTAAATGTTTCATATATGATGCAGTCAAATCATCTATATTGATATTAATAATAAGTGTGGTTCCACCTTAAATAGATGCACATTTAGGATAGAGTGATGAAATAACAATCTTAGATGAATACACTAGAAACTTCTATTCGCATTCAACATAGACATTACCATCGAGAGTGACTTCTACAACACATTCAACTGGATATTTATCAATATGTTCTTCAAAATTTGGAGTTGTACATCTAAAACTATCTGTTAATGAATCATATTCACATCCAACTTCAGTATATTAATCCCCTAATTTGAATCTAGCACTTTATCTACCAGTATCACAAAATCCTGTTCCTATCAAACTAATAATGGTTCCTCCTGTAGAAGGTCCATGATTAGGTTTCATTGAGATAGTTCTTAAAGAAGCAAAGAAGGCTGCAGCTTATCCATTTGCATACATATTAGTAAATTTACGATCTTCTAATACTATTTTCCTTGGTAAATCTACTAATTTATCATTTTAATGACCAAGATTACCTCCACCCCAACTCCATAGACCTCCTTTTTAATCAATTGCATATGTAGTATAATATCCACACATAACCTTACTAAATCCAGGTAATTATATTCCACTTATATCTTGCATTAATCTTTTAGGATAATAACTACTTTTCTTATCTTTATCTCCATTTCCTAATTGTCCTCTTTAATTAAATCCCCAAGTATATAATTCCCCATTAGATGTAACAGCTGCAGAATGTCCATAACCTCCTGAAATTGATATTACTTAAAAAGATGTTTCTTAAGGCAAGAATTTACCTACTCTTAATTCACTCTAATTCATTGGTTATTCAAGCTAAAAGTCTATTCTTGATGGCAATTGTTCTGAAACCTTTCTTCCTGTTCCTAATTAACCAAATCTAGCTTCTCCCCAACCATACAATATTCCTTATTAATCTACAGCTAATGAATGATATGCTCCACATGCAATCAATTTAATTCTGTTCTTATAAAAGAAACTTAAAAACATAGGAGATGCTGCTGTTTCAACATCCTTTCTGATTCCTAATTATCCTTCAAACCCTCTACCCCATGCAAATAGATCACCATTAGTTAATGCTAAAGTATGATACTCACCACATGCTATTGTATCAACTTTTGAAATTCTTATAATCTTTTTAGGTATTGATAACTCTATTATTCCACCATGTCCTAAAGCTCCATATTCTCCATAACCATAACTATAAACATCTCCTTAATCTGTCAAGAAAACTGTATGTTTTTTTCCAGTTACAATAGTTTTGATTGATCCCTTGAAATCAAATGATTATAAATTATTTGAATCTTAAGAAAATGTTTAATCGTACTCATCATGTTCAGGTGAATGCAATGTTGAAATTATTCTACAATTAATCATCATAATACCCTTGATTATCTAATCCCTCTTCAATTACAAATAATTTCCTACAGCCACCACAAAGACTGCTAATAAGTTTCCCTTTAAACAACTTCAAGTTTTCCAAACCTCCTTGAACATCGTCAGTTGTCAAAAATACTTCTCCGAACGTAGGAAGTTGCATTAAATAATTTTAATTAAATGTTAAGAGGAGGAGGAGCATGTGCCAATTCGCGTCAACAACAATCTTTGTAAATGAGTACTCTACTCATTTCGAACCAATTTGAGAACATACTCTCTACTAATATATAGTACATCTCAAAAAATGCCGAGGATACATAAAACAATTATAAAGAATTACATTCTAGTCTCTAAGCATTATTATCACTTGATTATGAATTAAACAATCTAATAAAGTCCTAAAATTAGCTTAATAAGCAAATTGCCAATCTAGAGAAAAGTCTTTAGACTATTTTAGAATCGTGCCTTTAGCTTAAAAATCCTTAACTTCGATACTATGCGGTGAAATTTGCCGAAAAACTTTCTAGAACTATCTTTTGGCATTACTGTTCAGCAAAATCGATTAAAGATGGTATGTAACAAAGCTATATCAATACTTTTAATAAAATTGAAGCACTCAATAACACAGAAGAAGGATTTTACAAAAATTTAACTGAATATGAAATCACTATATCTAAAATGATTTTTACTATATTACCTAACGATTTTCAAGAGGGGCTGGAAGTCATTGCTCTATTTAGTAGTATTAATCAAATTTTAATGAATGCTTTGCCTAAAACAATAAGAGAAACAATTAAAGGAGGCATAGTATAATCAATAAGAGATGCCACAAAAGTATAATATCGTAAAATCTACAAATAAATCTTTAATATTGATATTATGAAGTGGTGGGTCCTCTCAGAACTTAAATAAACTACACATACAATCAAAGAGATTATTAATGAATTGCAAGAATTTCATAAAGAATTATAAAAATCAGATTATTATGTTTAATAAGCTTGGATTATAGCTATAAGTGAAATTGTATCTTATACACCTAGTCTTTCAGAAGATTAATTGTCAATGGAGTAATCAGACATATAAGTCCTTATTGATATATCCTGCTTAAATAAAATCAAAGATGAATATAGAATCAGTATCAATTTAGCAAAACTAAAATGTACTTAATGTTAAGGGCTTTATGAAAAGCTACCTACATTAACTATCCTATAATAAATATAAGAATAAGTAATTTCAAGAGATAGGTTTTTTAATATTCTTTATGATAATAAAGAGGAAATAAAAGAGTAATATAAATAAGAAACAACTGTTAAAACTATTTTTGAATATTTATTTACTTTATTTATAGATTGTGATATTGAAATCAATATTGATCTAATACGAAAAGTTAATTAACAATATATTGAACTTAATGAAAATATTTAATTAATTAAATAAATAAGCTTAAATAAATGGATTAGAATGCTTGAATCAAAATAATTTACAGATCCAGTAGTATTTGGTGAATTTGAATAAAAATAAAAATAAATTAAGCATTTAATTAATAAAGTAAAAGGGATCTAAAGATTTCTTATTTAATTGGATTTCATTTTTTCTTAATGGAATCTTTTAGAATAAATTACTGAATCAGATTAAAAATAATAAACATAATAGGCAGTATTTTAAGAAAATAAGCAAAATTAAATTAATTGTCAATAAATAAGTTAACTTAATTTAGAAAATTTAAAAGAATTGCTTTTATTAAATATTAATTTTGATGTATATTTTGCAATATTAACTGAATTTATTGAAAGACAATACACAGCTGTATTTCAAGTTATTTAAACTACTTAATCAACAGATCCTGTATTATAATTATATAAATAATATAAAGATGTTTAGGATATTGTTTAATCAAGTTTTCGTAAAGTAAATGATAAAATATTATAATTTAAAGAAATATTTATACATATTTCTGAAAAATTGAAATAAATTGAATATAATTGTATATTGAAGTTTTATCATGTCTCATTGAAATTATAACATTTAGATTTACCAAATCAATAATTTGAATTTAGAAATTCAGATCATTAAACTCTTTTCTTTATATAAAATTATGAAAAATAAATTTTAAAAGCTTAATTGATTGAATTGCATAAAGAATTTAAAGAATTTGTTGCTAGTAGTTAATTTTAAGATTATGATTAAGCCAAAATCTATTTATAAACTATTTAATAAATTTGTAAATTTATGGAAAGTTTATTACATTAAAACAAAAAACTATTCTAACATTTACATAATTTTAAGTAATCTATATAAATTGAATCTGCTCATGGAAAATTCAATGATTTACTTAATTTTTGGACTATGATTTTGTAAATAACAACAGAACTTGATTAATAATAATAATTTGATTAAGCTGTATTCCTTGTCAAATTTGATTAATTATAACTTAAATATGATTAAATACTAAATCTTAATCAATAGATTAGATGGCCATTTAATTAATATTTGACATAATACTTTAAAATGCTTACTCAATTAGAAACAATTTTCTAAGAATTAAAAACATTTAAAACATATGATGCTACTTCTGATCCTAATACATAAAATAGATATGATAGTTTAAGATTAAATCTTAAATAAATATGTCAAAGCTAAATTTAAAGAATTAAATCAACTCTTGAATAATATAATTAAGGAGTTGATCAATTATAAAATAAATTAGATAATTAAAATCATTTATCAATTGAAGATCTATTAAATTAATTAGTTAATATGTAAGAGGCTTTAGATGATACTTTAAATTTAATATAAACAAGACTTTCATAACCTTAAGCCTAATAAAATGTTGGATCTTTAAATTTAATATAAAATTAAAGATTAGCAGATTTCGAAAATCTATATAATTATAAAATTAATACAGATATAATTGTAGTAGCATCATATATAAAATTTAATTATAATTTCATAGAATAGAATGCAATAATGGAATCATTAAGAATAGATTTGAATGATGATAAAAATTAACATGTTGTTTAATCAGGAATCATTTCTCCACCTATTAGAATTGTTATGATAATCAATTTAATAAATATTTGGAATTGTTGTTTAGGATAGGAAGAGTATGATATAATAAGTAAATTGATATTATAAATGCGTTTAAATGAATCAAATCAAATGATTAAAAAAGAAATTAAAACAACTTATAAAAAAGAATTTGGATATATTATAGATAATATATTTTAAAATCTATTACCAACTATTGAAGATGATTTAAGATAGAAAATTAAAGAAAGGAATTAATTATCTTTTTAAATTAAGTATGAACCATCTTTTGAAAAATCATAAAATTTAAATGAAAAACTCAACGATCATTCTAATTAAATTTCAACTATATTTTTAAACTTATAAGAATTAGAATAAGAATATAATTATCAAATATCCTTTTATGATTAATTAATGAATGAATTCAAAAAAGCAGATTAAAGTACTTCAACCTTAGATGTTTCAGAGATTAAGTTTTATTAAGGAAAGCAATTAACTGAATTATTTCTATTGAGAATGGATTATGTTTCAAGAATGATTAAGATTTAATAAGTGAGGAATACTTATGTTGAATTAGAATGTTAAAAGAAAAATGAAATTAAAAAATTATTATCAAAAAAGGAGAATAAAAATGGTATTATAGATAAATTTTTAGAGGATTAATAATAAAATTAATTGTTAGTTTTATAAGGAGAAGCTGGTTCTGGTAAAAGTTTAGCTATTAAAATGATTGAAGAATCTGTTTGGAAACGAAATGATGCTATTAAAATTATACCTATTATAATAAAATTGTCTGAATTGAAGGATCCAATTCATAATGCAATAACAGAAACTTTAAGATCTTTAAATTATAAATTTGACATGTCTCAAATAGAACAATTATAAAAAGATGTAAATTCAAATAAAATGCAGATGTTGTTCATTTTTGAAGAATATGACAAACTTAGTTAAGATCAAATAGGAATCAATCTATTTAAATCTAATAATCTTAATCAATGGAAAACACCATCATTATTGAAAACTCCTAAATATATTATTGCAACAAGAAGTGAATTATTTAAATATTCAAATCATCTTAGATGGATAGATAATAATGAAGTTGATTATAATTATTAAAATTATTGGAATCTTAAAATAATGCCATTTAATATGGATTAAAAAAATTAATTTCTTATTAAATTTTAAGAATTAATAATAAGAAATACAGTAATAGATTTTTATTAGATAATGTGTGAATTTGAACATCCTGATCTATTGATATAGAATTTTATATTGTTATGGAAGAAAATTGATATCAATTTTAATGAATTAAGTATGGAAAGTTCACTAATATCATAACCAATTATAACTAAGATTATAAATGCTTTGAAACAAGAACCTAAAATTAAAAATGGTAGTGAAATTGCTATTCAATAATTATAAAAGTCTTTAGAGTAATTAAAATCAAGTTATTATTATTAAAGAATGTTAGAATAATTAAATCTTTAATAACCTATTAATAATCCATAAATTTTGAATGTTTTTATTTCAGCATTACCTAAATTATTGTAAAATATGTCAGATCCATAAAGAATTAAGAAGGAATATTTTGATATTTATTTTAATGATACTTATGCTATTAATTGTGATATAAAATTATGTTAATCTCAAATTGAAAAAGATTGGGATCAATTAGTCAATAGTTAATTCTTTAAATTTTATAAAGCAGATGAACCTATCACAAAGATTTAAATATTATTAGCATAAAATTTTGGTGAGGATTAACAATTTTAAAATAAAGTCTTAAGAATCTTTGAAAAAATGAATGTAACTCATTATGATTTATATGAGTAATATCTAACAAATTTCTTTGATACTGCATTAATTCATGTATAAATAAGTCAAAATAGTATTGATTTAGAAGCATTTTAATAAGAATAATGGAATTTCTGTTTGAAATTGGCATAAAAGTTATCATAACATGAAATTTTTACTATACATTTTAATAGATAAGGTTCATTAATAAAAGTAGGTGGATCTGTAACTGAATGGGAAGAGTATTTCAATGATGATGAATATATTTCATAAAATAACAAATTTTCAAAAAAATTACTAAGGAATTCAATACCATTAAGAGAGTAATTTTCAATATATGCTTTTGAGAATAAAATCATTTAAGAATTTTTAGTAGCCAAAGCCATCGTTACTTAATTAGAAGCATTAGAATACTAATCAATTGATGAAGTTATGTCAAATAGTATTCTTATGTTTAAGACTATTTCTAATTAATTTTTTTAAGGAACAGTCAACTTTTTAGTTCAAAAATGTAGAAGAAGATTTAGTCTTAAATAATAATTAATTTCATTAATTAGATCATCAGCTTAAGGTTAATAATATTGTATTTTAGCATCAAATGCTCTTTACTTATTATAAAGTATTGATGGAGTCATTAAAGGTCTAGATTTACAAAATATTAGATTAAAAGATATTCCTATTGATAATTGTCATTTTTATAATTGCAATCTTTAAGGATCAGAGTGGACAAATATATCTGTAAATTCTCTTACATTAATGAAGAATAATATGAAAAATATGAAATGTTAAAATTTCAAATTAAGCACTTATTCAATAAAAAATACTGTATCTAATCCTAAATTCATTAGATAATTTAAATCTGGAAAATCATTCCTAATAAATGAAAATAGTATTTAGAATTTAAAAGGAGGTACTATTATTCAAGGGTAATTTGACAATTGTTCAATAGATGAAATAAAAAATAGATTTTATGTTAAAACAAATTTATCTGTTTATGCATTATATGAATAGAATGATTAGATAATGGCTGAAGAGTTAAAAATTCCAAATGTTCATTCAATTTCAGAATTTGATTAATTTATTATGCTATTTTAATTAAAGAGTGATGTTGATGCAACAATATTTGAATTGAATGTAAAAACAAATGAAATTAGATATTAAATACCAATTGATTAAAGTATTGTTACACTTTACAATATTAAAAAGTACTTTTAAATGTATGGTAATTAGATTCTATTTTAAACAAATACTTAATAAGTTTCAAGTATGCATTATTAAATAGAAAATGATTAATTATAATTTGACAATTTAACAAATTATGTATCTATAAATAATAATGATCAAATAGTTGCTATAAATTATTATAATAATTTGGATATAACAGTTGTATCATTTAAAGAATAAGATTCAAATTAAATTTATGATATAATTTATGGATCAATAAATTAATTGATTGGTAGATTCATAATATTAGAAAATTAAAAAAATGAATTCTTTTATTTGAAAAATAATAAATTATAATTAATAAATTAAGAAACATTTAAAATGATAAATGAATGTGAAATAATTAATGTAAAATCATAATTATTACATAATTATTGTACTAAAATAGATGATACTGTATTACTATCTTTTATTGATTCTATTGTAATATTGAGTCTTCGTCCATTTGAAGTTATTAAATTTATATAAGTTGATGCAATTGATTTATTAGTAAATTTATAAACAAATCAATTGTAAATATTGACTAATACTGAAATTATAAATTATGATCTAAAATATTTAGAAGATAGATAAAATTAAATTAAGAATTTTAATTATTAGTTTGAAGAAATAGTATTTTAATAGACTTCTCCTAATTTTTTGGGTAGAATTAGATATACAAATGAGATTGTATTAGCAATATTTTAAAAGAAAGATTTTGAATTTAGAGTATTAACAAAATCAAATAGTCCTAGATTTTATTTAAGTAATGATTCAAATTCAGCTATAATTTGTGAAGATGATTGTACAGTTCATTTTGATTTAAAAACAAATAAGTAAATTAGAATTGTAAATTTATAATATGAAAAAATTTTATGGATAAAAGATAATTCAAATTTGTTTTATATTCAATCTGGATTTATTGAAGAGTATAGAAATTCTGTTATTACAATAAAAAATAAAATTGTTAGTAAATAATCATATAGATCAATTAAAAAAGTTTAGAGTACTGAAAATAAGTTGTATATTACAACAACTACAAATGATACTATAGTAATAAATGAATAATTTGTTTAAGATTTCATTACAACAAAATAAATGATTAAGAAATATAGAGAACATTATATAACTGAAAATGATTTAAGATATGAAAGTAAGATTAGGAACACAATTACAATAAATTATTAGACCAATAATAGAATAAAAGATTTTTGGATATTTTCAGAAACAATTTTAATTAAAGAATAAATTGATAATAGTGATATGGGATATTTAGTATTATTAGATAAATAAAATTATAAAATAATAAGTGAAATCTTGGTTTAAATCGATTTTATTGCTTATACAGAAGATGCAATTTAAATCATTTCAAATAGATTAATTTGGCTAACATATTCAGCATTTGATTTATAATTATTGCAAACCAATATATTAAATGTAAATACTATGTTTGTTGCTTCAAATCACTTTAATTAATTGATGATTATTTCATAATATTCTGAAATAACTATTTGGAATACAATCACTTATGTTATAGATCACTATTAGAAAAATGTTGAATTGATTTAATATATAAAAATGATACCAGGAAATTAAAATGAATATTATATTGCAGATAGAGATGTCTTAAAATTATATATTTAACATTAAATTTGCTTTTCAATTCAATTAAGTAAAAAGAGAATAGATTTAATCACAAATAAATATGGAGTACATCATTATATTTATTAAGTTGAAGATGATAAAGTCATATTAAACTGTATGAGTGAAGATAACAAACTTATATTTTGGAAAAAAATAGTTTTTGAATTAGATTCAATAAGAGAATAGATTGATTGCTATGATAATAGAGATAGTAGATTAGTATTTTTTGGAGGATCTAAATTATAATAAGTTTAATTGGATGCATTTGATGATATAAAGGTTCTTGATATTCCAGCTAATTTTAAGGGAGTTCAAATTAAATATAATAGGGATTGTTCAACAATATATTTTAGATCAAATGAAAAGATCTTAGTTATTGAAGCTATGACTATGAATCTAATTAATTAGGTTATTCTAATGGAAATCTTGCCTTAACCATTTGACTTTAATTCTTAATTAGATATGTATTGCTAAAATTAAAATAACATTATAATCTAATAAGAGAAGAATGGTTATCATTATATTTATAACTATAATTAATAAGCTGCTTCTGGTTAATTGGATTTAGTTACTATAGGTAATTATAATCACTTTATTGGTACAAATTCATATGGATTACTCATTGTTGATGGTTAAACTGGAATTATTGAATTATTTTTACCTAGAATAATTAATCCTAAAAATAACTTTGTTTCCTATATTAGATAACAATAATTCAATAAATCTAATATAGTTCAATGCCAAATTTGTGACAATTTATTAGAAAATTGCCAAATTATATCAAATAATGGTGAGAATATTGGTGAATTATGGAAGAAGGGAGAATAGGTTGATTTATTGATATCGTTTTGAGAAAGTATTTATTTTATAACAGTAAAGTAATTAAATAAAATTTATTCATAAATAATATTAATGTCTCGCTACATCAATTTAGTAAAAATTTCATATCATTGTTGAAAGTAAGATAAGAGTGTTCCATGTAAACCATTAGAAGAGTTTGATATTAAAATATACAGAGAAAAACTAAATGATAAATATGGAAAATCACCATTAGCATCCTAACATACTTAACCTATATCTCCTAAAAAAAATAATAAAATTGGGTATTCAATTTATTCTACAATAGTAATCCAAGTTTTGATTTATTGCAAACTAAATTAAAAGAATTTTCAAATAAAAAAAGTACATCACCATTAAAATCAAGAATTGATTAAAGTTCTCCAAATAGAGCAACAGGAATTTAATAATAGTAAATATTTCAAAAATAAAAGGATTTCTAAAATAGGCACATTAAATTTTACATTACCATCTAAATAAATGAGAATTGGATCTGTTTATAATATATAATAGTTCAATGGTCCAATTAGTGAAGATAGAAAAGTTAATCCTATTAGATTTGAAACAGAGATCTAAGAAAAATAAACATTCTCTTAAAAACCGTAACGATTTTAAATAGTTTATAAGGATTACTAATATGATTCCTCTTCATGAAATTATGAATATGAGAAATAAATTAGAAAATGCATAATTAAATGTTAATTAAATTAGTTCTGCTTATACAAGTGAAATGGTTAAATTGGCCTCTGTTATTAATTCCTAATTGAAAAAGAAATCAAAATGATTTATATTAACTTATTATTATTACATCATATCATGTAATATTATATTTGTAGTATACATATTATTTTTTAAATTAAATCTTTTAAATCAAATCAGCCCTGACATTAAAATATAAATTATGTAAGACTTATCAATTCTTTAAGATCTCCTTCCTTATACATGGCCAGAACATTAAGATTAGAGAATTATTCTTATCAACAATCTTAAAGATTAATTTCATTAAATTTTGTAAGCCAACCCATGTTTTTATGAAAAAATAAGAAGAATTAAATAAAATTTAGCCTTGTAAGGTCCATATTATGAACTTATTGAAGAGTTTGAAGAGGAAACTTATACACACCATAAATTAAAACATATTTTATAATATTTACATTTTGAAGGAGAATAAAGACCCACAAATTTAAAATAATTTTTAAATCCACAAAAATTATAAAAATTAATTTGTGATATTTATAGAATTTTCAATAGAACCATATTAGATTACTAAGCTAAATCAATAGTTTATCCTTAATATTTGAAATTAAGTTTATCAATCTTTAAAAAAATATCAAATCAAAACTTTTTAGATTAAAATACATTTAACTTTATTTGTCATTATGCTAGTAGAAGATGTTATACATTAAGAAAATAATGGTAAGATTTTGATGTCAATCAGCCAAAATATATTGGATTAACATAATGTTTAAAGAGAATCTAAAATTGTAATTAACCTAGAATAAATTCTGTATTATAATATTTTAATAAATAACAATTAATTTTATGCTTTATACTTTATTGCATCATATAATGTGAAGAATTAATTGCTATTTCATTAGGAGAATAAAGTAGTAACTCTTTAATCTATCATGATGATGAATTGATGATTCCATAAGAAATATCTAGTGAAGATTTCTCTTGGCATTATAATTGTTTTACTTAAATTCGAGATTATTTTCCTAGATTAGCTTAAAAATTAAATAAAAGAATGAAAGTATTAAAAACTTTGCCAATTTACAATGAATAAACTAGAATTTAAATTTTTAATTATACTTAATTATTACATGGATATCAAACTAATTTTGAAAACACCTTATCTGAAGATATAAAATCCAATATTAATCAAATATTATAATACTAACAAATTGATTGTGATCCAGGACTTGTAATCTTGGTGGCCAATGCCAAAATGTATACTTAATTGATGTATTCACTCATGTGAGGTAGAGACCCATCAAAAATAATATATATTTATTTTGATTGTTTTATTATATCTCATTAAAGCAAAATTTTATTTTCAAAATAAACAATAAACCATAGAGCACATCGAAGAAATGTATATGTACTATTAAACCCTGTTTGGATCAATATATTATGATATTTATTATGTATTAATCATTATTATTAAAATAATTGAATTATCAATATTAATATTAGCTAATTAGCCCTTTATTTGATAGTGGTTTATGATTTATTTATAATTCTTTTTTCAAAAAGAAATTTGTACACTTCAAAAATAAAATGATTAAGTATTATAATAATCTAAAAATTTAAAGTAAAAATTAGGGACAAAATTAAAAATCAAATATTTTTATATGATATTTTTGATTATCAGATTTTATAAAATATGGCCTTTTAGACTTACAAATAATCATTTTTATGCTTTTTAAAACACCAATTACATTAAAAAAATCATGACATTTTCTTAACTTTTAAAATTAGATTTATAGAATAAAATTAGTAATAACATACATAATGCAATAACCAGATAAATAGATACTATTATTTCATAAAAAAATATATGATTAATAAATTGCTGCCTGAATTTCTGAATCTTTGTACAAGCTCAATAATTAATAACTTACTTAAATTATGATAGATGCATGTGAGTAATTAGAAAATAATCTGCTAATAAAGTAATACTCAATGGTCATACTATTTCAAAAAAAAACCAATTATGTTACCTAGTTCATGTATTTCACTGAAACATTTTCCAAAATTAAAAAAATGACAGTTTAATGCAGAAATCCTTTCTAAAAAATGAATATATGTTTTGAAATTAAAAAAAATTTATTCTAGTTCTAGAAAATAAAATGAATCGTAAATAAATAATTAAAACCTATTCAATAATATTTTACATTCATTTTTTTACATTAAATTAATTATAAAAATAATAATAAAATAAATTATCTAAAAAAGTATAACTTATCACTGATGGATATACGTAATTTTTTATCCTAATTTCATATGCTTAATAATATACTGCAATAAGAATTATAAAGTTTTGTAATTTTAAGTATTCAACTTATTTTTACTCTACCTCAACCTTATAATATTCAAAATAATATTATAATTTATGGTTCTAATCGTTTTTTTAATAAAAAGGCATATGTAAATTGCTAAATAAAGAATTTTGAATGTAAGACCTATATGAAGATGATATCTTTAAAATTTTTTTGATTGTTTATAGATATAATAATAATATTATAATTCAAGACTTAATAAAAAGTATAGATTAAATTTCAACCATACAAAATCACTTCTACTTTTATTTCTATTTGATATCTGATTCAATTATCTCATCTTCGAATATGGCATTACGCATAGAGATTTATTAAGTAAAACTATCAATTAAGTCTAAACTTAAATTCAAGCTGAAAGAAGGGTAGTAAGATCTTTACATAGATGTTTGAAGTCTATTATCATCATTCTAATGATAACTATTTTCTAGTTCTTGCTTAAGTATTTTAGCAGAAAATGGATAAGGTTGATTTGCATGATCCATAGTTTATTCGACTTCAAATTCATCTATTTCATTTTAATGACTTTTAGTGGTAGCAAAAGATCCTCCGATTTCTTTCAACATTTATTATTAAGAAAGTAATTGAATTGCTTCATCTGATGATAAACGTTTATTTGGATTAACTTCTAAGAGTCCAAATAATACTTAATTAAGAGCATTAGTATAAGAATTATGATAACTTTTCATAAAATGACATTTTTTATTTTATTATAGTAAATCTTTTGTTTTATCAGATTCAAATAATGGTTATCTATTCATTCTAAAATGATTAAAATAATAATACAATCTATAGAGTATGACTCCTATACCAAACATGTCTACTTTGAAAGTAAATCTAAATTTCTACCCTTATTTGTTTTCATCATGTTATAATATTTCAGGAGCTATATAACCTGGTGTACCACAAACAGCAAATGACACAGATTGAGTATTTGAAATAGCCAATCCAAAATCAATTAGTTTAAGAGAACTAATAACACTAGGCTTACTAAGTACGATATTTTCTAATTTAATGTCTCGATGGATGTAATTTTCAGAATGTAATGAATTGATACCCTATAATAGTTACTAGTAGTTTATAATTATCAAACTTACCATCAACATAATCCTTATTGAATTATCTGGAATAAGATCAGTTTATAATTTTAAAAATCTATGCAAAGTTTCACCTTCTAAATATTCAAAAATTAGATAATATGTTTACTCTCCTTCAAATAAATCAATCAATTTAACAATATTTTTATGATTTTAAATTGATCTCAATATATTTATTTCATTAAATAGTCTATTCAATCTGTCAGGTGTTTTTTTTTTTGTTATATAATCTTTGCTTATGCATTTGGCTGCATATTTTTATTTTGTTTATATATCTGTTATTAAAAGTACTTTGCATGAGGCTCCAGAACCTATTTATTCATTTGATGTATAAAAGTTGGATATGCTGTGAAAAAATATTCGATTATTAAGAATCGATTTTATTTGTAACAAATTAGAAGGTTACCCATAAAACCATTTGCATGAATTTTAATATTTTATACCAAATGCTTATATGATTCCTTGTTCATTGACTTTCCAACTTATTTTATTTTGCAAATTTATTTCCAACTCATACTTTGCTGGCCGATCCTATCATTTATCAATATGATTGTACTTCTAATCCTATACATATTTTATCTTCTAGGATCTACAACTTATATGTCTAATTCAACAGAAAGTGTTTTCGAATGACTTAGCAGCTGTAAATCATCTTAAATTAATTAAAGTATAAAAGAAACTATAAAATAAAAGTAAAGAATATTAAAACATGTTTACTTCAAATTTTGATTATTATTAACAATTATTTGTATTATTATATGTAAATAACATAGCAAATTATTATGAAACTTAAAGAATAAAAATAGGAATATGATAAATTAAAATTAATAATCAATATAAAAATATATGATATATAAAACTTTTATTATAGTATACAATATTTTCTGATATAAATTATTGAAAAATATAAAGATATGTAGTATATATTATTATGAAATATTATTCAATTAATATGATCTAGTTTTATACAATTGATTTCAAAAATAATGATAATATATTGTAAATTCTGATTTTTAGCAATAAAATGATAAGACTTAGATTTTAGGAATTATATAAATTCTGAGTTTAAAAAGAGTCATATATTTTATCAGATTGTTAATATTAGTGTTTTATAAATAGTTCATAATAAAAATTAGTATTAGAGGTTATGGAAGGTTATTTATTAAAATGGGTTAATCCATTTTAAAGATGGTAGAAAAGATACTTTATACTTAATGATCATATACTTACATATTGTGATCAACCAGGAGGTAGATCGAAAGGACAGATCCATCTCAAAGTAGCAGGCATCAATGAAAGTAAGGATGATGCTTTAAGAATTATTATCAATACAGGAACAGGTTAGATTTTATTGAAGGCATCTAATGTTGATGAAAAAAATAAGTGGTTGCTAGCGTTAAAGAAAAATTAGGAGTATTGTCAAAGACATTAAGTGTTTAATTATGGTTAAAGAATTTAAGAACTTTTAACAGATATATGGACCAACTTTGCATCGTTTGATGAATAGTTGACCTATCTTAAAGAAAAAGTCTCTTTAAATATGTAAAAAGAAATCAACGACATTATTAATCTTGGACAATACTTAAAAAATGGTATTACTTTATGTTGTACATTAATTGAAGAAGAAAAAATTAAATTATATGGGGAATCTGATACAATATATGAGAGTTTTGATTTTGAGAATGAAATTCCATTAAATACTTAAACATCAAATTATACAATAAGATAAGAAGAATAAAAATAAAATTAATAAGAAAATTTCAACTCCTATTAGTTTTTGGAAACTATTAAATTATCAAATCCTATCAAATATAATAATATTAAATATAATAGAGTTTATTCTAGATTAAGTATAACAAATGAAGCTACTAGGAAATGTTTACCTTATAAATAAGATCCAGATGAAAAATTTGCATTCTGGCCATTTTTAAAAGAATGTATTGGAAAGGATTTAACAAGAATTCCAATGCCATGTATACTTATGAAAATCTAATTTAGTATTATTTCATCAGCCTCTATCAGCTTTACAGTTTTTTGCATCTTCATTTGAATATTATGAAACTTTAAAATAGGCAGCTAAGGCTGAAGATCCATATAAAAGAATGGCATATCTAATGGCGTTTTCTTTAGTTAGGTGTATTCTTGGTATAGATTGCTAAAAGAAGTTTTTCAATCCTGTTTTAGGAGAAACCTATGAATTCTTTACTCCTGAATATAAAATAATTAGTGAATAAGTATGTCATCATCCTCCAATTACAGCTGTTCATTGTGAAAGTGAAGATTTTATATTTTCAATCACTATGGAAGCTACAGTAGGTTTTTCTGGAACCAGTATAATGGCTAAATTACCTGGTTTGGTTCATTTCAGAAACAAAAAAACCAATGAATATATGACTTATTCATTACCAAGTATTATTGTTAAGAATTTATTATTTGGGAAAATGTATTTTGAATAAGTAGGTGAAGCCATATATACTAATCACACTACAGGAGATATTGGAATTTTAACTTTGAAGGAAAGAACTAGCGAAAAAGTTTATAATTTATATATATTATATAGGATGCTCATTAAGTAAAAGCTGTAATCAAAGATAAAAATGGTAATATAAGATGTCAAATAAGTGGACATTTTAATAAAGAAATTTATGCCAACAATGAATTAATATGGAAAAGAAATTCTGTTGATCCAGAAAGTAAATGGTATTACTTTTATTCTCAACATATTTTGTAATTAAATCATTTAAATGAAGACATATTAAGAGTATAAATCTATTATTTATTACATAAAGAGTATACCCTAGACTGACAGTAGAATGAGATCAGATATGAGAGCATTAGAATGTGGATTCAAAGATCTAGGTTAAGAAGAAAAAGTTAGGATTGAAGAAAAGTAGAGAGAAAGAAGGAAATATATGGAGGAAAATAAACTATAACATATTCCTAGATTCTTTAAGGAAGAATTTGATCCAATTTCTAAACGAAACTAATGGGTTTATTTATACAATTATGAAAAAGAGAAACATTTAATAGATTTAGATTTATTTTGATTTGATTAGTATTCTAATATTATTTAATTTTTTATTTATTAATAGAATTTCTTAAATTTATTTTAACAATTTTTATCTTAATAATATAATTTATAAAAATTCTAATAATAATAATTTTCTTTTAATAGTAATTTTATATTCAATCCCAATCAGAATCTATTGTTTTTTATGTTTTTATATCTGCTTCACTTAAGTTAGCATCAGAAGTAAGTTTAGTACAAATACCTCTAACAATATCTGCAACTGTTGATATCTTTTTACTATTTCCAGTGTTTTGAGCATCCCAATACTTCATTTATTGATATAAGTTTTTATCCTCTTCACCGAAATGTCCAGGTGGATCATCAGGTTTCTTGTCAACTTAAAATATCTTATATTTCTAAGATTAAATAATCAGATTACTTCATAATTTGTATCGAATACATTTCCTGATGTTAATAAAAAATCAGCAAAATCTAAATCACTTTACTTCCTTTAATGAACCTCCATATCTTCTTACATTTATTTTAATTTGTTTTCTATTTTAATCATAGGGTCAGATACAATAGGAGAAGAGTATTTCTATTATTTTTCTAAATCTTTTAATGATTCTACTACAGACCTTTCTAATTCAATACTATGTTATGATATTCTTTAGGATTCTAATTCATTTATATCTTAATTTTTCTTATCTTGTCGAGGAGATTTAGCTGTCATTGGATGTTCTTGTATTCTCTAATTTTAATTAATATTAGGTAAAACTGCTTAACTTTAAGTTTCTGGTACTTTTATTTACTTAGCCTATTTAGATATAATTAATTATGTTTAATTATTAGGTCTAATTTCTTATTTTCCTTATTTTTTTGGAGTATTTACTGATTAATGAGGTTATACTTAATTTGATTATTATTATTATTATTATTATTGTTATTATTGTTATTATTGTTATTATTATTATTATTATTATTATTATTATTATTATGGTTATTATTCTTATTGTTATTGCTATTCCTTTTTTTTGGTTTATAAATATTCTCCACTCATATCTTTATACTCTTCTGGATTATATTAAAATTGTTCTTATCTTTCTTTAGTTTTCTGTATTCTTTCTTCCAACTCTCTAATTTATTTTCTCATTTTATCTCTTTATAATTCTTCTGCTTCATCAAGATCATTTGCATTCTATTGAATTATTTATTCTATTCTATCTAAATCTGATATTGACATTTAAGATTACTATCTACTAATTTTATTCGATCTTATTCCATCAGATTTTTTGACTGATTATATACTTTAATTAGCTTTAGAATTTGATTGCTATTATTTTTATTGTTTTTAAGCCTTTTATCTAGGTTACTTTTTATTTTTAGTTTATTTTTTAGCAGATTAAACTTATTCTTCTACTTCTTCTTCCTCAATATCTTCATCATCTTCATAATTAATTAAAGATATTTCATTATTAATAGAATACTATTAAGGAACTGAGAATTATGAAATAGCATAACTCTCATTAATTTATAATTGTTATGGATTTTCTTAAATCTCTACCTATTATTAAGATTCATATTGAATAGAGTTATCATTTTCTATTGGTTCATTTAGAACTACTTCTTCATGCTTTTCAGTTGATATATCAACAATTTATTCTTCAACTTTTATACTAGAAAGACTTTAATCTTCTTAATTAGATTTTTATCTATTTTATTCCTCTTACTATTACAATAATAAATATTAGGTTTATTATTGTAATTATTAGTATCTGGTAATTTTTTATATGCTTGATAAAGAGTCTTAAGATCTGTAACTTTCACCAATACTACCTACACGATTAAATTTTGATCTATTAAGTGCCAATTCTAATTTCTTCTAATGATCAGAGTTTTCATTTAAATGAACATTTTCAACTTTAATTGATTATTATAATTGCTTTCTTGTTAAAGTCGTTTATTATCCTTTAGAAATTTTATATTCTTTTAATCTATTTTCTAAACCATCTTTGCGTAAAAAGTATTCATATTATTATATATCTAATGACCTAGTAGTAATTTGCTCAGGAGAATTTAATAGTGATTAATAATCAATAACTTTATTGATTTTAGCATAGTTTTGTTTATTTTATAGAAATTTAAGTGTATATTTTTAATTTTTAAGTATTGAATTGTGTCCTCCTCCTATATTATTTTAGACTTTAGTATCACTGTCTTTATCTTTTGTAAATGGAATATAATCAAGCATTTTAATTAATTTAATTGCTCAAGTAGGAATTAAAATATAAAATATACAAATATACTCATTGCATTATCCAAATCCATTATAAAAAAATGAAGAATTAGTTATTTCTAATTGTCATTCTAGTATTTATGATTGTTTTTACTATAACAAATATTATTAATTAATGCTATTTAAAATTGACTATTCAACTATTGAATAAAGCAAAAGAATTCTAATTACTAATATTGCATAATTTCCAATTTTGGTAAGAATATTAGATCATGATGCCTATAATTTTATCCCAACTTTCTCATTACTAAAAAGAGATGATTGTAAATATATCCAGATATTGAAAAAATAATATCTTAATGATTATCGAGATATTATAATTGATGCAATAGAGTTTGATGAAAACAAAATTGATTCTTTCGTAATTTGATTATACTCTAATTGTAAGTCTGTTCCACCGTTTTGGAACGAAAAAGTTCAAGGATGCCTGTAGACATAATCTCTTTCTCTGCCAGCAGCTTCAAATGTTAATAAATCTAATTCTTAAATTTCGTAAGAAAGGTTGCCATCCATTAATTAGATCTTTCAAGATTAAAAGGTAGTATAAATTAATAATGATAATACAATTAAATTCAATACTCAAATTCTTAAATAGAATGCTTCTAATAATGAAAGTGATTAATTAATTAATAATTAACAAAGATTAAATTCTTTATAATCTTAATAAAATAACAACTCTATAAAGATAGAAGAGGATGATAAAAATCAATAAATTACAAATCATCATATTTTAAGAAATTCAACCAATAGTTTTGAATCATATCATTAAATATAAACTAAAACTATTTAATAACCAATAATTACTATTCCAAATGATTTTAATTAATTTTTAGATCAAATTGATTGTAACACTAGTCCATTTTAACACTTAACACCATCCCAATAACAATCTTAAACTCATTCTCAGAAAAATATAAGTGATAATGCATAACAGGATTTGAGTTTAAGTGATACTACTTCTATTTAAAGATTTGAATAACAAAAATAATCATACTTATAATAAAGTAAATCGTAATTTAATGAAAAACCTAAATTAAGAGTATCACAAACCTTGATAACTCATCCAAAATCAGTTATTGAAAGTTAGAAATATTAAGATTAAAATAAGTAGATTGAATCTTAAATCTATAAATAAATTGTAAATTATTATAATTATTATTACAATATTAGGCAGAATTGAAAATAAGTAAAGAAGCCCTTTCAACTGAGTTATAACAATTAAAATTTAAAGCTTTGTTCCATACTAAAAATAAATAATCAACTTATCAATATCATATATATATCTGGCATTTACTTTTGACTAGTGTTGTATTTTTAATTATAGGGAGTGTTCTTAAAAAAATGATCTCATTATTTTGATTTAATAATTATCAAAGAAAATATAATATAATCATAATCTATCATTAATAGCTCTTGATATATCAGACATAATTATTGTTTTGTATTGTAATTAATAGTTATCCATTATTTTTATTATATCAACTATTTATATTGTTAATCTAATTTTAAGTACTGCATTATTACTTTGGACTTAATTTTAGTTCACAAATCAAAAAGTTATGATATCGAATTAAATTTATTAAGTCAATCAATTAACCAATAATATCACTCTATAAATTAACAATTATCTGAAAATCATCTAATTGCTACCTAGGCTTTATTTATGAAATTAAATGCATCACTAAATTTAATTTTTTTTCTTTTTAATCATTTCCTATAAAATGAGAGATGTCATCAAATATAAAGATATCATACTAATTATTATCCAAATATGAAAAAGAACCCAGAACAGCTAAGTATTCAGAATAGGTTTTAATTAATTTAACATTCATTTGTTATAATGTTTCTTAATAAACAGGAATTAATTTTCCAAATAAAGATGTGTTAGCTAAGAACTTTTCTTCTGAACACACCAAATAAACACACAATTAAGTATCTACTATTTTATAGTATGTGAAATATTATAATAGTGTAGTTTTTAGACATCTTTAATTTCCAATAAGACATAAATAAGGGTTTTATAATTGTTTCATATTAAAATATTAATTAAAAAATTAGATCTAAATTGTTAATTATCATAATATATTGTTAATGAGCATAAGTAAAAATAAGAAATAATCATTAAAATTTATAAACAGTTATCAATTTTTTGAGTGGATGACTTAAATCACTCAAATAATTACTATGATACAAAATAATTTAGATTAAGAAAAGATTTTATCTATTTTTTTATTATCGGATTAGTTATTTACATATATAAATAAATATAGAATTTCTCTACTTGTTATAGATATAAATAGATTGGAATAATAAAACAAATTCATACTTAATATTTATAATGAATAATAAATTTCAATGAATGAAATAAATTTATTTATTTATATCAAAATTGATATGCTAATAAATTTTTTAAGCTCTATTGATTAGCAAGATAAATTTTATCAATAATAGCTTAATCAGAAAAATTAGATTCTGATTGACCTACATGGTTTCTTTTGATACTAAAATTAATATATTAAGATAATATAAATATACATAATTCTTTTTGGATTATTTTCAGTCTTTAATAAAACTTTTGGTTCGAAAATTGTTGGGTTGAAAGATTATCTCTTTAAAAAGAGAGCTTTGATCTCCTCATAAAGTTTCTATTGTTCATCCTCAAATTTTGCTGTTCTATTTCTATAGTGCATTTAGTTTGTGTCTTTAGAAATATCCATCTTATTAGGTCCAATCGTAGATCTGTACTTGGTTTCAGGAGTATTAAATTCAACAGCTGAAATACTTGAGAATTTTCGACATTCTTATGTTGATAATTCTTGTTCAATTTCTTTAAACTGAGGTGAAAGCAATTAGTCTTTAACCCGAATAGACATTTTTTATTTAATGTTAAATTTATATAATCGAACAAAAATAATTTTAAAGATGTTTTTTTTAAGTATATAAATCATTATAATACTGATTATATTTTCAACTAATCAAACAGCACTTTTAATTTTCTTTGATGAATTTATTGAAATTATGTTCTTTCCAACAATCTACTAATATAATTGTATGTATTTTATTTCCTTTTACAATTTCATCAATGAATGTAACTTAATGCATTTTATATCCTTTCAATATAGGGTGACCCTTTTTATCAACTCTTATTCCTTCACTCAACTTCTTTGAACTTAATCTTGTTCTTGAAACCTAAGGCACTTCCATTTTACAATAATTTTAAATTAATCATATTTAAGATTATTTCAAAGTGATTCATTTTGTATCTTAGAGAACTTTGAGATATTAATTATAAATGAAAGTTATCATATAATCATATAATTCTTAGTTCTTATTAATTTACAACCATTTTCAGTATAACCTTGGAATTAAACTGAAGAATTAATAGAAACATTATAAAATTAATATAACTAATATTATTATCTTACTTTTCTACATATAATATGCAGATTCCTCATATAATATTATCAAATTATGTCAATTTCTATTGGCTATTTTATTTTTATTGCAAATCCTTTTTTTTAAAACAATGAGATCTTCGTTTTTTATTATTTATCATAGTTTTAATGTAGTTCTTGATATAGTATATAATTTCTTTCAATCTCACTAATTATAATATTTTTCTTTTGTTTCTTTAAAAAAATGAAATTTTATATTAAATTTGAATATCCCTTTTAGGATTGTTAGAATCTGTTCATTTTCAGATATTATTGAAATATTAATTAGGAATTTGAATAATATAGAAGAATATTTCTTCAATGAGTTAACCCTGTATAAATTAACAATATTCTTAGTTAAAATTTATAAGATGCTTTATAAACTTAATCTTTCTTTAAAAATGAATTAAACATCTGATACAGATGTCTATTTATTTCATATCTTTTGCTATTCCTTATTATTGTTATAAATTAAAAAATACTATCAATTCTAATGAAATTAATTCTTCTATAATAAAGGTTTACTTTTAGATATAGAATATGTTACAAATCAGAATTATTGACAATTTTGAATATTAGTAATGGAATTAAATGTCTGTAAGATTAATTAAGAATTATATATAATAGTTGTTTAAATGTTTACTACCAAACAAGGTTGGGAAATAGATGAAACTGAATACTTAGACAACTTGATTAGAGGAAATCTTTAAAAATTAAATAAAACATTCAAAGTTCATAAAATTCTTTTAGAAAATAAAATTCAAAATATAATAAAGTTAAAATGAATCATTTCCTGTTGAATTCTCTAAAATCCTTATAAAAATCTTAAATATAATTAAGTCAAGTACTTAGTAGAGTTTATGAATGATAATTATAATATATCATATGTGTAAATGAATAAATAAAATATATTATCAAATGTAGCCAATAAATATTTGGATTTTAAGATAAAATATAAGAGTTGATTATGAATTATATTACATATATGATATCATTGTGATTGTTTTACGATGACTTAATCCCAATCTTATTTAAAGAAAAATTAGTTTAATGAAACTCAATTTTAGAAGATGATGATCAAATAATGAAAATGTACCTTAGAATTCATTTTTTAATAAAATACAAGGTAAGGCTTTAATTATAATGATATTAATAAATAAAGTCAATAATTGGTTGTAGTAAAAATAAGTTCATTAGATTAATCAATTCTTAAAAAAAAATATTGAGATTTTAATTAATTTTTTTCCTTTAAAAAATAATTATATATTGTACTTTTAAATTAATATTTTATGCAACGTTTTATGTGGAAATAAGATATAATAATTAAAAGAAAATTTAATTAATTCTGTTTAATCTGAGTCAAGATATATATTAACCTGTTTTTGTTCAAATTCATAAAGTGTAATTAGTTGTATCATTAAAATTAAATGTAAGATAGTGAGGCTAACAAAATATTCTCAAATTAAGAGAAGTCTAAATTATATAAATGGAGATGGGTTGTCTTGATTTTATTCACCATGGCTGTTTTTATGAACAGCATACCAGGTGAAATTTATGTTCCTGCTTCAAATGAGACTTAACTAATTTATTCTGAAAGTGAAACCATGATTACTTTAGCTTAAACTAGTTATGTAATTATGCATCCGATTTTATCTATTCCTTGTTCTTAGTGTAAACAAATATAAACAAATATTTATTAGTTATTGTGAAGTATGGATGGGCAAAAGCAACAAATATAGGTGTGGCATTAACAATAGGAGGAAGCTTAATTAAATTACTTGTTAATCAAACAGGGTAAATAGTTTATAGAATCATTTAGCTTTTATATTATAGTGATTGGTTAAGCATTAATTGGAGCGGGAAAACCATTTATTTTAAATGCTCAAGCTTCTATGGCATAAAATTGGTTTTATCCTGAGTCAAGACCATCAATCATAATAGCTCTAAACGTTCTTAATCTAATATCAAATGTTGTGACATTAATGATACCAGGAAAATGGATATTTAGAAACTATGACTTTGAGGATACTGAAGAATCAATTTAAGAGGGAAAAGAATTAGTTAATAAACTCAATTCTGTTTGTCTATATATGGTATTAACATTAATTCCTTGCTTATTTTTTTTGAGAAGTACAGCACCAACACCACCATCTGAATTAGTCAAGAAAGAAGAGAAAACTGCCAATACCAAGAAAACTATACTTAAAATATTATCAAATCACAATTTCTAATGTTGCTTACTGGCATATTCAGTTTACCTTGGGTTAGTTAAGTGTTTAGTTTTAATCTTACCTTATCTATTTAAGCCTGCAGGTTATGGAAAAGGAGAGGTATCCATAGCTGGATCAATAGCCATGGCTTCTGCAGCTATGAGTTAATCTACATTAGCTGCTTTTATATAGGAGTTTAAAAATGTAAAAACTAAACTTATTAAAATCCTGATGGTAATATCAACGGGCTCTTTAGCTGTGTTCTATTTTTCTTTATTAAGCCGCAATTTACTTTTTATATACTTAGCAAATGGACTTGTAGGATTTTTCATTATGCCTATAGCACCTGTGTTGATGGATATTAGTTGTGATTTAATTTTTCCTATTAGTCCAAGCTATGCTATAGGTATAATGTACATAGGATCTTAAATATTATTGGTTATCTTCACTCAAATTGAAGCGGTTATTGTAGGTGGTGCTAATAGTACGATGACTAGAGTAACAATCACATTGATGTTAGACGTGGGTTTATAATTGCTTGGTTTATTTTTATTTTCTTTTATCAGAATTAAAAAAGGGAGAGTTTCTGAATCTACTGTAATTATTTAAATATATAATAGCATTCTATTGTACCAACAGATGTACAAGAATCATTAGTTTAAGGTAGATCATTATTTGAGAAGGGTTAAGCCTTTTCTTCATCTTATGTTGGAAGTTCGTTTTTCAATGCTCAATCATCAATTGCTTTTGTAGGAATTACTCCAACAGCACCATATACTGATTATTAAAAGGATTAAAAATAGGCTGTATATACATCAGAAATCATGTAATGGTAAAATAGTGAAATTACTCGAGAAGAATAGGCTAGAAAATAATGAATATCAATAATAAATTTTTTTATATTTAAAACCCTCTTAGTTAATCTATAGGTGTTTTAATCTTCTTCTTAATTTTATCAAAATTAAAATTAATAATTTGAAGTTTTTATCTAATATTATTAGTTTTTTGAAAGAAATTTATAGTTTATAGAAGAGAGTATTAACTTTTAAATAATATCGAACAAAAGTTAAGAATTAGAATTAGCTATAAAAATAAAAGTTTATAATATATAGAATGGTTTAATGAAGAATTAACAATAAAAAAGAATAATTAAATAGGTTATTAATATATTAAATAATATCAAGTTTTTAAGAAATGGATTAATAATTGAATATTTAATAAGGAAAATTGCTTTAATTAAGACATGTGACTACACAATAATATTTAAAAGGAACTATTCATTTTGTAATTGAAAAAAATTTATTTGGTCAAAAAGAACTTGATGAATATTATTTGGGAACTACTCCAAAAGAAGATGACTTTTATACATATTTTATACTTGAAAAATATTAACCAACTAATAATGATTTAGAATTAGGAGATATTGTGTCAATACAAAACTATGGATAATAATAATTTGTGAGATTGAATTCATCAAAAAAATCAGAAGTCACCTAATAATGTTATGCTTATTTAGGTGATGAAAAGCATTATTTTGTTATTCAACCAGAAAAAGATATATTTATAAATAATTGCAATGCTATTGATACTTCCATATCTAATAAATATGTTAGATTTACATCAATTGATAATGGTTATAGTTTACATTCTCATCTTAGAACATATAAATCTGAAAATGTATCATAATATAATGAAGTAACAGGATATAAAAATTGTGATAAAAATGATTTATGGGAAATAATTCCTGTTCATGAAAATAAAACTAAGAATTTTGCACATAAAGTGTAAACTTTTGAACCAATTTAAATTAATAGTGGAAATACAATCATTATTAGAAACTTTTGGACTGGATGGTCTCTGCATTCTCATAAAACATGCTATAAATCAACTAAAGATTAAGAAGTCTCTCTCTTCAGTTATCCTAGAGATTGTACTATTTATAATCCATATTAATAGAAAATGATTATTGGATAATTACAAAGTTTAACAGTAAAGAAAAAGATGATGGAACATTAAGAAAAAATGATGAAATTCTACTTCAACATAATTAAACAAAAAAATTTCTTGCATGTTCTAATGTTTAATCATACTCCTAATCAGGATTTTAAGTTTATGGATTAGAAGGCAAACCTATGAAAGGTTTTTTATTATCAGGTATTGTAAATTAATTATATTTAAGAATTTGAAAATTCCCCATTAAGAGTGAATTAGCCATTCTTAATTAAGCACCTTACAAAAGATCTATATTTATCATAATCAAATTTTTAAACAGAGAGTAAAATAGGAACTCAATAGGAGGCTGTTTTTGTCGAAAAATTTAATGGCCTATGTCTATGGGTATTAGAATTAATAACAAAATGAATTATTAGATTAATTTTTGTAATTTAAGACATATTAATTTTTAAATGTATAATTACGATATTATTTTCATTTCATTCTCCATAATTTGTAAGATATTTTAAGATATCTGAGAATACATAAATCATGTCGACATACAAAAAGAGTGCCCCTAGAATGTAATCATTTTTCTAAAGAGAATGTCTCTGTTTTCATAATAAATTATATTTACTTTTGCATCAAAGATCTTATATATGTCATAAATGATATATAATAAATAAAGAAATATAGCTAAAGCTAAATAGATTATTTCTACTAATTATATTTAATAAATGTAATAGAATGTAGGTAGCAAAACTAAAAAAAGAGCTAAGGAAATTAGAATGCTTTTGCAAAATGTTACATTTTCTTTAGTTTACCAAGCTAACATTGTTAATCCTGTTATCATTATGAAAATTATATATATTGCTATTTATATTAGATTGTCTAATTCTATAAAATCTTATTACTTGCAATTTCATACTTCAGAGCAACAAAGCAACAAATTTATGATATTACATAACCTGAATTTAAAGAGAAGATGATTAATAAAAATAAATTCTTTGGACTTTTTCTTGCATATATCTTATTACAAAGCAAACAAAAAATTAAGACAATGGCTATTATGAGAGCAATCACAAAAAGCCAAATTTATGATGAATTAATTTCTTACTTGTCCTAATAATTAATCTACAATAATGTTAAAGTTCCTGTAAATAAAATTTAGATGTTAATGATTGTATACACCTCACATTACTCAAAAACGTACTTTTTTTATGAATCCTAATCTAGCTTCCAATGAAGAGTCTATTTCAGATGGTTCTTAGTAATTATCACTAGAATAAAGAATAGGTTGTTGTTCTTCATCTAGTTTCATTGAAAAATGATTTTAATATTAATATTAGAATCAATGATTTGTTATAAATTTCTATTATACTTAATTATTTTGAAGAATTGAACATAAATAGTATTTGAAATTACTATTTATGATATAATAGTTATTAAGATTTTACATTGAAATATAAAAATTAATATGAATTTTATAATTCAAAGATGACAAAATTTAATGAAATTTTCAATTAAATTATTGTTTAATCTTAGTTTGATAGATAATACAATCATGGTTAAATAAAATAATTTATTTAATAATTATACAAATTTCATAATTATTAATATCAAATCAAAATGAATGATGGAGATAATAGTAAAATAATCTCAAAAAAATTAAATCCAGGAACAGTTATTGCAGGTAAATATAAGTTATTAGAGAAAATTGGTGCAGGATCTTTTGGAATGGTCTTTAAAACTTAAAACTTAAAAAATGGGGAATTAATTGCAACTAAATTTGAGAAAAGAGATGAAAGCTAAAAAGGTGTAAGTTTACTAATTAGAGAAATCAAAGTATTATAAGATGTTAAAGATTTAAAAGGTACTATTATTGTAATTATGAAGGGTTTCCATAATTAAAATTCTATGGTAGAGATGACCATTATAACTTCTTTATGGAATCTTATTTAGGAATGAATTTAGAATAAATAATGAGAAAATGTGGAGGAAAATTTAGCTTAAATACTGTTTTGAAGATTGGTCTTTAATTGTTAGAAAGAATTTAGGGTATTAATAATATAAAAGTATAGCATTACATGAAAAAAACTTAATTCATAGGGACATCAAACCAGAAAATTTTACGATTGGTCGACAAGATTGTAGTCATATTTATGTTATTGATTTCGGATTATCTAAATATTATCGAGACAGTAATGGAAAACACATTCCATTTGTAAGTAATAAAGGATTAATTGGTACAGCCAGATATGCTAGTGTGAATGCTTTAATAGGTTTTATATACAATAGATATAGTTATTAGGAAATGAATAATCTAGAAGAGATGATATTGAATCATTAGTTTATGTATTAATATATTTCTATTTGGGGGAATTACCTTGGTAAAATATATAGGTGAATAATAAAGAAGATAAATATAAGAAAATATTATAAATGAAATAGAATAATTCTTTGGATAAATTAAATGACTTATTACCTAAAGTATATATCATATTATTTATTAAGTCTCTAGTAAAAATGTTGAAAATATCAAAATCATATTAATTCTAGTGGACTCCAGATTATGTTGGTTTAAAAAAACTATTATAAGATGAATTAGTTACAGATTCTAAATATGATTGGGAGAATATACAAGGTCTCTTTTCAGATAAAGACAATTTGAGTGTCTCTATTGATGTCTAATCAAGCTCAAATTAATTTGATGATTTAATTGATATATAACCTGGTTTGTAGAATTCAATGTGTAAGGTCACATAATAAGAAACTAAATTTATAAATGGTAGATTAGATAATAGTCGGAAAAACATAATTTATTTAGAAGTTCCAAAAAGAAACTCTATAATTCTTGAAGGAGCTTCTAGTCCAGGTGGAACAATAGCTTCTTTCAATACTTCTAAAATGAATCATTACGAGGGGTCAAATAGAAATCTAGCTTCTTATAAATAATTTATTGATGTTCAAGTCTAATCTTTAGAAAATGAATATGATGATGATTATATACCAAATTAAGATGATTCGCCTTGTCTATATGTTAGAAATTTGGTAATAGGCTCTAAATATGAGGTCCATCATTGAATTTTGTTAATTGATTGCCATATATTTTTATTTATTTATACAAAATGGATAAGGATCTATTCATTTAGAAATATGGTAAAATAGTTCAATAAAATAAATATTTCTAAAAAAAGTCTATCAATATTATTTCATACTTAAATCAAGTATTACAAAGAATTAAAAAACAAAAGTATCAATAAATATCAGAAAAAATTAAAGTAAATATTCATTTGTTGAATCATAAAGTAATAAAGACAATATGTATTGATAAAATAAATAAATTAAGTTCATAAATGGCACAGTTTCATAATAATAAATTAAAGAACAACTGAATAATTGATGAAAAATAGAATGAAGTCTTAATATTTAAATGAGAGAAAATAATTAGAATTGGAAGAGAAATAAAGAGAATTGAAGATAGTTATTTTATTAAGAGAGAATATGGAAGGTTATGCATGAATATTTATTAATAGTAAAAAGTATGACAAAAAATTAAGAACTTGCTAAATTAGAAGATAAAATTTATCAATAACATAAATGTAAAATATAATTTTAAATGATGTTTCAATAAAGAATAAGTAATTCATTTTTATTTTATTGATTTTTTATTAAAGTATATTTATGTTACACTGCAGAATTATAAAACATTTTAATATCAATTCTTAAAATAGAATTATTATTGTATATTAAATATATATATTTATATAAGTTTGTAATTAGATTCTGTTAATTTGAGTTAAATCATTTTGGAAATGCACTAAATATTCTTCTGGTTGGTTAAAATGGTTTCATTTGTACTAGTTTTTCACCTGTATCAAAGGTCATTGAATTCTTCTTGGGAGTTAATGCATCTTCTTTTGGACTATGAGGTACTAATTATATCATGTTCAGCTTATTCGGTTAAGATGAGAACGGTCTCCAAACTTTCTCTTTTACTGATGGAGGACGAGGAAAAGGCTCTGTATCAAATGGTGTAGCACTGATTAATCGAGAATGAGTATAGGTTGGTAGCCATGCACTTTGAATTCTTTCTAAACCTGATTTTTGTTATTTAGGTAAGAGAAAGTCACTTTTCTAGAAAAATTATCCAACTCCTTTTCCTGGATAAAATTAATAAGGATGTTTAGCTAGACCATCAGTCTATCCAAATAATAGTAAATTGCATTATTTACAAGTTTTTTTTTGTCTTAATAAATTTCTGCTATTTTTTATTTCTTTAGTTAAAACATTTCTTACTTTTTCTTTTATTTTCTTTCATCTACTTATTTTTGAAGAATTTCAAATATTTCATTTTGTTTTTCCTACATAAATTGGTAAAATAAATTATAAATATTTTAATAATGTTTTTAATTAAAAAATTAATTTATTTTGTCAGTTTTATGCTGTTATATAATTACTCTTATTATATGTTATTTTTAGTTATTATTAGATAATATACAATATTATTTTGTTTGAAGATAATGATCATTTCATTATTTCAAAATGTTTATTGAGAATTTTAACTAAAATTTATTATTTTATTTAAATGAAACATATCAAAAAAGTCGATTTAATCAAAAACTCAAGCAAAAATAAGAAATTTTAAGACATTTATGAATTTAACAAGAATGATGTATTATAATCTCATAAATTTAGAAACTTGGTTAAGGATCTTATGGAATGGTTTATCGAGCAATTCATCGAGCTACTGGGTTAGCAAGAGCAGTGAAGATCATCCATAAAGCAAGTGTAAAATAGAAAGAAAGACTTACAAATGAATTGAGAACAGTTGAATTATTAGTAATTATTGAAATTCAGATTTTTTAAGGATCATCCACATGTGATTAGAGTCTTTGAAACATATGAGGATAATGACTATATTTATGTAGTAATGGAGTATAAAAATAACAATTAAATTTAGAATATGTAAAGGGGGTGATATTTTTGACAAGGTCTTGGAATTGGGTAATTTTGATGAATAAGGAGCATTAATAATATTCATATAAATCATTAGATCAGTAGTTTACTATTAATCATTAAATATTGTACATAGAGACTTAAAACCAGAAAACTTTCTATTTTAGAAAAATAATGATCTTAATACTCTTTATATTATAGATTTTGGTTTGGCTAGAATATTCTAACCTGGAATTTTGCAATAATGGACTAAAGCAGGAACTGTATAAATAATTTAAATTTATTCCTAGGCTTATTATGTGGCTCCAGAAGTTTTAGAGGGTACATATGATAATAAATGTGATTTATGGTCAGTTGGTGTTATTTTATATGTGTTATTATGTGGATATCCTCCATTTTATGGTGAAACAGAATAAGAGATATTATATTCTATTTAAAAAGGGAAATATGATTTTGATGGTCCCGAGTGGAAGAATGTGTCTCTATAAGTTAAGGAATTGATAAGTTAATTATTAAAACCATCTTAATATCGACTTAATTTGGAATAGATTTTAAAGCATGATTGGCTCTAAAAATATGTATAAAAGGGGGAAGTTATTCTAACAAAGGCAAATATAGAGAGATGGCAAACTTATCATTAAATTAAATAAATTAGTTTACTTTATTTAGCAACATAATTAGAATAGACTGAAATAATTAATATCAAAAATGGATTTTTATTTATGAATAAATCTTAATCAGGAATATTAACAAAAGGAGAAATAGAAGATTTAATTAAATATAAATATTAAGATTTGGAATATTATTGTAAAACATTTAATTATTAAATTAGAATTCATAGCTATATGTTTAGAGCCAACTGTATATAAAATAGAAAAATATTTAATATTAATGTTTACATATCTATCATCTAATGGTCGAATCACTAAAGACAGTTTAAAAGCAGTTGATATAAATCTTGAATGTAACTTAGATTATCAGCAATTCATTAATCTATTTTGATTATCATAATTAGTTTATAGTTTTATTTGCAGAAAATATGTTTATATTTCTATGATCTCTTAATTTAATAAGATACAAAGATATATATCATTCTGATTATACACCTTCCATATCCTTTAAATAGTCTAGATTCATATTAACTAAATAGAAACAATGATATCTGACTAGATTTTAACTTAAAATAATTTAACTTTTTAAGTAAAACTTCAATAATAAAATTATTTCGAATTATTTTATAAAAATATCATAATGATATATAATATAATTAAATATTGCGAAATAAATAAAGGATCAGTTATTATAGAAGCCTTTTTCAAATATAGTTTAAAGATACTTGTTTTATAATTAAAAATTATATTAAATGTTATAATTCAAAACTAGAGTATTGTTGATTTGAGATTAAATTAACCATTGTCCTGTTAAATTGAATTAAATAAATTCCTCTAAGTCTAATATGTTTGAATACACTAATACTATTAAAAGCATCTGGATAATATTTGGATGAAAAATCTTAAAGTAATCTAATAAATTTATTCTTGAATTTATGATATAAATCTTTTTATATGTTTTATACAGAATAATATTAAATAATCTAATTAATTTTGATAAATTTTTTCATATTCATTATTTTTAGTTTATGATGCTTTAAATTTTTATTTAGTAACATGTATTATTCTATTTAAGTTTATCTTGAAATAATTGCTTTATATTTTGTTTGTTAATTAATCTCATCAATTTAATAATTAAATATATGAATAAAAAATATACTTCTTCTAACTTAAACCCAAAAATTCTTGATGATAGAGATGATATAAATTTTGGAACGTCCTTCATTGATATTATTATGAATTAAAGTACTTTTAATCATTTAACTTCATTCGTTGATACAGGATCACTAATTAATTTTCAACTTAGTTCTAAAGTATTTAAAATTAGAAGATGGAAAAAGTATTTTAAGAATGTAATTTTTCAAAGACTACTTTAACCATTAGATCATAAATTAATATCATAATTTATAATTGATTAGAAATGCTCATAATTTATGTATTGGGATTCTGTCATTGATTTTAAACGATTAAATCTATAATACTCTCATTAATATAAATATTATTCTTGTTAATAATCAAATGAAGCAACAAATATATAGAAGGATATTGATAGAACATTTTCATAACATCAATATTTTAAATAAATTCATAATAGATAAAGATTATAAAGAATATTAATTGCATTATCTAAAATATATGAAGAATTAGGATATATTCAAGGATTGAATTAAATAGCAGGCTGCTTTTTAATAAGTGGTTTAAGTGAGTAATAAGCATTTTGGATAATGTATTATATTTTAAAAAAGATGAAATATGCAACAATATTTCTTGATTAATTTAGTTAATTAAAATTCTTGAATTTTGTAGTTGCAGTATTTTTAAGAAATTATGTTCCAAATCTATCTGCATAATTTGTAAATATATATATATTTAATAATTAAGTTATTAAACAAAATAGATATAGGGATTATTACAACTAGATGGTTTCTTGTAATCTTTGGTTACGATTTGCCTCAATAATTAGTATAAATTTATGATTTAAATAGTTATTGTAAGTTTGGAATTTGTTTTTGTAGAAAGGCATTAAGGTTTTAATAAAAATTTCAATTTNCAGAATAATATTAAATAATCTAATTAATTTTGATAAATTTTTTCATATTCATTATTTTTAGTTTATGATGCTTTAAATTTTTATTTAGTAACATGTATTATTCTATTTAAGTTTATCTTGAAATAATTGCTTTATATTTTGTTTGTTAATTAATCTCATCAATTTAATAATTAAATATATGAATAAAAAATATACTTCTTCTAACTTAAACCCAAAAATTCTTGATGATAGAGATGATATAAATTTTGGAACGTCCTTCATTGATATTATTATGAATTAAAGTACTTTTAATCATTTAACTTCATTCGTTGATACAGGATCACTAATTAATTTTCAACTTAGTTCTAAAGTATTTAAAATTAGAAGATGGAAAAAGTATTTTAAGAATGTAATTTTTCAAAGACTACTTTAACCATTAGATCATAAATTAATATCATAATTTATAATTGATTAGAAATGCTCATAATTTATGTATTGGGATTCTGTCATTGATTTTAAACGATTAAATCTATAATACTCTCATTAATATAAATATTATTCTTGTTAATAATCAAATGAAGCAACAAATATATAGAAGGATATTGATAGAACATTTTCATAACATCAATATTTTAAATAAATTCATAATAGATAAAGATTATAAAGAATATTAATTGCATTATCTAAAATATATGAAGAATTAGGATATATTCAAGGATTGAATTAAATAGCAGGCTGCTTTTTAATAAGTGGTTTAAGTGAGTAATAAGCATTTTGGATAATGTATTATATTTTAAAAAAGATGAAATATGCAACAATATTTCTTGATTAATTTAGTTAATTAAAATTCTTGAATTTTGTAGTTGCAGTATTTTTAAGAAATTATGTTCCAAATCTATCTGCATAATTTGTAAATATATATATATTTAATAATTAAGTTATTAAACAAAATAGATATAGGGATTATTACAACTAGATGGTTTCTTGTAATCTTTGGTTACGATTTGCCTCAATAATTAGTATAAATTTATGATTTAAATAGTTATTGTAAGTTTGGAATTTGTTTTTGTAGAAAGGCATTAAGGTTTTAATAAAAATTTCAATTTCAATCTTTAGATTAGTATCAGATTTTGAAAACATTGAAGATTTATATGAAATGTTAAAGGATGAATTATTTGACCTATTAGATTCTAATGAATAATATTAAATCAAATTGATTGAATACTTTAAGAGTTTTAAAATTACTAATCGATTAATTAATGAATTGAGATCAAAATTCGAAACAAATGACGAATCTCTAACATTATCATTTGATTAAACTTAGAAAAAACATTATTGGAAAAAAGGAGGAGATAGTGCAAGAAGCTTGATTAGTTCCTTTAATGAAATTATAAGTGAGATATAAGAGGAACGGGATACTTTCTATTAAAAATCTCAATCCTTTTTAAATGTTTGTTTCCCAAGACTAATCAATGTAAATTATTTGGTTGCTTCAGAAGGAAAAAAGAGTTTATCTATTAAAATAGAAAAAAGACCATAATTGATAAAGAGATAAATTCTCTCTCAACAATTTTAAATGACCATACCATAATCTGCTAATGGAGATTAAGTATGAAATTTAACTATAAGGAATCTAATATTTATGCTGACGAATTATAAAGTAAAATGAGTCCTAATGATGACGAAAGTGAAGACATTATTGAAAGAAATAAATCTCAAGATTTTAAAACAATCCTAAATAAATATAATTGAATATATATAAATACTAAAATTACTTTTTATCTTTAATTTTTAATAAATTCTAACAAAGAGTTTTACTAATACTATATAATAATATACCTTTCTATTAACTTAACTAATTGCAAACTTAAAATTTTTACTGAGCGTCCAATAAATAGGTGTCTATAGAAGAAAAACACAAAAGTTAATAAGTTAATAATTTTGAATAATCAACAATCATTAACTATACTAAATTTATAACTATTATTTTGTTAATTAGCATTACTAAAATAGCTTCTTTCTTAGTTAAACCTTAATAAATTAGCTTATACTATATTAGATTATCAGCTAATTGTGTTCCAAAAGAATTTTAGGGTATATCTGTAAAGAAATCTATTTTGAATAGAATTTTTAATTATTTGTCAATATTATTCATAACTGCATTTTGAACTTAAAATAAATAAGTTATAACCTTACTTTAACATTTTGATTATCAATTAAAACCCAATATTTTACTACAAGAAATATTTGATAGAAAAAAATCAAAAACTTATATAATTTAAAACTAAAAAAATAGTGGTTTTAAATTACTCTTCAACTATCAGTCATGTGATTATCAAATTCAATATTTTTTTATAATTTAAATAGATTAAGCATCAAAAATTGAACTTATCTTAATTATTAGTACTAAAGTAACATTTTTTAAAGAATAATTGAATAAGTATATATTATATAAATGATTTAAATCTTTAAACTCTTATATAGTTGATTAATATAGTGTTGTTACAACTAATGAACTAGACTGTGGAATCAATTTTCTATCTTATCTATACAAAAATAAAAAAATTAAATTATCTCTTTTTTTATTAAAAATTTCTTATTATATTGAGATGGGTTGGGATTAGATAGATAAAATTGGCAGATTAGATTTTAGAAAATAAAAAAAAAGTATTTGATTGAAATAAGTTGGATAAGAAAACAGAGAAATGAATATATTTAAGTATGATAATTTAAACAATTTATTTTCTTATTAACAGAAATTAATTATATTATAATATTAAAAAATTTGAATTCACCCGTTTTTTTAAATTAATGACAAATTATAAAGAGAAAGAAATTTGTTAATGAAGAATTAATTGGAAATTTGATAATTTTATTTGCATCCAATGGTGGATGATATAAAAATTTATATTTATATAGATTATAAAACATTTCATGGGTTATTTAATTTTTAAATTTTCTTTTGTTTTATTATTACTAATTCTTTTAGTTCTTATGAATCAAATTCCAAAAATTCAAAATTCTTATTATCAAATTTGACTTCATTTTGACTGGTTGACTTATCACATTTATTTAAGTCTCTTGTTAATGATTCTATAACTGAATCAATTAATAAGATATCTCTTTCTTCTTTTGGTACTCTACCTAATCTCTATCTATTTTCCTCCTATTTTAATAAATTGTAAAATCTATTTTTGATTGTATTTTCTGTTCTTCTAAATTTAAATACTTAAGCTGATATGTCTGCCCATCTTTTTCCCCTTTTCTTAACTTCTTAAAATAATCTTAGTTCTTCTTCCTTATACCATGGTATACTTTTATTAAATTTAAATTTCATACTTAAGTATTTTAGGGTCTAGTTTATTAACCCATCTATCTCTACATTATTTTCCTAATCGCACATAAGGAGTTTAACATATTTTCATTAATTCTATAGCTATTTCACACCATTTATTTGGATGTAATGATTATAATTGCATAAGCACTTAATCTTCTTAAGGAGTCCAGTTAACTTTTTTATGTTTTTCATTTAACCATCTATTTCTACAAGCCTTCCAATTATGAAATTTGAATATTCGAGAAATTTAATCCCATTGCAATGTTGACTATATTTATAAACACTAATAATTACCAAATCTATTGGTCGTGTTTTTGTTTTCAAACAAGTTCCAAGGACTATTATTTTTAAATATTAATCCTAAGCATCTGTCCATATACCTTTATTTGATATTAAATCAGAATCGACTCTGTTTAATATGTTATCAATTTATTATTAGTCTGGTATGCCATACATAAAAGGAAAGGAAGTTGATAATAATGCTTGAGTAAATGTTACATCTATGTTTTGGAATAGATCATAAATAGCTTTTCTATCAATAGACGTTTTTTTAATCATCTTAATACTAATTAGTTTATTTAATATCAAGGATTCCGTCCACGATTATATATATATAGATAGTATTATTTAAATTTATGAAGTTATTTTTAGATTGAGCACAGATTAAAGAAGAATATATTTTAAGAAAGTTATCTATTTATTTTTATTTATTAAATTTTATTAGTAATTATATAAATGATGTTAGAATATAATAAATTAAAAAACTTATTGTCTGAATGAAACTTTGAAAAATCTTGAATTTTTTATTTATATATATATTTTTACTTTATAATGAAAAATGTTGATAATCTTCAATTTTTATTATAACATATGGATAATTAATGTGTTTGATATATTGCAATTTTTTAATGTAAATAGTATAAATAATAATCATTTTTTCTTTTTAAGTTTTCTATCACTTAATGAACCCAATAGCATCCACATATTTTCATCATTAGGATAACCAACAACTGGATAATCTGAATGTTACTCTTCTTTTATTTAAGGTAATTAATCTGCAAATATGAGATATCAATAATACAAATCTATGGTAGTGATTGTTTAAGAGGATGTTATGGAGGAAATAATATATCAAGAGTTAACTTGAATGCATCATCTAACATTCTTGGGATATACATTTTTAATAATGGACTTGATTCTTCTATACAAGGATTCGTATTAACTTCTATTAACCAGACTTCTAGATCGGCATCTAATATAAAATCAAATCCAAATATCTCAAAACAATATTTCCTATCTTCAAAGTTTATTTTATTTTTTACAGAATTAAATACCATCCATATTCTCTCTTTCATTTTATTAATTAACTAAAATATATATTTGATAAGATACATCTTAAACATTGCATTTAATATTTTAAGAATTTAAATAATCCTAATAATTCTTAAATGATAATTGATTTCCATCTTCAAATTATCCATAATTCTAAGAATATTTTTAAATAGCATTATTTGTTAAATGAACAAATGTATTTTCAATATTATATGTGAAATCTTCAGATGAAGTTCTTATATACCCTTCTTAAAAGAAATATGCATCTAAATCATGAGTTATTAAACCCCATACTCTAATATCAAATTTTCTCTTATTAATTAATGCAGGTCGTTCTATATATTTTTGAATTACAAAAGAATGTGATTTAATTATACATTAACCAGATGGTTATTATTTAATATTTTAATTAGGATCCTTCTTTGTGATTTAAGCACTCTATACTTATTTTGGTATATCATCATCACCAGAAGATTCATCTTTTTAATTTAATGCTTTCTCTTTTAATCCTTCTTAAAATTCTGATACTAACTTTACTAAAGTCTCTAAATTATCAAATATTGATATTCCTCTTCCTCTATTTAAAAATGTTGGTTTCAATAGCCACATATATGTAGAATCTTCTGCTAAGAAAGTATTGTTTAATTAAATTTTAGTAAATTATGAAATTGGTTCTCTTTGATAAGCATTACAAAAGTTTCCTCTTAATCTTCTTTTAACATCTAACATCTATTTTGATGATGGTTTTTTTGGGGCAAATTACTCATAAGTCTTAAGAAACTGTGTTATATTATAATCACAATTTTCATCACTAAAATCAATAACAAATGTCAATGGAGTATAATCAAATACATTTAATTTATGTTTCTATTGTATATTATTATGTAATTACTTCACAATATAAAGATAGATTTTTTATCAGATATGATTTATTTGATATTTCTTTATGATGTTCAAAATGATTAACAAGTTATTTATAATTTTAACTTACAATAAGTCTTTCATACCTATAACCTCTTTCACTTTATTGCCATTTAAAATTTACAAGCATTGAACTTGAGTCAGTTGTCTCTTTCCATTATAATCTTTTTGACATGATTCGTTTCACTAATGCCTCATTGTTACCCCATCCAATATAATACTTGTTAATACAATCAAATTACTTTTAAACAAAAATCTTAAGAAGCAGGTTTAAATTGATTCCGTTTTTTTGAGAAACTAGTTGATTTTGGGTTTAATTTTCTTGTTACATTAGGCAATTGCTCAGATTTTTAAGCTAATTTCTCTTTGGTTTTACTTTTCTTATGTTGCAATTAATATTAAGTAAATTATGGTTTTATTTATGGACTCTAAGACTTACACTTAGTTTCAGTTTTGTTTCTTGGTCTTCTGCTATCCAAATTAATTGTTGATTCTTCAGACAAATTCATTATTAATATATTATTGAAAATACTAATAAAATCATCATTATTTATTAAATCTAGATTAAGTAATGGAAGTTATTAAAAAAAGCATTTTTTAATTAATTGATTCAATTATTTACAACTTCTTCTTTAATCATTAAATATTCTTTATTATCTTTATGGAAAATAAAATTTAGAATTAAAAGACTAAATTGCTTTAAAAAAGAACATTAATAAACAAATAAGTTGGCTTTTTTGTTTTTTTGTAATAGGTTCTATAATTAAAAATTAATATATAATATTTACATTAATTTATATGCTTTTTAATAAAAGAATCTGGAAAAAATTAATTTATCCTATTCCTAGATATTATTTTTTCTAACCACCATTATTTGATGTTAACAAAGATTACTATAAGATATTGAATTGCAATCAAACTGATTCAGAACAAAAATTGAAATAAGAATACTATAAATTAGCTAAATTATATCATCCAGATATCAATAAAGGCAATGAAGAAAAGTTTAAATAAATTACAGAAGCTTGGGATGTATATTTATGATATATAATATAGGTGTTATCAGATAAACATAGAAAACAATAATATGATGCTGCAAGAACTTATAATACAGATTTTATCAAAAATACTACAAATTCATATGGTTACAATCAATCTAATTAACAAAATTATTCCAAAAGTTTATAATTATTACATTATTAAAGGCAATAACAATCATTAGTAATTCTCTAAAGAACAAATGGAATAAATGTAAAAATAAGCTGAAGAAATTATGAAAATGTTTTAAAGTGGTTAATTCAATTAATTTTCTTAAGCATTTAAATAAGCAACTAAAAATGATCCTAAATTCAAAAATGTTCATACTTTCATCAATCTTGCAGAAAAAGCAGAATAATTTTTTAAAGAAAGGTAAAAAACTCAAATGGAAAATGAAATTAAAAAGGAATAGAATTTTTCAAATTTTGCTAATAAAGAGGATAAACTAAAATAATCTGTTAATGGCATTACCAATGGAATAAAAAATATTTGGAATAAGATTTAAAAAAATAAATGACTATATTAATTAATTAATTTATTTATGAAAGTAGATATCCAGATACATTCGGTAGACTGTTCTGAATTCATATGTGCAATTTGTTTTTAGGTTTTCAATAAACCAATTAAAACATAATGTGGGTATAAGACTATTTTTAATATAGACATAATTTTTGTGGTAAATGCATCTCTAATTGGATGAAAATAAAAAAGCAATGTCCTTGTTGTAGAAAAGTATATACTAACTACAACTTTTATAAAAGAGATGATATTATGTCATAAAAAGTAGACTAGTTAGAGGCCACATGTTTAAGATGCAATAAATGGAGTGGCCAATTAATAGATTTAAAAAATCATCGTTTATACGATTGTATATCAATATCACCTAAAGTTGAATCAAATGAAGCCTTAATTATTTAAGATAAACCTGAAGACCTCATTTTAACTATTATGAATGAAATTCTTTTAATTAAACAGTAATAGAATTATAATTAACTTTTGGAATTCGAAAATCAATTTTTAGAAGAATAGTAAATACATACTAATGAATCAAAATTAAGAAAGAAAAGAAAAATAGAAATTAATAATAATCAAATCTAAAAAGAAGATGATGATGATGTTTAAGCATTAGATGAAGAAGAAATTAATATTTTAAAAAGTTCATAAAAATATAAAACAAAACAATTAAATAAAAGGTATTAATTGCAAAATAAATTTCTTAAAGAGATAATGGAAAATTAATATAGAATTGAAACTAAATAATTTTTTTTCTCACTTATACTTAACAGGAATATTTTAACCTTTAACCACTTAAATTGGTAGTTTTGATAATAAGTATATATTGTATTTTAAATTTATGATCTCATTAATATTTAATTTATATTATGATTTAATCTTTCATTTAAACCATTTTACAATTTATTTCTTCTTATCAAGATTTATCTAAAAATTTATGAAGGAAATTTAAACTTCTTTTTTTATTTAAGTCTTACTTATATATTTAATCAATTAATTAATTTAACACTCTTATTTTTAAGAAGACATTATAATTATTGTTATAGATATCTTAATGTTATTAAAAAAATACTAAATTTTATGAAAGTCATTCTAATTTCTAAGTTGAACTTCATTAATTCAAATTCATTGTTGATAATTATTTTAATAATGTGATTAAATTAAATTAATTAATTAATCTTATTCTTATTATCACTCAAAAATTGAGATACATTTTTATATTGGTAATTTGTAGTAAAAATTTATATTTATTCATAATATTATGTTAAATTTTTATGATAATTTTAAATAAAATGAATACAAATTTGTAAGGATAACAGATAGATATATTATTTGTTTTATTCTTTATAAATTAAAAATAAGAAAATTTAAAATAAAGATATTAATAATTTCAACTCAAATTTGTAAATTCTAAATAATAGAATTTAAATTTATTAAAGAATCTTTGTTCATAGATATATATCACTTATTTAATTATCCTTATAGTTATAGTATATTTTATATTATAAAGTTATTTTTTTTTACAAAAATATCAACCTAATTATTATTTTAACAATTCTAAATTAATAAAATATAAGATTAATGTAAATAATTTTGAGTCTTAAAATTAACTTCGAGATAAAAACAGATAGTGTTTAAATACTTATATAATTTCTTAATTTAGCATTAATAATTAGAAATACTGAATACTTAGGATAATTAAGGTAATAACAAATAAAAATTTTGCTGTAATTTGATTCAGCCAAAAAGGGGAACTAAAGTTTTTACTTATAATTTATCTGTAATTGGAAGGAGATAAATAAATATGGACATTAATCTTGATATTTTGTTAAATTATGATAAATTCCAATAATGCCTTATAGATATGAATGTGAATTATTTAATGAAATAAAGTGTCTAAGTATTATTATATTTATTAGAAAATCTTTAAATAAGAATTTGATTTCTTTTTTTTAATTATTTTTGCAATAGATTGTTATTTATAAAAAATTGATTTAAATGGAGATTAAAATTTCCTCAAACACTTTTAAGTAATAAAAAACAAAAAGGTAAAATTTTGAATAAGAAAAATCATTATCTCAAGGTCCTAATAGCAGAGTTATGAGAATTGAACATTAAGGAATTAGAAAGTATTTTAAATTAATATTTATGAAAGAACTCTAAAAAGAGTACCAAAAGATTAATCTTTAAATGAAATTAAGATATTGTAATAATTGGATCATCCAAATATTTTAAAATTATATGAATTCTATGAAGACAATAATGAATACTGTCTTATTACTGATTATTGGGAAGGAGGAGATCTGTATGAATATTTATGCAAACATGATGAAATTGATGAATATGACATAGCTCAAATTATGAAACAGTTATTTTCTATTTTGCATTACATACATTAAAAAAAGATTGTACATCGAGATATCAAAAGGTATAATAATTAAATTAATTTAAGCGAGAATATTTTAGTTGAAAAATAAGAGGATGGTTGTATTTTGATTAAAATGATTGATTGGGGAATGTATTAATAATTTAATATAAAATAGTGCAACTTAATTTTAAAATGGATCAAAATTATATACAACTGTTGGTACACCTTACTATATGGCGCCAGAAGTTTTTAAATAATGCTATGATGAAAAATGTGATATATGGAGTTGTGGCATATTATTGTATGAGATAGTAACAGGCAATTTACCTTTTTATGCAAGATAAGCTGATGAAATTTAAAGAAAGATTTTAGATACTAAACCTAATTTTGATTTGCCTGTATTTTAAAAATGCTCAACTGAACTTAATAATCTTATTAAATTATTACTTAATAAGGATCCAGAAAAACGACCTTCAGCAAAAGAATTACTTGATCATGAATTTTTTTAATTAAGAAAAGAGAGAAAGGCTTCATAAGAATTTAATACTTGTTTTTAAGAAAGTGTAAGTAGATTAATTGAATTTCGAGTTAAGAATAAATTATAATAAGCAGTTCTTTCATTTATGGGTTCATTTTAACAAACTCCAGAGGAAGAAAGATAATTAATTAGAATTTTCAATGAAATTGATGTAGATAGAGATGGAAAATTGACATGTGATGAATTAGCTAAAGCTTTATAAACAATATATATGTATGATGAATTATAGGCACAAATGTAAGCCAGTATTTTAATGCAATAAATTGATATTGATAATAATGGATTTTTAGAATATTCAGAATTTATTATGGCTTGTTCTTAAAGGAAAGTACTTCTCACAGAAAGCAATTTAAAGAACGCATTTTAATAATTTGATTTAAATGGAGATGGAGTAATTAGTTTTTAAGAAATAAAAAAAGTGTTGGAAGGTAATGAAAACATTAAAGATGAGAAATGGCAGGAAGTAATCTAGGAAGTAGATATAAATGGAGATGGTGAAGTGAGTTATGAGGAATTTTTAGTTATGATGAAATAATTATTATGAATTTTAATAAATTACTATGGTCTGATGTTGAAAGAGTACCGTAGTTTACTTCTAAAGTAGAGTTGTTAAATGGGAAATATGATTAAGACTATGAAGAAATTATGGATTATTTCAGAGCTATTGTAAAATCAGGAGAAATTAGTGAAAGAGTATATGATTTAACAGGTATCATAATTAATAAATTGGTATCAAATTATAATGCCTATATTATAAGAAGAAAATGTTTAAGATAAATGAATTTAGATTTAAATAAAGAAATGGAATTTATAAATCAGGTTACAATTGCAAATTAGAAGGTTTATTAAATTTGGTAAGATAATATTTGATTATTATTTAGGGAACACAGAAGATAGGTAATTGAAGAATTGAATGATTTTAAAGGTGAAATTGAATTTCTCCATTAAATTTTTGATATAGATAATAAGAATTATCATGGATGGACATATCGAGTTTGGTTATGTGAAAAATTTAAATTATACAATTAAGAAATAAAAGATATCTAATATTATTTAGAAGAAGACATTGGTAATAATTCTGCTTGGAATTACAGGTATTTTTTATTAACAAAAATGCCTTTTGATTTCAATACAGAATTAGAATATATTAAAAATGCTATTAGATTGGAATAAGATAATGAAGCATCATGGAATTATTTGAGAGGGTGGTTTAAAATGTTTAAATTCAAAAATGATTAAGAAAATCCATATAAAACATATGTTTAATATAATTTAAAAGATTTTAACTTGTTTGATTTTTTAAAGGAGATGAGATTCTCTAATAGATTTGCATTAAGTTTATAAATTTAATATCTATTATTTGATGGAAAATTTTAGGATGCAATATAAATATGTGAATAACTTCAGAATTATGATCTTATTAGAATAAAATATTGGTAATATATAAAGAATTAAATAATTGAATTGATTTAGTGATTTGTTATAAATTTTTGCAATAATTTGAACATTAATTATTAAGAATAAATTTAATTAATGATGTAAATATTTATAAATGATATATCAACTTGTTAAGTTTACATTAATATTAGCCTCTTTGGCTAATCTTAGAATTGCAGCCATTCTAACAGCTTTCTTAGCAGCTTCATCTAAATCTTCTGTAAACATCATATTAAATCCAGATTCCTCTATTAATTTCTTAGCCTCTTCAACTTTTGTACCCTTCATTCTTAAAACCATAGGTTTCTTCATTCCTAATATAGTTAATCCTTTAAGTAAACCCAAAACAATTTGATCACATCTTAAAATAATAATAAAATTTAAATACCTTGCAATACCAGCAAAGATATTTACTAGAATTGCTTCAACATTTGGATCTTTGTCCATTATTTTTAAAGCAGAAACAATTTCTTGATCAGTAGCTTTACCTCCTACATCTAAGAAATTAGCTGGAGATCCATCATATTATTTAATTAAATCCATTGTAGCCATAGCTAATCCTGCTCCATTTACCATACATCCAATATTTCCATCTAATGCAATATAATTAAGTCCATGCTTTTAAGCTTCAACTTCTTTCCAATCCTTTTATCTAACATCTTCCATATGAAATATAGCATGTTATCTAAATTATGCATTATCATCAATATTTAATTTTTGATCACAAATGATCAAATTACCTTATAAATCAATACCAAGTGGATTAATTTCTAATAGTGTAGCATCAGTTTATAAAAAGATATCAAACATATTTCTTAAAATCTTTATTAAATTAATAGATTAATTACATCTTTCATTTAATTTTTTTAAATAGGATTTAATTTGTACACCTTTGAAACACTCTCATAAATAGATGAATCAATATCTTCAATTGTATTTGGCATTTCTATTGAAAATTTCTTAATATAATTTGGATCACTCTCTTCAATATGAATACCTCCTTTTTCTGATGCTACAATTCCTAATCCACCAGTATTTCTGTCTAATAGTATTGATAAATATAGTTCCTTTCTCAAAAAATTACGTTCTACTATATAAACTATCTCACATTTTTCCCCAAACTTCCTGTTTACTTGGTTATCAATGTATTTCCTAACATTTTTGATGCATAATCTCTCACATCTTCAGGAGTAGAAGCTATATGAATTCCCTATTTATATGTTCATTAATACACTATTAAATCCATTCTCTTTGAAATATCCTTTACCTCTACCTCCAGTATGTACTTGAGCCTTTACAACTACATCTGTAAATGAATTCTTTTCAGCTCCTTCTTATATTATTTTAGCCGCAGCTTTGTATGCTTCCTCTGCACTCTTACAAATCTTCCCAGGAGGTATTGGTAATTGAAAGGATTTGAAAAATTCAGCTGTTTAATATTCATGTAAGGAGAGAAGATATTTTGGAATACGATGGAATCTAAACATTAAAGATATGAATTTATTATTATATAAATTATCATTACCATAATCTACTTTTCATATTATCTAATTAATCTATATCTTTATTATTTTTATCTAATTTTTGTAAAATATTTTCTAATTATGGTAATGATCCAATAAGATCATCGGTATTAAGGTATTCCTGAAAACTTTTGATTTCTAAAAATTATCTTAAATGAATATTTTCACCAATGTTTGGAACTTTTATTAAATCTTACAAATATTATTATAAGTTCAAACTCCTTAAGTTTGGACTAATTTATTACAAAGCAGCTGTTGTTTTAAATGGTAATTAAGGTAATTATTAATATCTAAATTGTTTAATATATATATACCTTTATTTCAACAATTAATGTAATTCATCAAATTAACTAAATCTTTTCCATATTATATGCTTTAAATCCCCAATACTTATTTAAAATGAATATCTAAAGAATTTTTCTCCATCTTTACCATAAAATTCTTCATAACCAATATTTTTTATGTGTAATTTTACAATTTATTCACTATTTTTTATGATTAATTTTTGCATATTTCTTACTTAATCTTCAATCTATTATGGCATACCAATAAATCTAAATAATAATGATATATGATATTATCTATCATTCAGTAATATTTTCATGAATATTTCCAAATCCTATTTCCTTTCTTCAATTTCTTCATTAGTTAATTTTATAATTGTTTTTTGAGGAAATGGAGGAAAGTATTTAGCTTCTAACAAATTTTTTATTTATTCACTAAACTCAAAGAATTCTTTGAAACGCTTTTAAACAACATAATTTTCATTTTCAAATTATACTACAAGAGTATATTGTATAAATGTTTCATTTATATTTTTTATAGTTTAGTGTTCAGTAATATTCACTTACATATATGGTAAATATTCAGATTAAACATCCCATTTTTATTTTCTTATTGGTTAGATCTACTTAATTGTTATTGAGGGTTTTTGATTATTTTAAACATGATTGATTTATTTTATTTCATCAACCAGTGTTTTCTCTGATTATGATAATTCTATAAAATCCATAAACGAATATGTTATTAAATCTAATTTACTTATAATGGCATTCAAATATCTTTAAATATTATTAATTAATTGCAAATCTTAACTATCTTAAATTTATTTAACAAAAAAATTAAGAGACAATAATTCATTTGGATGTTATTCAAAGTAATCAGCATTCTCATTTATATAAGATTGATGCCATTAAAATATTTCAGATACAGATTTCTTCAATTTAAATTATTTATCTAAACCTACAATTTAACTTTGAAAATATATGGAATAATTTTTACATTTCTAATTTAACCTCAACATCATCATCAACAATATTCCATCTCTTCTTAACATCAATTTATAAAAATAAAGAGCCAGAATTTGCTAATTGTAATTCAAAACAAATACCATTCAAAGTAGAAAGTCTGGCTCTTCTTTGAGAATCTTATAGATCAATGTCTGGAAATTCGTTTCTCCAAAATCCTACACTTTCGAATTCACTAAGATCCTATCTTCGTATAAAGAGTGTAAAAACTAAGAGTATTGAATAATCAATAATTCTGAAGAGTGACAGGCAATATTCAAATATGTGTCCTTTCTACGTTAAGGTGTAGTTAGTTTACATAATTGATTAGCATAGCAAAAGATACTAATAAGATAAGCCAATTAAAAATCCAATAGATTTTATGGGCAAAGAACAATGGGACTCTTTTTTTGAATTCATAACACTAATATTAGTGAAGTATTAAATACCATCAAAAATATTTGCATAATGATAGCAGATATGTTTACAAATAAGACTCCTGATAGATAATCCCTTTTAGTTTCAGAATAGAAAATAACTAATAAAATCTCAATAAATTCAGCAGCTCTTAGTATAAAAGAATTATTACTAATATCCAAAGTCAATAGTGAAATTCTGAGTATAATAGAATAATTATAAGGTAAAGGTTCCGCTTGTATATTGGAACGAAGATCATAAAAACGAGCTCCCATTGCTAGAATATAAAGGACACTAATTGATGCAGGAAGCAAATAACTAAAAGTAATTAAAGCTTCCTAATTAATCATTTAATAATAAATATTTTGTATAGCAATTATTTAAAAATTAAATTATCTAATTTATGTTATCCACAGCCGCAGGTTTTCAATCTATGTTAAAAGAAGTATCATAATTTGGTTGATATTTCTAAGGGAGCTCGCCATTATTAGGGATTAGAAGAGGCCATACTGAAAAACATATAAGCATGCAAGGAAATATCAAATATGACTAAAACATCATTAGGTCCTAATGGAATGAAAAAGATGGTTGTCAATCATATTGATAAAATATTTGTTACAAGTGATGCAGCAACAATCCTTAAAGAAATGGAAATCTAACATCCTGCTGCTAAGATGATACTTATGGCAGCAAAAATGTAAGAAACAGAATAAGGTGATGCAACCAATTTTGTGATTACATTGGCAGGAGAATTATTGTAATAAGCTGAAAGTTTGATTAAATTAGGATTACATCCAAGGTAAAATTTATTATCATATATTAGCTAAATTGTGGTTGGTTATGAAACTGCTCTTAAAAGTGCATTAGATTTATTAGATCAATAAAAAGTTTGGGAAATCACAGATGTAGCTGATGAAACATAAGTTCTATAAGCAATTAGAACATCTTTAAGTAGTAAATTATCAGAGTAATATTTAATTAAATATTTAAAGTTATTCTAATTTAATTGCTGGTTTAGTAACTAAAGCATGCATAAGATGTTTACCAAGAGAAAAAACTAATTTTGATTCTGAATATGTCAGAGTTACCAAAATCTTAGGTGGATCAGTATTAGATAGTCATGTCTTATCAGGACTTATTGTTACTAGAAATGTTGAAGGATAAATTAATAGATTAGAAAATCCTAAGATTTGTGTTTTTAATGCTCCATTAGATCCATAATCTTAAGAAACTAAAGGAACTGTGTTGATTAAAAATGCAACAGAATTAATGAATTATACTAAAAGTGAAGAAGAACTTGCTGAAAAGATTGTTAAAAGTATAGCTGATGCAGGTGTCAATCTTATTGTTGCAGGAGGTAGCATTTCAGAATTAGTGTTACATTTTGTTGAAAAATATAAAATGATGATTGTTAAAGTCTAATCTAAATTTGAATTAAAGAGAATATGTAAAGCTATAGGAGCTAGTGCATTATCTAGATTATCTGCTCCTATGCCAGATGAATTAGGAACATGTGATAGAGTACATGTATAAGAAATTGGTAGTCAAAAAGTGACTATTTTTGAAAAATAAAGTGATACTTGTAAATTAGCAACTATTGTATTAAGAGGAGCAACATAAAATTTATTAGATGATATTGAAAGAGCTATTGATGATGGTGTTAGTTGTTATAGATCACTTATTAAAGATCCAAGATTTGTTTATGGTGGTGGTGCAACAGAAATTGTATAATTATATATTAATATTAATTTAGAAATTAGCATAATTATTAGAATAAGAAGCAAATAAAATTAAATCAATTGATTAATATGCTTATAGATAATATGCTTAAGCATTTGAAATTATCCCAAGAATTTTAATTGAAAATGCTGGTCTTGCTTAAAATGAAATGATGGCTTAAATGCATAAATTAAACTCTGAGAAACCTCATTCACTTAATATTTCAGTA